GTGCTATTCAGATCGGCTGGGCTGCGGCGATGAAATCGACCTATGCTCCAGAGCTGCCCATTTCGGGCTGGTATATGGGAGGCACGCCGGCGAATTTAACGTCGATGATTTTGCTTCTAAACAAGTCATTGTTTTCCGCTTTCGTGCTGGGTGGCATCACGGGTATTGTGGATACCTATCCTCAAGCTAGCGACTTGTTCGACAAAGTGGCTACGAAGGAAGGCCAAAAGGCCCTTTCCTTTGCTCGTACGAATTGCCTACTCGATGACCTGGTGACGTATCCATTCCAGGATGTATTTTCCGAGAAATACTCTTCGTTGGGTGAAGCATTCCTGACACACCCTGATGTCAAGCCCATTCTGAATAGTTTGACGATGGGATATGACAAGAAGTACACGCCGGACGCTCCTATTCTCATGGTACACGGCAAGGCTGATGAGATCTCACCTTATGACTCGGCCAAGAAATCGGCCCAGGACTGGTGCAACAATGGCGCTGACGTTGAGTTCCACACGTACGACACGGACTTGTCCGCACACTTTATTACCCAAATTACAGCGACGGCCAAATCCTATGTATGGTTGACGGATCGTCTGGATGGCAAGCCAGCCAACTCGGGCTGCAAGTTCACGTCGAGCCAGGATGTCATTCTCGACCCGAACGCACTTGGCCCTGGCCTCCAAAATATTCTCGATATTTTGACTGGACTGGCAGGTGATCAAATTGGACCAGGTGATGCTGTGCTGGCCCAGAAAATTCGTAATGGTAATTAATGATAGGTTCTAAGAATGAGTCGATGCACTATGTGGATGCAACGAGTTCAGGCACGTGTGGGGTTGTGGGCGTAGCATGGAAGCGAGGTCACCCTGCCGGATGGGGAACGCAGTCACCAATCATAGTTTTGCTGTCAAATTTATTTCGCAAAGTTACATAATGGCGTCGCGGTATTGAGGTATTTTTTATGGCCGCGAAGAGAAAAAGGCATTCCAGCTATGAAGATTCAAGCAAATCGCGGGGATTAAAAAAAAACTGTCAACACCCCCCATCTTCTGCGTCCATAGTGAGATGGGCTTGTTTCGGAACTGGATAGACGGTTTCAAGCGGGCTGAGCCTTTTGGCAGCACTCCGTCAGAGACATTGCCTGATGGAGATGTGGAAAAGGACCCTGACTCGAAAGATGTGGTTGCCAGGGATGTTTTGACCAACAGCGTGGCCTTCAAGGACGAGCAAGGTCATGTTCATGTGCTGGAAGAAGACCAAGTCTTGAAGCGAAAACTTCACAGTCGTCACATTCAGTTCATTGCTCTTGGTGGTAGTATCGGTTCGGGTCTGTTTATTGGTTCTGGTCTTACTTTGGCCCATGGTGGTCCGGGTTCGGTCATGGTTGCGTACATTATTATCTCCGTTATGGTTATTTGCACTGTATTGTCGCTTGGTGAACTGGCTGCTGCCTTGCCTGTTCAAGGCTCGTTTGCCACATATGCTGTCCGATTCATTGACCCGTCGTGGGGCTTTGCTGTGGGCTACATTTTCTGGATCAACTGGCTTGTTGCGTACCCGAACGATGCCACGGTATCTACGATTGTTATCCGGTTCTGGGATCGAGATGAAGTGGTGCCCCGTGGTGTGTGGGTGGCCATCTACATGATTATCATGATTTTCATTAATATATTTGGTGTTCGTGGCTATGGTGAATTTGAGTTTGTGGCTACCTTGATCAAGGTCCTTGGCTGCATTGGCTTCATCATCTGTGCCATTGTAATTGATTGTGGTGGTACACCAGCTGGACAGTACCTTGGTGCTCGTGGCTGGCATACTCAACCAGCTTTCTTGCATGGCTTTAAGGGATTTTGCTCCGTGTTTATCACGGCAGCCTTTTCGTTCTCGGGTACGGAGCTGGTTGGTTTGGCAGCGGCTGAGACGGAAAACCCACGCAAGTTTTTGCCCAAGGCTTGCAAGCAGGTGATTGCCCGTGTGATTATTTTCTACATTCTGTGTCTGTTTATGGTGACTTTGATTGTACCCGCTACCACACCACAACTCACGGAGCAGTCTGGTAGCCCCATGGCTTCGCCTTTCGTGATTGCCATTGAAATGGGTCAGATCTACGCTCTTCCTCAGATTTTCAATGCGGTGATTCTTATCTCGGCCCTGTCGGTGGGTAATGCTGCTCTCTACGGTAGCAGCCGTATGCTTCACACCATGGCTGAGCAGGGCAATGCCCCGAAGATCTTCAAGTTTGTGGACCGCCGTGGTCGCCCTACGCCCGCTCTGGCTGTATCTATTCTTTTCGGCTTCATCTCCTTCCTTGTATACTACACGGATGGTGAAACTGTGTTTACTTGGCTCATGAGTATTGCGGGTCTCTCGGCTGTGTTTACGTGGGGCACAATTTGTCTTGCTCACTTCCGCTTCCGCCGTGCTTGGATCAAGCAGGGCAACACATTGAGGCAGCTGCCTTGGGCTTCGCCTCTTGGCATTTACGGATCGGCTCTTGGATTTGTTCTAAATGTGTTGGTTATCATTGCCTCATTTTACGGCAACGCTTGGCCAATGGATGAGAGCGAGATGGACAGTCAAAAGCGCGCATATACCTTTTTTGAAAATATGCTCTCATTGCCTATTTTCTTTATCCTGTTCCTTGGTCACAAGATTGTTACCCGTTCCAGGTTTGTACGCTTCTCGGAAATCGACGTACAAACGGGCCGTCGTGACCCTGTGCCGGAAGAGGTTCTTGAAAAGGAGCGCGCTGAAGCTCGGGCTCGTCCGCTGTGGAAGAGGATTTTCACAGCGATCTTTTAAGCTCGTGGATGTGAATTGTATTGCCAAGTCACCTTCTCGGGGTGGTACATCTCTTTCGTTTTACATATAATAGGTGTTGCATAGTTATGGGATACCACATGTGACCAGGTTCTATGCAATGAGAACAGGGCTACAATGTTCGCGGCCATTCTTCAATTGTTGTAAAATCAAATACATTGTGTGTCATGATGTAAAACACCTATACATCTACAGCCATGGCATCCAGGTAGGATCCTGGAGAGCCAGTTTGCTAGGGTGGCTAGCATAATTGATCAGGTCCAATACGGCCTGATTGACGGGCGTCGACGATGTCTTGTCATGTCCATACTTACAAGACATCAGTCGTGCCCTTTTCACGATTTCCAGCACGTTTTGCTTCACCAACTCCACATTCGGCTCAAGGTTCTTCGACGCTTGGTGCTGCACGCCGCTGAACCAGAACTGAAGCTCGTCACGAACGAAAATGCCAAGGAAGTCTTCCAAGCCATGTTCCGACGCAGTCAAAGCGGAGCCCAGGGCCATGAAGGAGCTGGTTACAATGCCCTCAATCCCTGTCGGGCCAATAAAGTGCTGAATATTGGGACTTAAGCGGAACGGCGTGGGATCGGGCGATTTAAAGTGCGGTGCTTGGGGACTGAACGTGGGAACCACATCTGACATGATTACTGCGCCACTGGAGCGTGAGATGTGAATACGCCCAGGGTAGCGGGCACTGATAAACAAGATGTAGGTAAGGAACATAGTCGTCGCCATTTGCAGCGTGAATTGCTTGCGCATAAGCCACAGATCCGATGGCGACGCCATGGTCTTCACCATGAAGTTCGTCAGGATCTTGTCAGAAATCATTTTCACGCTAATCTCCTCCAACAGCTCCATGCGCAAGTTGGCAAAGTCCACGTTCGTACGACGATGGGATCCACCGTCCCATGTGCTTCGCATCTTTTCCACCCAGGCGACGATGGGGTCGTCCTTGCCGATACCGATTTCACTGCAGTGACGTTCGTAAATGTCCTGCATGCTAATGAACGATTCGTCATACGTCAGCAGACGCAGCTGCGGCGACACAGGCACAGCAATCGGGACGTTGAACGCCAAGCCACGCTTCCGTGTCTGGATCTTGCGCTCAAGCACTGTGTTCAACAGACGCAAAAGCTGGAAGATTCGCTCTTCGCGACGACAGTAGCGTGCGGAGGGGAGTTGCACAGCAAACGAATGAAGCGAGCCCTTGTTGCTCAGGATGGTGATACGGCGGTTGCACATACCGTTAGAGCGTAGCAGGCCGTACTCTGGCAAGAATCGATTGATACGCACAAAGTTCGCATTGTTGTCCTCCAACGTCAAGTACTGCCCAGGAAGCTCCACTTCATCAAACTTTTGGTGCTGGAACTCGACCAAGTAGTGCGAGCAGTGCTCCAAATGTTGACGACGCGGACGCTTATCTAGCGACTCTTCGTATCGATCACGCCAGCGCTGCAAGCGAGCCACGTATTCGCGAAGTGTGGGCTTGCTTCGGACAAAGTCACTCTCAAAAGCGGTCTTGAGAGGGCCGGGGGGCAAATTGTCGGCAAACAACGTCACATTCATCTGTGACGTGTGAGGCAGCTGGCCATTGTCGGTCGTCAATGGAGCGCGATGAATGTACTGCTGCAGCGCATCATTGAGCAATGCATTCGTCAGACGGTAAATGTCTTCGTCATTGCTGGGCTTGAAACGCTGCTGCAGCTGCTCAGCCATATTTTCCATCGTAAGCGCAAGGAGTGGGAAAGCCGTCTTGAGAATGTTCAGAATCTCTTCCACATGCTCCGACGCATGCCGCGACGCGGCCGACGTGTCCGAGGCGGCCTTTGTACCGCTCTCCTCCTTCTTCTGCGCTTCGTTCGATGATGCATTGGCCGAGTCAGCATTCGCCTGGTGGCCCTTGTCCGTCTCCCCTTCAGTCCTGCTCTCCTCTGCCTTTTCTCCTGCGTCTGCGCTCGCCTTCTCGTCGTTGTGCGACCGAGCCCGTGCTGCAGCACGCGCTGCCGACGTCTGACTGTTTCGCTTCATCATAGCAAAGTCCTCTTTGCTCGTACGAAGGTAGTAGTACAGCGATTGAGGGAACGACTTGGCGATCTGCATAAGCAGTTTGCGCGCAAACTTGGCCTGGGCATGCGACAGGAGCTGAATCAGCTGAGGAATAAATGTGATCCAATACCAGATGGGTGTCTCGCCATTGTACGAGTCACATGCCTGCCAAAGTGTGCCTTGCGCATCGTCGCAGCTAAGGAGCCAAAGAACACGAACTAAAATCTTCCGCGCCTTGGCATTCTTGTACAAGCCTGCTGCCTGCAAGTAGCAGCTGATGGCATTCGCTGCCAAGTGCATAGCTGTAGGCTTCTCGCGGAACAGACCATCGCTGTACCGACCCCACTCCGTCCACGACTTGGGCAGGTTGAGATCCATCTGGATCGCCGTAGCAAACGCTTGGTTCGCCTCTTCCGACATGCCGAGCTTGTTAAGGAACATGCCCTTCAGCGAGAAGAACTCGGCTTTCTGCGCTGCAGCAAAGAACATGAGATTGGTATTGTTGATCACATTCAAGCCCTGAGTCAGTTCGTTGGGATTGTTGTAATGGCAACGTGCTTGTTCACGCAGCTTGAGGAAGGCCTCTTGGATCTCAATGTTCGGCAATGTGTAGATCTTGGTGAGCGAGCTAATGCACACGTCATCCAAGCCATGCTTACGTGCCACATGCGCAAACCGGTTGATGATCCAGGCCGTCTCATGGTAGCCACGGTAGGCGTACGAATTGGTCGACGAGCCAGGCCCTTCATTCCGCTGAATCAGAGGTACCAGCGGCAAGTACGCCTTGTTCACGCTTGAAAAGACATGCTGGCGCCATGCCACAAGATCGCTCCATGCATTGATGTCGTCCCACAAGTTGGGCAAACGCTCGCGCCACGTCTGCATGAGCGTCTTGAGCTCCGCAGAGCGATGATTGAGGTTGGTCGCATTGGTGTGCGCCAAGGATGCAAACACCGTGCTCACCTCCTGCAACTCGACAAATTGCTGGAAGATCTGCAACAAAGGCACATGCGCTTGGGACACTTGCGTCGGAAGGGAGTACCACTTGTACAGGGTAAGCTGGATAGCTTCATCACAAATCCGGCCAAACTCGGACGACTTGTCAGGCGCCGCCTGCGACTTGAGCAGCGACAGGTACGCCTCAAAGACCTTGCGGCGTGGCGTGCTCATGACTTGCAAGTGCTCCAACGAACGCTCCAGAAACTCGCGCTCCGCCGTCCAGTCGGACAAGCGCCATGCACACTCCAGCGCGAGGTCTTCGTTGTGCTCCAGCTTGGCCAAGTCCGCGAGAATGTCCCACTGCTGCAACTCCAACGCAGATAGGACCCAGTGATCGTCCCACAGATGGTACTCGGCCTCGGTGAGCGGCAGACCGGACGAGCGGCCCTTGACCTGTGCTGCCTCGTAGAGGACTTGGGCCTCGGCGAAGCGGCCACATTGCTCGTAGGCCAGCGCGGCATTGGTCTCAGGGAACATGCAGCGACGTCGCCACAAGCCGTAGAAGTAGTCTGCTTCGCTCAGCTCCGCATACATCTCCGCCAGCGCATCTTGCGACGCCTCTCGCACTGCATCATCGGATCGCATCGATCCCAGCTGGTCTTGCAACTGCTCCATCGCCACATGCCACGCTTGGAACGTCTTGGCAAGGTACTTGAGCACGTGAGGCGGCAGCTCCAGCGATGGCGTGCAAGCCCACGCGCCGCTCAGCAAGGTCTGCACGACATTGGGACGGGCAGAGGCTTGCTTCACCATGTAGTCACGCGTCATGCATCCAATCAAAGCGCGATTCAGCTCCACCTGATGCCGCTTGGGCGTGGTGCGCCAAATCGCAGGGAAGAGCCCTTGCCACAAGGCATCGGCCGCGTGTACGTCGCGGTACTGCAGTGTACGCAGTGCCGTAAGGAACGGCTGGAGCTGCGCCGTGCGCATCTGCTCCATGAACGCACTCTCATGCGACTCTTTGAGCGTAGGAAGAAGCAGAGCTGTGCCGTCCACGACGGCGAGGACCAAGTCAAGGACCTGATGAAGCCAGTAGTGCTCGGCCAAGCACTCCCAGTTCTGGTGCCCCAAAAGATGCAGCACACGGCCTGGCATGGACTTGGTAAGCGAGGCGTCCAGCAAGTCCATAAAACTGCGGCGGACCTGAGGATCCGTATGACGACAACCAAGCAGGAAGGCCGGCTCGAGACGCGCCGTCAGCTCGCTGCGCGCCAAGTTGGAATCCTTGTAAATCGCCAAGATCAGGTCCAAAAACTCATGGAACAGCGCTGCATCGCGCTGCTCAAAGCACAGCATCTTGACAAGAATGCCGGCCTTTTCCTTGATGGTCGGGAAAGGCTCACGGGCATCGAGGATCCACGTCCGCATCGTAGTGAGCAAGAAACGACAGAGCTCAACGCTGGACGATTTCTCCACAAGCTGTACAATCGCGCTAAGGAACCAGCGACGCTGGTCGCCCAAGTGAGAGATGCGAGCACATAGCAGTGTAAGCACTTGCTTCAATAGCGACAAGGTTGTCTCTCCACTCGCCGGTGAGCCCAAGTGCTCCTTCGTAAGACGCGTAAGTGTCTTGATCAGCGGGAGCTGATACCGATCAATACACGTAGGATGCGCATGTGACCATGCAGAGAGCAGAGCGAGGCCGCTCTGTAAACTAGTACCCGACTTGAGTCCTTCGGAAATGATCGTCTCAGCCATGGTACATAGAGGTGCAATGTCCTCACTTAGAGGCGGATCGTCGTCTCCTGGCGGCGCAGCAGGAAGGATCGCGCAAAGTCGCTGCAACGTCGGCATCGCAGCTTCCAGAAGACTCGCGCGATCGCTCGCCAGGGTCTTTTCCAACAGCTTGTGCAGCTGCGCAACATGCGATGTGAACCACGCTGTATCCCTGTGCTGTGTGATCATATTCAGTGTCGCCAGCGCATTGGAAATAGGGCCGATATGCTGGTCGCTCACCTCGGTATGAATCAAGGCACGCTGGAGCAACGCCAGACGTACATGCACATCGCGCCAGGCAGGGTGCGAGAGGATCTGTTCCAGCAGCTGGTATGCATGATGCGTCACTTCATTCGACGACATCGGTTCAATGGACAGCGAGACAAAACGGGCCACAAACGAGGCGGTCATTTCACGCAGGTGAATGGGCATGGCGTACGTACTGCCCTCGGCACTCGTGTCCGCACTTGTCTTGATCCGCTTGCGCGGCGCCTCTTCCTCTTCTGCCGAGTCCCATTTCACCAGCAGATCCACGAGATCAATGGCAAGCTTCTTTGAATCCGCCGTGGCACTGCTAGCAAACCCAAGCTTGGCAAGCGATGTGACCATATGCGGAACAAAGATCTCGCGGCTCTCGTAGAACAGGTCAGGGTACGTCGTCAGCAGCTGCAGAATCGTGCAAAGTTGCAGCGTATTGTGGCCTTCGTCCAGCAGGGTGCGCTTCGTCCACTTGACCCACAACGGCGTCTGGCCCGGCTTGCATGGGACACGCTCTGGCAGCGCCGGCACAAGAATCTCCAGCGCCTTGCGGACCAGGGCACGTCCATCGCTCGGCGGCAGCCGCAAGAGGCCAATGTAGACCTGGCCCACGATTTTCAAGGGGCTCTCGAACTTTTGCAGGAAGCGTGCGATAAACACGTACGCGGCGTGCTTCACGGTGACATCGTCGGCGGATAAGAAAGCCCAGCCGAACTTGATAGCGTCCAGCTTGGTCGCGCCTTGCGCTGCCAGGACATCGGACCCATGCTCGACCATGAGTGTGCTCATTTGCAGCAACTCTACACGTAGCGCATCGTCGACAAACAGCTGCGCACCGACGCCCGGCCCTTGAACTTGACGCCATACCAGGTTGGCCACATTGGCGAGCAACGAAGCTTCCAACACGCCCTCGGCCTTTGCCACGTCGGTCGCCGACGGCAGCGCGTACGAGGCCACGAGGATCGGGTTGACTAGCACTCGCAGTGCTTGGGTCTTGAGGACCGGCGCCACATGCGCATCGGCCAAAAGGCCTACCACGCGATGGAGGATCGCCCGCTTCGTCTCCAGCGTGCCGTGGAGGCACAAATGTTCGTACACGAATCGCGTTGCCGGTGTCAAGTCACGTGTCTGACGATAGGTGTACAAGTCCAGCAAGGCCATGTACAAGTCGATGTGCGGCTCCTGCCGCAACACGGAGTGGAAGAGCTCGACAAACAACGGCGTGAGAGGCGTTTGCAGTGTGAGGACGTCCGCTTCAGCGCGACGCTGCGTATGCCCTTCAGGCGATTGCCATACGGACACAAGGCGTTCGAGCACGGCACGATGCGTGCACAGCCACGTGGGCGTATGACCGACCATGGCCTGGATCACCTGGAGAGCCGCCTGCAGAAGCGGGCGCTGCGCCGCATTCGTGAGCAGTGGGAGAAGCAATGCGTCTGCTTGCGCATCGACTTGCGCACGCAACTGTGCGCCCTTGGGCGATAGGAGGGAGAGACGGAGAAGACGAAGGAGCTTGGGATTCGTGATCTTATCCGCCTCGAAAAAGTAGCGCACAGCATGCTCCGCAAAGCGGTCCAAGTACAGCACGAGCATCTCAGTGAACGGCGTGGGGCCCGTGCGTCGCAGATGCATCTCAATCTCGGCCACGTACATCGGCAGACGAGGCAGGAATTGGTACGCCGTATCAGGCAACAGATGGAACACACGCACAATCGCTGCGAGTGTCTTGAGCTGCTCATTGGTATCCAGAGGCCCACCAGCAGCAAGGCGCAGCATGGCAGGGTCCGCCAACGCCGACAAGTGGTCCAGGAGCTTGATACCGATCTCCACCTTGAAGTAGTTGGTCAGCAACTGCAGCAAGTGCGCGAGACCATCGAGCCCGGCCGCCGTTAAACGATTGCGATCGGCCAGCGTCATGAGGATGGGTTGGAGACCGCTACGCAGCAGATCCTTCGGGAGCTTGCTCTGCTGTGCCAATGTCGCTTTCAGGGAGTCGTATGCCACTTTGACCACCTCGTCCGACAAGGAGTACAAGCACTTGAAGTACACAGAGATGATGCGCATACGCATCGCGACATGCTCCTGCGCCTGGAACTCGGTGCACTGCATGGCGGCCGCCAGCAACTGAATCGCTACGACACGCAGCTTCGTAAGTGCCATGACGTTTTTGTACAAGGTCGTACGTCCAATCAACGCCTGGTCGTCGGCATCGGCCAGCGCCAGGGCTTCCGTCAAGACGCGGAAGAGCTCCTCGTTGAACGTGGGAAGCGGCGGCGACAGTTGCAGTGTGTACCGAATCGCATCAATGTGCCCGATCTGGATGCCGAAGGGGAGCGCACGTAGTGGCTTGGTATAGATCGGCATGAACAATCGATCACGCTGGGGCTGCAGCAAGTCGGTGATCGTGCACTCCGTCAGACGAGCCAGCATCTCGAGCGTACGCTGCGTGGTCTGCCGTGCCATTTCACTTGCACACGACAGTTCAGGGATCAAGATGCCCACCAGCCAGCGCAGGTGCGGCGACGACTCGGCGTACACTTTGGCTGCACGGCTCGTATCGCCTTCTTCGACTTTGGGCGCTTTGCCGGTGTAGGCCTGCTCCAGCACGTAGTACAGCGTGTCGCTAATACGCTCAATGCCTTTCGGCGGATCACTAGGCATGTCCTTGAGCATGTACAGCAACGCACGCACAATCTCTAGCTGGTGGTCAGAGATCCACGTCGTGCCCAGCGCCGCCCGACGCACCAACGTATCGATGCCGATCCAGCCACCGAGGCGGCGGTGCCAATGGTGCTCGTAGCAGCGCGAGCAGAACGCCGAGGCCAACGCATGCATCACGGTATGGCCCAGCCGTGGCCGCGTGGCCGGCGTCGTATCACAGGCTTCCAGGAACTGCCGCACAATGGCCAGAACGATGTCCAAGTGGGGTGGCGTGCCACGCATATCGACGCCATCGACGGCATGCGCCATCGCTTCGAGCATGACCAGCGTCGTAGGGAGCAAATGGCGCTGCGATACGCCGCTTTGGCCAGCGTCACGTGTAATCTCGGCGTGCAAGACATGCGCATACATGCTAAGCATGAACGTCTTGACATCCGCCTGCAGATCCGCATGCGACGATGCACGGAACAGGCCCACCGTCACACGACGCAGCTCGTAGCGTCGGTCATGGTCGCCTGCATCAGAAAGCAGAACCATCGCCGAGGACGAAAGCACATCAAACGCAGCACGATGGCACGCCTCGTCGCTATCACTCAGCTGTGCTAGAGCCAAGTCCATCGCAGGCAGCAGCGGCATGGAATCTACCGTGCCAGAGAGCATCAGCGCCATACTTGGCGTCGTGCCGGCATGGTACGAAAGCGAAGGCAGCTGCTGCAAGAATCGTCGGTTTCGGCCGCCCAGCTTGCCGAGGATGCGCATGGTCGTATGTGAGTGCTGGTGGTTGTGGGGAAGAGGCTTGAGATGCTTCCACAAGGCGGCCATGATGTCCTGAATGTACGGCTGCATAATAGGATCGAGGAATTCCTGCGTAAGGTTGTCAATACACAGCTCCAACGTCCGCAGACCTTGGCTCACCAGCTCGGACGACGACTGCAAGGCCAACACAAGCGGGTGCATAAGCTGACCTAGGTACGGTAGCAGTACACTCAGTCGCACAGGCACTGTCAGGCACAAGTCGACAAACAGCTCGCGCTCACTCGGCTCCGCCGCATCGAGCAGCAAGTTGAGTTTCTCGAGGAGCAGCGGGAGCAAAGGCAGCACATCCTTGTACAGCAACTCGAAGCGGCCACCGCCAATGCTGCGGAAGAGAGCACGCAGTAGCAGGAAGAAATTGGTGGGCTCGTCCGCTTTCGAGGCATACTTGATCGAGTCCATAATGAGGTGGGTAAGATGCGGCTGCAGTACCGCCTCGTTTTCTTCCGGGAAAATCGTCACGGCCATGAACGCCATCTTGAAAAGACGCAGACTCACAGAGGCCAGCTTCTTATCGCTCGTGCCCAGATCCTCTAGCCGCTTCACAAGGAACGCAAGCAGAATTTCAGAGAACCGACGCGACACGGCATCGTTCGACAGCAGATTCTGCGGGATGCCGAGCAGCGCTGGCGCCTGCAGAATCTGGTCGAACAGGAACGGCATGTGCGTCGAAAACACCTCATGGAACGTCTCGGGGGGCAGGTCGATAAAGATATTGGTGAACAAGTCGCTCATATCCTTCTCTTCCCGACCATCGCGCTGCGTCTGCAACAGACAGCACTTGACGCCGCCCACAAACAAACGGCCCATCACTTCGCCGTCAGGCTCCGGAATACCGCGATGCTTAAACACGGAAATCAGTGTCTTGAAGCCAAAGAGCAAGTTGCGGTAGAGGAAGCGCGCATTCTTCATCGGATCCGCTACGTGTTCCAGCACGGCGACAGACGACTGAATCGGCTTGGCCTGCTCAATCAGTACAGCTTCGCGGCGTGCCTCATCGTCGGTGGCATCGCCTACCAGCATATCCTCCTCCTCATTCTCGCTCTTGGAGGGACCCCGCAACTGACGCACATCCTTGCCCAGGTCATGCAGCTCCGGTAGCTTGTCCAAGAACGTATGGAAGATGCCTTGCAGCATCGCCACTGATCGATCAGCATGCTTTAGCACAATGGTCTCGACCAAATTCAGCAACAGCTTCACACACATCGTCTGAATACTCGGCGCCAGTGTCGGCTCATGCAGAAGCTGTGCGTGCACGTTGATGACTTTCACAATTTGATCCGTCGTGAGCTCTTGACGTACATGATGCATCAAATCGGCCATCATACTCACCACTAATGGCCGCTGCAGTTCACGTGTCGTAACACCTGTGCCCAGCAACACGCGCTCGTCCAGCAACGTATCAATTTGGCTCACAAAGTGCTCACGGAACTCGGTCGAGAGAATATGCCGCGTAGCCACCAACAGCTCCTTGCGTGTAATTGCGTTTTCCGGTGGGCAGTCTTTCAGCAAACGCACATTGACCTCGGGGAGCAAATGCACGTATTGGCGCACAATCGGCGCCGACCCACGCAGGACATAGGCCAGGAAAGACATGGTCTTGACCTGCGTCGTGACCATCTCGCCAAACAACGCGCGGTTTTTGATGCCAGGCGCTACACCGACAAAGATTTGGCCACGTTGCCGTGCGGCCTCATGCGCTTGCTGCTGCGGCAGCGCTTGCAACGTCAGGCAATGCTCAAAGATCAGCGGCACAAATACGTTGATCGACGAGCTCACAACATTCCGGTACGTCTGGAAAATGAGCACAATCGCAATGGGACACTCTGTCAGCACTTTGAAGCTCTGCGAGCTCTTGAGCAATGTGCGTGGTGCAGCCTGCGACGCTTCCTGGCCCTCCGACAAGGCCAGCAAGGCATCGTTCTCGCCGCTAGGCGCCACAGACGCAGCCTGGCCGGGCGACTGTTCGGTGCCGAACGCCTCCGCTACAGCTGAGCGCATGTTCAGGTACAGCTGCTGCACCAATTCCAAAAACGGCTGTACTTGGCTCTGAAGAACAGACTTGAACGAGCGATGCAGATCAATAATGACCTTGAATGCAATCGTAGCGTTGTCTTCATTGTCCTCCTTCACTGCACGCAACATGACCTGCATGAGGCGCTCGGCATGTGGCTTCGCCGCTTCGTGCTGAGGATAGCGGTATATAGTTTCAATAATGCCATGTCGTAAGCGCTGCTCAGGCGCATCCGACATGAACGCACAGGGCGTGCTTTCTAGCAAGTCCATTTGCACCGGAAGGACTGCATTCAGAAAACTGGTGTAGTCTACGTTGACAAACACCTCGATCATTTCTTTGATCTCTGCGACGACCGTCGCTTTCGACCGCAGATCTGCTGCGTCAGCCTATGTCGTCCACATACCTGCATTGGGATCTGCAAGTCGCCTTGCAAATGCCGACGGATCGGGCGGGTTGCTAGCCCGCGCACCATCCGCGGCTGCCATAGTTTTGCCTATATCGACTCGGTCAGCCGACCCGTCGTCGTTTCGCGGGGGCAGGGAGGGGGCGTCGCGACGCTTTCGCAAAAGCGTCTAGACCCCGACAGCTTGGATGTCACGTGATATAGGTGCCATCGCGCGCGCACGTCGCACTCCATACGTGTCCTGGCAGGCGCACGAGCATGGCGAGTCTGTTGCTCCGGCTGTTCAATAGCGACTATTTCTCGTCACATTTGGCTTTGAGCTAGTATGTTACAAGGATACTTACAGCAAGCCTACGCACCTATGCAGACCATGTTGGGATCACGTACTACCTCATTGCTAAACTCAGCACAGACTTTCCTCGTGAAGAGGTGGACTTTTACTGGCCTCAATACTGTCATTTGCTAGTAACCAAAGACACAGAGTCACGAGCTCTGGAAGGATTCATCTTGCGACGATGTGAAGAAGACGTGCATGTGGCTTTATTGGTATGTGTCATGAACCACTGACCTCCAGACACTCTGGTACATGCAGGCCCATTTGGCCGACTTGGCCTCCGACCCTACCTCGCCTAATTTTCGCACATGCCAACGTGTATACAATCGGTGCCAGCGGATATTGTTCGAGGATCCAGAGGCATCAGCACCGGTGCCTCGGCGCCGCTTAGCGAATTTCCTGCCGTTCTTTGAGGCGAACCGGAACGTGTATCCTGACAATGCCATGAGCGCCATGGTCGGCTTGTCGTCGGCTTTGATATCTGTGGGATGCCCTGTGGCATCTGATTACTGTGGTAGTCTGGCCTTGCAGCAAGGACGGCGTCCTCCTGGCGGCATGACGTTGGAACGGGGCGAGATTCAGCGTCTGCCTTCAGCGCCGCTCTCAGTACCGGCTATCCAAGTCGACGTGGACCCTATGGATGGCCGCCCTGCAGCAGATACACCTAAGGCTCCCACACAAGATAACAATACACCGCCTTCCGTTGCTAAGGAGCCTGGCCCCACGCAAGACACGAAGGAGGACCCTATTCAGCATGTGTTTGGCGAAGAAGAATGGTCGCGAGCTCCCTCGAAGGGACAGAAGAGTACTACATTCACGTCCGAGCCAAGTACTTCACAGCCGCCTTCGCGCGCCCCTACACCAGCGCCTACGCCCTTGGACACGACAAGTCGGGAGTATGAACTGCGGCAGAAGTATCTGTTTGCACACTATGGTCGCTCGGAAATGCAGTTCTTGCAAACATTGCAAGACATTCCCACACGCCTACAGCAATTGCCAAAGCAGGCGCGTCTCTCTGCACTGCGTGCGGAGCTGACCGCTCTGAACCAAACGCTTCCTTCGGAAGTGTGTTTCCCTACTTGGTGTGCTGGCCTCGCAACGGATGCTACGCATCGCGGCCGTCATCATCGCGTGGTGCGCATTAGTGCATCGGAAGCTGTGGTCCTCAACTCGGCAGACCGTGTGCCCTATTTGCTCCATGTGGAAGTGCTGCGCAACGACTTGGACTTTGATCCTAATCGTAAGTACAACCGCGAGCTGCTGCAACGCATTCTAGGAAAGCACGAGGGCTCTCTCAAGCCGCTTTTGATCGCACAAGCGAAACGGGCGTCGATTCCTTGCGAGGCAAATACACCACGGAGTGCTACGCCAGAATCGTTGCATTCCGGTGAAGTGGACTTGACGGAGCAAATGTATGGCGCAGACTTGGCGGCCTTTGGGCGTGAGCAAAAAGCCGATGAGAGTGACCAGGACATACTCGTCGGGAAGAATGATACCCTTGATATGGCAGCATGGGCGCATGCGACGCCAACAGAACCACGCGCTGGTTTCTCGCTGGAAGAGTATGCGCAGCGCATGCGAACGGCCGCCGTGATGCTGGCCCAGCTGAACAAGAGTGGCGCTATGACTCGAAGTGCCACAGCAGACGCGCAAGACGCAGGCGCAGAAACGATGGCAACGCATATTTCGTCCGCTGATGCCAAAGTCATTCGGCAGCGTATCATGGACGAAATGGCAGCGCTAGAAGAGCAGCGCATGGACCGTATGAAGCGTGGCGGGCAGTACTTTGGCCGTCTCAAACGCAACCCGATGGGCGCCGAAGATGAGAGTGCGGTGCTCAAAGCGGTCAACAAGGACGACCCCTCCGCGGCGTACTTCCGTGAGTCGTGGACTGTGAAGAAAGAGCGTATTCGTGCCTCGTCTCCGTACGGCAATTTGCCGGCCTGGGACCTGTTTTCCGTCATTGTCAAGACAGGGGCCGATTTGCGGCAGGAGCAGTTTGCTGTGCAGCTTATCAAGGAGTTTAAGCGCGTGTGGAACGACTGCCAAAGTCGTTGTTGGGTGCATTATTTCCGAATTGTGGTCCTCAACGAGAATGCAGGTCTGATTGAGACCATCAAAGATGCGATCTCTGTACATTCCATCAAGAAGGAAGCATACGCTCGTCAGCTGGATGGGCAGCCCATTGCTACGTTTAGCTTGTATGACCACTTCCTTCAGACGTATGGCGAGCCTCAGTCGCCCAACTTCCGACGCGCCCAGCGCCACTTTATTGAGTCTTTGGCTGGCTATGCGATTGTATCGTACTTGCTACAGATCAAAGACCGGCACAACGGGAATATCTTGGTGGACACAGACGGCCATCTTGTCCATATTGACTTCGGTTTCATGCTGGGTCTCTCCCCAGGCGGCGTCGGCTTCGAAGCGGCGCCATTCAAGTTCCCACGTGACTACATTGAGATCCTAGGTGGGATGGACAGCGAAGGCTACGAAGAATTCCGCCAGACCATGCGCCAGGGTTTCCGTGACGTACGGAGGCATGCTGAGCGGTTTATCCTCCTGGTCGAATTGATGGAACGAGGTATGTACAAGGACACTTACATGTTAGACTCGTACCTGCCATGCTTTACCACAGGCGACAGTGCTGCCGCTGCGTTGCGGGATCGCTTCCAGCTGGGCCTTACGCCTGCGCAGTGCGATGAGTTCGTGGACAAGTTGATTTTGAGCTCGGCAGGCAGTGCCTTTACGCGACTCTATGATCAGTACCAGAACTTTACACAGAACATTTTGTAACAATCGGATGTCAGGAGGTTTTCACGCATGGCCTCGAGTATGTTATAAATAGCAGATATGGAAATGTCTATGGCTTTATCCGTACGCGTGCTTCGACCACGCACGAATACGAGGACCGTACTTGTAGAACACAAAAGGAATAGGGATCATCAGAACAGAGATAAAAGCAAGCAGACACGACGCCCACCGTGGGTTCAAACGTGCGTACATTTGTTCACCAAACATGGGGAAACCGGCACCGAAGCAAGAACGCACCACAGTATTGGCAGCCATGGCACTAGCCACATACTGGAAATAGACTTCAGAAATGTACACAACCAAGCCCAAGAAAATTAGGAACAAGGCGAAGCCAAATAGACCACCGGCCACGACAGGCAGCCAGAAAGACACAGACGGGAACGAGGTCCATGCAAACCAGAACAGAGCTGCCGAAAAGAGGGGCGCACCAACCATGGTGCCCCAGAGACGCGCTTCGGGTGCAATGGGCTTGTAGTTGTTGCGGATATACGCGCGAAGGTACAAGCGCTGATCCACAAGAACATTATATATAGCGCCGATCATCGCACCTGAGAAGAAGCCAAGGAAGGCAAGACCCGTAGCACCCGCACGGAAGTGGTGCAAACCTTCAAATACAATGGGATAGGCAACAAAGAATAGGTAAATCACACCGTAAATGAAGGACGTATAAATGGTCATGACAGCCAACATGGGCTCCGAGAATAACAACTTGACAGGCTTCAACAGAGTTTTGGAGAGGATGTCTTTCGTGCGAATGCGACGCACTTCAATCGGGGCCTTGTATCGGTCATCCCCTGTCTGGGCACGAAGCCGCCGCGCTTTCTTTCGGAGAAGCTGGTCCGACATGGTTTCAGGCATAGTAAAGATGACCAAAATCAGCATGACGAAAGAAAAGATCGTACACACACGAAAGATCCAACGCCAGTTCGCACCCGAATTGGAAATGTAGCCACCCACAGTGGGGCCAAGGCATGGACCAGCCGTGGGCGACAGGGCAAAAATGACCAGACCCAGCGTAAGGTATTTTAGTGGCACGAGCGTCGAAATCATCGATGGCGAGTTGGACATGGAACTGGAGCCAGACGCACCAGCAAGAATGCGGAAGACAATCATCGAGGCAACGTTAGGTGCCAGCATACAGCCTACATTGAAGCAGACAAAGCATGTAAAACTAATGATAAACACAATCCGATGACCGATAAGCTCAGAGAGCGGCGCCCATAGCAGCGGGCCAACAGCGAAACTGCCCACAAACAAGAATACAGACGCTTTCACCACTTCGGGTGTCGTCTTGAACTCGAAGACCATCTGTGGGATCAAGGACGAAGGTGCAGACGATGCGAATGCCGTGCAAAGCGTAAGCATGCCGGCCAAAACCATGAGGTATATGCGATAGTAGATATTCAGCTTGAGCGAGTGCTCCCTATCGTCTTTTCCATCCCATTTGACAAGGATATATTCATTCCCATCTTCGTCTTTGGAAAGGTCAGGAAGTTCTTGAGCAACCATAGTAGCCTGGGAATCGGACGGCACAATTCCGGTAGCTTCGTTTGCTTGGACAATCCCTTTCTCTAAATCAGGTACGGGGTGCTCCTGCAGCTTGAGCGCCGGGTGCAACGGATCGCGATGCACAGGCTCGGGCACAGGAGCCTCCACCAATATGGGCTTCGTTGGCGGAAACTGACTCACGGCAGCCCGGGACATCACGGATTATAGAGGGAGAATCGTTCTTGAAATGATTGATGTAGGGGTGAGTGAAGCAATATGCCTAGGATCGGTTTCTTTTTTGTATGAATAGCCACTCTCTCTTTACTGCAATCAATATGCCACATTTGTACAAAAAAAAACATAGCTACGTTCAATGCCACTGCAAGTCTCAGAAACTCAATTTATGGCATGCGTTGATTGGCCGCCGTATAAGGTTAATCGATTTTCTTCCGGTCAGACCTCCCGCAGCACCCTGCCTCCACGGAAGCCCCGGCCAGCTCAAGGCCGATAATTTCGACAAAGGACCAGGGATTCGATAAAAATAATTGTGATTTCCCAAAGGCGCGAACACCCCGATGCGATAGGCTGAACTAGCTTGCCAACACCACGGAGTTGAAGAAAAATCACACAGCCGTGGACCATGCCAAGATCTATGATGAATTCAGGGCATAGCCGGTGCGTACATATGTACCGGAAGTCACAGGTCTACGAAATTGTAAATAAAACGTTCTTGAGCGATTCAATGAATGTTGGCACTGGTTCTTGATCAGAACGCATACAAAAATGTATGAATTTAGCATGCGTTCTTGGACCAAGAACGGATCGTTGGACCAAACTTAACGAGTACGAAGGGGATAGGCACGAGTACAAGAGAGATAAAAGCAATGACAGTGGACGCCCAGCGAGGGTTCAAATTGTGGTACATCTGAGCACCGAACATGGGGAAACCGCAACCAAAAGCGGACCGGACAATGGTATTGATAGAGTTAGCACTGGCCGAGTTCTCCGCATAGGTCTCCGTAAGATAAGTCAAAAGACTGAGGAAAATGAAGAACAGACCAACATCGGCTACACCACCGGCCACAAGAGGACTCCAGAACGAAACGCTTGGGAAGGATGTCCACGCAAACCAGAAAAGACCGATGGTAATTAAGGGCCCGCCAATCAAAGCCGTGTTCAGACGACGCTCGGGGGACAATGCTTTATTTCCGTTCGCAACGAATTTCTTGATATAGTCACGGTTGTCCACAGACACACAGTAAATTGCAGCAATGACGTTACCCACGACCAAACCAAGGAACATAAGACCCTGCGCACCCTGTCGCATGTTGTGCAGCTCACCGAATACAATCGGGTAGGCATCAAACAGCAGGTAAATCACGCCATAGACAAACGACGTGTAAATAGTAAGCGCCATAAGCATAGGCTCTTCTAAGAGAATCTTGAACGGCTTACCAAGCACCTGGATGGGAATCTTAGACCACTGGATATGACGGAACTCGATCGGCGCAATGTAACGGTCATCACCTGTCTCACGACGAAGACGCTGTGCCTTGTATTTCAGACGGATGGAGTCCAAGGTCTCGCCCATAGTGAAGACCACCAACAATAAGAGCACAAACGAGAAAATAGCGCACACTCGGAACACCCAACGCCAGTCCGCACCGGCATTAGTAATATAGCCACTGACAATAGGACCCAGACAAGGACCAGCACAAGGCGCCAACGAGAACACAACAATACCCGTCTGGAGATACTTCAGAGACCAAAGACTGGCAATAAGAGATGGAGCTACAGCCATGGATACGGATCCACAGGCGCCAGCAAAGAAACGGCAAACGATCATCGATGCAATATTGGTAGAAAGCATGCAGCCGACGTTAAAGCAAGTGAAGCCCAGGAACGCAGTTATAAACACGATACGCCGACCGAACAGCTCCGAGACAGGGCCCCAAATCAGAGGACCAACACAGAAGGCACCAACAAACAAATAGATAGAAGCCTTGACGACCTCTTTTGTAGTTTGGAATTCTTCCACCATTTGAGGGATAATACCAGATGGGGCCGATGAGGTAAATGAAGTACAAAGCGTGCACAAAGCACCAATTAGCATAATATAGATGCGGTAGAGAATATGGACATTGAGCATCTTTTCCTTGTCATCCTTATCGTCCCATTTCACCAAAAGGCGTTCCGTGTATTCTTCGTAGTCCTCTTCATGCTTAAATTTGAAAGGTTGCATAGGCTCGGTATCCTCGATCTCTTCGTGGGTGAGGGGCTCCTCCGGCTTTTCTTCGTCGTGAGAAGCGTGCTTAAGAATCTCCAAACCATGGAACTCAGGGATAAGCATACCCAAACGGAGACCATCCCATGCCCAATGACTATCATGGAAGTGATGGCGATGGAGGCGGAGATTGCACGTCTTGCGTTGGCGTGCAGAAAGCACAGGGTCCCAAGTAGGAACCGAGTAACGCCTAAACTTCTCAGCCATTGACTCCTTCCACAGAGCGCGTGGTCGGGGAGCCGCACCAGACTCAGCCTTCATACCTTCCAGCCATTGACGATGAAGCTGTTGCTCAGGGGCGTGGACCGGCTCGGCAGTAGGCGCAGTATCCATAGATGAGACACACTGTGGACGCGTATTAACGCCTGAAACAAGTGACACAGGGTTCTCCTGGATAGGCGGGGGACGATCTCTACTTCTTGAGGAGCCGCAATGACAGAGATCAGTAATTTACCCTGACGCCTTGTTATCTGTGTTTATTGGGTTTGAAAATCCCAATCGGTGCCTGAAAAAGCGCTTAAGCCCGAAATGCATGTTGCGTGTTTTGCTTGTCAAACGGGCCAAAAATTTCGTACAAGTTCGACACCCGTGACTTGCGTACGAGCGAATGTGGAGCGACGTGGAACGAGGACCTCGTTCCTCAATGGGAGGCTGTCCCAGGAAGATACGAGTGCAGGCAATAATTGCTCAAGCCCTTTTCTTTGGATGTAGTTAGATTTTGTTCTTCAGACGCACAGCGCGTGTATGTAGTACAAAGTCGCAACCGTGATTGCATACCTCTAGTATGACCACCCCCGATGGTGTACTATATGTAGATGACGTCATAGACAATGTCCTTTCACACCCACCGTACAGCAAAGGCGTACACTTCTGACAACGCGGAGCGTGGCAAAGTCCGAAACCAGGTAAGTTTGTGCGCATTGGTCCTATACAACAAAGTTCGGCACAGCATGTCAGACGGGGTGAGAGAGAAAGACCTCTGGCCTAGCTTGGTGTCGCGCCATCTTTACGTAAACATACACATATGGAACTAGCAGATCTATGTCTACATGGCCAGTTCTGCCTGTAGGGCGCGTAATTCTGCATCTTCATCGTCTGCTGTGGTTTGGGATGTGGCAGTCGTAGTAGGGACCGCTGTCGGTGTCGAAATATGATGGGCCGGGGCTGCTTCAGCGCCCACGAGACGGTTATGAAGTTCGTCCTGCTCGAGCTCTTGAAGCTCTTCACGAAGTTCGTCTTCATCGAGCTCATTGCCCATACCCAGGGGATTTGATATAGCTTCTGATATCTCGTTCGTAAGAGCCATCTGTTCACGGATCGAGTCCATGGTATTATCCACTTTATCAATATCCCTGCGACACGTTAGCTGAAATACAGACGTGGTAACATACATATTCGCATGAATGCTTTTCAAAGCCGCTGATCCTCTCTGCATAGCACGCATCGTTTCCAGGTTCATATTCGCGTTTTCAATCGCGTTGACTTGTGTTTCAAGAGTCATACGGCTTCCGGCCAGACGATCGAGTTCGGTTTCATACATCTTTTTCTGACGCAAAGCTGCCTGAGCCGCTGTACATTGTTAGACCGGATACAAAACACACCTCGCTTGTTGGTCGTGACATTCTCTTTGGCTTTACGAAGCTCATCGTCAATTTTCGCCTGAAGATGCTCTTCTTTTTTGGTGATTAAATGAAGCTGCTCGCGCAGACCAATGATGGCGTCACGCGCAGCCGTTTTGTTCTCACGCTTCCCACTCACCCAACTGAGCCATCCCGACATGCTCCCGGATGTACAGCTCGCTAGAGAAAGGAGCTTGGCAGGCTATGACAGCGAGTGGCGACGATGACAAGAGACCTGGTCGCCCGCTGCGTGGAGACGATACAGCTAAGCCCACGTGGCACAACCGCCAAGCCAGAAGCAATCGAGGTTGGAACAGCCTTGCTAGTCCCTCCACACGCGACTGTCACCGAGCGAGCGATCGTAGGATTGATTACACGACCGAGGACTCTGACACGCCATGAAAACGCTGATCCGACCTCTGTTAGCTTCACTAAACCAGTATGGCTCCTATGTGTATAAAGAGCCTGACTTCCGCGTGGATCACTTGGTCATCGGTGCTGGTGTGGTAGGACTCGCAGTGGCCAATGCGTTAGCGCGCCGATGGCCGGAGAAGTCGACTTATGTGATCGAGCGGCACCCGCAGTTTGGGCAGGAGACTAGCTCACGCAATAGTGAAGTGATCCATGCTGGATTGTACTACCCTGCCGACTCTCTCAAAACGCGATTTTGTCTACGTGGGCGCGAACTGCTTTACGACCGAGTTCAGCGAGGTGGAATTGAGGCCAAAAAGATCGGCAAGTTGGTAGTAGGCGGTGTTAACGATGCTGCGTACTTGCAAAAGCTTCATATGCACTGTGCCTCGCTAGGTGAGCATGGCCCGCCTACGCGCCTCTTGTCCGGCGACGAAGCGCGTGAACTGGAGCCTGATTTATCGCGAGACATTGTGCATGCGCTGCATTCCCCTGAGACAGGTATCGTGAGTGTGCATGATTTGATGGCGCAACTTGCCAACGAGCTTAGTGAGATGCCTGGCGCGGACGAAGTGCCCGATGCCCAAATTGTGTATGGCACATCGGTGGTGCGAATCGATCCGCACCTACCATCCACCTCGGCGTCGTCCAAACGAGGCACGGACCTCTCGCAGGAAGGGTGGGTAGCCCAGCTGCGGACGCACGATGCGTCGCATAGCGAGACAGATGCACTCCTCGCTCGTGTCGTGATCAACGCAACGGGCCTGAATGCGCCGCGTGTGCTCAATACGCTGCTGCAGGCACGCGGCGTGCCCTCGTCGGAGTGGGTGCCGATGTACTTTGCCAAAGGCAGTTATGCCAGTTACCGAGGGCCTGGCACCTCGCATGTACGTCACCTGTTATACCCTACCCCGCAGTTTGGGGCATCGCCGAGTACACGGCAGTCGCACGCTGTGCATTCGCTGGGGACACACTTGACTTTGGACTTGGACGGGCACGTGCGCTTTGGCCCGGATCTAACGTGGCTCACACCGCCCACGACGATGCAAGGGGAGGACGCTGTAGGGTACGCGCACGACTTTTGGGAGACGCAGCTCTCGCCAGAGCCTACCGATGCCTGGTTCGATAGTATGGAGCGAGCGATCCAGGCATACTTGCCAGGTGTGCGTCGCGAGCGTCTTGCGGCCGACTATGCTGGCATTCGCCCCAAACTGCAAGGCCCTGAGTCGACGACGTTCCAAGACTTTGAACTGGTGTGGCATACAAGTCGGGGCTTGGGGCAGCAGCCTGTATGGCAGCGTACCTTGCCATCGGAGGCGCCGTCGGCTGGTGTCCTGCTCAACATGCTCGGCATCGAAAGCCCAGGCGTGACCAGTGCCTTGGCGTTGGGTGAGTATGTCGTGACACAACTCGCCGAGGGAGTATGGGGCCCTACCAATCCACGCGGCAAGGCACGTGCCTACGTCGACGATGTCGGAGACGCCTCGTTGGCCCAATGGGCTTGATCCACTACGAGCCTATGGTGTCCACAGCCGCGCGTCGCCATCAGCGCCGGCACTGAGCAGCCATGGGAGGGTCGGGTGCCATTGCAGGCCGAGCACACCTAGCGCCTCTTGGACGGTATGGCCACGAAGAATTTTCAGGGGCACCAGCAGCGCGTTCTGTAGCAAGTCGGAGTACACTGTGCCATGGTATACGTGCACTGTTCCATCGTCCGAGGCACTGGCAAACAGTGGGTAGCGTGGGTGGAAGGCCACGGCGCGGACGGCGCGTGTGTGGTACCGCAGTGTCTTGTAAGGCCGCTCCGATAAGTCGAGGTCGAACCACAAGACACGACGATCGTACGAGCCTACCAGCAAATGATCGCCGCTGGGGTGCACGTCCAAGGAGCTAATCCAGCGAACACCCGGCTGCAGGGTCTTGACCAGCGTCTGCTGAGCCAGGTCGTACATGCGCACATACCGCTGTGTCGCAACAAACAAAACAGGGCGCGATGGATGGAACGCGACACACTGGACCGCAAACGATGAACTGCCGGAGCGACGTGCCTTCTTGAATGGCGCTTGCGAGCGGTGCTTGGAGACCTGGTGAATCAGCACGGCACCGCCGCCCGCGTCAGGGCACACCGTCGCAAAGTAGTCGCCACGCGTATGCCAGCGCACTTGCTTGGGGACCAACTCGCTGCCCTTGGCACTGTGCAAGTGAATGCGCACACACACACCACGCGCCCGATCCGCCTCACTCGCGCGAGTCCACCGCGCGACCTGCGCATCCTCGGCGGCCGCTGGCGGCGTAAGGAACGCCTGGCTAGGCGTGTGTACCGCACCGCACTGCGGCGGCGCAAGCAAGGTAACGCGGCCGACACTGGCCACAGCGGCAATCGCATGCTGCTTGTTCGGACTCCATTGCACGCTGTACACGGGGCTGCGATCGCCCTGCGCAACGCCTGCATTGGCATCCCACGTCGCAACGCAACGGCCCAGTGCCATGTCCCATAGACGCACATGACCATCGTCCGCGCCAGTCAGCAGCCAAGCACCAGTAGGATCCACAGACGCGGCTCGTACACGCGACGTGTGTGTGTACATCACATCCGTGTGCGTCGGGAACGGTCGCAGTTCTCGTGGCGTAGGCAATTTCGGTAGCAGTGATTCAGGATCGTCAATGTCCAGACGCTGACGACGCATACGTGGCGCCAAGTACAGGTCCAGGCACCGCTGGAATCGCTCTTGCAGTGCACCGTCGTAGCCAGGGACCAAGCGCAGCGAGGCGTACTTGGCCGGGAGGAAGGGGATCTTGCGGTCCTCCGGCTCGGCCGCCTCCCATTCGGCGCGTTCCTCGTCGTTGAATAGGTACTCTGCAGGTGGATTGTACGACTCAATGTGCGTAGGCAGCGGCAGCTTCGGCGCCGGCATGTGCATGGGGTGGTCCGCGCGAGCCTCGTCGGCGTCGGTCCAAATGCTGTAGAAGGCCGGCCGTTCCTTGCCAGGCGCATGCGCCACAATTCGTCCCTGCCGAATCGCACGTACAATCTTCATGACCTTCTTGTGCTCCCACTTGCTTGGGACGAACCGCCGCTTGGGCTCAGGTCGCGCACTGAGCGGCATCGTATGTTGGTGCTGTGTGAACCAATCCGTCGCAGGCTCGTACGGATCGTAGTCGTCCACTGGAACTTCGGCACGTTGCAAACGCTGGATAATGTCCAGCTCTTCATCGGTGAGCTTCACGTCGCGACCACTCGTCTGGTCATGCGCAGAGAACCATGCATCGCCATCCCCTTCCACGGAGGCAAGGAATTTGTCCAGCTCATCTCCCTTCGCCGGTCGGAGCACACGACGGCCATTGATGTCGTAGCCAATGTGCGGCAGATCATCGTACCATTCCATCGGGACATTACCCACCCGGTTCTCGACGTCTTCAGTGCTTGAATCGCTGTCATACTCAGGCTCGATGGCCGGGTACTCCATCTTCTCTTCCCCTGTGATCTTGGAGCGCACGAGGCGTCCGCGACTCGATCCATCTTCATGCCGATCCTCGCCATACAGCTTGGCGGCGATGTTCACGTCGATGCCCAGTCGGTTGGTACGTCGCTCGCTTTCATCCGGCTTCACACGCGCCCTTGCAATCATCCGCGCTAGCGCTTCGTCGCCTTCGCGCAAATCGTCTTCGTCCGCATCGGCATCTGCATGCGCCTCGAGCTCTTTGTCGTCCCATTGATCGATTTCGTCCGAGGCAAAGCCAGAGTCGTCATCCTCCTCCTCGTCTTCATCGCCATCTCCATGCAGCTCAGGGAATGGCTCTTCTTCGCTGTCTTCGTCCGCAGCCGACGCAGCGTCGTCGTCGTCCTCATCGTCGTCCCAGGCCAGCGCAGCGTCGTTCGCCAGCAGCGCCGGCTCCGCCTTGGACTTGGCAGGCGCCGTGGCTGCTTTCGTAGGTACAGCTCCAGGCTGTGCACGCTTCCGACCCCCCGCCGTTGCGACGGACGAGGCCGGTGCTGTGGCACGGTCCCTGCCTCGACGTGTCTCCGACATCGCAGGATAAAAAAGAAAGGCGCCCCTGCGACGACACGCTCAGAAAAAAAAAAAATAGGCCCATTTCCTTTTGCCACGTGCACAGCGCACGGCCTACAACGACGCTATCCAAGTGTACAAATCGCCCAAGTGATCCTGCCCCGCCTGCGGCGCCCACCCGGCCCTATCAACGTGGCTCAAACCCATCGCGGCGTGGCCGTCCTCCACCACGCGTGGGTGGAGTCGATGCAATGGCTGGTCCATGGCCGAGCCAGACGCGGCTACCAGGTAGTCCAACGCCAACTCTTCCGAGAGTTTGTGCCCTTCGCCTGCTCGCACATTGTGTCCAAACCGCGTAGGGTGCAATTCGGCTGCCGTTTTCTCGTCCGAGGGGAGCCAACTCGCGAGGAACGGCACGCGCGCCGCGGCCGCCTTGGCCCGCTGCAGCCAGGACGTCTGCTCGGCACTTTGGACCTCCTGGATGCTATCGATTGTTACACGGCCACGCATGGCATCGTCGGCCGTCGTACGATGCAGACCACGCGAGGTACGGCGCGAGACTAGGGCCGTTTCCAGGCCACGGCGGCACCGTGCTAGGAGTTGCGCACGTCGCTTTTCATCGTCGAGCATGGACTTGTCCTGGAACAGTGGCGAACGGTCCATTCGTGTGAACAGGATAAGCAGGGCGGGCGGCGGCTTGGCGGTGGCACCGGCCTCGAGACGACGCTGCGCTAACGTACGTAGCGTGTCATGTAGATAATCCACACTATCGATGAGTGCCCCTTGCAGATCGGTCCGCTTCATCGTTGACAGCGCCGCGGCGGCCGCAGCGCCTTCGCTACCACCGCGACTGGCCACGCTCGCATCGATGCAAAACACGAGCGCATCGGCCGTGTCCAAGTAGTCCCAGGCCTGCGTACGAAGTCGCGCATGCCCCGGCACGTCGATCAAGTCCAAGGCCTGCTGCGATGCTGCCCCATCTGCAGGGACCGTCGCCCGGTTGACATGCTGTGTGGTAGCTGTGTCAGGAGCGACGCCCATGCTCAGGCGCAGAAAGACATTCGTTTTCCCTGATTGCTCGCTGCCGAGCAGAACCACGGTGCATTTGCCGCCGCTGCGTTTCGGAGACGAGGCCTCGGTAGGGGCCTCCAAGACAGGGGTGCCACGTGAAGCGAGGCGGCGAACCACGTACTGGGCTAGCACGCCCAAGACGAGGCCGACGAGGCCCATGTATACCTTGGCCATGCGTGCCTCATCCTGCACAAACGCACACACGCGTGCACAAGCTCTGGGGCCCAACACCTGTGCAGCGTCGCACACAGTATGCTCCATCACGATGCGTCGCCAGGTCCTGCGAGCGCGACGGCGCTGTGCAGAGCCAGACCTCCACAGGGCATATATGCAAATATATCTGATCAGTCGTGGGTCCTACGCGTCGTCTCGACGTACTGCGAAGGTGGCTTTGCTCTGCGCTGTAGTGGTGGGACTGATCGACATGGTACGTGAGGCTGAACTAACATGGACAGTTTCGAAAGTATGCATTAGCGAGAGAATTCAACTAACTATGCCGCAGCACATACGACAGCGATAATACAGTGTGTACGTATCGTCCGTCTTCGTGCTCCACTGACACCACTCGCAGTCTCGCCGCAAGGCCGCTTGCATCAGGTGGAATACGCGCTGGAGGCCGTAAAGCAGGGGTCTGCCGTAGTTGGCTTGCGTTCCAAGACGCATGCTGTGCTTGTGGCGCTCAAGCGTGCGCCCTCCGAGCTTGCGGCGTACCAGCGCAAGGTTCTCAAGATTGATCATCACATTGGATTCGGATTTGCTGGTCTCACCAGCGATGCGCGTGTGCTGAGGTATGTATGCCCGTGTCTTATGTATAGCAACTATATGCGCCAGCTGGCGCTATCCTCGCGGCTTATGTATACGCGTCCTCTCCCGCTGTCGCGGCTCATGTCGTCGTTGGCCGATCGTGCCCAGTTGAACACGATGCAGTATGGAAAGCGTCCGTACGGTGTTGGCTTCCTCGTGATCGGTACCGACGACACTGGTCCGCATCTGTACGAGTTCAACCCTACGGGCAACTGCTTCGAGTACGTCGCGATGAGTCTTGGCGCGCGTAGTCAAAGTGCGAAGACGTACTTGGAGCGCCATATGGATGAGTTTGTCGACGCTGATCTCGATCAGCTTATTATTCACGGCATTCGCGCGCTGCGTGAGACGCTTCCCCAAAACAAACAGCTCGAACGTGCGGCCGTGTCTGTGGCGTATGTCGGCCCAGGCGCGGACGCCGATCCCATGTCGCCAGCTGCGCGTGATGGCCAGAAGTTTACGTTGGTCGAAGGCGATGACCTGGCTGGCTGGTTTGAGCAGTACGTATCTGCATCGACTCACATCACAGACTCGGCCCGAGTGAGCGTCAAAAGGCCACTGAGGCCGCTGCTGCGGCTGCGGCTGCGGCTACGACAGAATCCACACAGACCGATACGACGACCACACAGGCGACCGAGGGCCATGCGCCGTCTGGCCAGGACGATAGTCAGCCTATGGATGAGAACTAACGGAGGGGTATATATCGTAGAGCCTGTAGTGCCACGCTGTCTAGGAAGTCTGCCGCTGCTGCTGCCACTGCCGCCGCCGCCGCCGCCGTCGCCGTCGCGCGTGACCTCCACATAAGCCGGCCCCAGGCGTCGGTGCGTGCTGCGCCGTGACTGGCTCTGTGGCTACGAGCATGGCGAGTTTGTGTCAAGAGCATCGCCGTGTGGACCGGGCGCCCCATGTGGCTCCCACGGTCTCTGTCACGATGGACGTGAATGAGAAAGGGGCTTGGACGCCGCCGGCCGACGAGACGCCGGCGTGGGATCAGGAGCGGGGACCGTACCGTCGTGGACCTCGTCGTGGTGTGTCATGGCGCACATGCGTCGTGGGCCTGTTTGTCGCTGGCATGCTACTTTGGCAATGTATGCCAACGATGATGCCACGTCGAACTCGGCCTTGTCACGCAAAGAATGTCGACAAGGCTGCGGCGGATCGCCTGTATTATGCTCTGCGTGGCCCTCTCGCCAAGGCCGAGGCGTTGTGCCAGATTCGCGGGGGTGACACATCCTCGTCGAAATGCTACCCCTCGCTCGATGAACGCAATGCAGCGCTGGAAACGGCCTTCCTAGCCGTGCCTCAGGCCGAGAGCATTCGGGATGCCTTGCAGCGCTACACATCGCACGTGCACCGCGCCGGGGACGAAGGCGACCAAGCGTCTGTGGTGCAGCTCCTGAACGAGTGGTCCGAACTGCTAGGGGCTCCCGCGGTGGACGATGCCAGTACCTTGATCTACGAGGCTGGCAGTGCGGAGAGCCGCGCAGCGATGGAACGTCGTGACGATCTGTGGCGTGACGATGCCACGGTGACGCCCCGTGTCTGGGCAGATACCTACTCGGTTCTCCTGGACGAGCCAGGGGAGGCGCGCCTCTCCGTCACAGAGGCGGAGCGTCCTACCGCCTTGTGGAATGCGACGTTGACCGAAGATGTCTTGTCGGACGACCCCACCAGTGCGCACGGCCTCCCGCCGTTCCATGGCTACTCCGCGCCGGGCTCTGCGAGTGCGCCGCTGGTGTATGCAGGCACAGGCTCGCACGAAGACTTTGCGCGGCTTCTGGAGCTGGGCATTCCGGTGGAAGGCCGCATTGTGCTTGTGCGCTACGGCGGTGCATTCCGTGGCCTGAAAGTTCGTGCCGCGCAGGAGTACGGCGCTGTGGGTGTGCTTATCTATTCGGACCCAGCGGAAGATGGCGAGGTGACAGCTGCCAAGGGCTACGAGGCGTACCCACACGGCCCGGCCCGGCAGCCCAGCAGTATCCAGCGCGGCAGTGTGCAGGCGCTGTCGTTCTACCCTGGCGATCCCACGACGCCTGGCACGCCGTCGTACCGAAATGCCACGCGCCTCCCTCGTGAAAAGGCCGACAACCTGCCACGCATTCCCTCGCTGCCGCTTTCGTATGCCAATGCACAAAAACTCCTGGCGTACCTGCGGGGCCATGGCCATCGTGCGAGCGACGTGCGTGACCACTTTGCTGGGGCGTTGCCCGATACCGAGTACTGGACCGGCCCCAGCGAGGTCGTTGTCCACATGACGAACGACATTCATCCACGTCAGAAGGACATTTGGAACGTGTACGCTGTGATCCCCGGCTACCTGGACGACCAGCGAGTGATGCTCGGCAATCACCGCGACGCATGGGTGTTTGGCGCCGGCGATCCCTCGTCCGGCACGGCCGTCTTCCATGACGTCCTGAAGGGGCTGGGCGAGCTGTACAAGTCAGGCTGGCGCCCAATGCGTACACTCATGTTCGCGTCGTGGGATGCCGAAGAGTACGGCCTGGTCGGCTCGACGGAGTTTGGTGAAGACTTTAGCTCGTTTGTGCAGGCGAACGTGGCCATGTACCACAATCTCGACATGGCCGTGTCAGGCACACGGCTGCAGGCGAGTGCGTCGCCATCGCTCGCTGCGCTCTTACGCCGTGTAGTCAAGGCTACGCCGAGACACACGAATCACACACTCGAGCTCTCGCATGTGGGCTCCCTGGGCTCCGGGAGCGACTACACAGTGTTCCTGCAGCACCTCGGCGTCCCCTCGACGGACCTCAGCTTCAAACGTGGACCACGTGATCCCGTGTACCATTACCATTCCAACTACGACTCGTTTGCATGGATGGATCAGTATGGCGATCCTGGATTCACGTACCATGTCACGATGGCCCAGGCATTTGGCTTGCTGGCGCTGCGCAGTGTGGATGCACCGTTCCTCCCGATCGAGGCGATGGACTATGCCAAGGCCCTGCATACCTACCATGCCGACGCCCTCCAGGCGGCGACATCCAGCGGCGTCGATGTGCCCAAAGCCGCATTTCAGGCCCTGCATCGCGCTGTCAACGATGTCCACCAAGCTGCTATGAGCTTGCAGTACCGCCAAACGGCGCTGGCAGGCCATATCCGCCATATCCTGCGCCATGCGCACCACAAGCCATCGCGGCGGGTGCGCCGATTGATGTACATCGCACACCACCTCAACCGCCAACTCCAGACGTTCGAGCAACGCTTCTTGGACCGGGCAGGTTTGCGCGATCGGCCATGGTATCGCCACTTGGGCGTAGCGCCTGGCCGTTGGCTGGGCTACGGCTCAACGACCTTCCCTGGCGTCACCGAGAGCTTCACCCTGGACCGTGGACATAACAGCGAGCATGAACTGGCGCGGTTGACGCATGCCTTGCACGCTGTCGCCCAGTCGTTGCGGTGGTAGATTCGTAGGTCGGCCGTAGACCGTAGCTATGTCACACTATGTTTCTCGATACATTTTGATCGCTGCCGCGTGAGCCTCTGCCTCTTCGCACGCGTATACGTACTCTTATCCGCACAGCCTGTAATGAGCCGCGTGCCTGTTTGGTCGAAGGTCGAGCAGAACAAACCAGCTTCCGCATCCAGCGAGCCAGGCTGCACAACATCGTTCGACGCTTGGAAGGGAAGACCTGTCTCGTAATCAAAGAACTAGCTGTCAGTACACACACACACACACCTTCATAGAACCATCGTCAGCGCCACTGAATAGCACACCATCTGCATTCACCGATAGCGTATTCACAATAGCATCATGTGTCATATTCGTCATCAAGGTGCCTTCCGGGCATCGCCATTTCTTGATATTACGGCCCCCCGCCGAGCCTGACACAAACGTGAACTGATGCGGCGCAATGGCCAACGAGCGCACAGACTTTTTGTGGTGCGTCAACGTCGTCATACATCGACCTGCCGCCAAATCCCACAACTTCACCGTCGCATCCATACTGCCCGTGATCACCTGCGGATCGCTTTCTTGGCACTGGACACTGGCCACCGTGCCGCGATGCCCACTTAGCACATGTACCTGCGTCTTGGTTCGGATATCCCATACACGTGCAGACGCATCACGGCCCGCTGTCACGACGACATCCAACGTAGGGTGCAAACTTAGCGCATATATACCGGACAGATGGCCATAGTACTGCCGCACGACTTTGTTGGTCTCCAGGTCCCAGCACTTGACCAACTTGTCCTCCCCCGCAGAAAACATATAGGGGTGCCGCGCACTTACGGCCAAGCCTCGCACCGTGGAAATGTGGCCTGTCAAGGAGAGCTTCAACTCGCCGGACGCCATGTCCCAAATCTTGATGATACGATCACCAGCACCTGTGGCAAACCACTGGTTGTTCGGGTCCACAGCTACACAACGCACCCATCCAAGGTGTCCTGAAATCACGCGCATAAGCTTCCATGGTGCATGGTAGGCTGGCTTGGCATGCTGCGCGGCCAATTCTTTCTTGCGGATCAGCGCGCTGTTGAGCATAGACCGGCCTGTGTCCGGCATACTTTCGTCGCGCTTCATAAGCGCTGTCTGCAACTTCGATGCCGACGCTGGCTTGGACGTAGCCCGTGCTGTATCTGCCGCGCTGCGTAGCGTAAGGGCCTGCGATGTGGACGACGAGGATGGCGTAGGTGTCGTATGTCCATGGGCCTCCTCGAGCTGTGCCAGCGCAGACACAATTGGGTTGTTCGACGAAGACTTCGAGGATGAGGCCATTGTGGTCGCCGATGTACCTTGCTGCGCTTGGATCACTTCAGGCAAAATCATCGCTTGCTTGTATTCTTCATACACTTTCGACGCTAAATGCGCCTTGGTCATGGTAGGAAGAGATGTCGTGCTTTCTTCCACACTAGGTGGATCGGGCATAGACGATGGTGCACCATGCCTCAACGTACGACTGCGCTTGGCTTGCCGTTCAGCCAAGTCAGGCAACGCCGCCAGCGGCGCGTCTGTCTCCATTGGATGCAAAACGCACGTCTGCTAGCGAGAGCGAAGCGCGACGACCTGCGTTCGCTGACTAAAGTACATCACATGATGCTCCGTACGCCTAGGCTCTGCCTGGGGGCCGTGCGTTCACGCTGTCTCCCACATAGAAGCCTGGGCGATAGGCCTTCGATCCTTCTTTCCGTCCCCCCATCCACCTATTACAGACGCACTCCTACATGCATTGTTATCGTTGATGGGCCACTCGCTCGTGACTAGGCTCCTGCTTGATTGATCATGTATATTTACTCTATTTGTCAGTCAAGAGAATGCATATTCCCTCGCTCCCATAGCTACATTTCTATAGGCGCCACATGACGCTTGTTTGCCCTCCTCTCTCTAGTAGGAACGCTATCGTCTTGGCTCTCGCTTCCCTATCGCGCCTTTCTTGCCAGCACGCTGACTAACATCCGTGACACATGTCACATGATCCGCGTTTGCCACCTCACTGCGGGGGAACATGATCGAGCATAAATACTGGCCCGTGCCTACCCCACAAGTTGCTTTCTAACTACAACATGACGCAACAGAACATTTCCAAGGTGATTTACAAGGCCGACCCCATGTCGACCGATGAGTACATTGTACTGGTCAACCCAGAGACCTATGTGTCTTGGCGCAACGGCGATAAGACGATCCCTCTTGCCGATGTGGTGGATAGCTTCCAGATCTTCTCGTCGGGTCAGGGTTCGCAGGGTATCCTTGGCCAGCTGTCCAAGCAAGAGATGTCCACTGTCTTTGGAACCACGAACATGGATGACGCTATCGTGAAGCTGCTTGAGACTGGCCACCTCCAGGCTGGTACTTTGAAGAGCAACGAGCTCGGCCGCAGCAGCGCGAAGGGCAACGGCGGTGGACACGTCGGCGGCGGCCGCTAAGAATGATCCATGTATACCATACGGCTCGTACGCTTAAACACTATGTTGCTAGTCTCATATGTAGAGGCTATCTCGAGCAGAATACCAAGGATTCATTCATGCTTAAACCTGCATAAGTGAATGGTCTTCTGGGACCTAAATAAACAGGACGTACACGGTCATGGCCTCATTTCAAAATACATACATATATACAGATACTTTAAGCTATATTACGTAGCAGGAAAGGTCAATTCAGGGAATCCCAGTTCTTACTGTACTCGTAGAAGGGGCACTAACCGTAAACGGATTTGTCGACTCCCCTTGCATATGCTGCATATACCCAGACGTCGAAGTATCGGGTATAGGTAGGTGGTCAGGATCGTAACTACGATCCGGGTGCGTTATATTGATTTTCTCTTCGAATGGTGGTGGCGGTGTTGGTGGTGGCTCATAGCGAGGCAAAGGCTCACCATCCGCACCGTAGGGATCATTCCAACCAGGTTGGTTTGGATACATTCGTCCCATTGTAGGTGGATACGTTCCCGTTGGATATGTATACGTGCCTAAACCATCTGCATCTTCGCCTGTGCGTAGGCGCGTCAATGCAACGTTTCTAAGCCGACGATACCGGAACAAGCTGACCACACAGATGGATAGACAAATGAGGATAAAAATAATAACGATGGCTACGCCAACACCGATTCTGGCCCCATAGTGGCTATCTCCGCAATTACCACCTTCGCAATAGTCAGCCATTATGGAAGAGGGGTGGCAAATGCTGTGCCATGGCAGTGTGGAGGTTAGGCCTTCTATGACCGACTATGTGTCTGCTGTCAAATTCACATGCATGCCGTTCATCCATGTTTTGGATGCTATATGCGAAAAATTAAACGAATATACCATGTAGTGAATAGGAGTATAGTAGAGATATACATGAACAACTTGACAGTAACTTATGTATAATGGGAATTCAAATTATCACAAAGCCAGACATTTCATATTATTATCATGTGCGATTAAAAGGAAAAAGGAGCTGCTTGTCCTTTTATTCAAATGAAGTCAACAGCATCTCATCCAAGAGAAGAAAAATTAAGGAGCAGTTTTGTTAGGTGGGGAGCCAGCGGGAGGGGGGTACGATGGCGGCGGATACGGTGGTGGGGCATACTCTTGGTTGCCTGTCGTGTACGGTTCATCTTGGGTAGCTGGTCGGGCTTGTTGCCAATGAGCTGCACCGGGAGAGCCCATGTACGATTGTGTCTGATACGGTTGAGATTGATACGGTTGCGCTTGGTATGGCTGTGCTTCGTAACTCGGTTGGTTCGGTGGGTATATACCCGTATTGTATCCTGGGCGAAATGTTGGCATGAATGGGCGGCTACGACGACGCGAGACAGCCAAAGCAATAAGCACCACGACAATGATTACAAACAAGGATACACCAACGCCTGTCGTAAAAGTCAACACGTAAATAAGTACATACCGATACCAGCGCGCGCACCGTCTGAGAGGCCATTGTCATAACCGTAGCCTCCGTAGTAATACAATTCTTTAGGCGGTACTTCTGCAGAAGACATGATATAGTATGGTGGCAATGCGTTAACCACTTTCGCTCGCCCGATCTGAAAGCGCGGGGAAATTCTCTTGAGGCTTGGCACCGCAAATGCGCGGCCGGCACAATTCCCACGTGGTAAGGCTGCAGGGTGAAGTCTTCTCAGGTTTGGCGTGTCTTGATTTAATCATGACGACATCTTTTAGTCATGTGATTACGTTCGTCTCATGGTTGGTAAAGCATATTTTCAAAAGGGGGGGAAGACTATCACCAAAAATATCGTGAAAGCTATTAGCCAAATGTCACAATTAAAGGAGTCTAAAAGAAGAGAACCTACAGACAGAACGATGTACGCCACTGCTGGTGTCGCATCTCTGTACGATAGATGCTTATCGTTACATCGCCATTATAGCCTCACATTATCGTAGTGGTGCCACACACAAGCATAGCTAATTTACTGCTTGTTCTTACCAATCTTGAGAGCACGCTTGATCTTAGTCATAACACCAACCTTCTTCTTGGTAGCAGTGTCCTTAGCACCAGTAGCAGCGTTCTGGCCAGCCTTGTTCACACCAGTGGTAGCGTTGGTGCTGGTGCCCTTCACACCCTGCGCAGCGTTGGTCGCGGCGGTAGTAGGCTTGGTCGTAGCACCAGTGGCACCAGCGACACCAGTAGCGCCAGTAGCGCCAGTAGCACCAGTGGTGGTAGCGTCAGTGGCAGTAGTCGGGTTGGCGACACCAGTGCTAGATTCGGCAGCAAGGCCAGAAGTGCTGGCACCGGTGGCACCAGCGGTGGCCACGGCAGCAATATCGATCGGGCCACGCGACACGTAGTTCGAAGCAGGGCCACGAACCGACCAGGCCTGCTCGTTGGTAGGCTCGAACGAGCTGGGGGCAGAAGCACCCTGGCTAGCCGTGGTACCAGCACCGACGCCAGCACCAGTGGCTGCGCCAGTGGCAGCACCAGCAGTGCCGGCGTGAACGTTCGACGTAGTGGCCGGAGCAGTCGGCTTAGTCGACAGCGATCCAGTAGCATCCTCAGCACCGTTCACCGTCTTGATCGGGGCAGCAACATCCGAAGGTTTGTCGCTGCTGGTGAAGGCGGTGGCAGTCGAGGTAGTGGCCGGGGCCATTGGAGCAGCGCCAGCAGTCTTTGTGGCAGCAGCACCAGGGGTCTGCGACACCGGCTGCGACGAGCGCAACACACTGTACAGGTCCGAGCCCACAATCGGCGGGGCAGCGCGGGAACCCTCGTTGTAGTCCGGCACGCCGGTGTGGGTGATGGGGAGGGCCTCTGTCACCACGCGGTGGTTCTCCGACTCAAGAACGTCAGGAGTAGCGTTGGTGTACACAGTAGTGTGCTCTGTCACGGAGTCGCTCAGACCTGTAACCTGGGCATTCGACATGGCCGGGACGGCAGAAGAAGTCTTAGTGTCAACGTCGGTAGTAGCGGACATAATGATAGTATGAGAAAAGCCTAAGCGCGGGAATTTGACCTCCGTTTCGTGTCTCGATGGCATTGGAAAACGCCGCGCCTCTGCTTCGGCATATGCATGCACACGTGACGCCATGCATAGCCAGCAGTGTGGTTTTTTTTTTTTTTTTCCCTAAGCTGTCAGGCACCGTGCTGCGGCCTTGTACGCGGGGCATACTCGCACGCGCGATTGGTGATAGGCATGGTAATGCGTCCAGGGCTATGCCGGCTAAGATGGCCTGTGCGATGGTCGCTCTCACCGCGGGCTGGTACTGCCGTGCACAGGCATGTTTCTACTCGTTCTAGTGTGCAGGAGCGATCTTTTTCTACGAGACAGCCGCCCGAGCCATCGCGACCGACAGCACAATGGTCGACGCAGCCTCGAACGCATACTTGCGGCTCATTGAATGCGTCACATATTGGCAAGCCGGTGTCCATCGCTGGATGGATGTTATCTCCTCGAAAAATATCCAGGCATCTTGCATTTATTCCTTTACAGGATGCCACAGGCCCTGTTCAACTCATGGTCACAGATCCATCGTTGATCGAAGCGTTGTGTGCTGTACCTGTAGAAAGTGTGATTCATGTGGATGGTCATGTGCGCGAGCGGGCTTCCGGTGCTACGAACGCTGCTATGAAGACGGGGCAGGTGGAAGTAAACGTCGAGGCATGGTCTTTGCTGAATGCGGCCAACGCAACTCTACCCTTTTACGCCAGCCAGTGCCATGACTCTTCGACCTTGCCGAAAGACACGCTGCGCGCCAAGCACCGCTACTTGGACCTTCGCCGTGCGCCTTTGCGTGACGCCATTCGTACACGAAGCCGTATGGCACAGGCTGCTCGAAACTTCCTTCACGATAATGACTTTATCGAAATCGAGACACCTATTCTTCTTCGTTCTACGCCCGAAGGCGCGCGCGAATTCCTTGTACCTACAAGACACACACCTGGCCCGCAGTTTTATGCATTGCAGCAATCACCGCAACAGCCTAAGCAATTGCTCATGGTCTCTGGTGTGACGGATCGATATTTCCAATTTGCCAAATGTTTCCGCGACGAGGATGGGCGAAAAGACCGACAGCCTGAATTCACGCAGATCGATATCGAAATGAGTTTTGTCCGTGGGCATGGTGATAATGATGTATGGCGAATCGGTGGTGCTGATGTTCGTGATATTACACAGGGCCTTGTCCAAACGATGTGGACAGCCGCTGGCCATGCACCATTGCCTGCATCATTCCCTGTATATACCTATGAGCATGTAATGCGCACGTATGGGTCTGACAAGCCGGATCTTCGTTTTGGTCTGCCCATCGAGAACCTCTGCTCTGCAGGTGCTTCCCATGTGTTGGATGTCCTGATAGTGCCAAGGTACCCTCATTGTGCCTTGACAGGCAAGCAGATCCAAGCTCTCATGATCGACCAACATGGCGATCGCGTCCCTGTAGAGCATTTCAAGGGAAAAAAGAGCGATCCACAAGCACTTGCTGCACTGCTTTGTGCCAAATCGCATCACATGGCCGCTATGCCAGAGGCATTCGATGCTGCCTCGTTGGCTGATACCCTTGCGTCCATGATGGAGCGAGCGTATGCCTTTGCAGATGATGCGTCCACTGTGTCGTCACAGCCAGAAGACACCTACCATGTGTTTGTTTCGCGTCGACCTGCGTTGTTGGATGGGGGAAGTACCGTGATGGGTGACTTACGTTTGCGTATCGCCGATCTGCTGTCGCTACGCTCCAAAGAGCCTCGGATTCTCTGGGTCACAGAGTTCCCACTTTTCACCCACGCGGACGCCGACAAGGATCATCTCGCTCATGGCCGCTGGAGCAGTACGCACCATCCTTTCACGGCCCCCGTGGCTGCCGATATACCAAAACTCCAAAAAGCCTTCTTACTACCTCCGGCTGAGCGAGATGCCACGTTAGCCACGATTCATGGTCAGCATTATGACCTGGTCCTGAATGGTGCCGAAATTGGCGGGGGTAGCGTTCGTATTCACGATCCCACTTTACAATTATGTATTTTGCGGGATGTGCTTGCATTGAGTGAGGAGGAGCAGCAGCGGTTCTCTCACTTGTTACATGCGTTGGAATGTGGTGCTCCCCCACATGCAGGTATTGCGCTAGGCTTTGATCGGTTCATGGCGATTGCATGTGACACTACATCCATTCGCGATGTGATGGCCTTCCCCAAATCGGGATCAAGTGTGGATCCGTTGTTTTCAACTCCAGCACCGTTGCCTATGGAGGAGCAACATGATCAGCTCGCTATCTACAACCTACAGCCGACAAAGTGAGAACTTGCATCATAGTTCGTACTGGTTCCCGTGGGGAACTTGTATAGAATGTCCATCGAAATCATATACGGGAAGAAGTGAGGGAGAGGCATGAGCTCTTGCGCATGTGCCACATATGAAATTAGTGAGCTTTGGATTTGGGCGAGCCTGGGGGCTGCGATGAATCAGACGATGCACTGTGCATCGTAGAAGTCGTCGTGCCATAATGAGTCTCTGCGTGACGGTTCATAATATCTTTGAGGGGACCGAGTAAACGCGTGAAAGCATCCTCCTCCAGCACCGCCACGCGGAGCTTGGAGAGGGGCGAGTGCTTACTGGCCACTACTGTAGCAGCGCGTGGTGCGCGATGCAAGAGCGCCAGCTCGCCAAAGTAGTCACCACGCTGCAACATCGATACAGGGTGTGCTTCATCGCCCGCCTTAATCACCTCGGCAACACCATTGACAACCATGTAGAACTTAGTGCCAATATCGCCTTCACGAATAATCACATCGCCCGTGTTGTATTCTACCACATCAATGGCATCAGACACACGAGCACGCTCGTCATCCCGCAACGATTGCAGCAAAGGTACTTGACGCAAGAACGAATCAAGCATCAAGCGGCGTTTTCGGTCAGAGTGTGCTAGAATCGAACGAAATGTCACGCGATCTAGAGCCCACAATGTGCAATCAGATGTAGCCACGACTGAGGCAGCACGAGGTTGGAGGTAGAGCAACGCAAGCTCACCAAAGAGCGCTCCAGGGCCGTAACTTAGCACTTTTTGACCAAGTTGGTCACTGGGTGCTGCCAGTGCTTCATGCGCTGGCGTACCAGGCGGTTGGATGAACACATCGAGACTACCTGTCTCGATGAAATAGCAATAGTCTCCGTCATCGCCCTGCTTAATTACAATGTCCCCCTTCTTCACAGGCCATTCACGCATAGCTGAAATCACATCCTCTTTCTGTTCCGACTCGAGCTGGCGGAAAATCACATTGTCTCCCAACGATGCGTACAAACGCTCAGATTGGTCTTTCGTCTTGGGGTGACACTCTGTTTCTTTTATTTCGGAGGGTGTCGTCATCATACTTTCTGCCGACACAGACGTACGGCGGTCACGATTCAGCATAGAGGGAAACTTATCATCCACATCATCCGCTGGTACGGTTCCGCCACCAAAGGGACCGCTAAACAGGCTGTTCGTCGACATGCTAGGCAAGAGACCACAAACTGTAGGCTGGGGTGGCTCGACCTCCGGGCCGCGGGGGATAGGTGACATCCTTAGCACGTGACGTCGAGGAGCGGCCACATGTGGCACCGCCAGCATCGCACTCAGACCACCGGTATGTAGTACACGCCCTTGACGGTTCATAACACGCAGATACCTACGACTCTGTGCATACAAGCTGGTAGGGGGCTTTCATATATTCTATAGAAGAGTCAATTACGTCAGAGCAAGGCCTGTGCGGAATGTTAGTCATACGTTCCTCATATTCGAAATACATACTGCCGAACTTCTCGTCGTAGCCAGGCAGGGTCCACTTGCCCTTCTTGACCATCTCTTCCACCGTCTTGGCGATCTCGGGGCGAGCAGCAATAACATCCGCCGTTGTAAGCTGGTCGAACGGACGAGCACCCTCAATGTTGCTAAGGGTCTCCTTGAGATCCTTAAGCTCAGCCTCGAGCTTGGTAGCGCTTTCCTGCGCCTGCTTCACCTAATTTGTTAGAACAGAAATTTCCCTTTAATACATACAGCAGCTGACTCAAACGACTCAATGGCCTTGACCTGGGCCGAAACATCGTACGTCACCGGCTTGAAGTCGTTCAGGATCTTCTCGGCCTGCGAGACCACAGACTGGTTCTGATCAGGTTAATATCCTTTCCTAATATGATGCGTGCTATATGCGCGCATTCCGCTCATCAGTTACATACCTTCAACACGTTCTTGTAGTGCGCAAAGTCAACCGTAGCAGGCTGAGACTTCAGGCTGTTCAGCAGGCGGCGAGCCTCATCGCTGCGCTTGCGGAAGGCAACAAGCTGCGCCGTCGTCTCCTTGCCGAGACCCGAAGCAAGAATCTTGCTAAAGTCAATAGCAGCAGCCTTCGAAGCCATAGTACAAATTCAGATGGTGGCTGGGTACACGCCTACGAGTCGGGTCTACGCTCTCGACCCGGGCACCTCCGGCCAGCGGGCACTACGCGTTCGGCCGAATATGTGGAGGCCTGTTTCCCCACCCTGCTCGATCGTGTTAGAGTCGATGTGCAACGCGTGTAGCTCGCACTGATACCGTGCCTCTAGAACGATGGCAATATTAGAAGAAATTCAAGATGATGATAAGGAACTCTTGAGTCAAATTACCGGGCTTAAAGATAGTGAAATACGAACCATTCGCCCTTCGGAAGCCATACGCCGTTCTATACGAAGCAAGGGAGTCTCCACTTCTCGTGGTACCCAACCTGGTGACGGCGATACACCTGAGGAATGGGATTTGAATAACGAGGAGTATGATTCAGACGAGGAAATTGACGATCGAATGGATACCAATGCTCAAGATCTCTATGTCCAACTAGAAGATGACCGGCTCAGCAGCACTATGGAAGCTGGCTTTGATCTTGTTGCATGGTTCCTTCCTTTTGCTTTTATGTTTGAAATGCTTAATCTTCTGGTTCAAAAGCAATACAATCAAGATACTACATTTATGGGCGAGGTTAAAACCTTGATAGCCCGTCTTCCACGTATGTATTTCTCTCCACACTCATATGAAACAGCTTTGATCCTCTTAATTTGGTGGAGTATGTATTGTTATGCCCCCATTCCCCTTACCCTTACAGATTTACATGAAAAGCGACGAAAACTCACACAGCTTGTGATGCTTGTTGTAGGTACATTTTCTGGCTGCTACTTAGCCTATCTGGTCAACAAGGTACGCAATGACTGCATTTCTCCATAACATCCCAGGCCTCATATACCGTCACCATGGCACGAGCACCTGCTTTAGGCACGCTGTGGATGTACGCTGTAGTCCGCCTGGATCTTTCCTACGCACTGATCAGCTTGCTTGCCTTCGGTGCTTACGTGAAATACGCTGGACTCAAACTTGTGCTGTAGGATCCTCGGCCGACGTAGTCACGTGCACATTTCCCTTAAAACCTAGTTTTACGAAGGCAGCGCAGGGGCACTTGGGGTCAGGAGAGACGCCGGAGTGCTTCTGTCCTAACGACGTCTTAGACAACGTAAGTGACCTTGCTCAATGATGTGACAGATGTACTAACACTATTCAGATGCCTCCTAAGAAGTCTGCCATTGCGGCCGCTGCCACTAAGCAGGGTAAGAAGAAGAAGTGGTCGAAGGGCAAGGTCAAGGACAAGGCCCAAAACGCTGTCTACCTTGACAAGGCTCTGTACGAGCGTGTGATCAAGGAGGTGCCGACCTTCAAGATGATCACCCCCAGCATTCTGATCGACCGTCTGAAGATCAACGGCTCGGTTGCTCGTTTGGCTATTCGCCACTTTGAGCGCGAGGGCCAGATCAAGCGCCTGATCCACCACCACGGCCAGCTTGTCTACAGTACGTACTTTTCTTTATGAGTTGAGTTGTCTAACCTTGCAGCCCGCACTGGCAGTGACTAAATGCACACTCATTTAGCGTTTGTGCTCGCAATCTTCACGGCTTCACCGGTCTGTGTTGACGAAATCACAAGCTGGTCGGCATAGTGGGTTGTGCCTCATAGATATAGGTTGCCATCTTTGCGCACCTTTATCCTATACTCCCAAAATTATACTTTTGCCAGTATATGCTCCTGTGTGTGTTATTCGTTGGTGTGCCTATCTTGAATCTCGTATCAGCGTATGGATCTATTTCTGTCGGGAGGACGCAGTATTGATTCATGGTGAATTCTCCCATCGGATGCTACTATAGTCTCGCTATTCACGTCCCATCAGGTTTATAAAACAACAATTGTAGCTCTCCACGCAACACTACATGCATAGCGACAGGTCCAGTCGTTAGAGTCCATTTCTCACACGATGAGAGCGGCGGTACACCCTCATGCGCTTATTGTGACAGGATCTGGCGTACGAACGTCTCATAGTTGATATTACCATCCCTGCCGCACGTTAATCCATGGTCACAGGCTGTATACGTACTCGCTCACAGTCACGCCCTTCAACAGCTCATCCACCTCTTCGTCACTCAGCTTCTCACCGAGGCTGGTGAGGACGTAGCGCAGCTCACCCACACCAATGTGGCCAGTGCCATCCTTGTCAAACACTTGGAAGCCACGGATGAATTCCTCTGCAAGGTGTTATTTTAATACCGAGCGAATATACGTACCAGGCGTACCAGCCGGCTTGAAGCCGTTAGGACGATTCAAAATCTTAGTGAATGTAGCGAAGTCGACTAAACATGTAAGCCATTTTCATATACATACTCTCACGAGGGGCACTCGAAGCGAGCTCAGCCACCTCAGCCTGGGTTGGGTTCTGGCCGAGAGCTCGCAGCAAATCACCGAGGTTTTCGCTGGCAATCGTACCCGAGCCTTTCTTGTCAAACAGAGCAAAAGCCTCTTTGATCTCCGAGTCAGCCTGATAGTGTAAGTACCCAAGATAAAGGGAGCCGCATAGGGCCCCCAACGTACCATGTTGTTATGGGTAGGAACGAAATGCAACACCTGTTGGTTGGGACGCGTGCCCATAAACAATCTGGGCGCGAGGAGTTACTGGGACTTACTTCCCCGCCAAGGGTGGGCTGGGTGGCTGGGTGGCCGACAGCCAGTGTCAATTTGGCGCCGCTCCACTGCCTCTCCGCGTGTTTTTCTGAGCCAACATGCTGCAGGTCGATTCAGGCGTATCGTCGTATGCGCCATCTGTGCAGAGTACCAGCCATCTTACGCAGGCATCGTCTGTGGATCTACCTAACCGACCGTCCCTATATATCCGCCGCACTGATATAAGTGAATCATTGCAAGCGTATGAACGCCTCCTTAACGCCTCCAAGACGTATACCTCGGCTATGCTAGCCATGTCGAAGGCCTCTTCCGAAATGGCTGAAGCACTGGAAGACTGCTCACGGTTGAAAGGGGCCCATATTAGTGGCCCCGCTTTCCAGGCGGCCTGTGGATTGCACTACTTGAAGTCGAATTACGAACAAGTGTTATGCGATACGTTTTGGAAAGAGTTCTCTATCCCTCTTCTGAGCCAACTTGATGTATATCGCAACTCCGTCCGAGATCGTCAGATTGCGCATGAAAAGGCTATTGAGGACCAAAGCCGCATCCTGAAAGAAATTGAAATTAAGTACCAGAAAGAAGGCCGCAAAAAAAGGCGGGACTTGAATTCGTTCCGCTCGATGCTGTCTGAACTACAAGAGAAAGTGAACGAACTCGAAGAGATCAAAGCCCAACACTATACGGAAGCCCTTGAAAATGAAGAACAAACGTGGGATTTCCTTGCGTCGAAGGTCATGTTGCTCGTGCGTGCACAGGTCGACATTGCCGATCGTTTATCCGCCAAAGGCATCAATGATCCTATTTTAGAATCATATATGGCTGCCATCCCTGATCCATTTCAATCCTATGGACCTGAAAAACGGGAGGGCGAGCTTTTTTCTATCTTGCAGCCTCCGCAAAACACAGAGCGTACCTCTGACATGAATGCTGACGCCACGCTAACGATGTCTCCAAAGCCGCTGCCCGAGTCCTCGAGGGCGGGCAGCACAAACTCTGACTATGCCAACATGTCTTCCGAGGCCAATTCTTCTGGCCCGGACGATAAAAGCGACCGAACTTCATTGTTTCCACCAGCATCCCAAGATGAGTATGGCGAGCACGACACGTCCACCGATACTCTGAGCGCTCGTGTGTTGCAGTCCAAAGCTACGTATCAATCCTTGTTTGGCTATGATGAAGACAATACTATGGTACAGAATCAAGACACGACAGGCAGTCCTACGACACCCACTGCCCCCTAATGCTACTTGGAATGAAGACTCCAATTTGATACCCCCTACTTTGTTTGATCCACCATCTATCTACAGGCCTGCCTGTGCTATATATTCTTGATAGGTCAAAGTAGCTTGATGACTTCGGTACCGGGACACTTCTAAGCTGGTTCGCATAGTATCGTCGATAGAGCCACGCCAGCCAGCTTTTTGAATGGCATGGTCAATCGTTTCTTTCTTTGACCAGCCCTGAGCGGGCGCGACTTCTGGCAAGAACGTCGCTGTAAGTACTTTGGGCATAGTATGTCCGTGAGTATGATCCTGCACCGGGTTCTTTAGGTGAATATAGATCCCATGGACACCTATGTCCCAATCTTCCCAATGCCGGCAAGGTTCCATGGGTGTTAAATAGCTGACAGAGCATTCCAATTGAGGTAGTTCGGCCGCTTGAATCGGGTGGAATCGTGGATCATGCATACCAGCACGGATAGCATACTCTTTCAATCCGTCTGGAAGTACCTGTGGGGAAAAGGTTCCAATACAGCCACGCAGCTGATGGTCTTTCTCTGGCTGAGGCCGTATGTACCATGATACAAAGACTGGTGCCTCCTTCCCAGTCCCTGGTACATCTGGAGTGTATACAGGCGCTTTCCCACACGCCTTATGCAAAGCAGAAAAGCAGTAAGCGCAATGTGCTTTTGTCGCTTGAATCTCTTCTGGCATCGTGTTTCCTCGTGAGTTGCTTCGTGTGAGTGGTCCGTGACCTTTCTGTTGCGCTCAGACCTTACGCACGTGATGTTAGCTACCTTGGTGTAGGCTTCTTTTACTGACCCTACCATGTTGAGACGCAGCGTGCTTACATTGTCTAGACAACCAGGGTGTTGGCGCCGATGGAAGTCCACATTGAGGTACCTACCATCCGATCCATCAGCTACACGCGAGGTGCCCACCCCGCTTCTATTTGTTGCTGCGCCTTCCTGGACGGGTGAAGCCTCTGCGGATAGGTAGGTGTCTTACTTGGCTCACTGGCAGGCAATTTGCACCGATGATTGAGCATATGACCAAACAAGGCTTCTCTGCTCTAGTCCTGGATTTGGATCCTGAAAATGTGCCTCACAATGATCCAGCAGGGGTCATGGAGTGCATGGAAGAGGAGCTAAGCCAAACATTGCGGCATCCCCCCCGCGAAGTAGGGCCTTCTCCTTTCCCTCCTGCAATGATCACACGGGGTGCTGTATGTGCTATTGCTGAGCAGTATGCATCGTCGCATCCTCTCACGGCCCTGCAGTTGATTGATCCCCCACTGTCGATGCAGAGGGCGACAGAACGATACCCCAGTCTGTTCGGCTCCTCTGCTCTTCCTGAGTTTGACTTTGAGGCGCATTTCCCTGTACGCGTAGTATGGACTCAGGAAGAGCTCCAGTGGCAGACACAGCACCAAGTGCCATGGTTCGAGGTGCATCGCATTGAGCATCAGCGGGAGGATGCAGCGGACGAAAGCCTAGATCGATACGAGTGGGAGACCCTCGAGAACGGAGCTGAAGAAACCATTCGTTGGCTTGAAGAAGAAGCTGGCATGTACGTTTTATGTGTGGCATACTTATCCCCAGCTAGAGTCTTGGACGACACAATTTCTCTCGACATGGCTGATGACAGTGCTGAGAGTGTGTCTTCTTGCCCATCTACAGACGAACATGTAGAGCCAGGCACCGTGCCAACTTGGTTCCAGCAGGGAAGGTATGCGTTTGCTCGTGATGGCTCCAAGAAAAAGCCGATTGAACTCGACGAGTCAGATCTTCGTGAGCGATTTATCCGTGGATCAGGCCCGGGTGGCCAAGCTATTAACAAGTTATCTACCAATGTCGAGCTCACACACCTACCTACCGGTACACGTATTACATGTCAGGCTACACGTAGCCGCGCACAGAATCGAGAGATTGCGCGGCGGCAAATGAGCCAGCGTTTGGAATGGCTTATCAAAAAAGCATGGGCGCCTTCTAGTACCAAGTCAACCTCTCGTGCACTAGCGCCTAGTGTCGTGCAATCCAAATGGGATAAGGAGCGGAAAAAGAAACAAAACAAACGTAAGAAGCAAAAGCGACGCGCACACCAAGAGGAGGCGCCCTCCACGCCTTCGTCTTGATGCACGCGTCGCGACGCGTCTGTAGGTGGATTGACAGGTGCATAATTCCACATCATAAATACACGGATGTGCGTCATTCCCATAAGAAAAGTGGACCAAGCCTCGTCGCGTCTCCTGGACCGTGGGCGCATCACGAATCCGGTGTGTGGCAGGGCCCTCCCCCTTGTGCGCGTCTTCGTAGCCTTCACTCTTTCGTGGATCGAGTAGCTGGCTGCGGCGCTTTGACTTGCGATGTCTGTGTCAGGCTCCGCCCCACCGCCGAAGCTTGGCATCACATCGCCTTCGTCGCGGAGCAGCAGTATTGCGGTTTTGGACCCACGCGAGAAGGAGGGAAGCGTGACGACCAGCCAAGAAGCAAATGCGCATGCCTCAACATCTCAGCATGGACTTGATGCATCAGCCGGTGCGGACCAGCCCATGTCGGATGGCCCGATCCGTGCCTATGCCAAGTTGGAATTTCCCGGTTTCTCCTACTACATTCAAACCTTAGAAGTGACCATTGGCCGTCGTCCCCAAGCTCCCACCCATGCAATGCCGTCGTGGAATACCAAGAAGGATGTGGACGTTGACCTTGGACCTCTCAAATCTATATCACGTTTGCACGCGCGCATCTTTTACTCTGTGCAGCCCGAGTATTACCGGGCTAACATGCGACTCACCCCCGGCTTGCCTTCGCTGCCCTCCTCGAACGATCCATCAAAACAAGACAGTGTACCGAGCCACACTTCATCCTCCGGCGCACAGGATACCACAACAAGTGCGAAAGAGGAAGGCCGTTTCATGCTCGAAGTGCTTGGACGCAATGGTGCATTTGTCGATGATGTTTGGGTGAGCATGAATGGAGTTGTGCCTCTGGGACGGCGGACAAAGATTCAGATTGCAGAGCGTGTATTTTACTTTGTCTTACCGCCGCCACCCTCCGTGTCTACCGGTGAGGAGGGACTCGACTCCGAGGAGGAAGTGTCTGTTGCGTCGTCGTCCGAACTGTCAGAGCCTGACATGGAGATCCCTGAGGCGACCAAGACACCTGCCCCCAAGTTTGTTTTGAAACCGCGTGTCAAATTGACAAAGAGCCCTATGAAACGCTCCCATTCTGAAACGGCCTCTACCGCTTCCCCGGCGGATGGCCCACCAGAGAGTGTGTCGGATGCCAAGCGTCGTCGAGCTAATGAGGCACAAGATGCGGGAACGTCTACGGGCAGTAAGGCAAAGTCCAAGGGCGGGAAGGGCGCAAGCAAATCCATCAAGCCTGAATCTAACGATGCTGTTCAAGAGCTGGGCTCTGAGGATGATGACACGCCTATGGCGGAGAGTGCCACCAGCTCCAATGGGTCATTGTCCACCCTCGCCGTGGCTGCCAATGTGATGGGATCTATGCCCGCTTTCCAGAAGCCTGACTTGTCGAATGTGCAGCTCATTACCAATGCGCTTTCGTCCGAGTCTTGTGCCAAGAAGGGACACAAGTTTACTTTGCAAGAAGTGTATGAATGGCTGCAAAATACCTACCCATGGTTCAGTCAGAATGGTCGTAAGACAGGACGTGATTGGCAAAGCTCGATTCGGCATACGATCGGCACGAGTCGTGAGTTTTGCAAGATTCCTCGGCGTCCCGACGAGCCTGGCAAAGGTATTTTCTATACGTTGAGCACCAGCGACTTGGCCAAGTCGCAGGAAGCGTCGAAATATGATTCCACATCGGCCAAGGCGGCCGACGATACCTCCGTTTCCCTCCAAGACACGAAGCGTGTTGGAAGTGCTAACGTTGCTATGAGTGCGAGTACGCCCGTTGTCCCGGCGTCCTTGTCGAAACCAGCCACTTCGTCTTCGACCACATCAGCGACCCCTGCGGCACCTGAGGCCAAACCTGCCATGCCTCGTATTCCCCTTGTGGTGGGCATTCCACCGAACGCTGAGCGGCAGCAAGCGGCTGCCAAAGGGAAAGGCACCCCAGGCTCGATCGAGTCCCTATTGGAAACTCCTCCCATTGCCCATCATCAAGGCAAACTTTATCTTAGCCCTACTGTCTTTGGCCACCTAACCAGCGATCAATTGAAGCACATTGAGGGTTTGGGCGCTCAACAAGCCTTACAGGTGCTACAAACGTATCTTGTCACGCACCTCAAAGAGAAGCTCAAAAAGACTGCTACGTCCAAAGGGCCTGGACCCACGGCTTCGTCGGAGACGAAGGCGACCGCCGCCGTGGCAGCAGCAGCAGCAGCAACGAGTAGTGTTGTACCGCCTTTGAGCACCACACCTTCGTCAAGCACCAGCAGTGCATCCACTTTGGGAACCACGCCTAAACCTCCCGTGCTTTCTTCATCCTCTCTTTCGGCCTACGATCAACGGCTGGAAGCGCCTACAGTGCCTCGCATACCTGTTACATTGCCTAGCGATACTGCATCCAATTCCATGTCATCGCAGTCAGCGCCCAAGGTGACGTCATCGTCCTCTACGGCGCCTGAGGCACGAACGGCGTCGCCCTCTGTTCCAAGTATACCCCCCAATACCGCCTCCTCTTCTGCTGGTCCTGGCAAAGCAGCAGATAAGAGTGATGATCCACTCGCTGCCCTCTCTGCCTTAGCAGCGCACCCCGAAGCTGCAGGTCTCATTGCTTTGTTGAAGAAGCAGCAGGCTGGTGGAAGTGGTACTGTGAAGCTGACGCCAGGGCAGCTGGAGCTATTGCAATTGGCGAATCGACTTGCAATGCAGCGCAAGAAGAAGAAGGCAACAACATCAACCTCTCCTGTTCCACCTTCCCCTTCGTCCCAAGAGTCGAAACCCAAGCCATCGCCTTCGTCGTAACGCGCTCTTACCCACTGCCCGCATCCTTCCATGTGCCTTCGCATAGCGATTGGTAGGAATGAATGCTTTAGTATACAGTTCTACATGATAGGCGTTAATAATAGGCAGCCTAGCCACGGCGCATTTGGACACGCGTTCCTCGCTTTTGGCGCGCCTGCAACTTGGCCTGACGCTTACTGAGACCCGGCTCCGTGGTGGAGTCAGTTGCCTGCTTGGACGGTGCCGCGACTGCCGTACGATTCATACGTCGACCCCGTAGCACAAATGGCTCCAAAATCTTGGCATAAAAGAGATACAACGCATACATGGGGATCTAAGTGGGTCAGCTTCGTCACCACGAACCAAGGCAAACGTCCACCAGAAGTAGCGCGACAACAGCGCCGTTGTAATGTGCACAAACCATGTGATGTAAATCACGTCAAACATATAGCTATATTTGTTAGTATGATACATGGATACATACGCAGTCAGTCCTGCTTGTGACAAGTCCTCACCACGACGAGACATGGTCCAAAGCTGCATGCCCAAAGCTGCCGCCACGCCTTCCGACACGGCGTACAACGCCATCGTCCTCCAAGTCAATGTCGAACGCCAAAGCGAGCACGAGAGGAAGAAAATTGTGTTAGAGACCAAGAATCCATAGAACAACGTCTTCTTCGCCTGGTCGTTGCCTATAGCGACGCGCTTCTGAGCTCCTTTCGCCATGATGGTTTCTTGGACAGACGCCCAACAGAATGGCCACATGGCATATTTCCCGCTGAGGCAGCACCGTCTCGAAAGCGGCGGAGTAGACTGGCCACTCTATCCAAGCTACAACGGGCCAGCAACGAGCCTTCACCCACGACAAATACGCCAAAAGTGATATTTTATACTAAGTACGCACATAGCCCATACGGTCAGGTCATCGCTATAGGATGGGAAAAAGGCGACTTGCCGCATACAACAGACATGCATACTCCGTCATGAAAAGAGACGTCGAATAGCAAACCAGCGCTAGTTTGCTATACAAAGCACCTCTTCCTTTTTAGACCGAAGCCTGGGGCTCGGGCTCCTTGAACTCGCCGCTCTTGATCTTGGTACCAACGTCCTCAGCACCAACGACAGCAGCACCACCGTGCAGCTCGTAGAGCTTGCCGACGTCGAACTTGGGGCGCTTGAGCACCTTGACCTTGCGAATGTACACATCCTTCAGGGGGTAGATGCCCTGAGTGCTCTTCTCAATCTCGCGGCCCATAACCTCAGGGATGAGCTTGGCCACGAATTCACGCAGGTCGCACGACGACGACTCACGCTGGATCACCTCGAACATCTTCTTGCGGATAGCACGGATCTGCGACGACTTGGCGTAGGTGGTCTTCTTCACCTGGTTGGCACGGCGGCGGGTGAAGCCGATGGCAAACACACGGAGGAGGTAGCCGTCGGTGGTCTTCACGTCCTGGTGGGCCTCAATCAGAGACTGCCACTTGCGCACAAGCGAGCGGACCTTGTCCTGAGTGAAGTCCATACCGAAGAAGTTGGTGAGACAGTTGCGGCCCTGCACCTCATCCACACGCAGGCGGAACTTGCGGAAAGCCTGCTCGTCGTCCTTGTTCAGGTCAGCAAGCGACTGCTCCAGGATACGTCCCTTGAGCGAGTCCGCGGCGTTCTCTGTTGATGTTAGGTCATGCCAAAGGATACATACTCAGACCCTGCGAGCGGTTGACAATCGTCTTACCGACGTTGCGGTTCTCGAAGAAGACCGGAGCCTTGATGTCGTACCACTCCTTACGGGTAAAGGGGTCGACGACACGCTTCTTATTACCCTTACCCTTCGAGAGTTTCTTGTTCTTGCCGACAGCTGTTACTGTGTTAGTATTCAAGCTCCTCAACGGCATGGCTCTACGCACCCATAGTGAACAAGTATGGACAGAGAGTACGGTCGCAGCGGCGTGCCCACCCTTGAAACAAGGAAGCGCTGTGGACCCACACGTGATTTACATGAGAACTTCTTAAAGCTACATTTCACGTGACTAGCCACGTGGCTATCGACGCGATCGTCCGACGCGCTGCGCGTCGCGGCGGTTACGGCTGATGAGCTGTTAGGCACGCGTTCCTGGGCGCAGTATGATACGTACCGACTAGCTCGGAGTTGAGCTTCTTCCATCTTTTCCAGTTCTGCATCACTTAGATATTCCAGTAATGGACCGAAATCTGATGCTTCAGTAAAGTCACGCCATACACCTTCGAGTGGACGAGGGCCTAGGGCTAGTAGATCTCGTAGCGTTGCCAATGCCTGTTGACGTCGTATCGGTAGTGGTAAAGAGGCATCTGGCACCACAAAAGGCACCGACATAGAGGCATCTGTGATGGTCAGACCACCGGCTGCCATGCGCCGACTGCGGGTATGTGGTGGTGCAGACTCTGCTCGTATAAGAGCGCTCACATCGTCAGCCTCAACAGCGCGTATGGCCGCTTCCATAGCTTGTCGGTGTTGGGCCGCTTCGTCTTCCTCCCTCTCTTCAGGCAGATCCAAGTCCATTCCTGCTTCAATGCGCTGCTGCTGCTGCTCCATCTTGTTGATGGCCACCAGCTCGTCCATCGTGCATTTGTAAATCTTTCCGCTTCCAAACAAACCCAAATCTTGGGCGGCGCGACGGTGATGAAGGAGCTGCTCGCGGATGGCATGCGAAATCAGGACCCCACTTTCAAGTGGCAAGCCCAGGTCACGTAGAAGGGTCTTGGAGAACGCCTCTGGGGTGAGAGAGGATCCCAAATCCCATTCCAACCGATCCCGTAGCATATGCCGTGATAGCTGTACTTCGTATTCCACAATGACACGGATATCGTCTTCAGCATCAATACTGGCCAGTCGTGCATGAATCTGGGCTTTTTCCTGCTCCTTAGGATCTTGTTCTTCTTTCGACTTGGATGTCTGTGTCTCTGGTGGAGACGGGGTGGTCCTTGCTAGCACCACAGGTGTCGATTCTGCAAATGGCGTGATAGGTGTTGCCACTGCAGGCGGTGTACCCGCTGTTGGCGTGGAAGGTGCAACGGGTTTTGATGCCTCGAGGGGGTATTTACGTGGCCGTCCTCGTTTCCGAGGCAACGACGTTCCATTGGCATCGACATTACCCGTGGCTTGAGTTTGGGCCATGGCCATACGGCGTTTCTGTGCTTCGACTTCTTGCCGCTTCCGTTCCAGCGAGGCCGATTTCATTTCAATAATACGGCTCAGCCCTTCACCATCGGCGTCGAGTACTGATTTCGCATCTGTGAGTTGCTGGACGATCGAGTTTTCGATTTGAGTGGCATACGGCTGTGTCGGCAAAGCCAGATCTTGCAGAAAGGTTTGGGCAAATTGATACGGTGTGACCAGCTGCTCGTTTAAATTCCACATGAATACGTCCTTTATTCGGTGCGTATCTGTATGAAATTCAATGCGAATCGGTACCAAAATCTCGGGGGTTTCCCCTTGCTGGTTTAGCTGTTGCTCCTTAAAGTATGCATGCTGTGTTCTGGTGGCTGGACGGACCACAAGTCGGTTGCTAGGGACGGGCAGGCCTAGCTGACTACCAGGCGGCGCTGATTCAGCCTGCGCCTCAACGTCTGTGGGATGTATGTCCTGTGATTCCGCCTGGCCACTTTCTGACTCTCCACGTGAGCGCTTACTGCGTTGGGCACTGTATTCTTCCTCTTCCGAGTCGACATACTCATCAGAATCATCCGTGTTATCGTCCTCGTAGTACAAGGACGCTCGATGACGCAAGGACGTGCTGGCCTCAAGTTCATGGCCCCCTGTATAAATCGGTTGCATCAGCGTTGTGGTGCCTGCCCGCATACGACTAGCATACGTGGAATATAGCGCTTGGCCTGGCGCAATCCGTACTTGAGGCCGTACAGGTGCTGCACTCGTACCAAGCACCCACATCCCATCCACGGCTTTTCCACGCGATGTGGCTGTTGGTATCTCCGTTGATGATCCTGCACGTCCCGTGCCTGTTACGCTAGACCCCATTTTGCTAGGGGTCGAGTCGTACGGGGAATACATCCTCGCCGATCGACGTACACGATCCATCGCGCGCGAAAAGGAGGGCAGCGCCGCGCTTCGATGCACGCACGCGTTGCACGACGTGGACGAACGCACGCCGTGCGCGCTTAATAAGCACGTGGCGCACGCTGTATATCTAGGCGCGCGCCGGTGGAGAGCGCTTTTTCCATTTCTCGTTCCAGGAAGCTTAGGCATTCATACAGACTACATAGAGAGAAAGAGAATGGCTTGCACAACGAGCGCGTTGCCCTATTATTACGGTTCCGTAGGCTCTGCCGTCTCCGCCTCCGGCGCCGGTGCAGGATCCGCCTCCTCCGTAGTGGGCTCAGCATGCTCGGCCACAGGTTCCGAGGCAGGTTCGTCCGCAGGCACAGGCGCAGCAGGCGCCTCCTCTTGGGGCGGTGGCGGCGGCACGTCACTGCCTTCCTCATTCACCGGTGCTGGAGGCGCATCGGTAGGTGCCTCAGGCTCCTCGCGAGGCGCATCGCGGCGGTTGTCACGGTAGCGGTTGTCACGGTAGCGGTCACTACGGTAACGGTCACCACGGTAGCGATCACCACGCGGCTCATCACGGTAGCGATCACCAGAACGGTAGTCATCGTAACGGTAACGACTGTCAGGGCTGCGCTCACGGCGGTCGACGTAGCCCTCATCGGCAGGTAGTGGTGGGGGAACTTCGCCATCCGGCTCAACACGCAAACGAACACCACGGAACTCCGTACCCTCAATGCGAGCAAGGGCACGCTCATAGTCGTCACGGTTGTCGAATTCCAGGGCACCCTCATCAGGATGAGCCGGGTTGATGTCCGAGAAGGTGACATGACCATGGTCGCGACCAATGTCCTTGAGATCCTGCCAACTCGTGCCTTCCGGCAGGTTGAAAATGATCAAACGGTACTGACCACGACGAGGTCCACGTGGTTGACGTGGGCCACGCTCATAGCCACCGCGTGGGCCGTAGCCATCGCGGTCGCGGTCACGGCCACGCGGTCCACGGCCGTAATCGTCCCGGTCGCGATCGCGACGCGCAGGCTGCTTGGCAGGCTGCACGATGATGCGGTCACCCATGAACATGGTACCATCAAAGTCCTAGATATGCGTGAGAAGAAGAAAAAAATACATACGCGCACAGCATAGTCCGCATCGCGAGCATCGCCAAATTCAACAAAGCCAAAACCGTTCAGAACACGGATATCGACAATGCGCTGGATGTGTAAGTCATGTCCTTGCAACGTAATACGTACACCGACGTTTCTAAAGAGGTCCGCGAGATCGTCACGCGTGGCGTTTGGTGCCAAACGGCCCACGTACAATCGAGTCGGCCCTTCAGACATGCTGGGGTTGGATGGAAGGCGATTCTCGTCTGCACGCCAGGGACGTGATGACAGGCCCTTCCATCACGTGACCATACAGGGACCACTGTCGTTCCAACTGGGCCTGTGTGCGCCGGACCGCGCTGGCTCTTCGGGTTTGAGGTGACGGACTATGTGGTAGAGTAGGTAGAGACTTTATACACGGCACACTAAGTGGCAGAGGCCAACGGTTGTGCATCGCCTACGCGACGCGTGTGGTGAGAAGGGGCGGGGCGTGCATCTCGTTGATGTTATTTTGTTTAGTCATCGACGAAGTGGCTCGTTCAGCGGCTCGCTTTTGGCTGTGTCTTCGTTCAACGCACGCCTACGCAAGCAGGACCCTCCTCTGTTTATTTGCTGCGGCTTGGCCCTAGGGACTTGACGACATTCCCCCCCTTCCCCCACATTCTCTTCCCTGAACGTATCGTGGTCCTTCTCTTTGATGCCACCGCGTTCCATGTCTACGCCTAGTGGGACAACGGCCTCGTCGCCTACTCGAGGGTCCGCTTCCCATGGCATTGTGCGTGAGCATGCGCCGACACGTATTGGCCTTTCTCACACGTCGCCAGACGGTTCTGCCATGCGGCCTTCCTCTTCGCATCGATCGAGTCTTTACTCGCCTCACGGACCTGTATCCCCCTCGCTTGTTTACGCAAATGAAATGCCGGACGATCCCAATGAAGTGTCGCAGCTTTCTCATCTATTCCCATCTAGCCTAGCACCTGCATGGAGTCCTGGCGGGCCTTCTTCGACGCGCTCTCCTGGCGCTCGTACTGATGACAACTCTCAGTACTTCCCTTCGATGCCGGTATCGGGACGCCAACGCACTGCCCCCGTTTCGCCATCAGCGTCGCGATCGTACCTCCCAACTGACTCGTCACGCAGCATGTATGATCGTCGGCCCAAGTCAGCCCATATCCTTACGCCGCCGCCTATGCCACGCTCACCCATCCTGCAAGACCAGCGACTGAGCCCTAGCCGTGGACGACCAAGGCCCTTGTCGGCACACATCCTGTCGCCTGGAATTGTTTCCTCCGCGCAAGCTGCACGTCGACGAACGCCCGATACAAACAACATCTTTGAGCGCGATATTGAACTTAATGGCACTCCGCATGCCTTGCGGCCGCAGGAAGCGATTGACTTGGCTGTGCCCTCTGTGCTCCATGACGCTGCGCATGCTATTGTGGGTGATTCTACCTTGGAAATCATTTCGCCCCGTAGTGAATCGACGCGGGCATCTTCGCCTCTTCGTCCCGGTGAAACTCTCAGTCGTGGGCTCTCGCATGATGGCAGTCATGTGGGGGGGCGCACACAGGGGGGTGGCTATGGACACCGTCGTCTGCGGTCGGATCATTCGAACATATACATGCCCACGAGTCCGTCTGTCTTATCGCAAGCCGGCTCACGTCGATCGATGCTTTTGTCTGCCTCACCTGGCTCCCAGTCGGAATCTCTCGCTCCGTCTATGAGCCCCAGTCTGAGTATTGATGGTGCCATCATACCCGATAACCAAGCGGCGACTGTGACACACAGCCTTGATGAGTTAGCTGATGTTATGGCTCATATCCAAACAGACAAAACTGCGATGCTCACACCAGGCTCATACACAGGGGCTGGCATACCCATGTCTTCGCCCATGTCGACAGCTGCGTCTTCCAGCTATTTTTCTTTGCAGCCTCACGCTGATGACAACCGCCACTCCAAGTTCCGTTACCAACTGCTGGATATGCCGGCTGGTGATCGCAGCGCGGATCGCTCTCACTCTGTGCCGCCACCACGCCCCGTCTCCTTTACCGCCGGCCTTCGTGGCTCTCGACACACGGTGCCTGCACCAGGGGCCGAAGACATGCCTGACGTGGCGGCGATGCCGCATTTGCAAGTACCTCAGGGCCAAGTTCCATTGCGGTCGACGTCGTCTCAGGTCAAGGAACGTAAGCGCCTCTCATGGATGTCGTACACGGATTTAGTGCATGATGTCGATGAACAGGTCACAGATTTCGACGCTAGTATGCGTCGTTCATAATTAGATACATGTATGGTCAATGAAGATGAAGGATATCTAACACTGTCTACATCCAGTTAGTGAAATAGGGGGTCGTCTTTGTAGGCTTGGTACGCTGGACGGTCTAGCGAGGCCCGACCCACTTTCTTGTCCCATTCGATGTGCTCGATCAGTTCGTCTGCGGTAAGTAGAGCTGGCCTACGTACCAAGTCCATTGAACTCCAGCTCAGGGCGGATGTACCCTAAAACGATGACACGCATTTCCTCGCCATAAAAGTCGTGCTGGAAATCGTGCATGATATGCACTTCGATCGTTTTCTTTTCGTTTTTGAAGTGCGGATTCCACCCCAGACTCATCACCATCGGGTGCACCTTGCTGTCGTTGCTTCGATACATGTCTTTTTCATGAACGCGCACCTGCGCCCACCCATAAAACACCCCAGTGCCATGCAGGCGGTGCGCTTGGTCATTGGCGTTGCAATCCATGACCGTGGGGTTTAAGTTCGCAGTGGCGCAGTTCAATTGCTTGCTTCCACGGCCAAAGCCATGCTCTACTTTCCCGCTCAGGTAGCATGGAAATGGAGCATCGACAGCATCAGGTCCACAGACGAGCGGCCGTGTCGACGCTGAAGGTTGCTTCGCCATGGTGGGTCCGAGCGCCGTTGTCCACGTCGTTGGATCGGCCGGCCGGCGTGTACGAAGCCTGACCCCACGTTGGCACGTGACAGTGTCGCTGGCTTGGGCGTGAGGGAGTGAGTCAAAAGCCTCGCAAGCGGCGCGCAGCGAGGCTAAGGTCGTGCATCGTCGTGCCAGCATGAAATACCTGAGTACTCGCGGTGGCGCTGAGCGCCTTACGTTTGAGGAAGCAGTCCTTCGTGGCCTTGCTCCGAATGGTGGTCTGTACGTTCCAGCGGAGATGCCGCAGCTGCCGGCAGATTGGCAGACGGCGTGGGCCGATCTCTCGTTCGTCGAGCTATCGTTCCGTGTGGTGTCCCTGTTTGTCCCGACGACCGAGGAGGAGGGCGGTATCCCATCGTCGGACTTGCGTGCGCTGATCGAGAAGAGCTACGCTACTTTCCGCCACGAGGATGTGACGCCGCTGCACCGTGTGTCGGAACACGAATGGTGCTTGGAACTGTGGCATGGCCCTACCTTCGCGTTCAAAGATGTGGCATTGCAGCTCCTTGGCAATTTGTTTGAATACTTCCTGGAGCGCCGTAACATGCGCGACACAACGACGCCCCATACGATCACGGTCGTGGGTGCAACGAGTGGTGATACTGGCAGTGCCGCGATTGCCGGCCTGCGCTCCAAGGCCAATGTCCATATCTTTATCCTGCACCCTCGAGGCCGTGTGTCGCCGATTCAGGAGGCGCAGATGACGACGATTCTGGACGAGAATGTACACAACCTCGCCGTGGAAGGCACGTTTGACGATTGCCAAGATATTGTCAAGGCGCTTTTCTCGGACAAGGCGTTCAACGATAAGCACCACCTCGGTGCGATCAACAGTATCAACTGGGCGCGCATTCTCTCGCAGATTGTGTACTACTTTGCTGCCTTCTTTGCGCTGCGTCGCAAGGCCCCGGAGGTCGACCCACACCAAGTGCAGTTTGTCGTGCCGACAGGCAACTTTGGCGACATCCTCGCTGGGTACTATGCCAAGCGTCTGGGTGTGCCGATGGCTGCGCTGGCCGTGGCTACGAACGAGAACGACATTCTGCAGCGCTTCTGGGCGACAGGTCGTTACGAGAAGCAGGCAGAGGCGGGCGATGTTCGCGCTACGCTGAGCCCGGCGATGGACATTCTTGTGTCGTCAAACTTTGAGCGATTGCTGTTCTACATTGCGAAAGAGACCTCAACAGCGGCCGACAAGGACGAGGATGCCGGTCGTCAGGTCTCCGAGTGGATGCAGGAGCTCAAGACGCAAGGTCGTATGGTGGTGTCGGACGCGCAGCTCGCGCTGGCACGCCGCGACTTTGTTTCCGAGCGTGTCTCGGATGCCGAGACGCGCGATACGATCCTGCGCTACTACCGCGCGGCGGACAACCGTGCGTCGTACCTTATTGACCCCCACACGGCTGTGGCCTTTGAGACGGCGAACCGTCTTGCGAATGGCCAGGCTGTGCCGCAAATCATTCTTTCAACAGCGCATCCAGCCAAGTTCTCGGAAGCGGTCGTCTCGTCCATCGCGAGCGACAGCAGCGAGAAGGAGGCGCTGGCATTCTTCCAGACGCAGGTCCTTCCGAAGGAAATGCATGGTCTCCTGGAAAAGGAACGTCGTGTGGTCGGCGTGGCGCCTGCAGAGGGTATGGACAAACTAGCTGGCTTGATCGAGAGTACAAAGGCGGTCATTGAGCGTGATGGCTTCTCGCACTAAGCAGAGCGCCATGTACGGATTGTCGCGTCGTCGCTCACTGATGCCAAGGTCGGGCCATAAGGCCCACGGCTCCATGTCACAGCATTGATTTCCGCACTGCGATGTTAGATCTCGTTCGTACATACTTGTAGTCATGCGCCCGTGGAAGGCATACACCCGTATACGCGAGCCCTGTGTCTGGATTCCGTGGCAGGTGCGCTACATCCCATAGGACGACATCGCCGGAATTGCAGCCCAGTGCAAGGAATCGGTCGTCATGCATCGCCAACCGCGCATAAAGCGTATTTTGTCGCTGCACGTCCATGTACATAGCCGAAGCTTCCCATGTCGGAAGAGGTCGATGCACATCGTCTGCATCCAATATATTGATACAGCCATCGGTACAAGCCGCATACACGCGATGTCGCGAGGCACTGACGGCCAGCGAGGATATACCATGCGAGCGCTTGTTCCATGGCCGTTCACAGGACGCATCCGCACTCGTGCTCACGACACGGTTGGTCGCACGAAGATCCCATGCGTGGACCATGGCATGATCACTACACGCACTTACCAGCTGACCATTCGGCACGTACGCCAAGGCTGTGACGCCGGCGGTATGCGCCTCCGCCTGCCGTCGGGAACGTCGGCGTGGACCATGTGCACGAGGCAGATGCAGTGCCGCCTCAGCCATGCGAAGGTCCCACACGTAGATCGAACCATCGCGGCCCCCACTTGTGACGATCGTCCCGTCGCTAAAGGGATCCCATGCCAACGCACGAGGACTGCCTTGATGCGCATCGTAGGCACGTACACAAATCTGATGTAAGTAGCGTCATCACATACCTCGTGCTGAAGATCCCACAGGGAGACTGTATAATCACTTCCGCCTAGCGCAATCACCCGATCATCAGGGCGCCACGCCATAGCAAACACCGAGCCATTGACAATGGCAGGCGACGTAGAGAGGATGGCATGGTCCTGCGACGTAGAAGGTGCCTGGGTATCGAGCACATGAACACGGCCTTCCTCGTCACCCACAGCCAGGTATTGGGGTATATCTCTCGAGGCACTGGCGCCATGCATATAGGCGGCACTCAACGGCGTCGCCATGCCATGCTCGACGCAGCCGGAGGGAAGATAAAAGCATCGGTCGTCGGAGGTCTGGAACGACGACAAGTAGGGTATCGTAGAAAAGGGCACAGACCTGCGATCACGACGAGACATCAGCGCCAGGGCAGAGCGACGAAGGGTTGGCCTAGGCGGCTTGGGTGTAGCTACCTCGTCACAACGACGCCGCTTGCATCCCAACGTAGGCGACGTCGGCCACGCGTGTTCCGACGTTGTGCTGCTCGGCGTATGCAGGGCACTCGATGGACTCGACCATGTATCGTGCGTAGGCGTCTCCAAGTACGGCGTCGAATCGTGAATGGACACCTGTGTCTGCCTCAACGTAGGTGGTGTCACAGGCGTCGGCGAAGCGCGCGGTAAGAAAAAGTGCGAGGCACGGCTTGGCGTCACCGTACCGCGTACAAGCCGCGGCGGAGGCGTTCGTGGTCGCGCAGGCGACATGGCCACCATCCTGCGCCGAGTCGTGCTGCGACGTCGTCAGATTCGACGCGCGCGTGTGAACGAGCCTGGCGCGTCGCGGTGCCACGTGGTCTTCTATGGGCCCTACAAACGCTTCTCCACGTCCGCCGCGGCAGGGATGCTCTCCATTGCGCCGTCCACCTCGACAGCCATGGCCGAGGCAACCGAGGCACGCGTCATCAATGCGTGGATACGCTCTGGAGTCACAGCTCCCTGTTCGCGGAGAATGCCAGAGACTAGGTAGCCTGTGAAAGTATCTCCAGCTCCTGTGGTGTTTACCACACGCTCAGCCTTGGTGGCTGGCACATCGACCCATGTACGTGAACCATCACAGAGCACACCGGCCGCCGAGCCTCGACTGCCAAACGTCACGACAATCCACTGGATCGAGGCAATCGCAGGGAGGGCCGCCAGGGCCTTCGCCGCCGAGGCCTCCACAGGCCGACCGCTAAGCGCCTCGTGCATATCCGCAGCCTCGCCCTCATTGACAATGAGTACGTCGATGCCTTCCCATGGGAAGGCACGCAGCTCATCTTGAGATAGCATAGGACTCGGGTTGAAGACTGCACGCACATGAGGGCGTGCGCTTGCATACGCCGCGTACGCCTTGGTCACCTCCAACGGAATTTCATTTTGTAGCACCACATATGTCTCTTCTTCTGTGCCGATCCATGCCGCTGGATCGTTCAAACTCGTCTCTTCCACGAAGTTGGCTCCCTTCAATAGCACAATCGAGTTCTCGCCATCTGACGTAGAGACCTGGATGAAGGCGCGGCCCGTAGGCACAGAGTCTGACACATGCACATGCGATGTATCGACATGGCGCTCTTTCAAGCAGTCAAGGGGCCATGTAGCCTCCTTGCCCACTGCCCCCAGCATCTTGACAGGGGCACCTGCAAGACCTAGCGCTGCAGCCACATTGGCTCCCTTGCCGCCCGGGCGGGACCACATGCCTGAGGAGCTCATAGTCTCGCCTGGACGCACAATATGTGGTACTAAGGGTTAGGACATGTAAGTACATACCTTGAAAGGTTTCATCGATATTAATGCTGCTTCGTACAAGGCATACGGGCATGATGAATGTCACAAAAGGACCCTGTCTGGTGGCGCTCAGCCGTGGCGGCGTGGAAGGATGTGGAGGCAGCGGCCAGCACTACATCAAAGGTACACAGACCCTACCATGTTTTCGTGTGTGGTGGCTGGGCGCTTGCCGCTGCCTCCGCCGCAGCAAATTGACGAAACCCATGCGGTGTTCCAGCTTGATGCAGCTGACCAAATCAATCACATCGTGGTCTTCATGACGGGCGAGCAGCCTTTTCCAGAAGGGTACGGAGCTACTGTGCATTTAATGTGGCCCAAGGACCCAGGATCGCAAGCCCCATCCCAATGGCAACTTCTGGGCTGCCTACAGAATACAAAACCATCTGCCATTTTCCGGATTCGTGATCCGAAACGCGAGGCGGCCGCAGTGCCAGGTATGACTCGCACAGCTACGTTGGGCATTAGCATTGAAGCATTGGCAGATGTGGAACGCCAAATGCAGAGTTTGACAGGCAATGCCCCCCCTGCTACATCTACACCTAACCAAGCTTCCCAGTCGTTAGCTCTGGCTGCGAAAACTAGCCCAGATTCGCTCTTGCAACAAGCCTCTGCGTTGGCTGCTCCGATTGGTACGTAGCGCGTACACTCACACCAGCGCAAAATGTATTTGACTACCTCTCTTCCTTTGCCCCAGACTCAGCGCCACAGGCTGTACCGCTTCTGCAGCGCTGGCTAGAGCAATTCCAGCGCAAGTTGCAATCGCAGGGCATTGAATATATACTCAAGTCTACCTCGTGAACGCTCACACGACTTAAAACTCAAAGGCACGGTCAAAGTCACGGTAAATAATGTCGCGCATGCCTGGCGCCATCAGCGGTGTGCCCTTCTCGTCAGCGCAGAGATAGCGATACGGCAGCTCGACCTAGATAGAGGTTAGTTCGTATTGTGCATACATACCGACTCGCCACGACCAAAGTCTAGGGTAGGACTATCGACAAACGATAGCGCACCGACACCATCTTCTGCCTTATCGGCCCCCGTTTGACCGTCCAATTCCTTCAACCCCAATCGCAAACCATCTTCCACCACACGCTTCGTAACACCCAGCGCGGTATCGGTCGACATCTGCACACTGCCAAGATGACGGCCTGGGAAGCCCAATTCACGGAGAGACGATGTACGGTCACGAGGTGGGTCATCACCAAGGATTCCGCCGAACAAAAAGTGCGTAAAGGTCTGAGCGGACTCGTGCGAAGCCTGGGCCGAAGAGGCGTGCAGCCCAGCATCACACACAGAGAGAGGCAGCGGTGCCTTGGGGTCGAGCAGACAAATTCGGTTCATGTCCCAGTTGCGTTCCTTCGCTAACGTAGTCACAGACTCGGCATGGAGCTCAAACTTGGCAGGCTTGGTCAGTGGATGCAGAGGTTGCGAAAACGCTTCTTGCAATGCGCCCAGCGATGCCTGGGAAAGCGCAGTGAAATGCACCGTAGAGCCTTCGCCTACATGGTAGAGCATGTGACGGTACTCAAGCAGCGCCCATGGCGGAAAATGAGCCGGCGCATCCGGTTCATCTTCTTCCATATGCTCGATAATGTACTCAGGCCGTGGCATTTTTTTGTATAGCGGGGTGGAGGGGACAGGTCAGGTGGAAGTGGGGCCAAGGCCGCATTTATTTTTTGTTCGCGGAACCGAGGCGCCTGCGATACTTCTTCGCTTTTGCCCCCCACGTATAGGTCTCAGCCTTGCTGAACGAATGTGAACTGTATTTCCGCCTTAGACTCTCATGTAAGAGAGTTGTGTGCCTTTTTCAGACGATGTCAGGATGAAACGACCCCGCCCGCTCCCTTATCCCGTGCTTGTACCATGCAAGTAGCGGCATTTACGCGGTATCAGGCTTGGTAGTGCTTGCCTGGCGAAGAGTGATGATAAGGTATTCCTTCGCTATCAGCCTTAGAATCCGTTCTATGATGGCTAATAGATAGTAGTCTACCTACAAACAACATATATATGTAAAGTTTTTAGAAATGAGAGTCATTACCTATGCCTTGAATCTGCTTCAGCGGCTTGCTCGAGGGCCGCAATGGACTGGGATGACCACGTTGGTTCCGATTTGATACCCTTGGACGTTAATCCGAGATCGTAGGACTCAACCCAGGAGGGCCCTTGTACCATACGTTCTTCCATAGGTGTCATAGTTCGGCGATGAGGCGGCTGAGAGTCTGCGCGTCGCGCATACGCCATCAATGGCACATGCACGACATCGTCTGTCATTATCGAATCCTTGCCCTCTGCCTCGACGGTATCGTCCGTTTCCATATCCGTTTCCGATACCGTGTCGTACTCCACAGAGTCAAAGTCAAGGCCATCGTCAAACTTGTCGACTGCGCATTGTGTCACAAAGTAGAGGTACACAAAGACACCCATGCACAGCAAGATGCCCACAACACTAGCCACCTGGCGAATCGTTTCTGTACGCTGTGAATGAGACGTCCTTTGTGGATGTGATACCAGAACGCCCGGCGAGGAGGATGTGCCGTCATTGGTGGGAAGCGATGATGAGGTATCGCCTTTCGGGCTGGCGTGATAGGTGGCAAAGCTCTCCAGGGAAGAGCCAATGCTCGTATGGACTAGGAGTTTAGGCAGGGCCAAGGCTGTGCATGTCATATATGTTCGCAATGTAAGCACATGAGAGCTTGCTAGCAGCGTGTTGAGCAGATTGTAGGGGTATGGAGCCAAACGAATCAAAAACAGCAAGCGTGGCTCAAGTTCAATCGCATGGACGATACGTTTCAAGCTGCCCGCATGCGTAAGCATGCGGGCCATCCAGCCACGCAGCCATGTGCGGCTGAGAATAAACACCGCCACAGCACCACTTAGGGCAGCTATGTAGCTCACAAGAAAACCCTGCCATACACCGAACGTATAGCCAGCTAGAACGATCATCGTAGAATACAGCGGCATGGGTGGGAACGTGGTCATAAATATCAGCAAACCAAAGAGAACGCGGCCCATCCACCCCATATTGCGCAGCGCCAACGAAAGGGTGTTCAGCAAGTGAAACAAGGGCGTATGGAAAAGCATGACCAGGAACGTGCTGGTCAGGCTTACACAAACCCAGATCATAAGAGGCGTATAGGCTCGAAGCCAATCAGGCCACCAGCAACGCGCGTGCGTAGTGGGGTCACGGAATGACTCGTCCCAGCACTTCCACTGAGATGCCACACACTGATGAACATGCTTATACAGCTCCTTGGGGTGCAGCAATAATTGCAAAAAGGACCGAAGCTGCATGAGTATGACCTGCATGGACCATGCCTGCAGGAAGGAGCGCTGCGAGCGTTGACGGCGACGGCGACGTCTCCGCGCATTCAGGAAGACAGCCCCACGGCGTGCCTGTGGCACCACAATGGACTCCATCGGGATGGCATGCTCGCTGGATTCGCTGCGTTCCGACACGGTGGGCTCAAGACGCACAGGACGCGATTGTGGACGCTGGGAATAGGGCGTGCTCCCAGCGGAGAGAGGGGATGGAGAGAATCGTGGATCTGTATCTGTTTCAGCTGTACCCCATTCGGTGGCCATTTGACAAGGCGACATGGTCGTCGGCGCATCAAAGAGCATCGATGCATAGCCTTGTGCGCCAACAGGGGACAAGGACCGCGTCACCACATCGACCAGCGATTGAGCGGCATAAGCGGCAGCACGGCCGAAGGTACGTGAATGGATCGCAGGGCTCCAAGGTCGTGACGTGGGGCTCATGGTCCTGGGAGAAAGGGTGCGAGACGATGGGCGGCTGGCGTGCGCGTGAACACCTGCCGATGTGAGACTGCAAGCTGTGAGCCGAGCATATGTGATACATACTGTACATGGTTGGAATGTGTGGCCAATTCATGGTCATATGAGGAGCTCCGAATGGGCGACGTCTGCAGGTGCAGCGAAGGTTTGGCTACCTTGCGATATGACGCCACAGATTCGGAGCGTGGGGGTAGGTCAGCGCGGTTCGGTCTAGACATGAACGGGACCAAGTCCAGTATGGCTAAAATCTGTCCACGTTCTCTAGTAGGGGGGAGTGTACCGGCGCAAAAGAACCACCTGTGCAATAACAGACAAACGGATGGACAGTGTACTCTTTCTTTCGCGGTTGGATGCGAAGCCAAAAATCCAACACTCGCTGGCTGTGTGGCTGGCCAAGGATTGGGCGAGTGTAGATTGCGTCATGTGCAGCCTGTGCCACCTCCACCCAGCGCAAGGTACACCGAGCAGACGGCCAGCCTACCATGAGGTTGCAACGATAGAAGCGGTCACGGTGACGGCGACGGCGACTACGATGGGTACAACGAGGACTGGCATCCAAATTGAGGCCATACTACGTTGGGACTATGTTTGCATTCTGCACACTACGTACCCTGAGCCATAAACCAGGTGTCGACTTTACGCGCGGTTGTCGCCCCAAAGACGCTCCACACGCTCCCAGTTCAGACAGTCCCAGAAGTGCGTCAGGTAGCGCTCCTTCCCCCAGAAGCCATAGTCACCGAGCCATGCATGCTCGAAGACACTAATACAGAACAGGGGGTATAGATGCTGGCCAATCGCGCCGTTCGCCGAGCTTCGCGAGAGATTGTCGAAACGGCTCAGGGGGGGCGAAGCCTGAGCCTTGGACGAGGTACCCGATGCCTCAGCTGCTGACGACTCAGGCGCCGCATCGGGCGTCATCTTACCGTCCTGCACAGCCGTGATAAGGTCGCTAGGACCACATTGACGGCGGTTCTGCACCAGCACTGTGCCTGCACCGAACGTTGGCACCACACCAAGACGGCCATGCTCATCCTTGACAAGCCAAACCCAGCCGCCTGAAACCATGCTCATGGCAGCCGACGATACAGCCAATTTCAATTGCGGTAGCGAGCCAAACTGATCAGCGATAGCAGTAGCGAGCGTCTTGCCGTAGAACGTAGGGATCGCACCGATGTGTGTGTACGGCTGTGGGTACGCACGCGTGCCCTGTGCTTCGTGAGGAATGAGACCCGACAAGAAGAAACTGTTATTCAACGCCAACGAGGCATAGTTGAACATCAAGATCTTCTGGCGGTCACGCGCCGTGCTCATCACTGTCTCCATAACCGACTCTGTCGCATGCAATGTACCTGTATAGGTAAGACTACCCACAAATGGGACCACATACCCTTTGCTTCTTCGTTCAGACGTTGCAAAAGACCAGCCTGCCACTGCGTCCACAGAAGGTGGGTCGTCCGCTTCGAGAGGAACGGCTCACACCCCTCTGCAATGGCCGAAGGAATCGGTGGCAATTGGTGCAAAGAGCGCACGCCCGACACGCGCGGAAGCGCGGTCGCACACCGGCTAAGACGTGCACGCAACATGGTTCACTCGTAAGAAACAAACGGGGCGACGACGATTCTTCTTCTTCCCCACGTGGCATTTCCGACCGGGGCCTGACTCCTCGACGCGGCCACGCACGCAGGCAACAAACACACCTCCTCCACTTGTTCAGCAGTGTGGTGGGACGTTGCGATGACGCAAGGTCCGGGTTCGCGCCCCGCGCCTGTGCCGATCGACACGCCGAGTGCCATGTACCAGGCACTGATTAAGCGTGCCATGCGGCCACGTCAACAGCGCATCCTGCTGCTGGCATCGCTCGCGACGTTTCAGCTCTTTGCTCTCTCGTTAGTAACGTGGAAGGCATGGTGGCGTGCCTGTGTGTGGATAAGTGCTCTGGCCCTAATCCCAAGCGCCGTACTTCCGTTGATATTCTTGCGCCGTACACACTTGATCAAAGGCCGCGCGCTGGTCAGCCCACGGCCTGTCACCCGCCTGGCATTTATTGCGAGTCTTGTGCGTGCTGATGATGTATGGCAAATCCTAGGCGTGCATGCTATGGTCGGTGCTGTGGTTTCCTCGGTATATGCACTGACAAAAACACATATGTATGGATGGAGTACAGCGTTAGCACCGATGCAGTATGTCTCTGTGCATGACGCATACTATATCAATGAGGTATGCCTACTAAGCATTGGCATGACTGTTCTCGCAAGCGTTGTGTACGCTAGCTTGATGATGTACTTGGTGCCAGGTGGCCGCCGTGGTGTTCCGCCTTTTGATACGACATACACAGGCAAATCGCTTCGTACACGTACGCTCGCATCTCTCCAAAGCCATGTCCCCTTGGCGTTATTGGGCTGGCTTTGTGTGCCGTTGGCTTTAGGTGTCTATCTTGTGTTCCGCGACGCCTTTTGGACAGCCATACTTCGTATTGTTGGCATTGAAACAGCACTTCGTCGGTTCGTTGTGCCTTCGTTCCGTGTTCCTTTCTCCTCGTTCCGCCTCTTAGTTCATGCGACGCCGCCTGTCTTGATGACATTAGCCTTGATGGAGGTCGTACATACTTTGTTTGACATTTATTGGACGCATCCATTGCGGCATACCACAATCGCCGCGAAAGATCTCAGTACGGTTTTGTTGGGTGGGCTCATGGACCCCCACCCGTTCTTCTCGTCGCATGCCTTTTGTGAACTGGCATGGATCGCAGAGAAAGAGCCGAAGGGTCGTCAGACATTGTTTGACGATGTGCAGAGGCAGCATGGCCGTCCTATCGCGCTAGAGGCCATCACTACGGCATGCATCCGTATGCTTGATCACATTGCGAAGGTGGAAGAACCCGCCGCAAAGACGGTCCCTACGTCGGCGCCATCACAGGCAGCGGCCACAACCACAACCAAGCCGGAGGCCCGTTCGTCGTCCAAGCCGTCGAATGTATGGCACATCTTGGCTAGTGATTCGGCCAACTCGGCCCCCACCAGCACACCCACCCCGTCATCGTCATCGTCACAGCCTCAGCCTCAGCCTCAGCCATTGCCGTCGTTCACACCGCCCACATCCACTGCGCAGCGTATCCAAGCAGTGGCGCACGGTCTGTGGACGTTGATGCCCTCGGAAGTAAAGCATGTGCTATTCCCGCGGGCATGGTATGCTGCGCTATGCCAGCCCACACCTGGTTTGTGGCTGGAAGCACATTGGCTGCCCTATCGCGCACGCGTATGTTGGGCAGCGCAGGCATTGCAGGGATTTGTGCTCGCCTCGCTTCAGGAGGATCGGTACGGCAGTGTCCAAGGCCAAGTCCCGCGAGTGCAGGCTTCGCTGCAGCAGGCACATACGCGCTTGGGGACGGTCCATCGGTATTGGGAGCGCACGGCGACCGAGGCTGATGCACAGTGGGTGCGTGATGTGCGTGTGGTGCGTGGTGTACTGGCTGATGCCGGGACTGATCATTCCACAACACTCGGCACATCTATTGCCCCATTTTACAATGAAATGCAGATGGCATGGCAGGCGTACGCAGCCCTGGATGATGTGATTGTGCAAGCTACGCACCATATTGGACAAGTGTATGCGCCATATCGATAAATAGAGAATGGTCTACGTCGTTCTACAAAAACAGAATACGCTGCCCCACGACTTGCAGCACACTTAGCGAGCTGTACTCTTGCAGTGTCTCTTGCAGTTGCGACTCGACCCAGCCGGCCGCCAACACGCGAGCACGTACGTCGGCCATCTGCAGCTCGCCCAGACGCCGCTGCCCGTCGCGCGAGCCTGGCTCGTCCTGGCCGGCCTGGAAAGCCATCTCACGAAGCAACCGGAAGATCTTCGAAACAGGGCTTTGGTCGTCACCTACATCGGCACGACGTCGAGTGGAGTTGTACAGCGACGCTTTGCTGACCTCCATAAGACGCAACGCCTCTTCCACATCCGATGTCTCGACGACCTCAGCAAGACGAAGACGCGCTAGCGCCTGCGAGAGACGCACGATGCCCAGCAACGTACGCGCAGACGTATAGGTAAACGCCTCGTCACGCTCTTCATCCTGCTTGTGCTGGGCACGCATTTGCACATAGGCATTCACCACGTAGTCGGACACGTCACGTGGGATTGTGGGACGACACTGACGCGCGGCGGCGATAAAGTGGCGAAGCACATTGGGGTGAATCACATCTTGCGCTGCTGTAGGCGGTGCACTGTACATGTGGACATACGTAACGTGCTGTGCCAGCCGCTCATCATTCTCACGCGAAGGTGTATCGAGGATCAGGTACAGGATATCGAAACGCGATAGCAGGGCGGCAGGCAGGTTGATGTTGTCCACGGGCGATACGCGCGGGTTGTAGCGGCCATACAGCGGATTCGCGGCAGCCAGGATGGATGTCCGTGCATTGAGTGTCGTGTTGATACCAGCCTTGGAAATCGAGATGGTTTGCTGCTCCATCACTTCATGAATTGCTGTACGGTCTGCCTCTTCCATCTTGTCAAACTCATCGATGCACGCAATGCCGTTGTCGGCCAATACAAGCGCACCACCTTCCAGCACCATTTCATCCGTCACAGGATCACGAAGCACCGCAGCAGTAAGGCCCGCCCCGGACGAACCACGACCCGTGGTATACAAGCCACGCGGCGCAACTTTGGCAATATATTTGAGCAACTGCGACTTGGCCACACCAGGATCACCCATCAAGCAGACATTGATATCGCCACGAATCTTTAGGCCATCGCCCATCGTCTTGGTACAGCCACCGACCAACAGCAGAAGAAGCACCTTCTTGATATCTTCGTGACCGTAAATCTCTGGCGCGATACTTGCTGCGAGACGACTGTAAAGACTTGGATCCGAGTGCAAAGAAGCCAGTTCTGCTTCCATCTCAGGTGTAAGCTCCATGGCCTCGTAGGACTTTTTCAGCTGCCGAATGTACTGCGCCTCCAAGTAGGTATCTGTCAATAGACCAGCGCGAATACCGCGGAAACCTGTATAAGGCAAAGGTAGGAAAATACCACCAATCTGCACCACGTCACCTGGACTAAGTTGTCGCGTAAGTCGGCCATACAAATGCACACTCATGGAGCGAGGAATGTGGCCTACAGGCACTTGATCGGTCATTTCCTGGATGCGCACTTCCTGGTACGCAATAAACTTGCTTGCACGCACTTGTGGATACAAAGGCGCTCGTGTTTTGTTGGTCACACATACGCGACTTGTGCAGAACGTCAGAGGCATATACTGCCGACCAGACACCTCTTGGAAGACCTCGGCACCACACACATCGCAAGCATACGCGTCGACGAGAATCGATGGCTTCACATCGGTGATACGCGTCACAATACCACGCATAGACAACAACTTGCCGAGATGCGCACCGCGAATCTCACGTACAGCCATTGGCACATCACGCGACGGCGGCTTGAAATAGAGCATATACCGCCGCAAAAGAGTCGGTGGGAACATTTCCAGTTCCTCACCGGCATTCTCCTCCTCTTGCGCATTGACGGCGTTACGCTCCATACGCTGGTGCCGAATCACATCAAGTACGTCGTCCTTGTCAGACATGTCACGATCGGGCGCTGGTAGGATGCGATCAATTACCTCGCTAAACAGGTTGACATAGCGTTTGGTATTCCCTTGAATGGCTGTAACCAACGCACCACCGATAAAGCGACCAGAAGACGAGCGAAACTATGGTTAGCATGTACAGCACATACCTGCGCGACATCGTCCAATTCAATGACCAGCATTTCTTGATCGCGATTTGCAATGCGTTGCTACCGTGTAAGCAAAAATCATACGTACCAATTGCACCAAATACTTGTTGACGACACCCTCTTGTGAAGTCTCTTCTCCATCCACATGCATCCTACGGCTTTCCTCGTGCTCCGCCTCCTCTTCGCGCGAGTACAGCTGGTCTGGGGGCAATGCAAGGGGATCCGTTGAAGATACTGTGCCCACGCGAGAAAGGGATGGCACTTCCGTGGAGGGTGCCTTGAAATGCTCAAGAAAATCTTGGATCTTTTCTCGTTCCTCATCGTAGTTCACAGGAATATTAATCACAGGCAAGATGGGGCCTGCACTTGCACTCATCCCGCCGTGAAATGTTTACGGTTGTGGGAGGTAAAAGATCGTAGGGTCAGAAGCGCAAGGTACGGTGAAGTAGCGTAGATCGCAAGTCCAACGTCGTACGTAGAACGTGTACACCTACCGAACGGCGATAGCTGCAAGTAGGATGACACGCCGATTTCATCGGTTCAACGGGGGGGCCTCACGTGCCACAGGTATGCGCGCCGTTCAAAAATAAATTGCAAAAGGTATGCGCCAAGGGGGAATCGAACCCCCGGCACAGCTACATCGTAAGGATGGCAAAGCTGTATTTTACCACTAAACCATTGGCGCTTTAGACGATAGACATGGTAGTGCCGTTTATCTATAACCAGTATCGAATGAAGGCCACCGCTCCTTCCGGTGTCCTGGCTGTCCTTGCCGCTCGCGCAGCTAACTAGACATGAATGCACGTTGTCTATAGGTATCTCTACTTTTTCTCTTGCGCATCCCATTCACGCTCATGCTCACGGACAATTTCCAAGCCGGGCAGCTCGCCACTGACGGTGCCAAAGAGGGCATCACGTACTTGAGCGCTGCGTTTCGTCATGTCTTCTTGGCTGTACAGATCGCCATGACCGGCGGTATCACGAGCGCGGCGGCTCTGGTACATGGCAGGCTGCTTCACAAAGTGACGGCGTAAGCTCTCATTATCGCCAGCGACAGGTGGGAGCGGCGAGGGCGTCTTCGACGCAAAAGTGCCCTGAATGGTAGCCGAATCGTACAGATCAATCTGGCCAAGGGTGTTGCGTTGGCCCGATTGCTGCTCGTACTTTTGCATATTGTGAAGGTCATTGGTAGTAGCGAATTGTACAAAGGGCTGGCCACGTCGCTTCCCCATAAATGGGCCAAGGATGCTTTCTGTAACAGCATCGTCCAGATCCTGTTCCTGGGCGCCCTTGGTAGGCACTGGGTAAAAGCTGGGTGTGAGATGGTATAGCGTCACAGCACGACGCAAGTCATCGTCTTTCTTTTGCTTGATGAGACGTTTTCCACGCCGTGATATGCTAGACGAGGCAGATGTGCTAAACGACCGCGCCCCCAACGATGCCAACATAGGCAGACGCAGCATGGTGCGCGGAGCGAGCAACATGGCTACGAGGAGATGCGAAGAAAAAGGCAATGGAGGTGTGACCACGACCGGACGACGGCGCTGCAGGGTCATCACGTGCCGCCCACACGCGCGTTACCGAGACGTGCGAAAGTAACAGGCCATGAACCAGACAGCGCACGTCCACGCTGCCAAAGAAAAAGAGGACGATACCTTGTGACGCCGGCGAGCCGTTTTACTGGAGTGCAAGGACGGGGGATTGTACGTGATGGAGCCAACACCTCCATCCCGGCCATTGCCCCAGCCGAAAGTGCCAGCGCCCGTGCCTTGGGCCAGTGCGCACGAGGTCTTTCAGCGTCCGAGATCGACGGATCCGCGACAGGATACGAATGTGTCGACGCCTCCTCCCACCCAGTGGTCTGGACCTATGGAAGGTGCACGGCCATCTACACCTTCATCGCCCGCGCGTGATGTGTACGAGCGGGCGGAGGCGATTATGCGGCGTGGTTCGCCCACGCGTGATCGAGTCTCGCGCTCGCCCACTCGACGACGCCCCTTGCCTGTGCCGTCCGTTTCGTCGCTAGCGCAAGCGGAGCTGATGTCTGATACCCCCCCTCCTACCTGGAGTACCATGCCAAGCATCGCCACAAGTTCGTTGCCCTGGCTTCCACGACCCGAACAACGCGCGAGTCCGCCGCCGAGTACGTCATCCAAGCCGCTGCCGTCGCCAGGCGTCGATAGCGCACTGCCAGGCGTACCACCTCTGTATCCGCCTACGCGGCGTGGATCGCGGCCTTTGCCTACACCCGGCGTAGCGGCGCGAAACGATGGCATGGCAGTCCCTGTCACGACCTCTGCTGTGCAAACAGAGATCGTACGACCTGCTACGCCCGTGTCGTCCTTCATTGCCCCGCACGCTAGTACGCCGCCGCCAGGGCCAAGATCGATGCCCAGTATACCTATGTCGATATCGTCACGCAGTGCCACGCCTTCTCCGACTGTCTTGCCTGTCATTATGATTGAGGGCGAAGTGATGACCGACGATATGATGGATCCTATGTATGAGCCTAACGTTTATGACAACAACAACAACAACAACCACGAAGACGAAGTGTCAGCCAATATAACGCTTAGTGATGAGCCGGTGCCGCAGCATGCGTCGCATTCGTCAGCGGCAGAGCGAGAGACATGGCAGGGATCGCGTGTCTCGGAAGGCATCACATCTACCTGTCATCGATGCCAGCGGTGGATTGGGGGATATATGGTGCATGCGCTTGGGCATGCGTGGCATGCGCGGTGTTTTACATGCCGTCATTGTGGGACGCTGCTTGAGCATGTCTCGTTTTACGAGCATGATGGCGAGCCGTACTGCCACTTGGACTTTCATGAGCTATTTTCTCGGCGATGCTACCACTGCAAGACGCCCATTGTGGATGAGCGTTTCATCACGGTGGATGCCCTGGGCGATGTGCGTACGTATCATGAGATGCACTTTTTCTGTGCGAGCTGCGGAGATCCATTTGTCGATCCCAAGGACAGCGATGAGTCGACTCATTCGGAGGTGAGCAAGCCGTTCTTTGTGCATGGCCACCATGCGTACTGTGAAAAGTGCAATCGGCGACTGTACGGTCCACGATGCCAAGGATGCCGGCAGCCGATTGGTGATGAGGAAGAATACATCGAGGCGCTGCGTGCGAAATGGCATCCCAGGTGCCTGAAATGTACGCGATGTGGCCAGCCCTGCCGTGGCGCGGTGTTTGTGCTGCCGGATGGCTCGCCGTGCGACTTTGACTGCTACCAAGCCTGGACACGAGGCGGACGCAGCGGGCCTGCGCCGCCAGCCTTTCTTACCTGAGGGACGTTGGTCGTCGTCTTGCTACATACAGTCTATCGTTGGTATAAAGAATAGAAACCCTACGCCGCTTTATGACGCCAGTCAAGAATACGTAGTGGCGCCTCCTCGGACCACTGTACATGCGATGCGGCCACATCCGTGTACAGTGGCAAGGTATGCTGAGGATCGCCAGGCACCACATGCGGATGGAAGGGAGCCGGGTCGTTGCAGTGCAAAACAAACTGCAGGCCAGGTGGGTTGGTGAGTCGGAAGACTCCCAACGACGGCTGCTTCGATGGCGCACACACCACCGCAATGGCTTCGGGCAAAAGCGCTTGGAAACTCGCATGCGTGTGTAGGTCCAACGACGATAAGAAGCACGTCTGTGTAGGGTGTGTGTGAATCCAGCCTAGGGTCATGAGATCGTTGTCCAGTTGGTATGCCAAGATGGTCTCTTCGCCATGGGCTACGCAGCTCACACTGGTCCCATGCTGCGGCGGGAGAAGAAGGTGCGTGACATGCAATGTACCTTCGCCACGGCCGAGAAGAATGCCAATTGTCTCGATATCGGCACGGGTATGAGCCTCCGCAAGGGCCAGGAACTTGGTCGCGACGATGGCAGGGAGGACAATGGGACGCAGAGGCTGCTGAGCTTCCGTCTTCGGCGGCGAGGACGGCCGTCGGCCTGTGGCCAAGACATGCAAGTCGGAGGACGAGGATACGCGCCGCGTCCACGTCGTCGTCGGCACAGCATGTGGCGGCGAAGGGGGGGCGGCTCCCCATCCTGCGTCGCTGGAAGAAGAAGGGCGGGCAGGCCATGCATGCGAGGCCGGCGCCTTGCGTAGCATGGTCGCGGCCGCTGCACGCAGGGCCAGCTTGTTCATCGTGCCGGGCGCCTTGAGAAGGATACGACCTACAGCCTCCAAGGAGCGCGATTCCGCATGGTCCGTAGGCACATAGCCTTGCTGCTGCTGATGCTCCGACATGTGTGTAGCCATGGCATCGTCGACGCTTACACGTGGCGGGGCCGATGTAGGCGTTTCAGAGCTGGGTGGCTTGGCTACGACCATCGTCACCAGCGGCTCAGCTGTCAAGAAGCGACGCGATGGTGTGGATCGCAGTTGCGAAGGGCGTGTTGAGGCGCGGCTGTGTACCCGGGGCGGTGGATGCTCTTCTTGCGACGCCGAGACGTCGGACGGCGGAGATGGGCGCGTGCGTGGCTTGGGCGTGGCGGGCCGAGCGCCTCGCAGCGAAGGGTCCACGGGTGGGGGCGGCTCAGCGGCACGGCGGGACGCCATGACGTGCAAATTCGGCTCGGCTGTGAGCGATAACGCCTGCATGTGTACAGCGACGGGCGCTGGGTGTGTCCGAGCCGCTGGTGCCGGCGCTGGTGGCGAGGCGTATGTAGGCACAGGATCCACACGCAGAGAGGACGAGGACGAGGACGAGGAAGAATGGGACGAGGCAATCGATGGCTCGCGGCGTGGGACGTGCACAGCACGCAGGGGCTGCGGCGTAATCGATATGCTCGAACGAGGAGAAATGGACGACGCATCGTCGTCCGAGACAAAGGAGACGTGCTTAGCAGGCGGGCGCCCAGGTGTCTGTGTGAGCGACGTAGGGCGGCTACTGCGGAGCGAGGAGCGACGTGGTGCTTCCTGCCGCGAGGAACGGCCCGTGGCGGAGATCGGCGGGGAGGCGTCGTCCGTGAGCGCCTCACGCGTGAGTGTGACCATGCTTTGAATGGTTTGGGCATTCTGCGTGTGAGAGGAGAGGGGACCTACCATGAGAATGTGCGCTTGTGTCTAGATGTGAGCCGACTACGATCGACGTACCTCGTCGTCCAATGTGCGCCACCCCTTGTGCGCAAACGGGAGCCATTCTCCTAGGATCCTGACGGTGAGTCTTGCTGGTACCTACACTGCGCAGGCTGCGAGACTAGGATGGTTAGCCACAGGACCGGGACGTACCAAACGTATTGGCGAGCCAAATCACCTGCGATATGGTGCTGATCAGCTTGGCGCTTGAGTGTATCTGCGCGGCGGATCCACGCATTGATAGGGACCGCACTAGAGAAGCGCATCTCTGCGAGCATAGCATCGACCTGCCCATCCAACTCCGTCAACGAGGGCGTCGGCTGGACAGGCAAAGCAGGCGCCTCGGCCGGTGCAGGGACATGGCCAACGATGCTCACGAGGTTGGTGGGACCTGTGAGGGAATGCGCCTTGGCTTTATCGCCTACCCCAAAATGCGGCCGCCTGAATTTCATTCCGCTAGGGCGTCGACGTGCGAGCGTGAAAAAGCAAAGAAACGAAACGAGCGGTCGTTCCACACGTACGTCGTCCCACCGCAGTGAACTCTCCGAGAGACGGGCGCTGGGGGCCTGGGTCTTTTTTCCCCACAGCGAGGGGAGGGGCCGCGCTAGGATAGGCATGCACGCGCCATGAGGCCATCGTGCGTGGACCACGTGGCGGATGCAGATACACACACGCACCGACGCGCCGCCCTCGTTCTCTCTCGCCGCCCAACGACGCGTGGAGGAACGAGCATCGTCGTGATGAGCCACACGGTCGTGCACGTCACGGCGCTGCAGCAGGGCGAACGTATACCCCGAGCGCAGCTCGTCGCCGCTTTACGTGCTCACCAAGGCCTAGCGTACGTCCCAGAACAGGCACTGCTGCGTGATGTAATCTATCTCCTGCAAGGCATCTCGGGCACCCATGTACGCTTCAAGCAGGAATGGCAGATGCCCACCGCCGATGGCTCGCACCCCGCCGAGACTGTACTGCGCCTCGAGTTTGATGAAAAAGATGGCATTATCTCGCCTCCGACGCGCGACTTGATTCATCGCTTGGCTGAGTTGGGGCAGCTGTACGTTCGTGTGCAGCGCTACGTCGACAAACACACCCATCCCACACCACGGCACCTGGCCTCACAAAGTCTCTGTCACTTCTTAGCGCAGGAATTGCAGGCGCATGGCGAGCTTGTCTCCGATATGGAGGCGCAGTGGCATGCACAGGCCGAAGGCGTGACGCCGTCGCATCCACTCACTCTACGCCGCCTCGTGCAAACGACGCGCGAGCCTATTTTACGCATGCGATTGATGAGTACCATGGTCGAGAGCTGCCGTGATATGCATGGCGGCGCGCTCGTCTCGACCATCCATGCGTACACACTCACAGGCGACCCCTTCATCCGCCGATGCACGTCGACGTTGCTGGACCACGTCTCGCGGCCCTTCTTTCATACCCTATCGCGCTGGATCTATGACGGTGAGTTGGACGATCCCTTTGACGAGTTCTTTGTGGCGCAGGCCTCGTCGCATACCCCGACGCCGAAGCAGGCGGATGACTTGGTCGTTCCGACAGAACCTGGCGCTGATGCCGCAGATGTATGGCAAAATCGCTTTGTTTTGCGCGAAAATATGCTGCCCAGTTTCCTTAGTGAGCACTTTGCACGCAAGATCTTTTCTACAGGCAAGAGTTTGCACTTCCTCCGCGACTGCTGTGGCGAGGATCGCGCAGAGATCCAAGGCCGCACGCCACGACGCGCCCTTCGCTACTCAGATATGGCCGGCTTGGAGCATGCGATTGATGCCGAGTTTGCCCTCGCTAGTGGGCATCTCTGCTCTCTCTTCCTGACGCAGTTCCGACTGCGTGATCACCTTCGGGCGATCAAGTCGTATTTGCTGCTCACGCAAGGCGACTTTGCCGATGCACTGCTACAGACTTTGGGTCCGAGCTTATCGCGACCGGCCTCGACTCTGTACCAACACAACCTGAGCGCCGCCTTGGAGACGGCCATTCGTGCGTCGAATGCGCAGTATGAGGATCCCGATATTCTGCGCCGTCTCGATGCACGGAGTCTTGAGTTTGGGCCCGGTGATACTGGGTGGGACACGTTCACGTTGGAATACCGTGTCGAAGCGCCTGTCAATGCCGTGCTTGATGCCTCTGCTATGGCGGGCTACCAACTCTTGTTCAACTACCTATGGCAAATCAATCGCGTAGCTGCTGCGGTCACGCTGGCATGGACGCAATTGTTGTCGACACACAAAGCCGTGCTGCGTAGTCGGCAGCGTTCGCAACTCGATGCGTCGTTGCTACCATCGCTGCACCGAACGCTGGGCCATTTGCATGAGATGGTCCACTTTGTGCGGCAGCTGCAAGGATTCTGTGAGTTGGAAGGCATCGCGTATGCATGGCAGCAACTCGAGCAGAATTGCGATGCTGGCATTAGCGACTTGGATCAGCTGATTGAAACGCATCGGCATTACTTGCACACGCTCATCCATACGACACTTTTGCGTGGACGACGTGGCCAGGCCGATCATTTGGCCGACGATGTGCGTGCACAGCTCCAAAGTGTGTTGGCGTATGCCCACTGCGCTGAAGAATGGTCGCATCATATCACCGCTGAATTAGCGCGCCTCGCAGGCGGGGTAGCGCCGCTGCGTAGCGCTGCGCACACGCAAAGCGTACTGGTAGAGCGTCTACGCACAGAACACGCCGCTTTCCAGCACCGCCTTCAAGGCATGTTGAGCACCCTGGAGCGGCACCCAACTCTGACTGTTCGTGACTTGGCCGTACGTATCTTCGACGACTCACACACAGCGACGATGGAATTTTAATGTGTACTACAAACGTGAACGGACAGTCATGGTCCAGCCCTCCTCCGACACACGCTCTCATGCGCCTACTTCTTCGTCCTGAGGCGATCGTTGCGCCGTTGGGATGCCCAACATCGATAAAGTACGCTGCAGCGATCGATCAATTCGCCAGCCATGCCAGGGCGGCGCTTGAAACTTGGCCGCTATCCGAGCCCACTGCCTCGTCATGTACCTACGATGAGATCGACTGACCTTGCGCAACGCGGCTAAGAGGCTGGCCAAGGCACGTGGACTGGGTGCCAACGTTGCTGGCATCTTGAGCTGCGACGAAGGAGAGAGTGACTCGTCCGACGCAGGGAGAAAACGCGATGTAGGCTCCAAACGTAGGTAGCCTTCGAGTAACTGCTCCAACGCATGTATATTCCATGGCGACGTGTCTGACACAGACCATGTCTGCGTGGCGGTGCGGTACTGCGCACCAACACCAAAGTGCGCGAAACCTTGAAAGAGGGTGTGGTATATGTCCATCGTCGGCTTCATGCCGAGATCGTCAGGGTGTTCCGGTGTCACAACCATATCATGCATTACGTGCAAAGCGCCATCCAAGTCGCCTGCCTCGGCCAACCCACGCACAACCAAGGCATAGGTTGCGCGATCGGGTACGATGGTACGTGGCAGCGCATCGATACCCAGCACCTGGCCGAGAGACAAGGCGCTCTCGGCCGCCGCCGTGGCGGAGGCGGCAGCGGCGGTCACTGGAGGGTGAGATGAGAGAGCGTCACGCGCTGTGCAAAGCGCATTAAAGCGCAAAGCTTCATACACGTGCCGTAAATGCGTCGATCGAGTAGGTGCCTCGTCTGTCGTAGACTGCATGTACGCCTGCAAGACCGTATTGACGGCATGCGTCGAGCACATACCAAGCTCCGTCATGGTCGCCATGCATGAACGTACCTCATCCCATCGACGCAGACGTACATACATGGAGAGACGTATGCACCAAGATATGCGCGACGGAGTACACGTAGGATGCTGCTCCATCCATGCCCAAATGGATTCAAAAGACGAAGTAAGAAACGATGGTGCCCCTGCCTCGGTGCTCAAGCGCTGTCGAATCGTGCGTAACATCGCGATGGGCAGTGTTGGTTCTTCCTTTGTGTCTTGGGAGGGAAGCAGCGCCATTGTTCGCAGACTTAGCGACGAACGACGAAAAACGGGCGGCGGTGATGCCCCAATATTGCGCACAAGGGTATGAAGAAGGATGTTGAAGGAAATGGTATCCGGAAAAAGGCGGTATGCCACAGGTGCATATCCAGCCATCCATGCGTACGATGGGGACGTCAAGGAAGGTTGGATGTCCGCCGAGGCACTAACGGACGCTGTAGCAGACGCCAGGAAAAACAAGTCCAGGAGGTCAGCCAGAGCTTCGGCTGGCGAGGCATGCAGACTACTGCGTGCGCTTGTAAGTAAGGCATTCCATATGTAGGCGTCTTGTAAAAGCTCGGCCCACTCGTGGCGGACCAGGGGATCTGAAAGTGGTCTGTGGGTATAAGTATGAAACGCTCTGTGAAGTTGCTCCATGACAAACAAGACCCGATCGGTCGTCGTAGGCGTATGTGGCCGTCGATCCAATAATACACGTAAGATACCGCGAAATTCTGTCGTCGTCAGCGCAGGTGCATCTTGCTTAGCCAGTCTCATGAACGTATCAAAAGCATCGTCAGCCTGGTCCTGCGCTAAGGACTGATGCAGTGATGCCAGCTGCCTTCGAAACGAGGGAGAGGTGGATACCGTAGTATAGAGACGTACATACGGCCGAAGCACGTACGTACGTATCCGAGAAACGAGGCGCACACCGAACGTAGTCACAACGCTAGCCACGTCGGCGGTCAAAAAAGGAAGCCTCGTTGGCAGGGTAAGGCGAAGAAGCCACGCCAAGTGTGTGGCTGCTGCTGCCTCCACTTGTGTCAATCCCTCTTGTATGTGAAAATGCATACGTGCGTCGCTACGACGTCTACAATTACCAAAAGATGGTGGCTTACGGCACCATCACAGGCGCCTCGCCCTGACTGATCTGTACCTTGATGCACGTCTTACCATCTTCGCCGGTACCACGCGTCACCGCGTCAAACGCTTTGTTTGCATCCTTGAAGGCGTAACGGTGCGTGACTAAACGCGTAACATCAATCTTGCGCTCCGCAGCCAGGGCAATCGACTTTTCATAGTCACCTGCCGCGTAACGGAACGAGCCACTGAGCTGTATTTCACGCACGGAAATACGCGTGATCGCCATAAGCACCTCAGGACGGCCCATGCCCACAGCGACTACACGGCCACGCTGGCGTGCGGCCCAGGCAGCCAGCAGCAAGCAGGACTGGGCACCGGTCGCATCCACGACTAGGTCAAAGCCATCGTTGTCCTTCACGTCCCCACCGAGATGCTCGACAAGCTCACGCGCAACACGCGCAGCATGGTCAGCCTCTGGCTCGCCTTCATACTTTGACAACGTCTTAAACGTCGACGTAGCGCAGAACGACGACGCAAAGCGCAACTTTTCATCAACCAGATCGGTCACCACGACACGACGGGCGCCATAGGCACGAGCCACAGCACCACACAGGAGTCCAATGGGGCCGGCACCCAGAACCAGCACGTTCTCCAACGCGCGCACCTGGCCCATCGTGACGACAGCATGCACACCGACACTAAGCGGCTCCATCAACGACGCCTCCTCCATCGTCATGTGGTCTGGGATCTTGTGCGCAAACGCCGCATGGAGGTTGTAGTAGGTCGCCAGGGTACCGTCGTAAGGAGGTGTAGCAGCAAACACCATCTTCGGACAATGGTTGTACAAACCCGAAATGCAGCGTGGGCAGGCCAAGCAGGGCACACCAGGCTCCAGCGCAACGCGGTCACCGACCTTGTGCGAGGTCACACCTGGGCCCACCTCAACGACAATGCCCGACGACTCATGGCCGAGAACCATGGGCGCCGTCAGGATAAAGTCACCAATGCGGCCATGTTCACGATAGTGACTATCTGAGCCGCACAAGCCTGTCTGACGCACATTCACACGCACTTCGCCTTCACGCAATGGGAGCACAGGACGGTCTTCAAAAACAGTTTCATGAACACGTTTCAGCACGAACGACATGTTGCCCTCAGCGGGCGGCACAGGGAGACTGTTTTCACTGCTCATGGTGGGCACGCGAAACAGTCGTGTGCCTGTTTTTTGTATTAAGACTTTAGAAATTGCATTTTGCCCGTGCATATGTGCCTTGCTTTTCATCTGGCCACCTCATGGACCTCCACATCGGGCCCTCGCCCGTCTGGGTGGCACGAGCCCTCGGGCCGCCCGCAGGGCTGTGGGGCGTCGTCGTCTTGGCAGACCGCAAAATCGATAGACTCCGAATCGATTCTTATCAATATCGTTTCACTATGATATAACGACACTCATACATGCTGTGTAGTGCTACATAACAATGCACTTAGACGGCTGCGGTTCTTGACCGCCTGGTGCTGACGCCTTCTCGATTTCGGCCAGTACAAGCTCGAAGACCTTGGCTATGGTGGTCAGCAAAAGGGAGAATATACATACCAACATTAGCATTGTGTCGTGCGCTGGTCTCGATCCATGCACAGTGCAGAGACTGTGCAAGCTCCTTGCCTTCTGCCTCGGACACTTGCCTGCCGGTTAGTCCGTGCAAAAAGCGACGACATACATACCGATGCGAGTGCAAATCACTCTTTTGACCTACAAGGACACAGGGAATGGTCGATGTACCGGTATAATTCAAGATCTTGTCGTACACTGTCTGGATCATTTCGAAACTGGCGCGCGAAGCAATGGAGTACACCAGAACGTAGCCATGGATACCGATAGCATGCTTCGAATTCAAGATGGAGTACTCGTCTTGACCGGCCGTGTCGACAATATCGCAGCTGTACTCTTGGCCCTTGTACTTAATCGTCTTCTCAAATACGTTTTCGATCGTGGGGTAGTACGAGTCCACGAACGCATCTTCCACGTAACGCACCACCAACGACGATTTGCCTTCTCATAAGTAGGTGTCATCACATACCGACAGATCGTGAGCCTAGGACCGCGATTTTTCGCTTCTTGCGCAACTGCTGTGAGGCCGCTGATGCCATGGTCTCAAAATAAAGAAAGCCGGACGAACAGAACGGGGTATGCTTGCAGCTGTTGCCAACATGCATATCAACCCTATTGGGCTCCACATACATAGGGTCCGCAGTCTGTGCGCGCGCATCGCTCGCCGGTCCATGGACAAGACGTGGCGCGAGTGGCAACAGTGTGCGTGCAGCCCCGGTGGGTGGGATGCTGCGCATATAGATAGGAAGAAGGCATGGTACGCTTCGACAGTACTGACTCATTGCAGGTTTTCTTGTTTACACGCCGAGGATGTAAGCCCGCCCCCTACAATAGATACACTTCCGCACAAGGATGAAGGACAATTGGATCTGGATGTACAGCGCAGCTTCTACACACACAAAGACGAAAGGCCTGTACACATGGATCAGCTTCGTACACATTTGCGCGCTATGATATCAACCACTCTGCGTACTTATCCAGCCTTACACTATTTCCAAGGCCTTCATGACATCGTCGCCATTCTTTTGCTGACGCTGTGTCCTGGGAGCAAAGAGGAGCCAGTGTCGAACGACGATCTAGTCAAGCTGCAGAACGTCGTGAACTATGTGTGTTTGCATTTCGTACGCGATAGCATGACACGGGATCTTATGCCTGCCATGAGTCACCTGAAGGTGGTGCGTAACATTCTACGAGCCGCAGATGCACCCTATGCTTATGCCCTGGAACGTGTGTTCTATCCTAATCATGTGGTGGTCGTCTTGTCATGGATGCTCACTTTATTCACGCATGATATGCCTACGCTTTCGTCTGCCCAACGTATTCTCGACTTTGTATGGACGCATGGACCAGCAAGCACAGCGTACGTGTGTGCGGCCCTGCTCCTATCACGAAAAGACCAAGTGGCACAAAAGGCCTCAGAGCAACACCGGTCGGTTGATGAGTTGGAATTACCAGTGTTACACCAAATTTTGTCGGGAGCACCCGAGGCATTGGGGCGCGATGAAATGTTGATGGAGCGAGTCCTCCAGCATGCTGGTACGTTGATGGACACGTATTCCCTACGGTGCCCCGCAGTGCGTGCGCATCTGATTGTGGGACAGGACAGTGTGCTTTTCACATGGCCCCATGTGTCTACCACAGAGAATGCTGTACGCATTCTATCCCTGCCAACACCGCAGCTCGCGCTAGATCCAATGCCTACGCCACGGGAAGAGAAGCTCGCCCAGATGCCCAACACGTTGAAGAAGCCACGCACGGCCGAGATTCTATGGCAGGTCATTCAACGGCGTCGTGCTCCCTATTTATGGCTATACCCCCGTATTCTCACCATGTCGGCTATGTCGCTCCTCTTCAGCGGAGGCCTTGCCACGTTTCTGTTAGCGATCTTCCTCGCGGATCGACCACGCATGTAGTATGTAGGTAGAGAGTCTAGGCCTAGATACGCGTTGTATCATTAGTCAGCAAGAAACGAGGCCGTGGCACGGCCGTAGGTCAGACAGTGGAGTGTCGGTGCCAACACGAGTGTCTCCTTGGTAGGCATGAATCTCACGCTGTATACAACGCGAGCAGGTGCGTCGTAAGCCGTATTGACAGGAAGTGCTCCTGCTGGATTCGGAAGGCAACCGTATTTTGGCTAAATACTTCCAGCCGCCAGCCGCGTTGCATGAAGCTACGGTCGCCTCTGGTGCATCGCTGCCATCGACGCTGACGCCCATGGCGGCCAAGAACCCGTACCAGACCATGAAGCAGCAGCGTACGCTGGAGCAGGGTGTGTGGGACAAGGCTCGCCGTGCATCGGGTACGTGTACATGCCATGCCTGACATGTGAAAGGTGACCTATTTCAGTTCGATAACAACCTGGTTCTATTCAAGTCGTCGTACGATGTGTACCTCTTTGTGATCGCGCCGGAGCGTGAGAATGAACTTATGATCCACAGTTTCTTGCAGTCGTTGTATGACACACTGACGGTGCTGCTGCAGAGCCAGATTGATAAACGCACGATTCTGGACAACTTGGATTTGGTTACGATTGCTATCGACGAGAGTGTCGACGATGGGTATGTGCTTTGTTGATTGACATGATCCAGTATCATTCTTGAGACGGATAGTGCCGCGATTTCCAACCGTGTGACGCGAACGCGCTCTGATGCCATTGAGGTGCAGCTTAACGAGCAGAGTACGTGCGCGCAACTTGACTGACATGCAGCGCTCCTGAATGCGTACGCCAATTTCCGTGAAAAGTACGTCACTATCTCGCTATACACTAACTCTATACAGGTTTGCGCAGCGCCTCGGTGGTTTGTAAAGTAGCTAGACTCGGTACGGCGCAGGCCTAGGCGGTGGTGCAGGCCACCCACAGGCACAGCACGCAAGTAGGTCTTCGCCCGTCTTGGCCCCACGTGACGGACGCGGTGGCCGTCTGCATGTCGAGTGTATCACGTGAGTGACCAACACCGGCACGCTGAGACGCGCGCCGCCCCCCGAGTGTTTATTCCTCTTGCGGTAGCGTTGTTCGACGCGACGGCACGGCGTGACACGTACGATGAGCGCGACGCAACGTGCACCGCTGCGTGAGCCGCTCGGAAAGAATACTACGTCACGCAACACAGAGCCCAATGGCAAAATCCAGTTTGCTACGCTCAAGCCTGTGCCGAAAGAGGCGCGTGTGCCCGGCGTGGTGAGTGCCAACGTCTCTGTGATGGCGCCCACGTCGGCAGCGACGACCACCGAGACGAAGCGAGGGGCTACCAAAGTAGCCTCTAGTCCATTTGTACAGAAAGAATCCAAGGCCTCGACGCTATTGCAAGACGCGTCGGGTCGTGAGAACCGCCCTGCCTCGGCCGCCGGCGCCAAAGAGTCGGGCTTTGCAGCAGCACGTCGCCGTTTCGCGACGCCGACTTCGCAAGAGTCGTCTGTGATGAGTCGCAGCAAGACGATTCGCAAGGCCAGTGAGACGGTGGCCACCTCGGGTCCTGGAGCCAACCGATTGCGTCTCTCGCGTCAGAGTTTGGCCTCGTTCCCTAGTGTGGATGCAAGCCGCGCTACGATTACCGATCTGACAGACGTCTCAAAAGAGGTGGTCGGCAGTGCCAAGAGCGGAAGCACACGCTGGATGGACGTGGAGCGCGATAATGTCCAAGCCTACGAGTACTTGTGCCACTGCAGTGAGGCGCAAAAGTGGATGGAGAAGTGTATTGGAGAGCCGCTGGGAGGCGATATCGCGAATATGGGCGAGGAGATGCGCAATGGTATTGCCCTAGCGAAGCTTGCGAAATCGTTCGAGCCGACGTGTGTGCCGCGTATCTTTGTGCACCCGCGTCTGCAGTTCCGGCATACCGACAACATCAACTACTTCTTCCAGTTTGTCGATAAGATCCGTCTACCAAACTGCTTCCGGTTTGAGTTGACAGATGTGTACGAGAAGAAGAACTTTCCCAAGGTGGTGTATTGTCTGCATGCGCTCAGTCACTATATGGCACACCAAGGCCGTTCGGACAAAGTTGACGACTTGGTCGGCAAATTGGAGTTTGACGAAGAGCAACTGCACAAGACACAAAAGACGATTGATGCCTCTGGCCTGGCGATGCCGAGCTTTGGCGGAGTAGGCCAGGCGCTGGCGCAGGAGATGGGCACGAGTGCCGCCTGGAAACGCAAGAGTTTCCCGCCGCCGCCAGCGCCGCCAGCGCCAGCGCCAGCCCAAGCCCGAGAACGAGCCCATGAGAACGAGAACGAAGAGACGCCAGCCAAGCCGCCTCGTATGGTTCCCGAGCCTGCGACGCTGGCGTCGCAGCGTGCCCACCTGAAACCTGTCCCGACGTCGCCGTCGAAGGCCACGTCGCCATCCATGACATCGCTGCGTGCGAACTTGAAGCCGGTCGGCAGTGTGCCTTCGCTTCGCTCACCGGACCACAAGGCGCATGCAGCGCTAGAGCGCGCCAAGGCAGGGGAAGGCGACGATCGCATTGCACGTCTAGCGCGCGAGCGCCAGGCGCGTATGGAAGAGCGCCAGCGCCAGCGTGAGCAGGAGCGCGAGAAGCGCGAGCAGGAGCGTGAGAAGCAGCGCAAGGAGCGTGAGCAGCGTCGTCAAGACGTTGAGCGCGAGCGTGCGCGGAAGCGCGAAGAGCAGGAGCGTGAGCGTGAGCGTGAACGTGAGCGATTGCGTCTACGCCACGAAAGTGAGCGTGAGCTTGACAAGGACCGTGAGCGCCGTACGAATCTCTATACCAACGTGCGCTCCGTGACGCAGCGCGAATTGGCGCGTGAGCGTGAGCGCCTCGCGGAGGAACGTGCGTTGGAACGCAAAGAGGCGGAAGAGCGATTGCATGCTGCGGAAGAGCGTGCGCGTCAGCAAGAGCGCGAGCGCGAAGAGAAGGAGCGGTTCGAGCGGGAGCTCGAGTACGAAATGGAGCGTCAGCGCCAACGCGAAGCGTACGCGGCCGAGCTGGCTGCGGCGCATGCCGAGACCGCCGCGGCGGAAGCGCGCTTGAAGGCGCTGACCGAGGCGGCAGAGCGTCGAGAGGCCGCGGAACGTGCGCGTGCGAGTGCGCTCTGGGTCCCGCCTTTGCAAGCGGCGGTGCGTGGTGTGCTGGCACGCCGCGCGTGGCATGAGCAGCATCTTGCGCTGCGTACACATACGGCGTCGTACGTCGGTGTGCAGGCGTTTGTGCGTCGCATATTGGTCGAGCGCTCGATGGCCGATCGTCGTGCGGATCGGCAGGTGTGGGCGATCACGTCGCTGCAGGCGCATATTCGCGGCGCGCTGGTACGGCAGGCGCTCTATGCCACGCTCACGGGACTCGACGATGCGTGGGCAGTGGCCGTGCAGGCGTCGGTGCGTGGTATGCTCGCGCGGGGACGTGTGTTGGACCGCGTTGTGCACCTGGAGTCGCACATGGATGGCATTGTACGCATCCAAGCGGCTGCGCGGGGCGTGCTCGCGCGTCGAGCGCTGCTCGCGCAGATCGAGTCGCTGCTGCAGGACGACTGGAGTATGGCGCTGCAGGCGCACATTCGCGGGGCATTGGCGCGTGCGTCGTTCCAGCGTATGCGCACAGCGTTTAGCCGCGTGGAAGTGGTCAAGTCGGTGAACCAGATGCAGACGTCGATGCGTGCGGCGCTGTCACGTCGTAAGCACCAGGAAATGCGCAAGCAGATGGAGTACGTTAAGCCGGATGTGACGGGCGTGCAAGCGCATATTCGTGGTATGCTAGCGCGCCAGGAGTACTGGTGGTGGCGCGATCACCTGCATGCCAGTACCGATGTGGCCGTGTACCTCCAGGCGATGCTGCGTGGCGTGCTAGCGCGCCGTACCTTTGATCGAGGCATCGGTCGGTACCTCGCGCACATCGACGACGTAATTCGCGTGCAGAGCCTATGCCGAGCGCGGCACCAAGGCCGCCACTACCGCGCGCTGCAGCGTGGGCGCGATGTGCCGCTGGCCACGGTGCGTGCATTCGCGGATCTCCTCGAAGAGTCTGGTCGCGACTATGCCGAGGAGATGGAGTTGGATCAGCTGCGTACGCAGGTCCTCCAGCACGTCAAGGAGAACCAAGGTGTGGAGGCGCACGTGGCCGAGCTGGACCGCAAGATTGCGTTGCTCGTCAAGAACAAGATTGGGCTGGAAGAAGTGACCAAGGCCAAGACGCAGCGCGGATGGCTCGGTCTCGGCTCCGGCCGTGGAGCACGCACGACGCCCGATGCGGCGGCGATGCGTGTGCTTGAGCAGGCCGACGATCCTATGGGCGAGCATGTGCTGAGCCCTCGGGCGCAGCACCAACTCGATCTGTACCAGTCGCTGTTTTACCTGCTGCAGACGCAGCCGGTGTACCTTGCGCGTTTGCTCGTCCTGACCAACGCCGCCGACGTGCCTGAGCAAGACCGGCGGCAGCTCGTGCAGACGGTGCTGTCAGTGTTTGCGTACGCGCAGCAGCCGCGCGAAGAGTACCTGCTGCTCAAGCTCGTCGAGGCCATGATCCAAGCGCAGCTGCCGCATATCGCGAGCCTCGCGACGTTCCCACAGGATCATGCGTCGTTCCTTCGCTTGCTTGTGCAGTTTACCTGTGGTGTGCGGGAACGCGATTACCTGTGCACACTGCTCACCCCGCCTGTGCAGCGCATCGGCCATGAAACGTCGCTGGAGTTGGAGGCGGACCCCCTCGTGATTCAGCGCGCTTTGGGGCAGACGCCTGTCTCGCCCGACGACGATGGCATGGCCGCGCTGGAAGATGTGAGTGTACGTACCGAGTTCCTCCGTCGATTGCAGAACTTGCGGGCGACGTGTGAAGCATTCCTCAATGCCATGCGTGCTGCGTCGCCACCTGTGCCGTACGGCCTGCAGTGGGTCGCACGCGTGCACTTGACGAGTCTGCAGTCACGCTTCCCGCACGCGACGCAGCCGGAGCTTTTGCGCACCGTGTCATACATTCTGTACCACAGCTACATGCATCCTGCCATTGTCGCCCCAGAATCGTTCGGCATGCCCGCCATGTCAGAGCATGCACGCCGCAACCTCGTCCAAGTCTCACGAGTGCTCGCTCAAGTCGCGTGTGGCGTGCCATTCGACGAGGACCATCTGTTCCTCCAGCCGCTGAACGAGTACGTCCTGGATGCCAGCGTGCGTATGCACCGCTGGGTCCAGTCGCTGGTCGATACGTGTGAGCCGCTAGACTTGCACTATGGCATGGATGAGTACAGCGATATCAGTACGCCGCAGCATCCTGTCATCTACATCTCGCCCAACGAAGTCTACGCAATGCACCAGCTACTGTGCAACAATGAAGCGACACTGTGCACACAGCCCGACGACGTCCTCGCCACGCTGCTCGCAGAGATGGGCCCACCCCCCGTCTCGCAAACAGCCGAGCTCAACTCGGCGCGTGATAGCGAAGTGACACTCACCCTCTCGCACCGCTTCGCGCATACACACGACCCGAACATGGACGCCAAGACCTTGTTTGTCGAGACCAAGCGTCTTGTGCTGGGCGTCTTGCGTGTGCAAACTGCGCCCGATCTGGTATCGCTGCTCGTCGCCCCAGTGACGCAGGCGGACGAAGCGACGTGGGAGCGTACACGCGCCGCAAGCGAGACGCTCTCCTTCGCCGAGCTCAAGTCCATGGCGCTTGAGAATGTGCTGCATCTGGAGCAGCTGGGCCGCGTATCACGTGCGACGCAGTACCAAAACCTCCTCGATGCGATTGCGGCGGACATTCGCAGCAAGCATCGCCGTCGTCTTGAGCGGCAGCGCCAGGCCGCCATGCTGCAGTCCACGATGCAGAAGTTGGTGCAGCAGCGTGCCTTTATGGAGGACCAGATCCAGAGCTACTCGATGTGCATGGACCGCGGCATGCACAGTATGCAGAAGAAGACACGCCGTCGTACGATGGCCATCCCATTCTCGCCCCAGTTCTTCCACGAACGTCATCTCAAAGCCGCAGGTGCGATGCCCAAGTATGGCTCGTACCGCTACACAGCCTCGCGCCTGCGCACCAAGGGCGTGCTTGCCCACATTGACCGCCCCGACAACTTCGCGCCTGATCAGCTGACGTTCATTTTCTCCAGTGACGAGGCTGGCATCATCAAGGTAGAAGGTATGGTCGCAGGGATCGTTGCAGGCACTACTTTGATCAAGATGGAGAGCCTCCTAGAAGCACAGTACCAAAACCAGCTGTACGTCGGCGTTTTGGACAACGCGGTGCAATTCCATTTGGGCCCGTTGATCCAGCTCATTAATAAGAGTACGTGCTGATCTACGATCACTAACCTAGCAGAGTTTTATAAGTAAGGAGATACCCCGCCGTCGTCATGGCAAGGTTTTGTAGGGCTGTAGTACATCGACGTGTGTTCCCGATCGCCCTTACACACTGCGCGCAGTGCGGATGGCTTCCCGCAACTCGGTGATCTCCGCGTCTTGCGCCCGTGCCTCCTCCTCGTTGCGGAGGTACGTCCAAGCAAGGTGCAGCGCAAAGTATGTCGCCGTACTGTACGCCAGCACGCGGAACATGGGCGGGAAAATGTCCGAGTACAGCAGGGCATGCTTGGACTTTGGTGGGGGTGGAGGCGGAGGGGCCGCTTGGTGCGATGGCAGCGGCTGCGGTTGCGGAGGAACTGGCTGTGGTCGCGATGGCGGCGTCATGGGCGGCGTCGGCGTCGGCGTCTGTGTTGGAGGGACCGACGAGTACGTGCGCAAGGCCATGCCACGCAGTGGCGGGGCCCGCAACAGGAGCATCCGCGACATGAACTGCATGAGAAAGCGATCCCAAGCGCCTACGCGGCACCACCGTCCCCTGGACGGACCGCGGCTGAGTCAGCGAACCAGGCACCCCCTGCCTCCACCCCGCGCACAACAAACGTACTCCACAGAGCGTGAGCTAGCGCTTGCAACGTCGGGAGGTAGAGGAGCGCTTGTCGGTCGGCGTGCGTACGTATGCTATGACATACTCAGCAGTACCTGCGTACACGCATGCCCCGCACCACCGCGGCACATTGGTTTGTGTCATCCTGAAAGGCGTACGTATTCCATGCTTCGTCCTTACACATAGAAACATTTGCCGCTTCGTCGCACGGTGGATACACAGGATCCATGGGTCGAGGCACACATGGACAGTGTCTTCTTACGTACACGACCAGATCGACGAGGTGGTACGACCCCGTTTTGGGATGAGCAAATGCATTTCGAAGTGTACGATACCACACCGTGGACCAAGGGACCGCCGTCGCGCCGTTTGCTGCATATCGCATGCTATGCCACAGACAAAGAACCGGACTACATTGGCCAGGGATCAGTGGAAGTCCAAAAAGCCCTTCGGCATGGCGAACAAGATCAATGGGTCTCACTGTACAACCAGCACCAATTCTGCGGGCAGGTCTACGTGGAACTCACATATTATTCCCTCGATCCGCCACCTACGGTTAAAGGCCCAGGACCTGGACCGATTCGCACGCAATCTATGCCAGTGGCCACGGTCGCAGAGCCACCTTCCTTTTCGCCACGCCCGTTTGTCCCCAGCCCTCCGGCGTCGCCCCTTCCGGCGAATGGCAACAGCGACACAAAGCCTCCGTCCACCGCGCCTCCTGCACCCACACTGCCCCGCCGGGTGCCCCCTGTCCCTTCAAGCTCGGCCACACCGTCATCAGCCGCAATAACACCGTCACCCATCCCACCACCGCTGCCCCCCCGAGCATGGACAGTGGATGAAAAGACACTGGCAGATATACAGGCAGACTACCAAAGCGAGGAAGGAAGCAGTATCGAAGCTTCTGTGCACAGTCACGATGACCTTGCTGCTATAATTAAAGCGCATGAAAGCATGCAAGAGCAGGCTGAAGTGCATCCCGCCGCATCGCCAGAAGCCACCCCTCTCTCTCCGCCATTGCCATCGCTCCCCCCGACACCGCCACCTATGGAGTCTCCCATCACAGTGGAGCCGGAGAGAGGGAGACGTACCATGTTCTCACCGACGTTGACGTCGCCCACATCCATCGCTACCGAGTGGTCATGGCAGCGAAGGGCTTCGTCCGCTTCACAGCAACGCACTACACCCCGTCGTTATGTCGCACCTATCCCTCCTGAGCCTCGCGTGTAGATACCCATTTGATAAAAAGAGTAATTGAAGCCTATGAGTCGTTTTGGTTACCAAGGCGCTTGTCCAACGCGGCATATGTGGTAGAGCTTGTGCTATACTCAGCACCGGGTATCCCGCGGAATCTGTAGCGTATGAGTTTCTAGGGAAGAATTCGTACCGTTTCCGCATGTCCCACTGGTAGGTTAGATGCCCTCTTGCGTGATGCGTACCAATGATCGCTTGCATTCAACAAAGCCATGGTAGGCTTGTTGGCATTCCGGCGGCAAGGACTGCAAGTGATGCGTCAAGCACTCTTTACCAGTTCGCCCTTCTACCCGCATACAGTCCGACTTTTTCAGGCATTCGACCAAGTCGGCACGTAGTTGATCACACTGCGTGTTAGTCTCGCTGCGCCGTGCACGATCCACATACTACACCACGCATCGCGGCGGTGGCTGGCGAACGTACCCCACGTGGCCAGGGAAATTCATCTTCCTACGCTGCCGCACCACAGGCCCCGTACACCACTTCTCACCGAGGGCAAAATTTACCTCCCGATCACGTGATGGCGCCTTCGACGGACGGCTTTTTGTCCAAGATGCAGCAGGGGCAAGTGGTAAAGGGCGAAAAGCCGGCCAGCGTCTTTTCTAGATTCACAGCGCTGTTATCTCTCTAGGCTTGCGCGTGTGGAAGATGAATGAAGCATTACCGGTGGATACGGTAGACGCCAGTACCTCAGTGGCGGAGGCAGCTTGGGCTGCTCCACGGTCCGACGCTACGACCACTAACGCATCGTCCAGCTATGATACCTACGCATTAGCCAATGGCGAAGCCTATTCACAAACAGAAGAGCAAGAGGCGGAAACACGACATGTTGAAGAATACTTGAGTCGTATGTCCAAGCAGGAGCAGAACCAGCGCCGTCACCGGCTTGATCATGGCGGAGCTGGCAGCGCAAGTGGCACATCGCTTGTGCGTCGCATTAGCTCCTCTTTTGCTCGTGTTCCCAGTTTGCGAGGCCCTCGAAATACCCCTAACCAACGCCAGCAATCTACTAGTGCAAAAGCAGATACATACGAATTGGCACGGTCCAGCTATGGACGTAATCGGCACGACACTATGCTGCCTACACATGGGTATGGCCCTGTAGGCGACGAGTCGGAAGATTCCCAATACTATCCGGCTGCTCCTTTCACGGATGGCTCAGACTCGCATATGAGCAGCGCCGACCAAGAAGCGTTGCAAACAGGCGCCTTGATGGGCACAAATCACATGTCGTCCAATGAGGCGGACGACATATCAAGTGCGCAAGAGACCTATGTGCCATCAACGACCTATGAATCGTACAATGACCACCACCCTGTGTCGAGCCCTGTGGATAGTCCAAGGGAAGGTATGGGCCCCTTTGCAGACCAGCCCGAATCACAATCCAATATGGAGGCTACATTGGCACGAATTCGGTCACGAAACTTTCCTACTGTAACAGTAGGAGGTGCATCTACACGGCAGCTTCGTCGCCAAAACACCCTACAGAGACAAGGGTCGGTCAATGCTGCAGGGTCTTCGCGTTTGCGATATGGCAGCACAATTGATCCGATCCCTGAGAGCCAAGTGGGTGAACAGCCCATGCATGGTGATGTGGCAGAAGCAAACCTCTACAAGGAAGACGATGATTCTCTGCAGGCAGCAGAACACCGCAGATCCTTCCCTGCTATGCATGAGCCGCCCGTTCAGACACATGAGTATCCACCAGCGACAAGTATGAGTACCGATGCCAAAGACCCCTTGGATGGTCCGAATAACAATCGCTGGTACTGGTCCGACCTGGTCTTTGGTTGTGGGCTCTGCCTATCCCACAACGATGACGATGAGCAGGCAGCTCGGACCAACCCTATGGAGTGATTCTGATCCCGGCACGTATGCTCGTGATAATATTTTCGTTCTTTCTTTCTCGTCTTCTATTACATACATCCTATAATATAATTCAACTTGTGAATAATAGCGTTTCCTGATATTACAGATTCTGTGAAAAAGTTGACGCACTCTGGAGTTTCACACCAATCTGGGCGAGCTCGGCATCCCATGCCTCTTGCATCGAACGGGGACCCTCGTCGTCCATATCCTCGATATCGGACGGCATCGAAGTAGGTGAATCCGTCTCACTAGAATAGGGTACGAAAGTCGTCGAAACGCCCTCCATCATGGCTCTCGCAAGAAGCTGCAGACCGCGTTCCCGCTCTGTCATGGTCGGCGCGAGCAGAGCATGGAAGAAGGGCCATACATGCACCCCTGATCCACCTGACTCAACATAGCATGTCGCATGAGTGACTCGCTCAGACCACGCCTGAATGTCCCGGGCCATGAGCTCGTTGGCGCCCCATGTGACAAAGAAGCCATGCTCCAACGAAACAGCACGCCAATCGCCCAACGTAGGAGAGAGGAGTGGGCTCGTCTCAAGACGGCGCTCCGCGGGCGTTGTGGGGGTCTTGTGGGCCAAGGACGTAGCGTCAAACAACTCGGACGTGGATCTAATTGGATCGGACACGGCCTCCTCAGGCGGCAGGATCCGCTTGCCGTAACGTAGCAGCGGGCGCTCGAGCCATTCGCGGCACCATCGCAAGAGAGGAAACGATGTTCCATACAATGACTCACAAAGGTGCGTGACAGGCCCCATAATACGGCGTGGGCGCTTAAGAACGCCTGCGTACCACTGCGCGAACTGGACAAGGCATTCCGCAGAGAGAATGTCCAAGGAGGGTTTAAGCTTGGTGGCATGGCGTACACGTTCTGTGGACCACGCTTCGCGGGGACGAAGATCCACCCAGGGACTAATTAACACGGCTTTGCCTGGCATGGGAAGAGACGCCCAGTTGCGTTCAGCCACCTCAGAGGTGCCTTGACCTGAAAGACACAGGAGAGCGCTTAGCACTAGATTGCCACCTGCACTGTCGCCAGCCAACACAATGCGCGAAGCAGGTATACGTTCTGCTTCGATAAGGTGGGCATAACATCGAAGCACTTGTAACAGGGGAGCCGGGAAGTGCGCGTGAGGCATCAAATCGTACTCGAGTGCCACGCAGTCCACTGTGAGAGAGGGGCTCATATGCTCCATATGGCCCAAGATCCGGAGAAGAGGTTCTGTGTACAAGGCAACGGATCCAAGAGCAAATCCACCACCATGGACATAGAGCACGACGACTCGGGGCATAGTGGCCAGTGGCTCAGGCGCACGACGATGTCTGCGACTGATCCAGTAGGCCCGGAAGTTAGGCGCTTGGTGATAAGGACGGATCAGCGTCGCTGCCCCTCCGCCTGTGCGCCACTGGATAATAGGGCCATGCGACTCAGGCGCCAAAGCAACGCGTGGCGCCAGGAACGGGAAATAGTGCATGAGCAGTTGCGTAACACAGAGTGTGTACGCATAAAAGTAGCTGGGGGTATGTGTATAGGCACGCCTGCGCTGCCGCATATCAGAGAGAAGAGCCGTAAGATGATACCATGCGAAAAGGCACACCATATCTACGACTTCAGCGATGCTGCAAGTTCGTAGGATATTGACGGACACCACCCACGCGGCCATGATCATATCAGATAAATAAAACCCACCGAGAAAGGGCAGCTTCAATCGGCCTGTGGTGGTGTTGGAGTTCGGAGGAAAGACCAACGACGCATCAAAACTCAAGCCACTCATCGTACGCATGTGCCGCGCTTGTTGCACGCGTGAGCGCGGCCCCAGATACGTAGGTATTGGCTCCATAGGCAGTGTGCTCACGAACTCTCCCTTGTAAATGGCGTTGTGTGCAAGAAAAAGGGAAGGAAGGGCAATGATAACCCTCGCACAGGGGGGCGCGGAGGCAAAAAAAAGTGTCGCACTCCCCTCTGTCTCCACATCGCGGGGCCTGGGGCGCTCGAGTAAATGACGCTGCAGGTCGATCTGGCGCTACACATCATCAAGAGAAGGGTGGTTATGGTATGTGTAGTATAAGAACTACTTACGTAAGGAGTATAGACATCACAGAATACAAGGAATGCGGCTTGCATAAGTAAGAAACAAGACAAAAAAAAGGGAGTAGGGGAGGGAAGGGGGAAAAAAAGAAAGAATTTAGGTGGATCAGGCACCCAGGTCATGTCACTTACGGCGTATGCATCATTAGAGAGCCGACTCCAATTCGTACGATTCACCCACAACAAATTGGGACGAAGACGACGACTCTTTCACATCACTGTCGCCCGGCTTGGGCCATGCCGAGTTCGGCGCCGACGCCGAAGGCATAGCCTCTGGTCGGTCCATGGCGTATTCCGCCTTGCGTTTCACAGACAACGCCTTGACAAGCATGACGAAGAACGTCCAGGCAAAGACCAGGCCCACAATCGATACAGCCAAATTGAGAACGGCCATACCGTCGGCATAGTCAGCACGCATTGCGGCAAACGACACTTCTTCGTTGGAGAGCATGAACAGCAGACCACCGCAGCAGAGAGCAAAGGAGCCAATTGCCTCAGTGGGCGGACGGCTCGGCAGTACACTCGTCGGTGGGCGGACCCACAAGAAGAAGTAGGTAAGGCAGCGCAGGAAACCGAACGCGGCCAACATCTGTCCCCAAAGAATATGGATCTCCACCTCGTAGACATAGTCCTGGTGGTGCGCAGCCATGGCCACACCCGTCACGCCAATCACCAGGGCCGGGAAGGGGTTAAAGCTGCTCACGTACGACGGTGGCGCCACCTGAGCCGATACGCGGTCCTGGTCACCGCGCGGCAGGACCGCTGAGGGATGGCCGAGCGTCACAGCGTAGGCCAGCAAATGACGCACAGTGGTCGACTCAAGCGCCATACCGACCAGACCCACAAACCAGAACATCACAGCGATGGAAATGTGTTGAATCTGCTTGATCGTGTATGGGTCACCAGCCTTGGCACCCATACGCTCCATCCAGGTGTTGGTAATACCGTACAAAAAGATCGCCGAGCACTCAATAAACTCACCACTGGGCATCGTACGACGCCAGTACGGAGCATGGCTGTGGCGTGTGTTGGCCACGGTCGGGCGCTTGTTCCAGGCCCAGCCATACTCACCAAACGCACCCAGGTAGCGAGCGAAAGAAAGCACGCCGTACCAGAAGAAGATGCCACCCTTAATGCCGTGCGCCAAACACACGTTCTTGTATGGACGACGGCACGAACCGGTGTAGATAGCGATCGCGACGTACACAACGACAAAGGCCAGCGGCACAATGGCACGTGAAATGCCCGTGTACATCAGGCTAAGCGTAAAGTAGAGACGAGGGTATTTGTGCACAAACTGATCCCATGGGCGGCGCAGGGACGACGAGGCCGCGTCTTCAAACGACGACGAGCCCATGTGTGGCACATACATGCCGTCCTCAGCCGGCGACGAAAGCAGCGGATTGTCATTCTCTTCTTCGTGATCGAACATCACCGAATTATCCTGATTCGACGGCGAGCCAGACGACGTAGCGGGCGTCGGCGTCATCGGAACCGACTCTTGCAGCATGGGCGTTGGGCCCCGCGTAATCACGCGCATCAGGTTCTGCACGTCGGACCAAGAGCGGAGACGGCCACGCACGAGCGGCACAATCAAGAACAGCAGCTGCATGGCAGGGTAGCCAAAGCACGCATACGATAGGAACAGCACAGTACGCACCAAGCCCGGCAACGCGCTGGGCGGATACAGCGCAGGGCTCAGAGCAAAGTACAGACGGCCAAAGAGCACCGAGGACGTGAGCACAGCAAGGTATAGCAGCGACATGAGAGGGACCAGTGAGGACTGCGCCGACTGCAGGCACAAGAGGAGCGGCAGGATCACAAAGCAAGCCATAATGAACAGGAAAGTCGTCAAAGCCGCTAGACCACGCTGACGTGTTGGCTCGTTCTTCCCATCGCCAATACGGTACTTGAGATCTTCACGCAGCGAGTTCCAAGCGACAGGGTAATCAAGGTCGCCCAACGTACGCCAATATCCACCAGAGCGGCCAATCACAGGACGGTCAGGCCAGGTCGTTTGCACCTGCACCGCATCGTCACTGACAAAGCGGCGAAGCTCTGACATGCGGCCCATACCACTGCCAAAGTCCCACTCCACGTAGCTCATCGGCACAGCGCCTTTGCGCAGGAATAGACGCGTCTCATTGAGCGTCAACATCGGTGCCTCGGAGCCATGTGCATGGGCGTGAACATTGGCCATACTAATCGGAGGACTGGGACGCAAGGCCCAGCCAGCCTGATCAGCACCCATCAAGGCATCCACTTCGTCCATGGCAATGCATTCGGCCAACTCATCATGACCGACTTTTTCCGCCGCCGTCGCAACTTTGCAGAAACGCGGCACCGTATCGGGGGAGATAGTATCGTAAGTAAACATATCCTCGTGACCATGCATATGCCCCGCCGAGGCGGCCGCGTCGTGCATTGGCATAGGCTGCACAGCAGCAGGCGTCGTGGACGCTGCCGATGCGGTGTCAGAGGGAGCCGAAGTGGTGGCAGCTGCCTCTTCATGACCTTCATGACGTGCTTCATACATGATAGTACCGAATGAGGGGGCTGCCTGCACTTGCATCAGGCCCACGCTCAGCATAGATAGTAGGGCCCAAACACACACAAGGGCCCCCCAACTGGCTCGGAAAGAGACCACCATAACAGAAAGCAATGCTACCTTGGTCGATAACACACAGAAAATCGTGTGCAACCTACAGTACACAGGGTCGTACCAATCCTGACACGCTAGGTAGGCTTTGGCAAGTGGCGAAGATCCAATCGCCTGATTACGACTCGACGGTACGAGTGCGCACGTTGAAGCGTGCCTACCTGTCTAGCCAAGGGGATAAGTGGGTCGGTCACAGCCAATCAAGTGAGAGCGGACATCCGGCGCTTTTCCTTTTATGAGCAATATGCAGAAAAAATAGTGCTGGGGCGTATGACAGATCAGTAAATCGCGTGCCTGCAGCTCCACTGCAGAAAGAAAAGCGTCGTCGGAGCGAGAGGCCTAGAGTCCGAGAAAAAGCCAAAAAAAAAATTGCCTATGCACGAAGGATGGGCTACCAGATCAAAAGAAACGAGACCAAGAAAGCGGCAGAGATGAGCACGCACATAGCGCCAAACACTACGACGACAAATCACTATCGCACGACCAAGACGCAGACGCAGTAACCCCTCGCCATACGTCTTTAAACGTTAGGAACAGACACAGTTAGGCGTGCGTCGACGACGCCGGCGTGTCTGTCGATGACGTGATCGACGTCGCCGCGTCACATCCGCAGCGCAGCGCGGCCGAGTCACTGTTGACCAGCATCTCACTGGGCATCGTCAGCATGGCATCCGTCCATAGAGGCGAGTTGTTGTCCTCAAACTGCGAGCGGCGGAACAAATCAGCCAGCACGTCCGAGCCATCGCGTGGCGCCGCCAACAGATCGTCCACGGTACGAAGCTTCAGGCGCTGCCACACTTCCTTCAGTGCATCTACCAGCTGCGCCACATGCTGCGACGTGTGTTGCGGCGTAGGTGTGATACGCAGACGCTCCAGACCCATCGCTACAGTCGGGTAGTTGATCGGCTGCACGTAGCATCCATACTCATTCAACAGCATGTCTGAAGCCAACTTCGCCTTCTCCGCCGAGCCCACCAACACAGGCACAATGTGCGAAGGGTTGCTCTGCAGTGGAATACCGGCACTGAGCAGCGCCTGCTTTAGCTCACGAGTACGGATTTGCTGCAGCTGGCGCGTGCGGTTCGATTCCATCAGCACTTCCACCGCGGTCGCAGCGCCTACAAGCACCGCGGGAGGAAGCGTCGTACTGAAAATGAACTGCGGCGCATACGAACGAATGAGATCGACCAAACGGTTGGAGCCTGCAATGTAGCCACCCACGTTGCCATACGCCTTACCCAGCGTCGCGGTAATGATGTCCACACTGTCCATCACCGTACCACGCAGGCGGCCCGGAGGCATCGTAGCATTGAGCATCCAGTCAAGATGCTCAGCCACACCAGCACCATGCGGACCATACATGCCGACAGCATGCACCTCGTCCAGGAAGGTAATCGCGCCATACTTCTTCGCCAGCGCCACCGTCTGCTCAATCGGGCCCACAGTACCACTCATACTGTATACCGACTCAAACGCAATAATCTTCGGCGTCGAGACAGGCAGTGACTTGAGCTTGGCCTCCAGGTCCGCCATGTCATTGTGCTTGTAGATCATCTTCTTCGCACCACTGTGACGAATACCTTGGATCATAGACGCGTGGTTGCTCTCGTCGCTGAGAATCACACAGCCGGGAAGCTTGGAGCCCAGGACGGTAAGCGCAGCATCGTTCGCAGCATAGCACGAGCCAAAGACAAGCGCTGCATCCTTGCGGTGCAGACGCGCGAGCACTTCTTCGCAGTGTTCCACATGCATATTGTGGCCAGCAATGTTCCGCGTACCACCCGCACCAGCACCGTACTTCTCCAGCGTCTCCTTCATAGCAGCCAGCACACGCGGGTGACGCGACATGTTTTGGTAGTCATTCGCACACCAGACGGTAATTTCGTGGCCTTCCTCCTCCGTAAGATGGCCCATCGGCGCCTTTTGGGCCAGACGATTGATGTTGTTGAAGTAGCGGTAGGTGTTCTGGTCATGCTTTAGTTTCAGCTCATCATGGTAGAACTTCTCGAAATCAAAACCGGGGCCTTCGCTCGGCGCTGGCTCAGGCAATCGGCCCAAACCAGAGCCGGGCGTACGGCGCTGGTAAGGAGGCGAGGAATGCAAAGCCTCCGTCGCAGACGATGCCGGCGCAGGTGCAGAGGTCGGGGCACGCACTGTCGAATCAGGCGACGAGACCATGGCTGCGTATGCAGCCGGGGTCTGCGTCGAGTATGCGCGCTGCTGCGACGCCATCATGTGGCCACCGACTGGGCAAACACCACCAGCGCGCTCTAGCCACGACTTGGTCAAAGGGTGGGGCGCAGAGACAGTGTGGCTACCAGAGGCGCCAGCCACGGTGGTCTTTGTGACCCCCTGCGGGCCAGAGCATGTCGACTCGGCGATCGACTGACTCATAATAGGGCATTGCTTGGCGCGCGAAAGAAGAGGGCTGCTCAGGCGCGACACAGAGTACGCACGCGTGAGCTGGCACAGCTTCTTAGGCGGCATGTTTCTCAGATACGGGCAAACAACCCGAAGACGGGCGCTAGAACGTTGGAGGGCGTCCATGGTAGGATGGGAAGTGAATGAATAGTGGGGGGCACACCAAACTCACAGCCAAGCGCTCAAAATGCGCACGTAGGCCCTTCTGCCCTTGACTTTCCACGCAAAGCAATAATTGCACCAATCAAACCTACAACATTTGGCGATGGCCGCTGGGCCTTGACTAAGCAGTTCTCTGAAGCCACCCAGCGTAGATCGCTTCACGCCGTCCTCTCCGTTGTGGTGGTTCGAGAAGACGCTGCCTACGATGGGTGTCCGTCCAAATGCTCGCATGCTGTACGTATAGAAGAACACATGTATAATCTAACATGAAAGCCGCGATATGGCTGCTCGCCAAGCAGTGCAGTCCAATGAGCTCCTTCGTCGTGCGTACAAGTACATCGCACGCAACACCACACTGCCTTCGCGTGTGCGCCATATGGCCCAGTTGGAACTCAATTCGTTCCCAGCCAAGTCACGCCCTGCGTTTGTGAAGGAGCGGTGTGTCGACACGGGCCGTGGGCGTGGTATCTTTACCGAATTTGGTCTATGCCGCGTACGTATCTAGCAGGAATGATCAGGGCGACTAACACTTCGCAGTACCAATTCCGACGAAAAGCGGTCCATGGTGAGATCCCAGGCGTAGAAAAGGCCTCTTGGTAAGGCCTCTCTGAGTGCCTTTTATATTTCCTTTCCTATGTACCTATACTGGCACTCGCTTTGCGAGACGCTGTCTCTACGTAGATACCTGTGATAGTGCACTATTGTGTTGTTGCGTCGTATGTATGCGCGGCTGGAGGTAGACCCTTGTAGCGAAGGGCCGTTGCACGATAACGGGGCTGGCCTTGCTTGTGGCGGCAGTACTGGACTATGGGTGTGAAAAACGGCCGAATTTCGACCGAGGCGTATCGCCGGCCATCATCCCTGAGACTTGGACGATGCCCACAACGGGCACTTTCTGAGTACACCTACCAAGCTACCAACTACTTTTTCTTTTTTGAAGCCTTGGATGACGCAGGCTTGGTCGCACTAGGCGCTTTCTGCTGCTCGGCTGCACGGTACTGCTTGACAAGACCAGCCACAGCATTGACGCGGCGATCTTCCCTGCGGCGCATGTAGTACAGCTTGGCGCGGCGAGTACGGGTCAGACCTGGCGAGCCCTTCTTCGCGTCAGCTCGCTGGATCACCTTGATATCCTTGATCATAGGGCTATACGCATGGAATCGCATTTCCACACCCAATTTGTGCGCGATAGTACGCAGGACAAATGTCGTCGCGACACCAGCACGGCGCACTGCAATCAAGACACCTGAAAAGGCTGTCGACGTTGTGCGTGCAGGTGTCAAGTATGTCTCAACCATGACAACGGAGCCTGGAGGGATGCAGTCTGGCGACTTGCGTGAAAACAGACGGGCAATCTTCTCATCTGGGTCTAGTTCATTGGCGAGCTGCGCATCGACGCGTGTCATGATAGCCCGCGATGGGTGCTTTGGCTCTGGTACCGGTGTGCGGACTGTGTTAGAAGGTGTGGTATGAGTGCGCGTAATGACATGCTTCGCGAAGGGGTATGCAGATGCCTCTGTCACAGGCTCTTGCTCCTCCCTGCGGCACGGCGTGGTCGACATGGAGCGTGTCGCCATCATCCATGGCTGACGCGTGAGTGTTACCACTCGCGGCACACTGCGTGCAGCAAGTGAGCGCAACATGGGGACCATAAGAAGGCAAAGAATGGCAGCCGCCGTCGTCGCTCGCCTGACGAACGCAGACGAGAATCACAGTGCATTTTTTGAATTATTATGTACGACGGTGGGGGGCCGTGACCAACGAGCCAGCACGCTGCCAACTCGGCGCACGCAGTCCAGCGTTTCCAGTGACTGATCCACGATGGCAGCACGCAAGCTGCAAAGTACGTGAGAAAGTGCGAAGCTTGCTAACGCCCACAGCGGAGATCGACCGCACATTTAAGAAAGTGGCGGAAGGTGTCGAGCTCTTTGAAGGGCTCTACGACAAGCTCCAGACCTCTTCCAATCAGGGACAGAAAGAAAAGTTGGAGGCGGACCTGAAGACACAGATCAAGAAGCTACAACGGCTACGTGACCAAATCAAGACATGGCTACAGAGCAACGATATCAAGGACAAGAAGCCGCTCCTGGATAACCGGCGACTCATTGAGACGGTATGTATGATACATGACGACCTAATGTATAGCAAATGGAGCGTTTCAAAGCGGCCGAAAAGGAAATGAAGACCAAAGCCTTTTCGAAAGAAGGACTGATTGCAGCTGCCAAGTTGGGGCCGACAGAAAAGGCTAAGCTCGAGATGTCACAGTGGCTCACATCCATGGTCGACGAGCTTTCACGACAGACGGAGGTGGCCGAGGCTGAGATCGAGCAGTCACTTGCCTCTTCCAAGCGGAGTAAGAAGGCCTCCTCAAAAGACGACCGGGTGGGTGAACTAGAGCACCAAATTGAACGTCGCAACTGGCACATTTCTCGCTTGGAGATCTTGTTACGGATGTTGGAGAATGGCACGCTTGACGTGGAGCGGATCAACGATGTCAAAGAGGACATTGCCTATTTCGTGGAGAGTAATATTGAAGACGACTTTGAAGAGGACGAGGGTATTTACGATGAATTCAACCTCGATGAGGAGGAAGAAGCCTTTGGCCTCAAAGACGCAGAGGATGCCGCCGCACCAGAGCCAGAGCCAGAGCCTGCTGTGACTGAGGACCCGGCGCCCAAGCCAGCTGCCAAAGAGACAAAGAAGGAAGAGACGAAGAAAGAGGAGACGAAGAAAGAGGAGAAGAAAGCGGCATCCAAAAAGACGGTGGCTGCACCAGAGCCCCCGCTCAAGGAACGTGTTGTCACAAACTTTGAGCAAGGGAAATTGCAATCTACAGCCTCTGTCACGCCAACGGCACCCAAGGCGAGCACACCTACGGCTGTACTTCCTCCTATTCGATACGCTGCCGCAGCCGCGGCAGCTGTGGGTGGCGCTTCCTCGGTGACCTCGCCTGGCACAGCGTCAGCCCCCGTGGCGCCATCGCCCATCGTGCCAGCGGCAAGCACAGGGACTGATGCGGACACATCCTCAGCCAGTGCCAAGGGAGCTACGGATACCTCTACGGACGCTGGGCGGCCCGTGGACCGCGCGTCTGGCGATGTTCGTTTGCCTGATACCTTATCCGACTTGGTCTCTTCGTTTGAGTGGGCCAAGCAAAAATCACTCGCTCGCGAATCGAATCTCCCTCTCGTTCAGCGCACCCTTGACTCGAGCTATGCTGGTGGCGTACCTGAGCCTGTGGACTCGGAGAGCCCGAAACACTATGTACCGAAAGACCCCTTTCCCACGTCTCACTACTACCCACAATCCCCGGCCTCTATTTTCGACAACCCTGCGCTGTATGCCAAATTTGATGTGGATACGCTATTTTACATCTTCTACTATCAACAGGGGACGTACCACCAATACCTAGCAGCTCGTGAGCTGAAGAAGCAATCATGGCGCTTCCACAAGCAGTACCTCACCTGGTTCCAGCGCCACTCTGAGCCGCAGGTCATCACGGACGAGTACGAGCAGGGCGCCTATGTGTACTTCGATTGGGAAGGTTCATGGTGCCAGCGCCGAAAGAACGATTTCCGATTCGAGTACCGATGGCTCGAGGACAACTAAGTGTACGTAGGAACGTTCCTAGTATCTAGCGTCCAGCACCATACCCATAGGTCGTAATGCTTTAAATGTCCAAGGGGCCGAATCGCACTTCGTTCCACAGACGCAACAGGCGCAAGACAGAGGCAATCAGACCAGTGCTGGCCTCCAACATCTCCTTGTCTTCATCAGGCGCCCATGCCTCTAATATTGTGAAGATCGAATCGCTGTAGAGGCACAATCGTTCGATACCAAGCCAGCGCAGACGACGACGCTGCGACGCAAACGCCGTATATTCATGTTCTACGCGTTCACGCGCACTCGACACCATCTTTTTGCTCATGGTCGTATCTTCATCGATGCGCTTCATCTCGCTCTGCATCGCACGTACATTACGGAACATCGTGGTGGTAATGGCCTTGCGTCGTAGATGCACCGTATACAACTGCAGGACGAGGGACACAAGCGTCACAAACACACCAATGCGCTCCAAACCTCGACGTCGTCGTTGGAACCATGGCGGAAATTCCACCTTGAGGGGCATGCCGAACGCTAGCCAAAACAGACCGGATCCACCCAAGAAGGCCGCGACATCGAACGATTCACCCACATGCGCTGTCACTTCGCCCAGGGACGCAAATTGCTCGATGGCTGTGGGCGGTTCTTCAACCAGGTCCTCCCCTGTACGGAGCCTAGCCAGCAATTCCTTAGTACATGTGTATATCCATAGTGTCAAGAGCGCCAGCCGGCGTATATTTGCTACACCCTCACTGGCCAGCAACAATGCTCGGCCCAGTGCTTTGTGCTGAGGTGAAGTTAAGAGACGTGTCACCACAAAGCCAGTCGGGTTGCTCACAATCTCCCAAGCTTTTCTCGGACGACGTAGTCGCGCATGTACGTGCATCAAGAGAAGCGAGAATCGAAGCGCTTGCAATCCATTGTCTGCTGCTTCCCATGTTAAGAAATGCTTCCATAAATCGCCATGGTTGCGTATAGATTGAATTACTGGCTTGGCTAGGGGAAAAGGCCGCTTTACAGAGAGCACCTCAGAGGACGACATTCGCCCTCGTACGACAAAGTAGGTATAGGCCAAAGCTCTTTCTACAAAAACGGTACTGAGAGAGCCTCACGAGCAGGAGCAACAAGGTTCTCCACCGGCAATTTCACGCAGGGTAAAAAGAGAGAACACAAACGGAAGGTATGCGTGCAAATGCACCACTTTGACAAATCCATGCATGCAACTCCAACGTGCCGAGGCCAAAAAAGTGCCCGCACCCAGATTTGAACTAGGGACCCTCTCATCAACTTCGTCGAAACGTAGTACGAGTGAGAAATAATAACCACTATACTATACGGGCAAAGCGTCGCCGGCTATTTGGGAGAAATTAAATATCAGTTTTTCTCATTTAAAAGACTCAATCAGAAAAAAAGACGTGCCCGCACCCAGATTTGAACTAGGGACCCTCTCATCAACTTCGTCGAAACGCAGTACGAGTGAGAAATAATAACCACTATACTATACGGGCAGTGGTCTAAGCGTCGGACGGGTTTGTTCACTATCAAAGCTCGAGTCATTTTCATCTTGTTGATCTGGTTCTTTTCCACTTGGTTTGGCGGTTCCTCCTCAACGTTGCATTCATACATGTCTTATGTATCCTATGGCACGTCCTCTTTGGGAGTGTCTGTCAAAATCTCGCTTCGTGGCTGAGAAAACCGTTCAGCGATAGGAAGAATCGACGTATGGCTGGTATCAGCTTCTTGAGATTCCTGGAATTCTTCCTCCGCGTTCTGACTCTCTAGCGCATCTTGCATCTCTTCGGCTGGATGAAAGTCATCGGCGGAAATATTGCTAGGATCTGTATCAATACTCGAAGAAATCACAGGTGTGCTCGTAGTTGAGGCAAGTGGCGTGCCCTTGCTATTATTAGAGTTGTCATTGGACGTGCTAGAAGCATTGTGATCATCTGAAGGGCTTACACCCACTGCTGGAGGTACAAGTGAGTGTGTCTCTGTTAGGAAAGGAGAGCGTGCGGCCTGCGCACCCTCAGTAATGGTAATAAGCGATGGGCTTGCCACATGGGTCTCGTCTGCGTCTGCGTCAGGGTCCGAATCCGTCTCTGTAGCAGCAACAATGGTCGGCAATACTTGAATGCCAAGCCCGGTGTCGGAATACGTTGGTGACCCAGTCGTCTCCGGTGAAAGGGAAGCCGTTTCCCGTCCTGGTGAAGCTATAGTTGTAGAAGAGATGGGGAGAGGTGCAGCGGGTTCGTGCATAGATGGCGACGTAGCCACCGCATCCATAAGCTTCGTCGACACAGAGGAGGATACAGACGGTGAGCGTGACGATGGGATGGAAGGTGTGACGCTCTTGGTACTGCTTTCACGGTCTGCGTTCCAGGTAGGCCGTGTTTCTTCTGTAAAGAGCTGATTACGACCCTGTACCAGTGTCATAAACAGGGGACCGGACAGTTGCAGCGTAGGAGCCAACACCAATGTCAGGTTGGAAAGCGTCATCTTGGTCTTGGCCACATTGGCTGGCTGTGTGAGTATACCAAGGTGTTCTGTAATTTCACGGAGCATGTACCACTCGCAGTAAGGAATACGCTGCATAAGCGGGATTAACTCTGCGATAAAGGCAGCATGCTTTTCTTCGCTCATCGGACTAGGTGCCGGACTGGCTCGTGGCATTGTCGTGCTCATAGCCGAGTCAGGGCGAAGCGGTGGTTGGGTGCATTTGTCACCACACAGCCGGTCCATGATCTGTGCAACATCCTCAGGCACTAAAGGCTCTGGGAGTTCACGCAAGTACATTTTCAACACACTGCACACAGCGTGCACATCGAGATCCGCTGGGCCAATGTCGACCATTGCCAAATCAGCACCTGGCACATCCCAATAGGCACGCAGCTTGGACGAGTGTGAGCTTCGGCCTGAAATCCGGTAGATGCCTTCTTCATCCACACCCCATTTCTCAAGACTCTCAATGGACCGCATTACCAAGCGGGGCAGGCAGTAGAGCTGCGCTTCTCGGCGACTGAGCAAACTCGGTCGAGCTGGATCCATCTTCGTATTGTCGCTCGGAGCTGGCGGTGAGAAGCATGTAGAGGCGCGCGTTGCCATCACAGCTTCATGCAATGGCAGTCCAAAGAGACTCGTGGTAGCATCGTCTGCCGACGTCTGGGACGTGGGTTGCCGAAGGGATTGCATGCTGCTGGAAGACGACAGCATCGACGAAGAGCGAAGGGGGCGGAATTTGGATGAGCGGGGTATCGAAGTAGCAGAAGGCGCCTCCAGCCAATCCAGCCAAACACGCGTAGGAGTCTGTAGCGAAGCTGCTTTGGCCGCCGCATCGCCACGGGCCATCAACATAGGTAAGAACATGGAGCGACGTCGCGGGTCTTGTTTGCTAGCGTCGCGCGCCAAGGTGGGTTTCCGTTGCGTGGGTATAGCTGCTGTCGATGTACGTAGTCGTCCCATCATATCGAGGCCTCGCTTCCCCAGGGAGCCAAATACACCAGACGACGATCCGCTAGCCCGTCGCTCACTGTTCGATGGCGAAATGGAGGAGGCCGTTGTCGAAGTATCCCACGACGATGAATGAACATCCACGGCACTCGATGATGCCGGCAGACCTTGTGACGAAATAGCAGGGGAGGCCGATGGTGACATGGGCACAGGCGAGACAGTCGTCTCCCGAGGAAGTACGGAAGGGATACTCGGAGTGTCGTTTGTGACGAGTTTGGGCGACACTGGCTTGGGCGGCACATCGAGCCATGGCAAATGAGGCTTGGGCAGAATCGGTACATTGGCCGTGGACATCGGTAGAGATGTGGTGGGTGGGGTGTGATCAGATGTCTCTGCCGAGACTGTGGGCCCCTCTACCACAGCCTTGTTTTCCAGGCTTGGCTGCGAGGCAGCACTTACCTCCTTCTCCGCTGCCGATACGGGGTCCACGTGCTCGGAATGGTTGTCATCTTGGGAGCCAAGATGACTCGAGGCCGACACAGCTTCTGTGTCTGTATCAGGCTCTGTCAATGCCGTGGCCGACACGTGAAGCGACGCATTAGTCGAGCTCATGCTGATAGGGCGATCGACAACAGCCGTCGTGGCAAGAGCGGGCGAGGTCACGTTCATGGCAGGCGAAGACACCGACGAGGGTAAAGTCATGGCAGGCGATAAAATCGCCGAAGAGGCCACAGCCGGTGATACATTCTTTGACTCGCTCTTTAAATAAGGCGAGGCCGACGTGGAAGCAAAGCCAGGTGTATCTTCTTCGTCTTCCTGAATAGCACTGGGGTCCACCTCTGGGATGGGCGACGTGGCCTCACTGATGACCGTCGGCACTTCCTCTGTGGATTGAGAGGTGGTGAGCTTGGTGACAATGGGCACACTCGTCAGCTCCGACGTATCTACAGAAGCGCGGGGCGAGTCTTTCGAAGGCGAGAAGGACGACTTTCGGTTGCTGCGATCGAGCGACATGCGCAATGCAGCAAGGGACGATCGTGGGCTGGCATCGTTGGAGTCAGGCATATGGTTCAGGGATTCACTCGAAGGGAACACTGTTGTTCTCTCCACGTCTTTTCTTGAGCCAAACTTCATTGTGCGTAGTTTTCCAAAGCTTTTTAGCGCGCTGGAAGGCAGACTTGACTTGGACGACGCGATGCTAGGGGGTTTCACATTCGCATCGCGACTGCCTGTGTGTGTATCATCCGACGACTCCCCTGGCGCATGCTTAGCACGCTCCAGTATAGGGCGGTTGATCCGCGCCAGGAAATTCGGCATGCGAGGGCAGGAGAGGTGCTGCTGACAGGGGAATGTAGTTGTGACAAACTACCGTCTGATCACGGTCAACTCGGGTGTTGCGACGCAAACGAGGGCGCCCTGCGCCGGTTGGCTGTCTATTCAACTTTGCAGCGCCGCAGGGAGGCCCCCTGCCCAATCGACGCTGCACAAACGAAACCTCCACGTACGAGGCCCCACAGGGCCGACAACCCCTTCTGAAGGCCATGGGGGCCGACGTCATACATCACGTGGGTCTGAAGAAAGTCGTCGCGCTTGCAGCTGTGCACGAGCGTGTCGATCGATATCGCCTTGTGGTCGCTGCGAGAGGCTGATGGCCGAGTTCCAGAAAGAGTCCCTCACGTTAGAGGAGACGAACCGTGTGCGTATCTCGCTGGGTTTGAAGCCCCTTGAGGCAGATCCGCCCACGGACGCGTCCCAGACCGAGGAGGACCAGGCGCCTGCATCCAAGTCGCAAGCTGAACAGGACAAGGAAGCGTTGGCGAATTATACGGCGCAGCGCCAAGCTGCTGAAGCCCAGGCTCAAGAAGTGGCGATCCAGGAACGGCTGGCCAAGGCAAAAAATCGCCGGGATCTCGCGCGGCAATTGCGCGGCCCCACACTGGGCGACGCTACCGAGACGGCAGCCTCGACGAGCGCGCGTGACTGGGTCAAAGCAGCGCGGAAACGTGCGCAGGAAAATGCAGATCGGCGGCTGCGGGAGCAAGAAGAGCTGGAACAGCAAGCAGCGCAGCAGCGTGATTATAGTGCGTCTGACTTGCAGGGTCTTCGCGTGGCACATGACTTGGACGAGTTGGCGGAAGGCGCAGAGGAGCGAATCCTTACGCTGCGGGATGCCGATGTGCTAGGCGAGGACGAAGATGAGCTCATTGAAGCAGGTCTGGATGCTGCAGCGCGTGATCGTGAAAAGCGCGAGCGAGCGAGAAAGCCCAAGGCGTACACGGGTTTGGACGACGACGAGTTTCTTGACGGTCCCTCGCGTGGCGTCCTGGACAAGTACGATCATGTGGAAGGACTCGATGCACGTGGAAGCTCTGCCTCGTCGACGACCGGTGGTTTCCGTCTAGGGGATGTTGCGTCAGTTGAAGCTATGGACGCTCGTTCACATGCGCGTCAGGAAGCACAACGTCTGGCGGAAGCGCGCGAAAAGCAGAAGACGCACTTGGACTATGAGAAGAATCTGCCCGTGTCGGACTACGATGTATCGTTCAAAAAGAAGAAATCCAAGAAAAAGCGCGCTACGCGCATCAAAGTGGAAGAAGACGAGGACGTTGAGCTTCCTTCCACGGAGGCCATGGCCGTGGATGCGCCCGCTGCGCCGCCTGCGCGTGCAGCTGTCGAGACGCTGATTGATGATGACGAGCTGGCAGCGAGTCTTGCCCGGACGCGGCGTCAGCGAGCCAAGCAGTCGTTTGCCAAGACGACCCCCGCTATGATTGCTCGTCATCTCGCTGCACAACGGGAAGCGGAGGCAGCCGTCTCTTCGTCACATACCCATCCTGACGGCGCCGACGAAGAGGGTCTTACGTTTGATGAGACCTCCGAATTTGTACGTCAAATTGTTCAACGACCGCCGCAGGAGGAAGCCGTAGCGGCAGAGATCTCTACTACGATGCCCACGAAGGCGTCCACGGACGTTCCCCTTCCTGCTGTGCAGGGTATGGACGAGGAGGAGGCTGCGGCGTTGAATGCGGCAGCGACCACCATGCCGTCGACGGCGACCGCTGAGCCGCTGCTAGGATCTGCCCCTACGTCGCCGCCTGGACAAGCAGAGGACGACAACGACAACGACAACAACAGCAACAACGAGGACGAGGAGGCTATGCCTGCACCCAATCTCCATTCAGGCGGCGTTGCAGGAGCGCTGAGCATGTTGCGTAGCCAAGGCTTGCTGGAAACCGTCTCGGCAGAGCAGTTGGCTCAGGAGCAAACACAGAAACAGTACGATGCATGGCTTCGTGCGCGACGGAAGGAAGAACAGCGCCATGCACGCGAAGCATCGCACTTGCATGGCGCTGCTGCCCATGCGCATGAGCGTGATACGCGCCAGCGCGAATGGGACGAAGCTCAGGCGGCGATGGATCGGTTTAAGGATTACAAGCCCGATGTGAAAATCGAGTATCATGACGAATTTGGACGTACGTTGACGACCAAGGAGGCATGGAAACGTCTTTCGCATACCTTCCATGGCAATGCGCCTGGCCACAAGGCGCAGGAAAAGCGGTTGCGGCGTATTGCCGAGGAACAGCGACGTGAGCGCATGCTGGCCGGCGATACAGGTGCCCTGACACGAGCCTTCCAAGCCCGATCGGAACGGACAGGTCAGGCTCATATGGTGCTCAGTGTTGGCCAAAAAGACCATGCGCCGCAGGACATCGATCTCGGCGCGCCGCCTGCCCTAGAAAAGGCGCCGCCTGCCCGACCAGCCAAGCCGAAAGGCCCCCCGGCCGATTGGCAGGCGCCTCCGCCCGCCGAGTCTATGCCTCCGGCGGCCGAGGCTGTGACAGCCACGACGACGACGACCCCCTCGCCACCGCCTGCGACGGAACCTGTGCCGCCTCCGAAGCCTGGCTTCAAGCCAGCGATGAAACCTGCCTTTGCGCCTGTCGCTTCTACGCCCGCGCCTTCGTCGACCACGACGTCTGCGCCGCGCGACAAAGTCCGCATTTCGCTCGGCAAACGCAAGGCGGACTAAGACTATTAGATTGTTTTCATGTACACTATAGGACTCATTACTGTCCCACTCGGACCACCGACGCGTTTTGGAACTGCGTAAAGGGAGCGGCGGCTGGGCTCTCTGCCTCGAGGACCGTGTCCTGTTCCCAGTCGTGAGGTCGAACAGGTTCATGTTTTGCCATCCACAGCAGGTTGGCGACGTCGGTCGGTACAGGGACAATGGGCGGGGTTTGGTGCCGCAGCAGACCCCAGGAAATGGACGAGAACCAGCGATGCTGCTTGACTTCACTCGCGCCCCATTGGCTGCCTAGGCGTTTGTGCTCATCCTTGACCAGCAATTTGCGCACAAACTGCTTGCCTGTACTCGACATCGCCACCGGATCACGGAAGGTCACATCTTTACGAAGCACATTGGAAAACGTCGCATTGCGCGACGTCCCTTTGAAAGGTGTCGTAGCATAAATCATTTCGTACACAAATATGCCGAGCGTCCACCAATCCACCGACGAGGTATGGCCATGCCCCTTGATGACCTCCGGCGCAATGTACTCTTCCGTACCCACGAACGAGTTGGTGCGCAGATCCGCAATACATGCGCGCGTATCCACCAACGGCATCGCACGTGGGGACGCTTGGAACACGGTCGGCGCAGCAATTTGGTCGTGGGCCTGCGCGGAGAGGTCAAAGTCAGAGAGCATCAAATGTCCTGTCTGATGCAGCAGAATGTTTTCTGGTTTAAGGTCTCGATAAATGAACCCCATCAAATGAAGATACTCCAGCGCAGCTACGACTTCTGCCGCATAGAAACGCGCATCCTCTTCAGACAAGCAGCGGCCCGGGCGTGATTGCAGCGCACGGAAGAACTCGCCTCCGGCACAGTACTCAAGGCACAAGTACAAGTAGTTGGTCGTTTGGAATGTGTGGTACAAGGGCACAATGAAGGGGTGATTGGAGGCCAGCAATATGCCTTGTTCAGCCAGCACGCGTTTGATTTTGTTGCGCTTGATCATCTCGTTTTTAGCTAGCACTTTCATGGCAAACAGTTGATCGGTCGACGTATCTGCGACCAAGTACACACGCCCCACATCTCCCTTGCCGAGAAGTTTGATCGTCGTAAAGGACTGCGGCGTCACTTGGACGGCCTTGGTCTTCACACGAGGCACCGTCGCTCGATGCACCGCGGGCAGCTCGGGGAGCGGCGGCGGCGCCTCGGCTGGCTCGGGAGCCAAGCCGGCACTCAGCGCCCCCGAGCTCTTGGACTTAAACAGTCGCCCCAGACGTCGTTTGGCTGGATCGCCCGACGCGTCATGCGCAGGTCGTGGCCGTGGCAATCGTCGGAAGGACGGAAGGAGTCGGCCCTTGCGAGGCGATGCAATATCTGGGGCACTCGCCGCTGCCGCCGGCTCTTCTCGCTCCGCAGCAGCTTGCGATGGCACAGCTGTCGTCGAGGCATCCAGAGGAAGTGGCGGAACATCCTTGGAGGTATCCGGAGACCGGTTGGTCGGCACGTCCAGATGAGGACCCGCACTCGATTCACTCGAGGCATCCATCGGAGGGCTCACAGACATGGGCCGCATCTCTGGGGCATATAGGTCCTCGTACGATTCTTGCCAACTGGACAAGGTAGTGAAAGTCGTTGAAGGTGTATTGGCATGGAAGAGCAGCTTCGTGTCAGGCGCACTGGACACGCGCCGAATCCATGGCGACTCTCCTGCTGCGTACGTCTGGGGGACAGGGAGGGTGGATATGTCCACCACATCCCCTAACATCGGTAAGGAAGTGCCGTGAATCCCGTGCGCCGACGGCGAAGTATGCAAGGAGCTTGAGCTCTGACTTGCTTCTGTAGCGTATAAGAAACGGCGATGGTTTGTAGCGGTGCTAGACGTTGGACTAGAAGTTGCCATATAGCTCCTATGCGACGACGAGGGGCTCGCTACCCTCGTACCAGGCGCTGAGCCACCAGGCGACGTGGACACACTCGCCACATCGGTGACTCCTACGTCCGCCGCCTGCTGCGGCACGCTGAGTCGCCGCTTGTAGTGGCGGAAGCGTGGGACCCACCGGCTATGTGTTCCAGGTGATACGTTAGATGGTCCCGATACCGTGACCATAACTTTTGCCCCCGAACGGCACGCACACTGTGTTGATGTCCAAGGGTCCACCAGGCAGGGCCGCCAGCCATATTTGTCTCGCCTGAACGTACGCCTCGCCCTGACCGGCCACGTGTTATCACGTGATACTTGTGTGCGTGTCCTGGGTGCAGGGGCCACCTGAGCGTGGGGCGAATGGCGTGCGATTGGCACGTATCAGTCATAGCTCGCGATAGATAGACTCCTATTTATCGGTGGCCTGGCCGGGTGCTTGCAGTCCTTTTTCACACCCCCTACACCATGTCCTCCGAGTCTCACCCTACAGAATCACAGGTGGGGGACTACGCGCTGGAGAAAGAGATCGGGAAAGGCTCTTTCGCCCAGGTGTATCTCGCCCATCATCAAGCGTCGCCGCAGCAGTTGGTGGCCATAAAGTCAGTGACTCGAAGCAAGCTCTCCGAGAAACTGCTCGAGAACCTGGAAGGCGAGATCTCTATCTTAAAGTCGATGCGCCATACCAACATTGTCGACCTTCGGGATTGCATCTACACAGATGAGCACATTCATTTGATCATGGAATTCTGCCCTGGTGGCGACTTGTCCCAATATATCCGAAAGCACGGCAACGTAGCTCCATGGGAAGGCGATGCAACGGTCAATCCACTCGCGGCTGCTCAGCGTGCCAAGTATCCTCATCCTGAAGATGGCGGCCTGAACGAAACTATGGTTCGTTCCTTCCTGGCTCAGCTCGTGTCGGCCGTGCGGTTTTTGAGAAGCAAAGATATTGTGCACCGAGATATCAAACCACAAAACCTGCTTCTACAGCTGCCAGACGAGGTAGCTCTCGCTTCAGGCCACCCACGCGAGATCCCCCAAATCAAATTGGCCGACTTCGGCTTTGCGCGCTCCCTTCCAGCGGCATCGTTGGCCAAAACCTTGTGCGGTTCACCCTTATACATGGCCCCTGAAATCCTCCGATATGAGAAATACGATGCCAAGGCAGATTTGTGGTCTGTGGGAGCTGTGCTCTACGAAATGTCCGTGGGTAAACCTCCCTTCCGTGCAACCAACCATGTCGAATTACTGCGTCGCATTGAGCAAAGCAACGATCGCATCAAGTTCCCTGACGAACGATCTGCTCAGTCACTTGCCAAAGATGCTATGCGGCGAAAACTGCATGGCGAACCTCCTCGACCCCCCGCTCATCCTGTCGCAGAAGATATCAAGTCGTTGATTCGATGGTTGCTCAAGCGGCATCCTGTGGAACGCATGAGTTTTGATGAGCTGTTCGCCGATAATGTCATTACGCAAGTACCTTATACAGGAAGAGCTATTATCAAGGACGAATTGGCTGCGTCTGTTCATATTGCACAGCTTCCGCCAGATATGCTCTCACCGCCGTCGGCTGCACCTCAAGCAGGACCCGCCTTGGCCACTTCCCTCCCCTCTGATCCCACACACATGGACGAAGACGAGCACCCTAAGCCGGACGATCTGCCCTCCGATTTAGGTGGTCGTACTTTCAATACTGCGGTCGGATTCCATGCGCCTGCTGCTACCATTAGCTCCGAAATGCCTACACAGGACCGACGGTCACCGAATCCCAGTGCTTTATCTAGGGCCATTAGCAAAGCTGGGGATCGTATGCAGATCAAAGGCCATAATGGTGCCTATGCTTCTCCTTCACTGCCCTCTACCTCTCAACCAGGCAATGCTGACATTCGCAGTTTGCTCAACAAAGAAGCCAAGCCTATGTCTATACCAAGAGGTTCATCCATGGCTTCTGCGTCTGCCCCATCTACCGATGATGACTTGATGCATTTGTTGCGCAGCCTTGCGAAGAAGGCTTATGTGCTCATTGAGTTTGCCGATTCTAGGTTTGCTGAGCTACATGCCCCCTCCATGACATCTCGCCTTGGGTACTCTCCAGCGGAAAGCAGTCCCAGCTCTGCTACAGGGCATTTGCAGGAAGTCGCTGCTGCTGAAAGTCTGGCTCTTTATGTACGGGCTTTGGGCTTTTTGCAACAAGGATTAGAGGCTATCAATGCATACGTGGAGACGAAGCAAGGTGAACCTTCCCATGAGATGCGAAATTGTACGTATACATTTTATCTGTCTAACCTACAGTGGCCCATTGGTTCAGGTCACGCTTTGATGAAGCCTACGAACGATCGTTACATGCACGTGCTTCCTGTAACGATTTGCTGCCTGACACGGCGCAGCATATGGATCGCCAGATCTTTGATAAGGCTCTGGATTTGGCTCGCGCAGCTGCACTCGAAGAACTGGAAAGCAACAAGTGTGAACGAGGCTCGTGGGATTCAACGCATTGCATCCTTTTGTATGAAACTGCCCATTCTCTGCTGCTTGGCCTACTTGAGCCCAGTGAGGAACATATGAGTTTGTCCATGAATTCTATTTCCACGGTGGAGAAGTTCTTGCGCAGTATCACAAAGCGTCTCGGCGCATTGAACGTTGCACCCACTGGCGCTGTGAATATGGTGGCATGAACTTTGGATGCGTTGTATTATAGCTGTAGCTTCATCATCTTCGTCGTCATCATCATCAGGGGTATCCAACAATATAGACCATTATCGCAAACGCTCAAAACTGCTCGAACGTCCAAGCACAACCACGGCAAAATCCATGAGCTGTCTTGTTAGCCGTTGTTGATGGCTAAGCCATGTATACATACCCATTCACCTGCCTCCAAATAGGCACTTAAGAACCTGCGAATCTCCGTGTGCCGGATACGTCCCAACGACAATGTCAGGCCCGTATTTCTTTTGATACCGGAAAGTACCACACTCACAAGCATGGCATCTACAAACAAATGAAAAAACCGGCCAAGCATGTTAATCGACAGAGAAAGAGCATCACTATCAGTGTTGGTCCCTTGGCCATATTGATCACGTGTCGTCGCCACCTCTCTGACCACTCTTTTTTTCAGGCGTCATGACCATCCTAACTCATCCTAGTTGATTAGGTGTGTCTATTTTCGAAAGACGTTGTCGAAAGACCCAGGTGATATATGGTTTTAGAACGCAATAGCGATAAAACGTAGCATTAGGGGTATATAAAACGATACGATACCGTCGGAGCGACGGGGTGTGCTCTACCATGTTGACATGCCGGGCATTCCACTCAAGCCATCATAGTGTGTCATATCATAAGTATCATCATGACACCCAACGGCGCCATGAAAAGAATGAGGGCTGCTCGTCGATTTCAATCCAGCCTTCCCGGCGGGTGAGATAAGCACGCTGTCCAAGGCCTTGAACGGGAAGCGCATTCGCCTCATACCCGGAAGGCGCCTTCCTCTTTGCCTCTTCTTCCGATAAAGCACTTCGGTTGGCAGGGTCAATACGGTTGGTAAAAGTGCCTTGTCCATTAGCCGGGCACGGGAGCCATGTGGATGCCGAAATGGATACTGTGACAAGCGCGGCCACAAAGGTACTGATATAGAAAGTTGATTCCAGCGAACGACGTGATCGGAAACGCAAAGGAAGCACTTGACGCCACGACCACATCTGCTAATAGGGTATGGTGCAAGACGTTGCAAAAGATTCCACGAAATGAAGTCGTAGGACTCGTCCGATGACTAATCCTACACGTGGAAACCGTTGACCTGCTTGCGTCGTTCATTTCCCCATAGTGGCCGCGTCGTAGCTCCCTGTGCGCGGTGGTATGGCACATAGTCGCGTGGTACGTGCGCCTCTATTAACCAGAAGCAATGCGTGGCCATTATTAGCCAAAGAAATGCGCCGCTATACCTAAGAAACAACCCGGAGTATCCATCTGTGGATGCCAAGTGGTATTTCTTGGCCCATAGCGCGTTGGACATGCTGGACGAGCGGTGTATGTATCACAATATCCGTTGCGCTTACTAGGGCAGTAAGTCAAAGCACGTCGCCGTATTTGGGTCTGTTGCTTTCCGTGGAGGATACTGCTATGTATGTGGTTCCCAACTCTTCTTACCTGCAGTTACGGATTCCAGACCAGCACGCAATTGAAGATCTTGCTCATGCTGGAGCAATCCACCCATGATGTACCAGACAAAGACATCTCCGACATGTTTCGAGCTATTCATGCCGTGTATATGAGCTATATGTCCAACCCCTTTGTGAATATGGGCGCCGACGACTTGCCGCCCAATGCTTCTATGGATACACCCCGGCGCCCTACCGTTCCACCGTTTGCCAGCGGGAAAGATATGCCTGTCCAAAATGGACTCTTTGATAAAAGGATCTCTGCTATCACTGGCTGGACTGTTCCTACTACCTCAGATGTATAACACAATGCATGTATTTCAAGCTGGACCGCCACTACGACATTGTCTTTTGGTCACGTCGTTCTTGACATCAGGGGCTCTCGCATTTATGGGAGAGTCACATACCTTTTGTCAGAAGATACGACCTAAATGAACGCCACTTTCTGTAGAGCCGCCTTGTGGCACATTCGTGTCACCGTACGAGATTTCAAAGCGCGAGCACAGATACGGGTGGAACAAGCGCAGCCAAGAAATGCTCCACATGGAGAAACGAACGTCTATAGGTGTTTTTGGTTCATATCTCGTCACAGTGCGTAGCCATTCTGTCCGGCAAGCTCGGTTCGATGCTGCGTCTTGTGTCATCGTATGCAACATCTGCTGCACTCAACATTATTATTCCATGTGCACGGACAGGAGGTGCGGCTCACTTCTCTTCGTCGGCTTCCTGTCTGTTCACGAAACAAGACCCTGTGGCGCTGAGTGAGGCCATTCGACGTATCATGCGGACTAGTGCACAACCAGTAGCGCTCGTATCCGCATTTCTTCCGTCTGATCTAGGAACAGGGCCTTCCAACCAGATTCACACTACTACTCTCTCTTCGTTTACGACCGTCTCCTTGGCTCCTCCTCTTGTTGCCTTTTCCATCCGCCTTCCCAGCCGTATGGCGGATGCCTTGCGTGCGGGTGCTGCTATACCCACCTCCCACCACCAAAGCCCGACACCCGCGCAGATTATGTCTAAAAAGCCACACTTTCTGATTCATATCTTGTCGTCGACACAGGGTCCCTTGTCGGATTATTTCGCCAAACCTGGAGCTCCGCCTTACGTGGTTGGTCAGGCGAATCAAGATGGTCATCCATTTGATACACACCCTATGCAGCTGTCAGAATCAGTGGAAGGGCAACTGATTCCTCGTGATGCTGTAGGCACGCTTGCCTGCAGCCTTGTGTATCAGCTGGACTTGACATCGTCCGATTTGCATGGCACGACCGAATTCGAGAATGGTTGCATTCATACGGACGAAGTTGGCAGCATGCTATTCCTAGCGCATATCCACCATGTTGAGCAGGGCGATGTACCTCCCTCTGTGTCGGACGTACGGAAGCCACTTGTGTATTGGCACCAAAAATACCATACCTGTAACGAGGCTCTATAGACATACACCCATTCTGTTCTTTCCCTATATAGCACTGGCATATACGCATCTCACGCCTGCTTTCCTGTCGTTTGGGCGCATTGCCATCTTTGCTCGGACCAGATTGCACACACACACACACACACACACACACACAAGCTCATTGCTTCCACGTCGGTACAGCCATCGATCGTATTGGCAGAGTATATACTACCGAGGTGCTTAAACACGCTGGTCCTTGAGCGACTCGGCCTTCTCTTTGTCGGTAAACATGCGCGGCTAGATAGTCAGTTGCATCCAAAATATTGTCACATACAGGCAAATTGCGCTCCCTGTACAGAGTCAGTTTGAACCATGTAAGCAAATACATACCACTTCGTACCACCCACATACGTCGGAGCTACGGCGAGTAAGTTTCTCGGTTCGAATACACGTACGCTTGTATGGATCAGGGTGCTGACGGCTAGCGAGCTGCTCCTCAGCACGGTTCAAGATGTTGGCGAGTTCACGAGGGTTCCTCACGTTGCGGTTCACCTCAAACTCGGCACGAATCCGAACGGCATCCTTGCGCCAAGTGTCACGGCGAATGTGCCAGTTGAGGGAATCACGGAGGAAACGACGGTACAGACCCATCACATACTGCTTGTGAAGCGCGCTGAACGCCGGGGGCGCAGCCGACAGCCTTGCTGTCGTCACAAACATTTTTGGCGGCGAACGGAAGGAGCGTTCGGCGACGGTGCCCGCCTGCCGTGTACCTAGTCACGTGATACCAATGGTGGGGGGCCTGGCGTTCGAGCATATCACGCATGCAGGCGTGTGCGCTTCTTGTACTCTGGACATGAACGATATTGTGGGGGTGTTCTTTGCCCTGTTCACCCTATGGGTGGTGGTCCGAATTATACGAGGATGTATGTACCGATGCTATTTCTTATAATTCAGCTGCAAATGGTGTGTCTAGCGCGCAACCGAGTGCTACGCGCACACAAGAGATGGTATGTGACATTTTCGCTGTACTTATATTCTAGGTGGACACGGTCAAAGCCATGTTCCCTGACATACCAGAGGCCTCTATTCGCTACGATATCCTCCGCAGCGGAAGTGCTGAAGCTACATGTGATCGAATTCTTCAGCAAGGGTATCTCCCTCCCGTATGTATTTATTTGCGCTGACCACTGTAGCCCCCTGCTGATTTCCCTGGTGCGACGGAGACACAACATCCACCACCTTCTACGACTAACAGTGCTGTCACAACATCTACTACATTGTCTGCTCGTCAGGACGCCAGTGTTGCCACACCTGTATCTCCTAGCCTTATATCTCGCTATCATTTGGAAGATCGTGTCAATGCCCATTCCTCCCATGAAGCCTCGCCTATTCGTGCATCTTGGTCCGCTGATGCCAAAGATCGTGCTGCAGGTCTACAGGAACGCAAAGCCCAGATGATTTTACAGGCCCGCAAGCGTATGGCGGAGCGCAAAGCAAGCGAAGGTGCATCGACATCGCAGTAAAAGCAATGCTATAAGCATGAGTACCTCTGTTTATAGATTCATGTATATCCTTTCCTCATCAAGCCTTTACAAACTGAACGTATGAGTCGTATGCTATACATACCTTGAAGGTCCAAGTGAAGTCTGCATAAATCACTCCATCATCGTCCATGATTCTGCTGCGGACCGAATTATTGCCACTTCGTGCCAAGAAGCCACTGGGTGCTTCGTTAGGAGCGAATCGCTTGACATAAGGCTCCTTTCGCGGTGGATAAGAGCCGATCATCTCTTCCATCCTGTCTACTGGAACGCCAGCGCGCTTAACGACATGGATATACTTGAGACCCGACAACACTTCTCGTCCCACGCTACGAGTTAGGCATGGCTGATACGTACGAAAATCGGATAGCAACCGCATACTCAATCCCTTCAGGGATTTGGAGCGGTGTTTTTGCCAGTTTTTCCAGTTCACTGGGCTTGTCTAATTGAATGCTGACACTGCCATTTGGCAGCTGTGTGCTCTCCAAGGCAAGCGAATGAATAGTGAGCTGTACTGTGAGTGGCTAAAATACGCAACAAACCTTGGGTGCGGTTGGGTCCAAGGCATCGTTAGCACCATCCGTGCTAATACCTAGGCTTTCCTTCCAGCGACGTAGGCTCTCATCTTGTGCATCCAGGGAAGCATATTCTTGAATTGACTTCTTTTCTCCTGGATTGTACCCTGCCGTAGCTACATGGATAAGCCAGAAACTTTACGTACGCGTAGGGTTCAGGCTGTCCGACAGCTCTGTAGGCTCAACCTCTTTTGACATGATGTCGAAGGCTGTGTGATGGCTTCTATGCTGGTACGGCTACTCTGGGGTACAGCCAAGTGGCCCCTGCGTGACGCTGACATAAGAACTCTTGGATGACTAACCCTTCTTTGTGCCACCCGCGTGTGCCATCACGATTGTCGTTTCTCGCATTGGCAACAATGCCGATGTTTCGCCCTGCAATAGCGCGCACGCCATTCCAGTTGCTAACGAGATATACAGGGTCACGTCATGTACCTTATCGCTTGTTCAACACCAAAAAACCAAATGCCTCAACAGCGCCCAGCAAACCCAAGGACAAGAATGCGCCGAAGAAAGGCAAAGACAAAGAGCCCAAGTCGGACAAAGGGCCTGATAGCGTGGATGCTGTGATGCCCATACGCACGAAGAACGGTATACAGGCACCAGAATCTCCATGGATTTCAGGAGAGTCCAGTGACTCGCGCCTTGTGAGCCCTACCGCGGAGGACCTACTAAAACAGCGATTCCTTCATGCGCAGAAAAAGTCACCGGGCAACACGCTCATGACTGGTGGAAGTGGGAGTGCTACCGATATGCCATCGTTTTTTAGGACATCGGCCTCATCTGCTACCTCTTCTTCTACCAAGGAGACTGACGAGAAGAAGTCTGATTCCTCGAAGAGTGCCGATGCTTCTTCATCTTCGTCCACCTCTTTTATGGAGCCAGATGAAACGAGTCTGATGAACATGTCGTCGTCCTCAGAAACGCAGTCTCCCCCTAAGAAAGAAGAGAAAGAGCCACTATCAAAACAGAGTGCATTCTCTGATACCACCGTGGTGCCCTTCCCAGCCTTTCAAAGTGCCGCATTGACGCCGATTCAACGGAGCCGTGCCTATACGATACCTGACCAGCCATTTGATTCGCATGTCTTTGTTCGTCGGCTATTGGATGGTGGATGGCAGCGTTCTACACCGGCTACACCGAACACTGCGTCGTCGCGTCGTCATGATCCAGCAGAGGCGCTGATGGATCTTACACGTGAGCTGCTCAAGAAGCGGGGCGAGGCGTTGGCGGACGAGCATATCAATCGAGGAGATCTGGACAACCAGCTCTACCTCTTTTCGTCGGCGCTGGCTGAACTGCGTACTGAGGTGCGTGTACGTGCTCGGAACGACGGCGCAGCGCTTCGAAGTCTCACGTCGCTGCTAGAGCGCGAGATTGATGGTCTGTCGCAGAAACTACAAGCGGATATTGAACAATTGAAGCATGATATTCAGGTGGATATGAACAATCGCAAGACGGAAGTACAGGAGGAGAACAACAAGTTAGAGCTGGAGATCCAGGATTTAAACAACCGATTCACGATTTTCCTGAGCGATCTCAAGACGGAAATCGAGCAAAGCATCAAGTGGGATGCAACACGCCGAGCCCTTGCACTGGTGTTCGGTATCACTGCGATTCTTGTGTGCACTCTTGCCATGGCGGACTACTTTTCGCGGCAGGAGGCTGCGGCATCGGACGATACTGCGAGTCGCGGCACCGGTTCTGGCAAATCGTCTCCGGCGCGGACAGCCTCTCGCGCGCCTATTCCTATCGATCATACCCTTCACGACCAGCCGGATGAGCTTCCACCGAAATCGGCCGAGGAATGGGGGCTGCTGCCTCGATACGAGTCGGACGAAGCCCGCTATGTATAATGCTGTTCATCTATTTTTATCCTAGCTCTGTAGATGAGAAGGAACATCATACTCATTGGTCCACAAGGCTAGCTCGCTAGCTATCTCCATAGCTACTTGTCGATCGCCAGCTTGTCCATATCCGGCATGTCGTCCGTAAGGAGCTTGGTCACCTTACCGATGGCCACTGTCTTGCCTTCGTCACGCAGAGTGAAGCGGCCAAGCTGTGGGTAGTCCTTGAAGCGCTCCAAGCACACTGGTGCTGTCGTCTCGATCATCGCAATGATTTTCATGCCCTTCTTGGCAAACTGTGGGCCACGACGGCTCTTCTTGCCTGTTTTCTTGTCGTAGTAGTGCAGCAGCTCCACCAGGTTGACTTCCTCGTTGAGCGAGTGTGCGTGCATCACGGCACTGTAGCCTGCGCAGATAATATTACGGTGCTCCAGGATCGCCAGCTGCGCCTCAAAGCGACGTACCACATGCACAGGGTCTTGCGGGTCCGTGAGCACAAAGCCCGGCTGCACGTCTTCCAGCTCCACGCCCTTGAGCTTTACACGGACATTGTCACCCGACACCGCGGCAGGGATTTCCTCGTCGACTTCGCTAAAGATCGCCAGGACTTCAACGGACGTCTTGTTGGGCATGAGAATGAGCGAGTCACCCTTCTTCATCTTGCCACTCTCCAGCTTGCCCACCACATAGGTACCCATATCGGCGTACTTCTCACTCACAGGCATCTTCAGCGAGGCACTCATTTTGCGGTCACCCAGCTCAAGACCGTCCAAGAAGTTCAGGAGCGTCGGGCCTTCGTACCACGGGCACGCCTCACTCGACGCCTTGTCCTTCAGATTCGCACCCGAGTACGCCGAGACAGGAATGAATGTAATATCCGTCTTCGGGTTGAAGCCAGCGCTGCGCAAAAATGGCGTCAGCTTGCCCACAATGTCGTCGTAACGCTCCTTGTCCCAGTTTACGGTCGAGTCGTCCATCTTGTTCACCACGACGATCAAACGCTGCACACCTGCCGTCTTGACCAAGACAGCATGCTCACGCGTCTGACCACCACGCTCGAAACCTGTCTCAAACTCGCCCTTACGCGCGGAAATCACGAGAATCGCTACATCGGCCTGCGCAGCACCACCGATCATGTTCGGGACGTACGACTTGTGGCCCGGCGCGTCCAGCAGCGTGTAGCGGCGCTTGCCAGTCTCAAAGTATGCACGGCCAACCTCGACCGTCTTACCCTTGTCACGCTCCTGCTGTGTCGAATCAAGCGCCCATGATAGGTACCACGACTCACGGCCAATATCCTTGGCTTCCCGCTCGTACTTTTCCAACGTACGCTTGTCCACCATACCGGTCAGGTACAGCAGGTTGCCACCCATCGTCGACTTACCAGCATCGACGTGGCCCACAAACACCAAATTCATGTGCGACTTGACTTCCTGGTCGCCAAACAAGTCCTTCAGCGTCTCTTCATCCGTAGCCAACTTAGCATCAGCAAGCACCTTATCAGCATCGACAGCAGCCTTCTCAGAGACCTTCTTCTCCACCTTGTTCTGCTGTTTCACAGCCTGGCCTTTAACATCGGCCGGCTTGGCCGCCTCGGGCGCCTTGGTCTCTGTCTTAGCCGCTGGTTTCGGCTCCGTCGGCTCCGTCTTGGCCTCTGGCTTGGGCTCCGGCTTCTTCGCGCCACCGATCGAAATGCTCACGGCCTTCTTCATACCAGCCGGCTTGCTCGACGCCATGGCCGCAGCCTTCGGCGGCAGTGGCGCGGGACCAGAGCCAGATGAGGCGGGTGGGGCTGCCGGCTTCGGCGGCGCTGGCGCCGAAGGCTGCTGGAAACCATACTGCTGGTACTGGTTGGGATCTTGCGCGCCAAAGCCTGCACCAGCAAATCCTTGGTTGTAGTACGCATCGTAGCCAGCCTGCTGCTGCTGCTGCTGCTGCATGCTACGAGGGACAAAGCCCCCCGCAGAAGGGTTAAACGAAAAGCTCGGTGCGTTCGGGTTCATATCGAATCGTGCACCACGCTGCAATCGATGACGACAAGCATGGATCGCGGCGGCAGTTTTTATTCTCGGCCCCCTTCCATACCTCACGTGGCCCCATGTGGTTCATGGAGCTGACAGCACCGCACCGCACCGCACGATCCTGGATCGTTCCGCGACTGGCATACTCTTACCAACATGGCCAAGCCGAAGTCTACCGCTTCGAAAACGTCACCAGGTAAAGGATCGTCCTCCTCGGCATTGCTGAACCTTTCGGGTGTATACAAAAAACTCATACAGTCGTACCAGACTAAGACGCCCTCGCGGATCAAATTGCTGGACGCATTTCTCCTGTTCCTCTTCGTCACAGGCGTCTTGCAGTTCATCTACTGTGTGCTTCTGTCAGACTATCCTTTCAACTCGTTTCTGGCTGGGTATGTACTGACTTTTACTTATGGTAGCTTTTCCGCGACGGTAGGCCAATTCGTCTTCGCGCTATCGTTGCGCATGCAGATCGGCACACTGGCCGACGGTAAGCCACGCGTACCTGAAGGACGGTATGTACCCTCATTACTCACTCAAAGTGCGTTTACAGAATTTCTCCTGGCATCCATGGTGCTGCACTTTTTCGTCGTCAACTTCCTTGGCTAAATGTACAATATAGCTATGAAACGAACACTTCATCGACTTTGGCGCGTTGCAATCCAAAGGCAGGTGTCACCCATGCACCACTGCTCTGAGTCAATAACAACAAAACTGTACATACCATGCACATTGCGTGCCTGCCCACGTCCAGCTTCCCAGCTTGGCTTGGCATTTGTCATTGGGACAGATCAGCCGTCCACTGATCACCCCTTCCACCACATCTGACGAGTCCATCATCCACGTGAGGGGCTCAACAAAGTACGCAGAACAACGTGGTGAGTGCAGTAGACTTTGACGCATCGTTGGACCTGCCAAAGCTTGCCGTGCTCGAGCCAGTTGTGGTGGGAGGACCGGCACCTGTGGCAGGGCACGCATGCCTGCTTGTGGGGCAGGTGTGACACCTTTCCGCACACTATCGCGCTTGTTTGGCTCAAACGCCATCTCGCCCTTCCCTGGATCGTGGGGTACCACATGCTCTGCTGATGCCAGTTCACGACGGCACATCTTGCAGCGAAGACGAGCCGATGATGTGCTGGAACTGGTCGTTTGGGATGCAGCATCCACAGGGTCCGAGTAAGGATCGTCATCGCCGGCATCTTTGCCTTTTTGGATTAGCATGGTGGGTGTGAGTAAAGTATCCATAGCATTGGTATGTTGAATCAAAAACCGCCGAACTTGAGGTCGTGGTAATCGAACTTGGTATCCTTCGGCCTCAAAGAGAGCCAGTCTGTATGTTAGACATAAAGTACACACTGTTGCAGGAATCCTGGGTTGGGATCAGCTTCCTTTCGCTTTGATTTCATAAACGACAGGGCCTGCTCGACGGTCCATTGGCGTGCCTTCATCAAATAAGCAGCAACAATCTAACATGAGCTCAAAAGCCACACGTACCGTGACACTTCGCGAACTGCCAGCTTGGCAGTATACGAGGACAGAGCCATTTGACGCTTCGTTCGAATCATGTAGACGTTGCTCCAAAAACCGGCAACATTGACCGAAGTACAAAAAGATCGGGATGTCCTCTACATCATCCACAGGCACATTCAAGAGATTCTCGTCCTTGATGTCATAGCTCTCAGGGAGGGAGGGAGGGTCATACATGCAAGATACAATAGATTTGATATGTGACTGCCTTAGTGATGTCATCTCCAAGCATGTTGGTAGGGAACCAATGTACAGATGAGGCACGATCTCATCCATGATCTCGCGTCTTGGTACCACTCGAAGTACTTTTTTTTTGGACGTGACCTCTGGCACAGGAGCCCTACTCGCACGTGCCAATCAAAATCGCGCCTAGGAAATAAAAACTAAGTCATCATTGCATTTCGTAAAAGACGGGGTATATGTATATGAACAAAAAGAAGGTCACTTATACAGTTCGCGTACCACTGTTAGCACCAACACCAGCAGCCACTCGCAGAAGCTCACGAGTCTGCATAATAGTACGGCCGAGCATATTTCGGCCTCGGCCCACAGCCTCGACAGGGGCTGCGGAGCCCCAGAAGGCGTCGTTTGGACTAGCATGCACGATCTCAGCATCGCCCGTCTCAAGTAGTGCTTGGCGTAGATCAGTATGTTGCATGAACTTTGTCAAGAGCACCATGCGCATCGTAGATACATTCACACCACCCTTGATCCAGTCTGGACGAACATATTGCGAATTCATGCGAGCAACGTGAATAGCTTCAATGGGTGTCGATGCCTTACGCACTTTGGACGCCAGGTCTGGGCGGTGTTCCACAAACTTCTGCGCCTGGAAGAGATGCTCCGCGGTGGGATAACGCACACCATCCACGACAACAGGATGGTCTGAGCTGTTGCTGAGCCAAAAGAAGGGGATGTCTTTGGAGAAAAACTCAATCTTGTTCTCTTTAGCTGATTTCCCATGCGAAATGGATTCCTGGACAGCGGCAGAGATAACATTAGACTCGCCTGTAGGAATGAATGAAGCCGGGGTTCGTGGGGGTGATCCTGTAGGGGACACAAAACGTGATCCACCGGGCGTAACTGCCGGTACGTCACTCATTATGGACGATGAAAGGTCTGCATCGACGGTAGAAGGGCGCTTCTGGGTACGGTTCAGGAGCTTTCCCAAGGACTTTTGCATGGTGTGGCGATAGTCGTGCGACGTGAGTAAGAATGACTGAGCTCTTTCCTACGCCCTTCATACTATGCATTCAGCGCTCGGACATTCTTAGGCCATGGCGTAGCCAGCATCGTAAATGACGTGCTCAATCTTCACGTGATTTTCCTTTTCCATTCTGGTGTGGTGCCGCCCCCCTCCAGTCGCGCCGCGGACAAAGGGCTGGGCGAAGAGGCGCAGCTTACGTATAGCCTGGCAGACGCATGGCACGCTCTACAATTCAATCATAAAAAAGACGCCATGGTCCATCGTACATACAACGTGTCGCCATTTCACACAAAATAAATATCCGTAGATGTACTAGCATTTTTGGGCGTATGCGTCCAACTATAGGGTATGACCTAAGCACCTAGACAGTGGGACGGCGCATCATTACACCACAAGAGTGTTGGTAAAAACGTAAACTCTGTGGCTTTATGAGCGTGAAAAAGGTACCAATGAACCATCAGCAAGTGATAGTGGGCTTTCATATGCACGAGAGGGTGCAGCATCGACCTGCTTCCACTGGTTCATGTGCAATGAGGAGCCAACACCTTAGATGGTGAAGGCCACGTCCTTGCCCGTGAGCTTGCGGTAGACGCTCGAGAAGGTCTCCAGCTTGTACTCCAGGCTGGTAGCGTCCTTCGAGTCGAGGGCGCAGCGGACCAGCTTGCTGCCGTCAGCGGCCACGCGAGTGCGCTTGGCAGTGATCTCGGTGGGGAACACAAGGTCTTCGAGGATAGCGTTGTGGACCTCGGTGAGGGTGCGGCTGCGGGGACGCGGCTGCTTAGCACGGCTGTGGCTGCCGGGCTTCGGCAGGATGCGGCGCTGGCCAATGAACACAACGTGGTGGTCCGAGAACTTCTTCTCGAGCTCACGGGTGAGGCTGGAAGAGGTTAGTCGCTGTTCTACACTAGTTGTGTTTTAATACATACCGCTGCTGAACCTTGTGGAAAGCCTTGAGCTGGGGCATCGGCACGAAGACGACGTAGGCGAGCTTACCACCCTTGACCTCGACCTCCTTCACGGCGCTCACCTGGAGCGGGCGCAGCTCCATCTTGAGCTCCGGAATGTGGGTCTCAAGGTCAATAAGGGCCTGGCAGATAGTCTTCTCAGCGTCGCTGGGAGCACCGGTGGGCGCGTTCGCCGTGCGGAAGATCTTGTGGTTCACAGTCGCCATCGCGTTAGTGGTGAGAGACAAGTGCTTGCGTTGTACGGCAAACAGCTTGTGGGAGTCGCGCGCAAAACTATAAGTCTCACGTGACCTCAGGGTACAGACTGATTCTTCTATGTGGATGGGCCGATTCGGTGGAGGTGTGCCGTGCCAAGGACCGTGCAGCTTGTGAGCGCATATAGTCGTGCCATACTGGTGAAGAAAGCTATGCCTCTATTTAGTAGACTTCGAGAACGTAGCGTTCCTCTTCCTTCAGCTCGTTGATCTTCTCCTCCGCCTGCTCGCGCGACCAGCCGTGCTCGATAAACGCAGTGACCAGGGCCTCCTGAATATCGGGCACAGGCCACACGGGACCACAAAGCGTGAAGAGACCCTTCATGCCCTCCAGGTCCTTGCCTTGGTTCTCCTTGGCAAGCTCCGGGACGAGGTACTCGGTCAGCTGCTTACCATCCTCCACAATCTTGTGCTGGATGTACACCTTCTTCTTCTGGTCACGCGAGAATGCGAGACCGAGGTGCGTGAGCACGCCGTCGGCCAGGTACGCCTCGAGTTCTTCGCCGTACATGTACTCCATCGCGCGGTGACGCGAACCGAAGTAGTAGTACATTGGGCCGATCTCCTTGCCCTGCGCCTTTTCGTAGGCACGGTACTGCAAGAACGCACGGAAGGGCGCGGCACCGGTACCAAGACCTGCCATGATGATCGGCTGCGTCGACAGCGGCGGAAGCTTCATGACCGAAGGCTTGAGACTCACTGTGACCTTGGTGCCTGGACGCAGGCGCGAGAGATAGCGCGTGCATTGACCGTAGCGTGGGCTGCCATGCGGTGTCTTCCAGTCAACCGTCACGATCAGCAAGTGGACCGAGTTGCCTACAGCGACTTGCGCGCTAGCAATCGAGTAGTGACGCGGTTTGATCGGCTCCACGTGCTTGATGAGCCAGTTCATGTCGACCTGCGCGCTGGGGAACATGTGTAGGACATCGACGTAGGTCACTGTCTCCGACTCGGAGAGCTTCTTAAACGTGCTGCTGCCCTCTGCCGAGCTGATGAAACGCAGCCAACGTGCCTCATCCTTGCTCTTCACTGCCTTGCCTAGCGCCTCAAAGAAGCTCTTGGGCGGCTTACCGAAGATGTCCAGATTCTGCTGCAGCGTCTGGAACACAGTGCGGCTCTCCATCGTGCCAGGGCACAGCACACTCGGCGCAAACACCACCTCGTCAGGGTTGTAGCCACTCCATGCAATGAACTGTGCCACTTCCTCGTCGTCGTTCCAGCCATGCACACCCAACGCTTCACCGACCTCGTACTTGAGGTCCGTGCCCGTCGTGTCGAGCTCCATATGGAACAGGTATCGGTCGTACTCTAGCGGCGTAAGGCGCTTGTTGACGGACACCTTGATGTTGTACGTCTTCTCCGGTAGGTCAGGACGTAGCGCATGCTCATCCGACGCGTACGCTTCGCGGAAGAGAAGCTGCCATGCAGCCATCGCCCAGGAGGCACGCTGCACTTCCTTGGTCGACGCAAGCATATCGGTGTGCGCCCGTGTGCTGTTGTACGACCACTGCGTCGCACGCTTCGCGGCCTTCTCCGCCTCCTCCGGCGTGGCCGATTCGGCGGCAGCCCAGGTGTCAGGCACCGGCACTGTCTTCACAGCGTCGTACATCACGTTCTGCCACACCTTGTCCGACGCCCACGAGGCCTTCGACACCAACGAGGCCAACGACGACTCAGCCTGCGCTACACTTGCTAAGAGCACGCTTGGGGCGAGGTCCGTGGCACTAGGCGCCTCGTTCTTGCCCTTGTGTGCGTCGGCTAGCGCCGACGTGAGCGATTGCACACTTGCTTGCGGGTCTACGACAAACACACGCGCCTTCTTCGCAGCCAGTAGCTTCTTGTCGTCCGCACACAGCGACGCATCCACATCCTCGGGAGTCCAGCCATTCGCAAGGAAAACGACTGTGCCATTCTCACGGAGAGCCGAAAGCACAGCGTGGCGACGAAGAAGCGTCACAGGCTCGCTAACAATGACCACATTCGACTGGCCCTCGCGCGCAAGCATATCGATGGGAATTTCCGCACCCTGGCGCTCCGAGTACACCACATCTGCCCTCACCGCGCCACCGGCGGCAAAGTTGTCGAAGCGCGAGAGCGCACGTACACCTTGCGTGCGGTTGTCATGCAGCGCACTTGCCAACAGGGGCGCAGCGGTGCTTGTGCAGCCCTCATCGGTGCCGAAGAAGGTATACAGGTGTGAGCCCGTAAGCTTCAACAAGTCGATAGATGCCACCTGCGTCGCATCCGACTTGGCAAGCACCTCCGACAGACACAACGAGCGCGAGGATGACACAGCAGCCTGCAAGAGCGCGTACCAATCCGGCACCGAGAGCTCCTGACCAGGTGCAAGGACCACTGACTGGACAGCCAGCGTCTTCTCGCCACAAGCTCCGCTCAGCGATGCCTCCAAAACGTCAGCATACAAAGCACCGCCCAGCGGCGAGAATGCCTCCTCCACGACGCGCACAGTCTTTGCACTCGAGGGAATCTTTGCACAGAGCGCTTTACCGTCCCAGGGACGCAGCGCGCGAACAGCGATAATGCCCAGCTTGCTGCGTGTCGCCGAGGGCAGCATCAGCAACATAGCACGGGCACGCGCCGAGATCGAGCCGTTGGGCATCACAAGCACCGTCTCTGGTGAAGAGGGACCCGTGTACGCCAATGCCTCCGGCGTAGCTCCGCTGGGCGGCGTCACAGTGCCCACCTCAGCACCAGCAAACGCACCATCAAAGATGTGGATCAAGGGCTTCTTGTCCTTGCGCGTGTACGCGTAGTGCGCCACCTCAACAGCCTCTTGACGCGTCGAGGAAATAAGCACCTCGAAGCCCAGATCGCCCAGCATGGCAGCGGTCGAGAGCGTCGAGGCGTAGTCGTTCGTGACGCTCAGGTCGTCCGACGTCGCTTGGCTGGCACCCGAGACGTGTAGAACAAGGTCCGTGTTCTTCGTGTCGATCGTAGCCAGCGCCGGACCCATGGCCAGCAAACCCTGAGCATTGGTCAGTACCGAAACGGTAGCCTGTTGACCCGCGGGCTGGTCGGCACTACCTTCGCCAGCCAAGTAGCCAGCAATCGCCTGACCAGCACCAGCACGTGTCTGCATCGCAAGCACACGCGGCGCGGATGGCTCCTGCGCCTGCGCTTCACATGCCTGGCCAAATCCAGTCGTGGCGCTTTCGTACGTAAAGATCGTGCCGCTGTTCGCAAACGCCAGTGCCTCAATAGCTAGCAGGCTGGTTGCGAGCACAGCCTGATCAAGCGTCAGCATATCGACGGAGGTAGCAGGCACTGCTTCGCCGAAGCCCAAGTCAACGTGCGTGTCCTTCGACTTGACCAGCGGCTGCTTCGAGCGCGGGCTGTACGGCACACCCATCACACCACACGTGTTGTACGTCGCATCCACGGTGCTCTTGGGCGCCACAAACAGACCCGACTTGTCATCCACAGCATCCTCACTGGGCTGCAGCGTCGTGGCACGCAGAGGGTGCGACGACGCGGACGTAGCTCCCGCTAGGGCACCAGCTGCAGCAGACTTGCCCGAGGAGGGTGCAGACGACACCTTGGTAAGTGCTTTGCCCGACATCAGCGACCGCGCCAAAGTAAACAGGCTGGTGCCGACCACAGCCCCACCTGCCACCAGCGCAGCACTATGCAGCGCGGACGAGTTGGACGATGCCATACTGATCCGATCCGTATGGGAACAATGAAGGAGAGAAAGATGCCTGTGTCGTCTTCCTCCCCGGCACCTCACCTCGGACTTTTTTACTACCAACAAAGCTGTGGTGCCATCCTCCACATTCGTCACGTCATCGAAAGAAACGCCTGCCTCCCTTGGAGCCACGTGTCGAAGCCTAATATGGCCTGTCTTCCCTGCGATGCCCATCTAGCCTCTTCTAACATTTACCGTTGAGGTCAAAATCACGTAAAGGATAAGTAGGTGCTCGCCCATAGATCCGTGGCACGACTTAGATATCCTAGTAGGGGGTGGCATGCCTTGTCGCACAGCCGCATTGTCCATCCATAGCCTAGTTTGTTTTTCAGCCTAAATACATGTCCACGCTACGTAGGACCCCAACACTAAGAACCAGGCTACGGTAAAGGTAGGGCAGATCGAAAGAGCATCTTCTGTCGATCCTACGCAACTCTTTGGACACAGCAACTTGTTCCTATTTTTTTTTTTTTTTTCAAATCCGCACATGACTTGTTGATCTATTTGGCTGCGCTGCGCAGATGCAGCTAGTAAGCAACGGCAGGGTGGTGGCCCCCGCCTGCAGGGGTTGGAGATGTTAAATATTCTGTTAGCTGTGATTGGCTCCACAATGTCTACACAACAACAATCTACGCATGTATTGCCACTTCTAGTCACTGGGGCAACACGGCCATGCGTTGAGAGTGAGGAAAGTGGCATACGTGGGGTTCTGCAGTACTCCATCACTACCATATCACAGAGCGTGCAGAGATTACATATCGTGACGCTCGTCTCGGTTTGAAGCGATACGAACCTTTCATTTGATTCTTGATAGGTCTGACCTGCCACAGCTCGCTCTTTTTTTTTTCTGTGATCGTTTACTTCATTTACGCACTCTTTTTTCTTCTCTGATCGACAACTAACACTTATTTGACACGGTCCTTACAAATGAGCGCGGCACTCCAATCCACTGGTATGCCAAGCTTACCCAAGGGAGCGCCTGTCAAGGTCAATCAGTTTGTCCAAGACCAGGTTCCTGATGCTATGCGTGGCCGGCTCTCGAATCTATCGGGCATGCATAGCAGTGGTCCTTCTGGCACCATGCTACATGGTGACGAAGGCTCTTCTATATATACAGGGGATGAATACACTGGCTCATCTTACAGCTACGATGACGAGACGCCCTACTCTGACGAATACGACGATGAGACGCCGTATTCTGACCAGTACGATGACGAGACGGGGTACTCTGGGCTGTATGATGATGAAACTGGCCAGTCTGAGCTATATGGTGACGAGACCGGTTATGAAGATGAGACCGGCCAGTCGGAGTTGTATGATGATGAATACGACCGCGAAACTGGTTATGGTGACGAAACGGGCGCGTCTGAACTGTACGATGACGAGACGGGCTACGAGGACGAGACGGGTCAATCTGGTCTGTACGATGACGAGACTGGCTATGACGATGAGACTGTCCGATCTGGTCTGTACGATGACGAGACGGGCTACGAGGACGAGACGGGTCAATCTGGTCTGTACGATGACGAGACTGGCTATGACGATGAGACTGTCCGATCTGGTCTGTACGAGGACGAGACGGGTCAATCTGGTCTGTACGATGACGAGACGGGCTATGACGATGAGACTGTCCGCTCTGGTCTGTACGATGACGAGACGGGTCAATCTGGTCTGTACGATGATGAGACGGGCTACGACGACGACACCGGCTATAATGAGGAGGTAAGCGGTGCTGGCATGTACGACGATGAAACCGGCTACGATGATGAGACCGGTTACGACGACGACACTGGCTACAACGAAGAGGTGGGTGGTGCTGGCGCGCATGGCCATGAAGACAGTCTGTACACGGACGAAGATGGGCCAGCCTCGTACGACAACGAAGACGAGTTTGATGATGCGTCGACTGTAGCCGATCCGCATGGACCCACGGCGGATGCTCACAACGACTTGGAGGAAGCCGTATCGAACGAGCCAGATGCATCCACGCCCACAGGCCACCGGTCAATGGCGGACAACCTGCCTGCTGTTGGTGCCGCTGCCGTCGGTGCTGGCGCTGCAGGAGCCGCAGGCGCCGCCGCAGCGTCCAAAGGCGGTTTTTTGCGCAATTTGCGTAAGAGCAAAGCAGAACCTGCTCCTCCCGCCGTGCCTGTAAGTGGTGCCAACAGAAACGTGTCCAATGTGATGCCAGCCTCTGCACCTCCGCCTGCCGCGGTACCTGTGGCTTCTTCCACGCCTGCTGCCTCTGCACCGGGACCGGCCGCTGCGCCTGCGCAGGCGCCCGCGCCCACAGCCGGTCGCAAGGGCTTCTTCAGCCGCTTCGCGAAGATGAAGAAGGGCAAGAGCGCTGCGCCCGAGGCCCCGCCATCGCCGCTTACCATGTCGCAGCGCCTGGAAACGGTGCGTGGTCTCCGCAGCCAAGCGGATACCGCTGTGAGTGGCGCTACCGTGCTGGCCGCGAGCGAAGAGCCAGCGCAGCGACCTGGTGCGCCTAGTGGCTCTGTGGCCCCCCCGGATGCGGAGCCTTCGATGCCGAACAAGAATGCGCAGCCCACCGCAGGCGCTCGTCCTGAGGCGCTGAAGAGGGAGGAAAGCAAGGCGAGCGAGACTGCGGCCAAGCCACCTGCGCGAGCGACCAGCCCCCCTGTGACTCGCTCTGTACCGGCGTCAGCGCCCAAGCGCTCTAGCACGAAACCTGTGCCCGCCCCGGTGCCCGTTGTGGATCATGATAGCTACTTGTCAACCACCGACTATGATGACGAGAGCTACTTGGACGACGACGACGTGAGTCAGTGGGAGAGCAGTGCTGTAACGGACGAGCCCATTGGCCGTCGGCAGCCTCTCTCGCCGCCTCCACGCAAGGGTCTGGGCCGTGGCGCCCCGCCTCGCAGAGCGAGTGGTGTGACGCCTGTGCGTGCGCCTGCGCCTGCGCCTGCGCCTGCGCAACGCGCTGTGTCGGACTTTACGGCGTCAGAGGTGGATACTCACGACGATCTGCTGACGGAAAGCGATCGTACGGAATTGTACACGCGTGAGCGTGCGCCCAAGGAGACGGATGGCGTGCTCCTGCGCAACGAGCCCAGCAGTCATACACCACGTTTGGTCGATCCCTTCGCGGAGGGTCATGCGCTGGATCGCTTTGCTCGTGATATTCGTCGTCCGGAGAGCATTGAGCCGAGCTTGTTCGATGGCGAGGCTGCCTCAGCATCGGCTTTGCCGTCCAGTCCCTTGATGCCACGCTCGGGGCCTCTGAGCAGCCAACAGCATGGATCGGAAGACGTAGAGTCGCTGCTTGAAAGCCCCCCCGTCCCACTCAAGCGTGGCGGGAAGCATACACCGAGTGCCTCGATCGGCACGTCGAGTGAATTTTACTCTGTGTCTGGTGCCTCGCCTTCCGAGTCGGAGGAGCCTATTCCATCTCGTCGCACTCGTTCGCGGCAGTCGAAGCGCGATACGAACACAACCACGAGTCCTGTACCGCCCTCGATGGCGGCTGTGCCAGCAACGCTGGCTGCAGCAGCTGCCGCGGATCGTGCCCACCGTCCCAAAACAGCAGGTCTTCCTACGCGTGGACCACGCGCCGCGCCGCCTGCAGCACTGCGTCAGCCCCCGCGGGAGAGCACGCGTCACGCTTCCGGTCTCAACGCCTTCCGCGACTTGGAGCACCGCATGCCCCACTCGCGCTCGCGCGCCAAGCCACGCGCGAAACGCGTGTCTCGCAATACGCAAAAGTACCTGCTCACGCCGTCCGAGGCGCCCACCGATACGGAAGGTGATGACTTGCTGGTACAGACACACAAGTCGGCGGAGGCCAAGCAGGCTGCTGAAGCGAAGAAATCATGGCTCATGCGTGAAATGACGCCGGAGCAAACGCACTACTTCTTGCGTGAGATGGTCAGCAAGGAGCTGCAATGGGAAATGGACCGCATGTTCCTTCTTACATCGTTTGACAAGCCTGTGGGACGCTCTGTCAGCCGTCAAGGCCATGGTCTCAACCAGGGCCGCCGTCGTCCTATCAAGTCCGATGCTGACTCGCGCGCGGGCGACTTTCCCGACGACGAGGAGGCCAGTGTCGCGGATGCCGACTTGAGCGACGACGAAGACGTGTTCCGTCGCGACGTGTACGACCCGAAGCCTGTGCAAGTGGACCTGCCCCTGCTGCGCTTCCTGCTGCGCAATGCATTCTGCACGTTCCCCTTGTTTGTCCCGCCCTCGCCGCAAGCGGTCCACCAAGCTGCCGCGAAGGCTGCGAAGCAAGGCCGTGCACCGCCGCCGCCGCCGCCGAACAAGGCTGCCCTGGCTCGCTCCTACTTTTTCAAGGCGATTATGCCCATCGCACGTGAGCTGCAAGCGCGCTCTCTGAGTGCCGCTGTGGACCGCAACGGCGAGGGCGATGGTATGCCGTTCATGGCTCTCTCGACGGGATCAGCGTTATCGCAGCTTTTACGCAAGTGGGCGACGCGCTACATAACGGCGGTGCTTAGGGTGGGTCCTGGTAGTCCCTACTTTGGGGCAGAGCCTGTCCACAACCGACCGTTCGGCTGGCCGAATGCGGATCTGCTTCCACCTGAAGCATTTGTGAGCTACCGACGCCCTACCGACCGTCTGCGTGCCGGCGGCTTTGAGGTGGATATTGTGGCAGTGCGTGAGCACGCACACCACAGCCGCGACTTTTTGTTGCGTATTCGCCGGCCCAACCGGATGGACGAATTTGTCGTGCGTAACGATCGCGACTGGGACGAATTCCGAGCGAAGCTGGCCCAGGAGCTGGGTCCTTACGTCCACGTTCGTCCGCTGCCGCGCTTGCCCGGCCGCATGCCACCCTCGCCGCCTAGCAAGTCTGCGTCGACGTTGATGTCGCCCTCTACAGCCACGGACACACGCACGTCGGATGTGTCGTCGACTATCACTGGCACGACGTCGTACGATGAAACTTCGTCGTCGTACATGACATACGATGACGAGACGTCGTACGAGGATGATGAGACGTCGTACTATGACGATGATACGTCGACGATCGACGGTCGCAAGGAGCCATCGCGTCCGCCTCCTGGCATGACGGCGGCTGACATTCTCACGCCGCTGTATGCGCAGCGTGCGCGTCCCATGCCGCGTTTCGAGGTGGACCGTCGTCTGTTGCGCTCCTGGCTGCGTGATACGCTGGCGATCCGCAGCATTGGTGAGAGCAGCGAAGTGCGTGCATTCCTTAGTATCGGATGCTTCCACGATCGTGAGCTCGATACAAATGAGCTTCTAAACATTGCGGACCGTCGTCGTGTGGACTGCCGCCGTATTGAGGAGCGTGAGATGGATGCACAGATGGCCGGTGAGAATGTGCTGAGCATTCGCCGCGTCCAACAGCGTATTTGGGCAGACTGTGTGGATGGTGATGGTTTCTTGAAGATGTACGATGCTCTGAAGGCGACACCCAACTACAAGGACCTTCCCACGTCGTACCAGACGATGGTGTCATGGGGCAACTTGCAGGTCGCACGCTTCCTCTACGGCGTGTTTATCCAGGGCGACATGTCGCGCGGCAACCTCATCCGCATTCGCGACCTGATCGATGCCGTGCCGTGGCGTCGTCTGGCCAACGCGATGCGTTTGCCTGCCCTTCAGGCTGTGGCCGAGTGGCAGAAGCAGTTCCTGCGCAACCGTTTCTTCCAGGCCATCTTCCAGATCGTCTACGAAGACAATCCTGTGGCCCAGGACGAAGAGTTGCGCTCGCTGCAGCAAGTGATCGGTTCTGACACTATGCTGCGCAAGCTTCGTGCGTTTGTGGAGAGCCCAGAGGATACCAAGCGTTTGGTCCGCCAGCATGCCTTGCGTGCGGACATTCCCCTAGTCGCTGCGATTGTCCGTGGCTCCGATGCGCCAAAACTGAGCAAGGCGGATGTGCAGCGTGTGATTCTGGCCTCGCGTGAGTACCATGAGTTCATGCAGACCCACCCGACGGCGGCTCGCAAGCGTGCCAACCAGAGCGAAGGGTACATGCTGATTGTCAACCTCCAGCGTGTTCTTCGCATCTACTCGCTGCATCGAGATGTGACGCAGATCCGCGGCATGCTGCAAGACCCGACCATTCTGGATGCATTGACAGTGTTCTTTGAGCCATTGCTGGAAGCCCTGGTCCGCTTGCACCGCGTCAAGGGCATCCGTGAGGACATTATGCACTTGCACGTATTCCTGATGCGCCTCTTTGATATGCTTGAAAGTGTTCGTGCTCGTGTCCAAGATCCTGCTCGCTCGATCAACATGATCGCCTCGTTCTTGGACCGCGGTGCGCCCGGCTGGTACAACTTCTTGCACCGCTGGTCGCAAGTGGACCCTGTCGTGTTCAGCACGTTTGCTTGGCTGCGTCACCTGGCCATGACCGTTGGCGCTGGCTCGGAGGACCTGGCAAGCATTTGGGAGCCGCCCGTGCATGCCATGCAGCATGACAAGGACGACATGGACCATGTCACGGCAGCGCTGCAGTCGGCCAACTTGGAACGCCTGAACGCGAATACGACGGCCAAGATGCCGACCATGCACTTGGACGACGCGATGATGGCCGAGATTCAGGAGCTGACGGATGCCGCACGTCGGAAGCGTGGCCGCCAAATGGAGATTGGCTGCCGTTGGGCTGCTGGCGATACCGAAGCGGACTTTAGCATCCAAGTGTTCGGCGACGGCGAAGGGCATATGCGCAGCGAGCCCTTCCTTCCGAAGGAGCCAAAGCCTGCGCCAAAGACGACCTATATTGACAGCCTCTTGCGCAGCTTCCGCGAGGCTGTATCCAGCGCGCTCGCTCGCTAATCCTGTTTGTCCTGCATCCATACATCGCATGCCTTGTACAAGGCTGTGTTGCTGATCCCTTTCCCTCCCTTTCCTTTGGTCTCGTGGCTTATTTGTCTGTTTGCGATAGTGTACTTTTTATAGGTATATCTGAGAATTCATTATGCTCCCTCTATTTGACGCGAAGCGAGTCCTTGCGCTCGCTCGACGGTCTTGGGCTTCACGTGACTGGTCCGAGCATCCTCAATCGGCAAGCACAGGCCACCTACACAACGGGGGCGGCCGCCCTTTTCAAAATGCAAAATCATTGAGTTGGTACGAGGAGTAGACTATAAAACACGGTTGACGTGGGTAACAAAAGTACAAAGCAAGGTCCTTGCTCTTTCATTCAGGGGGGTGATAGGGGGCATCGTTCGTCTAGGGAGAGACATGACATGGGAGGATAGCAGTCAGCCAGGCGAAAGGATGCGCAAGCCAGCCCAATTTTACGGCCACCCAAAGGGTTGGTTCGAGTGACGATGTTGAATCGATAACGAGAGTAGTACATCCCAATCTAGGATGTAGGCATTTAGATCTCGAGCTTCTTCGGCTGCTCCCAAGTGAACTCGGGGCGGCCAAAGTGACCACCGTAGGCAGTCTGGCGGTACACTGGCTTCTGCAGCTCGAGGTCCTTGACAATGATACCAGGCTTGAGGTCGAAGTTCTTGCTGATGATCTTGACCAGCTCATCGTCACTCTTGGTACCAGTGCCGTAAGTCTCCACAAAGATCGAAAGAGGCTCAGCCACACCAATAGCGTACGACAGCTGGACAAGAGCACGGCGGGCAAGGCCAGCAGCCACAAGCGACTTGGCGATCCAGCGAGCCGTGTAGGCAGCCGAACGGTCGACCTTCGAGAAGTCCTTACCCGAGAAGGCACCACCACCGTGGGCACCCCAGCCACCATACGAGTCGACAATGATCTTACGACCGGTCAAACCGGCATCACCCTGCGGACCACCAATGACGAAGCGACCCGACGGCTGGATGTGGTAGATGGTCTTGTCGTCCAGCATGTGCGAGGGCACCACCTTCTGGATGATCTCCGACTTGATCTTCTCACGGAGCTCCTCAGTGCTCACATCGTCCGTGTGCTGCGCCGAGACGACAACAGTGTCGACACGGAGAGGAATCACAGCACCACCATCGTGCTTGTATTCAATGGTGACCTGGGTCTTGGTGTCGGGCAGGAGCCACGGAAGCGAGCCATCACGGCGAGCCTTCGACATGGCCTGGTTGAGCTTGTGGGCCAGCATGATGGTCATCGGCATAAGCTCAGGGGTCTCATCCGAGGCATAACCGAACATAATACCCTGGTCACCAGCACCGTGCGACTCCAGGTCACCGTGGTCAAGACCCTGGGCAATGTCAGGCGACTGCTGCTCAATGGCGACCATGACGTTGCAGGTCTTGTAGTCAAAGCCCTTCTCCGAGTGGTCGTAACCGATCTCACGGATGGTGTCACGGATGATCTTCTGGTAGTCCAGCTGAGCCTTGGTGGTGATCTCACCAAACACAAGAATCAGACCTGTCTTGGCCGCCGTCTCACAAGCCACCTTCGAGTGCGGGTCCTGCTTCAAGCAAGCGTCCAGAATGGCATCCGAGATCTGGTCACAGATCTTGTCGGGGTGACCCTCACCAACCGACTCCCTAGCTAGTTAGCCTGCTATCCAAGCATGAGAATACGTACGAAGTGAACAGGAAATGACCAGCAGGAAGCGAATGCATGATCGTCTAGGTTGTAGTACTAGTTGAAGTCGGGTGCTCCCTGCACCGTGTGTTCACATTGTTTCAGTCTGCGCACGACTCACCCAACAGTGCGTCGCTGGCACGAGCGCCTTCCTTGTCTCTTGGGCCAATCTCCCGTACGCGATCTGGCATGTGCCTGCGCATCACGTCATCCATGCAGCACTTCTTCCTTCACGTGCACTGGGACGGGCGGCTGGCTCTTGCCCCCCGAGCGGTGTCATGCTTATGTCATTTTCTTCCTGGGAAGAGCCTGGTCGTCGCCAGGTCAGTAGCGGATTGCACTTGTAGCCAGAGGGTGGCTTTTGGCGTGGACATGCGTAAGGCCAACGTGTTTCGACATGAGTCGGCGCTCCCGCGTATGGTATGTGTAGATTAGAGTATCATACTAACATGGTAGTCGTGGTCCCCACGGAACTTGTACAACCTCATTGCCCGCTCCACCAAACCGCAGCTTGTGAATGAAACAACGTTCAATAAGACGAGCATGACCATGTATCAGCAGCGTTGGCGCTCAAAGCGGCTGCTACGTGGATACCATGGCGACTGGATCCCAGAGAGACGCTTCAAGCGCTGGTTCCTTCCTAGCTCTTTACCGAGCTTCCATCCTGCTATCGCGCCGCAACTGAAGAAACTCGGTCACGATGCGGATGCGAAGAACGCACTGGACACGCCTACACCGCCTGTAAAGAGCCTGTTTGTTCGCGATGTTGAGCGTCGCATCGATACAGTTGTATTCCGCTGCTGCTTTGCGCACAGTGTCTACTATGCTCGCTCCATGGTACTGCATGGCAAAGTAACTATTAATGGTACTGTCGTAAAGGACCCTGGTCATCTCTTGCAAGAAGGAGACTTGATTTCCGTGGAACCTGAGTGTATTCCCATGCTGAACAAGCATGTCGCTAAACGCGTGCAGGCTGACCGTGAGCGCCTGGCACCAAAATCGGAGCCACCAAAGGAAACTGCTGCTTCTGAAGAGGCGAACCCCACTGAAGAAGCTAAGAGCAATGAAGCCTCTGAAGAGTCAACGGAGGCAACTACTTCCGCCAGTGAGACGGAGAACTCGTCGAGCACCGAAACTAGTGACTCTCACTCTGAGTCTACGCCTTCGGCCAAATCTGAGACAGAGAACAACGGTCTTCCGCAAGGCGTTCTTCCCTTCAACCTGCCACCATTTGCTGCTCCTTTCCTGTTTATTCCATCGTATCTGGACGTGAGCTTCCGCACCTGCTCGGCCATCTACCTTCACCACCCAAGCCTCACAACACAGCTTGTACGATCCCGCGATGGTGGTAACGCGAGTGCCAAGACCCATTCCGAATACCAGTACCGTACAGAAATTCCATCGCCATACCCCGCCGGTGGCGACATGTTTGGCCTGGCATGGGAGCTGTATGTTCGCAATGCTCCGCGTGTTCGTGCTGATGAGCGCCGCACGAAGCTTTTGGGTCGCTATGGCCGTAACGGCTTTGAAGCTGCTCGTGCATTCGAGCAGGACCGCCGTCGCGTGGCTATTCGCCGTGGTTGGGGTCGCAAGCGTCGTATCTCCTTGCCAGCTTCGCCTCTGAAGCGCTCGGCGACGAACTAAAAAAAAAAAAACGTCTTCATAGATGCTTAGGCAGTCAATACCCACTTGATGCACTACCTCGATGTAAGCCCGATATATGTGCGCATTCTCAAAGCAAGCGAGATTTTGGGCACCTCCACGACTATGCAGCCATGGCTGGAACACGAGATAGCCTGGCAAGAGACGAAGGACTTTCCTCGACAGGCTCTATGGTACGTGTTCTTCATATGTGCTAATAGACAAGGTCGCCTGATGGTCTATTTTTCCTAGTAAAAGCTGAATCTCACGCGCTGCACTTATATCAAGTAACACAGGAAGGCTGTACTTGTATTCATTCGTCCAAAGCGCCTTCGCCTATTTTGGATGTACGCTGGTATCCCATCCCTCTTTACCGTGAAAATGATGAAGGAGTTTCTGAAGCGCATTGGTGTTACTTTTTAAGTTGCCGTGACGTGCCCGTGCGACTGATTGATGCATGGGATGGCTCGGTACGTATAAAATACTTGCCTAACAAGAGCTCAGGTAAAAGCATCCTATGGTATTCTGAATCATGTTGAATCATATTTATCACCGTATTCGCTCTCGTTGAATCGTGAGCATACAATGTGCGTTTATCTTGTTACGCTTACACAGATTGTATGGTGGCCTGTCCGAAGCACTCTCTATCTCTTTTCTATCTCAGGTGGGCACGAATCTGCATATGGCCCTGGACGTCTCACTGAATGGCTCCGAAGATGGGGTGGGTGGTCACCATGGTATTGTATCTGCACTAGCTGTCGGATCAGCACCCAATATGCTCAATGACCAACCTACGCAGTCCTTGGAAGTGAGTGCGTTGGGAACCTTCAGCAACGAAGTTGGCCTTTATATTACAGAGCCCGAATGGCTATGCAATATGAAAGAACGAGGTTTGTCATACCCTTGGGCCAAATTTGGTACAGACGCATCTATTCCAGGCGAAACAGTATGCCTTGCCAGCTGGCGCATCCCTGAAGGTCAGGGGATAGTGCAGGTACGTTGCAACCAGTGGTATATCCTTACACACTAGCTCGCTTGGCATCCAATTCAGAAAAATATATTGGTTGCTGCATCGCGAAAGTCAAAGAACCTTTACGTGTTCGACACAAATTACCTGTACGGAATGCGTGACCCTTTTCATTGCACGACATTGAGTAGCACAGACTCTTCTCTGATTGCAATGCTACCTAGGGATAGTGGCACCACCTACCAAAGACTTCTTTTTGATATCGATCCACAAGGTAAATTTATTGCTGCCGGAGATGAACAAGGTAAAATTTCTGTATGGACCTGGGACTCAATTGTTACAGGATCTCCAGATCGTATAATTTCTCCTACATTTGAGTGGTTTGCGCACGAAGGTATGTGCTATGAGTCATGTTAACAAGCTAGATCCTATTGGGAGTGTACAATTCTCGCCAATCCATACCCAGAGGCTATTGAGCGTCAGTGGTACGCGGCTTTACGACAACCAAGCAACGCCTATCAATGATGATCAAAAGAAGTCTAATGATCCAAACCGTTCGCTTACCACACCCTATGTCAAAATATTTGTGTTGGAATAAACAATAGTGAATTGATTCTATTGCATTGTATATTCCTAATAATGAAGTTAAGAGTAATGTAGTTGGTACTTGCTGAGGCGACGCCTTATAATTAGAAGACGGCATCCAAGCAGCCGGCACAGATGATGTCCTCGAGACCTAGAGTGTAAGTGTGCGGTCTTTATAAGAGTATACATACAGCTGTATTGTCAGAATGGCCGCTAAACAAGATCAATACGTACCAGCAAGCAAGCAGACCAACGCAGAAGCCGCAGCTTAAGGAGTTAGAGAATGAAAGAGGTATGAACTTACCAGGGGCCGCAGGCACCATCTATAAGGTCAGTTTTACCACGTTATATGGAATACGTACGCTTCTCCTGCACACGAGCACGGCGCTGGTCAAGGGGCTAATGTGTTAATCTAGTTTTAGTGTGTGTACGTACCGAGCCGCCCATGGGAGCAGCCTGAGCGTAACCGCCGCCGTAACCACCAGCCTGAGGCGGGTACTTTTCCTGTAAGATGGATAATCATAGAATACATACGTAACCACCTTGTTGTTGCATGTACGCCATAGTTGAAAGAGTTGGGAGAGATGTGTGGACAGCCGGGGGCAGGGGTAAGTTTTCCCTATGCAACTATTTTTGTCCAGGCGCGAATTTTGCCGATAGTATTCAACCCGCATGATAGGTCGAGACAAGATGAGGTAATACGGGGCTATGTTCATTCATTGAATTATATCGTCCATAATAAATGTCGACATTATAGCGCGGAACAAAATGTGAAAAAGCATGTCAATATTGAGAGATACCAACAGTATTAATGTCTCGTCGATCCGTCGTCAGACTACAGACATGCAATCACATTTTCATACTGCATAAAATTCGGTGAAACTAGGGGTTAAACAAAGTTTTGGCACTTCGTTTCGTAGTCTAAGAGAAAAGATGAACATGTAACAAAGATAGGAGGAGAGGGCTTTCGTTATTTAGACAAAGGAGAAGGGCCAGTAGCCGAACGAGTACCGCTAAAACTCGCTGCACGGGGGCTTGAACACAGCTTCGACATAGCTTCGCGTCGAGTTCGCAATGATTTGCGAGCAAGGAAGTTATTTGCAAAGAATGATTCCATCGGAGGACCTCGAGGTTGCCGACGAGGTTGAATAATGGTAAACTGTGGACCATTCTGAGAGCTGTTAGGTCTTTGGATTTCAGACCCTCTTGAAAGAGAGCGCTGATCATTTTCAACCATGGGGCGTGATGGGGTATCATTGGGAAGACTGACTTCGTGCACCACAGTGGCTGTGCGAGGGCCAATCCGCATCCCAACGGCATTTGCTTTCCGAGTCAACTCATCATTTTCCGGTTCTACACGGACCTGGTCAATGACAATCGACGGTGTGACGTTGCGTTTCCGTTCCATACCGTCAGGTTTTTCACGCTGAAGCGATGAAAGTCGTTTATTTTCTAGCCGCATCGACTGACCTACACTTGGCGAGGACCAATTTTCTTGCAAGCGGTCGCGACCAGAATAGGAATTCGGGCGTGGAGTGCGCGGTGTCGATAAGGTAGAGGGGGAATTGTATTCCATCGGAGTATTATCTTGACGAATTGCACTCATATTTGGCATCGCATTCGAAACACTGGCAGGAAGGTGCATAGAGCGCAGCATTTCAGCTGCTTCACGAGGTGATCCAATCTTCGACATTGCAGAGGCTGAATCCAAACCTCGGCTATTTGGAGGAGATTGGAACGTCTGTTTCTTCATGCCAGACGAGGGTCTTCTAGAAAAGTCCTGAATGCCAGCATTTTGGTAGGGATTCAAGACAGCTGCGGATTGTCGCATCTCAGCTTGTCGCTGCTGATCTTGAGCATACTGAATTTGGGACAAAAGAAGGTTTTGCTGCATTGCAATTTCATGCTGCTGACTCTGCAACTGCAACTGGTTGAATTGATGAGAAAGCTGGGATGGATTCATTGTGTACAACATCGAGTTCAATCCTTGCTGCATTATCATATGGTTTGGCATGGATCGATTTTGGCTCTCAGCTTCAGGTAACATAGAAGCAGTCATACCATTAACCCAATCAAGGTTTGCTGAACCCGACTGTGGCTGACCGTGAGATGCACCATATGCATCGGCAAGAAGCGATGTGTTGCCAAATTGCCCTGGCACCGCCTGCCAAGACATTAAATCTGGCATAGCCCCGACGTTAGACGCGTCCGGCAAGTTACTAAACGGACTTTGGGGCATTGATCCAGAAATAGGACGGTTTGGCCATGGAGTACTATGCTGAGATCTTCTGTTTGGATTCGTGTTGGGGCCTGTGGAGACGCGCTTCGATTGTTGCGTTTGATTAGTCCTGTGAGATTGGGGAGTTGCCCTACCAGAATGGGACTGCTCCGACATGGAAAAAGAAAACAATCACGTAAAAGCACTTAGGGTATTAGCACGCCTCTCACAATGTGTTGAGTGATGAGAGAGTCTCTAGAGAGTTTTAATGGTCACTCGAGGGATATAGAGCTTGCTGCGCTTTGGCCAGGCTATTTGCGAGCGATGGATGTGAAAATGATGACGAGACCAGCCCCACTCACGTGCAGCGTGGACCAATAGAGAACCCCCACAGGGCACAGGCGAGTGAATGTTTTGTCAAAAATAATTGGTGGAAATATATGCACTCAACAAACTTTCGGTTAAGGAACGCGTTGCCAATAGGTTATTTTTACAATCCAGTTAGGGGGTGGCGTAACAAAGAGCTGTGCACTAGTGTCCTTCAAAAGATAGTAAGAACCGGGCAGAATCAGATCGTTTCTTCACCAACGCTAGCACAATGCACTTCAGTGGTGTTGCTTTCTTTGCCTTTGTGGCTTCGGCTATGATGGTCAGCGCTGCTCCTCTGGGTGAGCGCCAATACGTTGGCCCGAACTGGAACATTGGCCAAATCATCACTCACAAGGACAATACCGAGGTGGCCCAGGAGAAGCGCCAATACGTTGGCCCGAACTGGAACATTGGCCAGATCATTACTCACAAGGACGATACCGATGTGGCCCAGGAGAAGCGCCAATACGTTGGCCCGAACTGGAACATTGGCCAGATCATTACTCACAAGGACAATACCGAAGAGGGCCTTGAGAAGCGCAGTGGCATTATCGTCAAGCGCCAGGATAAGCCAGCCCCTGTGAAGAAGGAGGCGGAAGAGGAAGAGAAGGACAGCAATGGCAAGTGGATTAATTGGAACATTGGTATGATTATTTAGTTACCATGAGCTGGTATGTTTTTTCCCTCTTCGATTTGCGACATCCTAGGGGTGGCCAAATCGCATTGCGCATGAGGCATTCATTTCTACGGATTGTATGATCGATTGCAATACGGGTATTGATTGATCAATTATTGGGATAATCTGGATCACTGTAGGTAGGTCGTTATCTTGCGACCTACTATAATAGTGTGTAATAGATGGTAGATTCGAAATGGGTTTTATCTTGAGAAGAAAACATTGATAGTGCTACAGAATGTAGTATCTTATGTTACCGTGGTATTGTGACCTAATTCACCTGTCACAAGCTAGGTTCGTCATGATGAGTCCGCAAAAAGCAGGAGCTTATTGTTTTTTGCAGAGTATGTCTCCAGCCACCTTCGGAGATCATCATCGGAGTTCAACAATAAACGGCCTTTAGGTTCATTGACTCCTAGAATATTGATGTCATGTCCCAGGCGCTCCTGAATCTTGAGAAGAAGAGAATTTCGTGACATATTGATAGGGATTCGTAGTGCAATCATTTGATCCTCTTTCTCTAGACGGGCAACTTTGATGCGATACATAGTTGGTTCTTCAATGGCGCAGTAAGAGTCGGACGGTGCCTTCTTTGTCTGAAGACTAGAAAATGTTGACGCAAGTTGTTCACGCTTATTTCTGTTTTTTGGACCAAGGCTTTGAGCTGAGTGATCTAAATCGGATGAGGACAAATGCGGTGACTGGATTTTTGATAGTATTGTAACTCGACACTGGTCACCGGGGCGAAGCTCCAACATGTTATGCAATGAAGAGGATCGTAATATTGATTCAGGCAGTGAGCACAAGTGATGTACGTATGTGTTCAAGTCTTTACAGCATTGTTGTGCTGTGTAGTATGGCTCTTGAGGTGGGACTGGAAGATTTGATAAAGCTTTACTGGGAGTATCACAGCTGGAGGAAGGTGACACCAAGTGAAGTAATTCAGACTCAATAGAGTCATGCAATTGAACAAAATCTTTATACCTTCTTTGTAGAATAAGCTCTCGGTGCTCATATAACGATGCTTTGCTTGGGTCCGGTCCTTTTAGTATATCTGATATGTGGATAGCACGTACTCTGTACCAGTAATCGCTTACATCAGGACGAACATCGAGCACAGAAGCAGACATAAGTATTCCCGGCGGTAAGGATTGTTGAGACACATTGTGGTCTGACCGAGCAAGAGAATGAGTAGGAGCGCTAAAGGAAGTAGATGTTTGTTGTAACAAATGAGAGAAATAATCATCTGTACCCATATCCGCGCTAGCTGGGACTGATCCAATCCTTGGAAATGCATGAGAAGATGTTGCCGGTGGTTGAAGCTGTGTCTTGGAATAGTTTTGGTTAATTGTACCCAAAGGTATAGCAGTTTCGCGTAGGCGTCTGTTTTTTTCTTCCCATTCAACAACGCTAGGTATATGTGTCAATATACATTCGTTCTCTTCGGATAATATCGGCTCTCCTGATATTTTGTCGCGGAATGAAACAAAGCTGGTGGGAATAAGACCGGCTGCACCGAGATGGTCTAATGGCTTGGCGACAAGCCATTCATCACTTGAACGTGCCACTACTAGGACGCTTTCACCTGCACGAGCAGAGAGTTCGTGCGGTAGTTCAGCTTTAAAGTCATATTTGAAAGTCGCAATCGTACCGCTGGATGTTCTTGTTGAAGATGAACTGTTCGACCCACTCGAACGAGAAAGTTGCGGGGTTTCTGGTACGCCATTTGGATTGAGCTCGCTCTGTACAGATAAACAGAAGGCAGCGCGAGGCTTCGTGCGACTAATAATATCGAAATAGTCGGCAGGGACTATACCTCTCGCATTTGTGACAGGATTACAAGCCTCAATCCAGCCATGAGGAAGAGGCCTGTTGGATTCCAGGACATGGAAAAAATCACCCTTGTGGAAACCGAGTTCATGTTGATGTTGAGAAATGTAGTCTGCATTAGCCCGTATAACATATTTCGGAGGTTCCATACTAGCAATATGTTTTGCTTGACCCTGATGTGTATTGACATGAAAACCGCTTGTCACATGGCGCTCCTTGAACGACTCCCGCAACTCACGAAAAGCCTTCATCAAAATATCTTTTTGCTTTTATTAGAACGGAATGAAATGAGCGGTTGCCAGGGGAGCAACGGTGTAAAAGAAGCTAATCTGTTAATTGAGATGCGATGAGGATTCGGCACCAACGCATTGAACCATATGAGTGCCACGACCACGTATGAATAGCCATCCTTTGTGCATGAGCTTGCATGACAACATGGGTCTTTGACAGAATGTCACAATGTTTAGTCAAGGAACAAAGCCAATACGCTTGTCCCTTTTACCTTGCACACATTCCCAAAAATACGCGACAAAAATTTTTATGACAAACTACAAAAGGGTCTAAAGAATATGAAAAGGAAAGAGTCTAGTTGAGAGAAAAAATAGCGAATCAAGCTTGCTTTTTCTTCTAATTTGGGTTATGAGATAGAAGGGAAAAAACAATCGTCCTGCGAGTTGCTTTACGGGAAGCCGGGTACGTTGGAGATGGCGTCATAGAGGGTGTTAGGCCGGTCGTTGTTGGTCAGACGGTTCGAGTTATCGACACCCTGCATGTTACGCATCACGCCAAAGGGCGCGTAGGCCTCAATGAAGTCTTGCTGGTCGAACCAGTGAGCCATTTCAACCTGGAACTGGTTCGTCTGGCTCTGCGAGCACTGAGGACCACCGTTGAAGTCCTGGCAAGCATATTCTGTTACCCAGATAGGACGGTTGTAGCGGTCGTGCCAACGGTTAACATACTCACGGAAATTCGTAGCATTGGTGTCGTAGTAGTGCAAAGCCATGGCATCAATGTTGTCGAATACATCAGAGCAGTTACCACGGAACTGGTCCATCCATTCAATACCGTTTGGAGCGTTGGTGGTCACCGGCGAAACGATGTAATAGCCGTGCTGCTTGAGAGGAATGACATTGTCACGCATGAGGTTGCATCCCTCTTCCGGTGTCATATCAGCTTGACCCTTCTGGTTGACTTCATTCATACCCAGAACACACTTGCCGCTGTTGTTGGGACCATCAGGGTTGTGAAGCACATTCGCACGGAATGAGTTCACATTCTTGTGACCCCAAAGCATAGGGCAGAACGTAATGTTGGTAGGAGGGTGAGCCAGGTTGGGCTTGTCATCCCATGTGTAGTACCAGGAAACCTTTTGCGTAATGAAGTCAGAGATGTTAAAGCTGTCACCGTTCGCCCAAGAGATACCAAGCTTGGGCTTGTTAGCCAGCAGGCGGTTGTCATCGGGGTTCGTGTACTCGTAGGGATCACCTCCCAGAATCGAGCCAATCCAACCGAAGCCAGCACGGTTGAGAGCGTGACGCAGCGAAGAACGAAGAGCACCACCCACAGTGTTGTCGTTGTTTGAATCCGACGACGACGAGCTCTGAGCGCGTGAACTCGAGCTAGAGCTTGAGTGCGGACGCGAACTTGAGCTATTTGACGACTGCGACGACTGCGACGACTGCGACGAAGGCTGCGATGCGTGAGAGCTGCTCGACGAAGAAGGGTGCGAAGAGCGGCTGCCACTCGACACAGAGGACAACGAAGCAGCCGAGGACGAAGTGCTGTTACCCACGGACGCCACAGCTGCGTTGCGGTGGCGGGATCCACCGCTCGAGCGAGCCGCGTCAGAAGGAGACAGCGCGTCGAGCATAGCCGACATGTGTCCTTGGAAGTTGTTCACGTAGTTCTGGTACTCATTGTTGTTCCTACGGTGAGCCACCTCTTCATGGGGACGACGCTTGATAATGTCAGCCTGGGAAACTGACGCCAGCGCCAGTCCGGAAATAATAACTGCAGTGTTAAGCTTCATTGACAAAGAAAGTTGGACGCTCGAGAGAGCCACACAAAGGTGTAAAAGCGAAGTTCAACCGCAGAGGGAAAGGGTGGTAAAGAGAACTCAAGGATATTCTTGATTCCCATTAATACATTATCGAGTGTCCTATGCACGATATCTGAATGTAGGTTCTACGAGCGCCCAGTAGATGTTTGAACATGACAGGTTTCGCTGTTGGAACAAAATTGCTGCTTGGCAGGAGGGGCGCTCGGACCAAGCGAGCAGAAACCAATCGCATAAGACCCAAAAGACCCAATCCGCTCAAAAGTGGAGTTTATTCGAAGAAGGATTGCGTGGCTATCTGACGACGTGGGGCGAAGTCGACGTGCATCGGCGTAATTTGACGAGTGCCAGCATTGCAAGAGCATGGAGGATGTGTCACTGACGATTAAGTATCGAAGTCAAACGCATGTCATCTCAATTGCTAAGTCTTCGACTTTATCTCAACTTCAAGAAAAAATATATGACATCACAAGGGTCCAACCTGCTCACCAGAAGTTGTTAGCACCGCAATGTGGACAACGCATTGCTGAGATCTTGCGGAGTGGCGCTGCCGAAGATGTGACTTTAGACTCACTTCAGGTAAAAGATGGAATCCGCATGTCCGTCATTGGTGCTACTGAATCCGAAATTGCCAAAGTACAAGAACAAGATGAAAAAATGGCAGTGAAGCAAAAACCACGTCAGTTTCACCCAAGCTTGTTGAAGAATTCCTCTCCACGACGTACACCATCGTCTTCCCTCGGACCTCCCGTATTTGGCCGGTGCGGCGCACATAGCAGTACACCGGAGGGGAGTCCTCTGCAGGCCGATGTCGTCAAATACCTGGAAAGGCTAGCGTCTGACCCTGCTGTATTGCATGTATGCAAGTTGCATTCTTACCAGGTTGGACTTCTCTCGGAATTGTTGCCCCATGAGAACCCTGAATTACTAGGCCTTAATGTCAACAAGGGGGAAAAAATCCTTCTTCGCATTCGTACAGATGAAGAGGATGGTTTTCGTGATTACAAGACTACGCGGCGGGTTTTGATGCACGAATTAGCACACAATGAGGTACGTATTGTTTTTTACTGACATATCGACAGATATCGGACCATCCACCTGAATTTAAGATCCTGAATAGCCAATTGAACCGTGAAGTGGAGTCGTTTGAGCGCTCGCGTGCACGAGGTACGCATGTGCTTGATACGACCCCCATGTATCAACCTGTCCCGGGAAGAGATATTGAGGAGGATCTTGAAGAACGGCGATTACGTATCCTGGCGGCCACAGAAGCGCGACTTGCCAAGTTGGACCAGGACATAGATGCGGGGTGTGGAAGTGGAGGGGCGAATCTTTCGTAAAGGGCCCAATTTGAGCTAGTTGAAAATATGGACGGGTATCTAAGTTAGGAGGCGGCGGAATTCCAGTTGGCCCATCAACAACGTACGGGCCCCCTTGTTCGGCACGTAGTCTTCTTGCTGGAGCTGAATGGAGCTCGTGCGAAGCCCCGTGAGTGAGTAGCCGGCCATAGAGAACTGTACTTGAACAGCATACGATGGTCTCGAAGGGCCCGTAGACATGATGGTTCCTTGTAGTACGGCCATCGTTGTTGGGGATAAGGAAGGGATGCTCCAACGAAGCAATTGCCGTTTTCGGTCAAAGACCATCGAGCCAGCTGCCTGTGCCATGTTGGGAATCGTACCGATATCGGACGAAGAGGCAAGTTTGCTGGCTATGCCTTGAATCTGGGGCGCTGCATCTACGCCGTGAACGCCATCACCCAAGAGCCATTCAATGCATACGTGTTCAAGCGTATTGGACTGCGCTAAGGACGGCTCCACTTGGATCTCAAAGGGCAGGCCGCCTTGGGATGCCGTGTAGTCACCCAGCTCCACTACCACAGCAATTGGAAGCGCCTTGTTTTTCTCTGCCAGCGCCGAGCGGCCCATAGCGCCAGATGTTGTGGAACGGATGTGAAATGTGCCTAGCTCGGAGGTGCCATCTGGTGGAATGAAGCACAGCTTCTGTTTCTCACTCCAAGTCCGCTGACGTATGCACGGGTGCCATGCAGCGTTTTCAATCATGCTGGGAGCATTGAAAGAGACCACGAGTTCTGGCATGCCTGTCAAGTGAGCAGAGCATTCCAAGCGGCCCCATACATCGAGAGCAAGTGGGGTACCATCACTCTGTACGATCCCATCGACAGTTTCCACAAGGTCGAGATACACCTCGTTCTTGGCATACTTGCTATTAGGTCGGCGCCATGGTAAGGGGGATGCCAATGTTGTTCGGGAACGTTCTGATGCGCTGTTGAGGCCAACTGTCTTCACAAGTTTATCGAGCCAGCTAGGTGGAAGCACAATATCTTTTAGTGAATTGATCTCGGTGAGCAATACGTTGCCTTCCCCATCCAGCATTTCTTCTAGAAGCTGGTACACCACATCAAAATGATCACAGAGAAGATCCTCCGTGAGCAAAGTAGGGTCTGTGGATCCCACCAAGTACTCTTGCAATACTTCGACCACTTTGTGCAAGAACGCCAATGGAATCAAAGGGTCAATCTCACGCGATACAGGGCACAAGAATCGCAATTCGCCGACCTTGATATGGCAGAGAACAGACCCGCCCTCCAACGGTGTTATGTCCTCTTGACGAGGGGGAGGAGCGCTCTGTTTGTTCGATGTCGTGTCGACACCTTCGGACCAGGCATTCGCTTCATCTGGCATTGAAGGTATGGGTGTCGCTCCGGAGATGCTGCCATCGCTATCAGTACTAGATTCTGTCTCTTCTTCGTCTTCTTCCTCCTCATCTACCATCTCGAGACTGGCCGCGGCGGGGACAGCCAGGACAGGGGGAATATCGCGTTCCGATGTCGCAGAGCTCGAGGACGTCAGACCAGCGTCCTGTTTCATCTGGCTCGCCATGACCACATCGCGCAGATGGTCCACATGCACCAAGGGATATGCTGGATGCGGATTGCGAAAGCGTGACAGCACAATGGGCTGTCCACTGCGGCCGACGATGATCAGGCCGTCCATCTGGTCGAAGCGAGACGATGGCGCACTGGTGGGCTCGACGACACCGCGACGTGACATGGAGGTGTGTATATATCACGAGACCCGTCGCCCGACTTTTTTTTTCGTCGCTCCTACCACTATGAGCTACGCTGCGCGCCCTGGTGGTGCGCCTATGGGCACGGGTATGCGCCAACCGGCCGTCGAGTACATCTGTGCAGGTACGTTATGCGCATTTTCTTACGCAGACTGCTCGGCTGTCAACGAAATCCGTCCCCGCGAGCCCATTCGCTGCCGCGAGTGTGGTCACCGTATCATGTACAAAAAACGCACCAAGCATATGGTATGTACTCACCTCTCCTCACACATCTAGCTGCATTTCGAGGCGCGATAATTATGTATAGACTAGTCTTGGTATATACCAGGAGGCTTTCACACAGCTACCGACAAGTCCCGTGTTAGTCGCCTCCCGCTCGACGTTTTCTACGATCACGATCGCGGTGTTCACGCGGACCGCTATCCTGATTCCGATCGCGACCCCAATGCCGATGTGGCCGGTCCTGCGGAGGCTGCCATGAGCCATGCCGCGCTGGCGCCTCTGACGAGGGCCGGTCATCCGCGTTGGCACGCCCTCCGCCGCCTTGGCGTGGAGCGTTGCCTGCGCGGTCCTTGCGCATGCGTTTCGCGTCTGGAGTCGCTGCCGTAGCCTGCGTCGGAGACGCATCTGTTTCGTTGGTAGAACGTCCAGCGTCCGACGCGGAGGACGCAGCCGTGTCCGCCGCTTTGCCTTCGGCAATCAGCCGATCTGCCAAGGAGCGTTTGCGCGCATTGCTTGCTCCACCGCGCGGCGGCTCGTCGGGCGTCGAAGACGCAGGGGCCGGTTCACGTGTGTCGTTGCGTCGTCGTGGCCACATCGCATTCGACTCACGCCGCGGCTCGTCGGGCCGTTCCCGCTCGCCTCGCCGATCGCGTCTCGCGTCGTATCGATCCCATCGTTCACGGTCACGATCGCGCTCGCGATCGCGCTCACGCTCACGACCCCAACCCCATCGACCTCGCTCCGGCTCGTCGCGGTCGTCGCCCCCACGCGGTTCTCGCGCTGGACGTGCATCGTTCCTGGGTCGATCCGTACGCGTGTCCTTGTCTTTGGGCTGCTGACTGCTTCCGCGGATCCGTGCGTCGCGTGGCTCGTCCTTCGTGGACGCCTGCTTCGACGCCGCATGGCCTTTTTTCGCCGAGGCCTCTTGTGCTTCTTTGGCCTTGGCCTTGGCACGCCGTGCTTCTTCACGCGACGCCTCGGCTTTCTGCCGCGCTAGTTCCTCGGCTCGTTCCTTCGCACGCCGTTCTTCTTCGGCTTGTTGCCGCGCGGCCCTGGCTGCGCGACGAGCCTGCCTACGTTCTTCTTTGGCCTGGAGGGCTTGCGCATGGCGTTCTTCGCGCGTATACGGCCGGAAGAAGTGTACGTCGACCCATGAGGCCGCCTGCTTCCGCAGCGTGGCATCCAGCCCATGCGCCAGCACCTTGAGATCCCCACGTGGATCGGACGTCGCAATGGTATGCACCATCTCTTGAAGCGGCTGGCCATGCTCTTTATACAGAGGGAAGAACGCAGCCATGCGATTCAGGACGACAATGGCGTTGCGCATCCGCATATACTCTTGGGTCAAGCATGTTTGGAACGCCGCCAGCAACGCATGGTGCCAGTCCAGGGCCAAGTACTTGAAGGCGCGCCACGACAGCGGCGCATCCTCGCTGCGCGATCGCATCCCACGCCCGCCGTGCCAGCTCAGCGCAAAGCCCACATGGTCTGCGCCGATGGCGTCCTTGGTATACGCCGCCTCGTCGTGTAGCCACGTATGTAGATCGCTCAGGAGGCCATGCAGGAAACGCGCATAGTTCCGCGCTTCGTTTTCCGTCGCGCTAAACAGTGTGGGCGCCACATGCTGCGTGAGCAGGATGTCGTACACGGCCAGCGTCGGCAGGTGGGGCGTGCCAATGGTATGCAGCATGCGCACGAACCGCGCGGCAAACAGGGCATCGTTGGGCGTCTGCAAGGCGCGTGGATGCACACACTGCGCGACGAATTGCTGTGCCAGCTGCCCGCGATCGACGTCCGGGGCAAACCAGTGCTTCTTTTCGTTCGCCAGACGACGTCGCGTCGCTTGGTAGGCGACCGTCTGCTCCTTGAGCTCGGCGGTGAACTGCGTGATGGTCTCATGCAGGCGCATCTTCGCCGACTTTTTCAGGCTGTCGGAGATGTCTGTGGCTGCGTCCAAGTCCTGCAGCGCTTGCCGCAGCCGAGTCATTTCCTGCTGGTACCGTTCCATCGGCACTGTTACATCCGCGAGGCTCAGTTGCCAGAACGTCAAGTAGAATGGCACGCCCAGCGCCGAGATGGAGCCTGGCGCCAGGCACGACTCGACCTCGTCCATCCACGGCGCCAGCACAGGGTGCCACGTAGGTGCGTCGTCCGTGTCCATAGCCTCGGCTTCTTCGTCGGTCGCCTCCGCAGGCTGGCCCATATCGACCTCCATCGCCTCCGCTGCGGCATCGCTCTCCGTCTTCCCCGGCTCGCACGTCGCATGACGTACCTCCCAAGCAAGTTTGGGCCGCGTCAGAAGGAACGCCATCGGCAACGACAGCCCAAATCGCCTCGCACAGTCGATCGGAGTCGGTACAAGCGAGGCGTACTCAGCCCACCCCTGCGACGCAAGGAAGTGGACGTACTGCAGAAGGATCGAGGCACACGTATCAAACGTGCTGCTGAGCGACTTGATGTGGGTCTCGTGCTCGTGGAACACACACAGCTGCCACTGCTGCGCCATGAGCAAGAGCAGTGGGACAGCCAAGTGACTTTCTTTCAGAGTGCGGTAGAGTCGCCCGCCGTTCTTCTTGAAGCTGTGGCGCGCAAGCAGCACCGCCGTAGGCGACGTGGCAGGGATCAGGGTGAGTGTCGCCTCTACCTGCATGAGGGGACCGCCCGTGAGCGCGGCGACTTGCGACTCGGACATTTCGCCCATCGGCTCCATCCCGGCCATTTTCAGAATGAGCTCGGAGAGGACTACCAAGTCCTTGACATGATCCTGCTTCAGGCGGTTGGCCAGGTACTGCAGCACAGGCGTGCAGTCGGTACTGGGATACTTGCGGTAAAACGTGCCGGCAAACGAGGCCAAGCTCTTGAGCCACAAACTGACATTGGTCCCGTCGGACTTGGTGCGTTCTTTCGCGGGATTGCTCAGTGCTTCCAGCAGCGCATACGAGAACACATCGTACTCCAGGGGCGTCAAGTACTTGGCCGCATCGACCACGGGCTCAATCAGGTTGTCGTACGACTGGATTTGGTGCAGGACCACATCGAAAAACACCAGCGGATTGGCATGCGCCGCCTTGGCCAGACTGCGGCCACTCGCACGTACATTGTCCGCACTCACACGGCGAAGAATGCCACGCGCTTCACGCTCCGTCTGGGCCTTGCTATGCCGCAACGCAGGACGCTTGCTTGCCCGATGCTTCCATTCGCCATACAATGCGTAGCGCGCAGGGTACGACAGCTTCGAGAGGTACGACCATGCCTCGTAGAGCAACGGCGCTCCGCCCTCCGCTAGACATACAGCAGGAAGAAGCTGCGTACGTACGAAGGGGAGCCATACCGCTGTATCCGACGCTGCCGCGGCACATCGACAGAGCCGCTGCAGCAAGCGCGCATCCTGTGCTACGTGCTCCCCAAGCGGCGCCAGCATCGGCAAGATCGCCACGGCATCCGTTACAGGCGTAAGGTGCGTCGCCCAATCGCCTACACAGAACACATAGGCCGTACTACCCCCACGCAGCTCAGGCGCTTCCAGCGTCAATGCGTACTCCGTCGGAGCCTTGGGCGTGGATACATTCAACGACATGGACTCCCATACAGGCATAAGACAGTGCCATACCAGGCGCAAGTACGCCTGCGTGACACTAGGAAAGGCGCCAAAGACCCAGGGATACTGCGCAAGGAACGGCATGACCATATCATACGCACCACACTGCAGCAACGCCCGAACGACCATCACAGCATGCGAGGGCGGAGGCGCTTGACGTGCCGCCGCCGCTGTGCCGGCCGCCGATACCGAGGACGCCTTGTCTGACGCAGAAGACGGTGCATCATCGTCCACCAAAGGCGCGGCCATCGTCAGCGCATTCGCACCAACGGAGGCTTGCTTGGCGGCCAGTGCGTCTTCATACGCTGTATGCAGACGCTGTATCGTATCATCCGGCGCCATGTACGGGTAGAGGACGCGCCACGCAAGAAGATCGGCACGAAGTAGCAGTGCCGCCGCCAGGTACAAACTACGAGGCGGCGCTTCCTGTACATCCGGCTGCGAATAATGCGCCCACTGTGCGCCGAGCACTTGCGCGATCCGCGTACCGTCCCATGGTCCTTGCCGTAGCAATGCAATAAACAGAGGATGGTAGTGTACGATGTGCGTCGCAAATACGCCCAAGAGAATGTCCAGGACACGCGTAGCGTCCAGAGAATAGTAGCCGATCAGCGCTTGAACGCTTGCCAGCAGGGCCGAAGCACGTTTCGTTACAGCCTCTGCATCTTCCGGCGACACCACGCCGTCGCATGTCGCGACGAGCGGCGGGCCCAAGTGCGTCATGAGCTCTGTGAGAAGCGAGGCATACCCTTCATTTTCTTCGCGCAGCAAATTGTACTTGTGTTGCTTGAAAAAGCTGGCTGTGCGAATTTGGATGCCACGCCGATGGAAGATCGTAGGATCGACCAATCCGAGTGCCTGCAGGAGTGGCGCATCCAGGCGCGTACATACTTTCTCGCGCGTAAGTACAGACGCGGTGAGCAGACGCGCTAGCACATCAGCTACACGAGTGCGTACTGTCGAGAGGGGCAGCGCGTCTACCGACTCTGGCAGCGCCTCCCTCTCCCAATCCAGTGCCCAGCATGTATCCAGCACCATATCAGCCCAGGCAGCATCCTGCACCGACAATACATTCGCTATCACATCCGCTGTGCTGTGGTTGTCACACACGTACGCACGAAGGCACGTCGTGAGCACTGTACGTGCCTCGAGTGCATCCACCTGCCATTGCTCGTGCAATTTCGAGCGACTGGATCGTAAGTCAAGGTGCTATACGTACATGGCGTCGATATCGCGATCGGCACTGCCATCCCCGACGGCTTCCACGAGCCACGACGGCTCGCCCAGCGCGTCGCTTCGGCGCGTCGACATGATGGATGATGGACGTTGCCGTACACGCAGTCACGTGGCGTAGCGCGCAACAACGTACTGGCTGCCTGTCGGCCTCACGAGCAGGTAGGCAGGCAGGCAAGCTGCCATGCCAAGCTTGGGCCGCGAACGTAGCACTTTGTTGCGATGGTATCGTGAGAATGTATACGCTATAGCGAGCGATAAACGCCTACATAGAGCGTTAGCCATATAGTACAAGGGGATGTGATCATAGGCATACTACACACTTGCGCATGGAGGCTGCATTGTATGTCGGCTCAGGCCGAGGACGAGGTGGATGCTACGCCAAAGCTGAAGTATACACCAAAACAGGTAAGAAGAAAAACCATGAATATGGAGGCGGCGATCCACATTCGTTCACCTGCCGTAAACGGGTCAAAGCCTGCTGCTACCGCAACATTGGACAAGGCCTGCACGGCCCCAGCTTCTTCTTGGAGTTCAAACGTGTCGGCTGCCTCGTTGTCCGCCGCACCTACCTCATCACGGAACACATGCGCCCCACGCGCACGGCTTCGGCGGGCGGGTGTCGTCATGTCGGTACGTTGCGTAGGGAGTGTAGCAGGGTGGGTGGAGGTACGTTGCACAGACTGCGTGTAGACACGCCACCCCGCTTTACCCTGCAAGCGAAGCTCGGACTACGTTCTATGCGTGTCTGGTTGGTTTTATAGGCAGTGCTACATTCGTGGGCAAAGAGACATTTTATGACAGACATTGTACCATTGTGTGTGTGTCCCCAAGTCGAAGAGCAGACGGCCTGCATGGCTAGGGACGCGTATTACTGCGGTTGTTGGCCCATCAGACGAGCGCTGCGTGTAAGTTTCTTGCATGCGTACGTACTTTTCCTCGGCGAAGCGGGCGCCCACGCGTTCCGAGTGCTTCAAGAACTTCTGTGTGCAGTAGGACACACATTGGGTCTCCTTGCTGGTAAGCGCACGCGACGTAAAGTCGTTAACGCAACCCTGGAAGCAGCGCTCAACAAGGCCAGAGTACAGACGCATAAAGTCCTTCATCTGCTTCTGCTCGATGATCTGCTGCATCTGCATTTGTTCTGTCGACGAAAGAGCTGAGACTAGCGCATGTCAGCATGCCTCTATACATACGATCCATGGTGGGTGATGTCGGTGCTGTGAAGTTGTCGAGAAATGCGCGCGAGGCTAGAAGGGGTCGAGCGCTCGAGGGGCCGACCACCGCTGTCAGCTTACGTCAGCGAAAAAAAAATCGAACGTGGGTAGAGAACGAGAGAGAGGACAGGTGGTGGCAACGCGACAACCTCTGCTTCTTACTTTTGCCTTTGACCGACTTAGCAACTTCTTTGCCATGGCGGTCCGTTGCCAATTTGAGAACTCTTCTGAAATCGGCGTGTTTGCACGCTTGACCAACTCGTACTGCCTTGTGACCGTGGGCGGCTCGGCCAACTTTTATTCCACCTTCGAGACGGAGTTGGGTGATTTGATGCCGATTGTGCACTGCACCATTGCTGGCACGCGCCTGGTAGGCCGCTTGACGGTGGGTAACCGCCATGGTCTGCTGGTTCCCATGACAACAACGGATCAGGAGCTACAGCACCTGCGGAATAGTCTGCCGGACGAAGTCGCGATCCAGCGTGTGGAAGAGCGTCTTAGTGCGTTGGGCAATGTTATTGCTTGCAATGGTACGTGAGGATGCCATCTAACTTTCAGATTATGTTGCGATTGTGCATCCTGATCTGGACCGTGAGACGGAGGAAATCATCGCTGATGTGCTCAAGGTAGAGGTATTCCGCCAGACTGTGGGGTATGTATATTGGGACGCTAACCGTCAGTGACAATGTGTTGGTCGGCTCCTACGCTACGCTCTCGAACCAGGGTGCATTGGTCCACCCGAAGACGTCGCTGCAGGATCAAGATGAGCTCTCGTCGTTGCTGCAGGTGCCGCTTGTCGCTGGTACTGTCAACCGTGGTTCCGACTTGATTGGCGCCGGCTTGTTGGTCAACGACTGGGCCGCGTTTGTTGGATTGGATACCACTGCGACGGAGTTGAGTGTCATTGAATCGACGTTCCGCCTGCAGGGCCAGGAAGCTGGCGCTGTGGTCAACGAGCTGCGCGATGCTCTGGTTGACTCGTATGCGTAATTGTGACGATGTTTTGTACAATACGTTGTGACGATGTACTTTCGCTCCTTCCCTTGATGCTATTCATACGATATAGTCTACGTATACCATACTTATGCCGATGGAGGCGGCGACAATACCTCCACTGATGCATTGGCCATCGATGCCTGGCGCAGGTCTGAGTGCGACGCATCCGCCCGATGCGCCGGCGCGCTGCGTAGCAAGTGCGCGCGGGCCTCGTCACGCGCACGCGCACGAGCGGCAGCGGCTTCGCGATCCACCAGGCCATGTGATGTACCTACCACGGTGAGATACCGACGAAGTGGTGCCGCTAACGCAGGAGCCATCGCCACCTTATCGAGCAATTCCACGACCAACAAGTAAAAGGTTCGCGTCGCTGCTTCTTGCGCCTCAGGATCTGTTTCGTAGAGCACGGCTAGGCCTTGCACCACTTGCGATACCACCGGCGTCCATGCGGCAATATTCCGCGCTTGGGTCTCGTTGTCCAACGGCAGGTACCCAGAAATGATTTCGTCCGCCAGTGGCAGCAAACGATCACTTACAGCGCGACGATTGGTATCGTCGCGGGTACGCGAATCTTGTTGCATACGCATATACACATAAACCAATGTCGAGGCGGAGGTGCTTTCCTGTTTGAGCAGGTTGGGCAGCTGCTTCATGAACCCGACCTTCCACAGCGCCGTGCGCAGTTCTCGATCCGCATTGAAGCGCCGTGAGAAGCGATAGCTGTCTTCCAATGCACTTGTCAAGCGCAGAAGTTGCGTAATGGGCACAGCTTCGTACACTGCTTCGTTCTGTAGCAGTTCGTTGGCCGTCTCGATAAGAAGAAGCTGCAGCACACATTTGACGATAATCTGCTTGAACGCATGCCGACGCTCTGTCGATGGGATCGCATTGTCGGCTGCAGAGAGCGCTGGGTCAAATACCTGTGACGCCGTCGTTGCACGGAACAGGCGCAGGAATGCATCGGTAATCTGTTGCCAGCCCTTCTCGTCCATACAGTCCATGTTCTCAACGATGAGCTGCTGCAGACAGGCTGTACCGATACGGGCCAATGTGTCGTTCTCTTGGCATATACAGGCACAAAGCAGTTCCAACAGGCCAGACAGCCGCGACTTCAGCGTCTCAAAGTAGTGGGTCCACAGGGCCACCAACTGACGCAACGCCTGGATCATCGTCGTAGAGAGCCATACACTCATATCCTCCTGCGTCGAGAAGCGCGTCACATCCGAGCGGTTGCGCAACACATTAAAGATGGGGAACAACACATCATTACAGACCGAGTCCCAAAACTCGCCAGAGAACGAAGCGCCATGTTCGGTAATGATGGTGAACAGCGACGTGAGCGCCACACGGCGCACTTCCAGGTCGTCGCCCGTCATGAGAATATCGTACAACGCAAAGAGCATCGGCAGCCACAATTCAGGGCGCACCGTCTCGTCCTCCTTGTCGATAGTTGTATCGGTACTGCTGCCATCAGCCCCTTCCACAGGTACGACTGTGCGCAGCATCTCTGTGGCTGGCAGACTCACACGCTGATTCGACGTTTTGCCGAAGTGCGCAATACACACACACAAATCGCCAAAGCTGTTGTTCGCAAGAATCGCGGAGAGGTGGTCGTGATGTACACGGCGTACAAGGTCAAAGGCATACAAGGCAATGCGTTCCGGTGCATTCGCAGCGACGCCAAATACGCCCAGCATCGTGGTCCAGCCCGATCGAATACGCTCTGCGCGGCTCTGCACCATCTGCTCCAGACATTGCAGCACCATTTCCTTGGCCCCCATATCCGCATTGCGTCGCATCGTGTGCTCGAACGGCTTCAAAAAGTCCTTCTGGAACGAAAAGTGCAACAGCTCTTCCTTTTCGAAAAACTTGGTCGCTAGCTGGCGCAACGAGTCAAGGCCAAAGGCACTCACAGCCGGGTTGGGATGACAGCATACCTGGTTGAAGTGCTCACCGAGGATGGCCCATAAGCGCGACCATTCCATTCGGATACGACCCATGTTGTAGTACGAAATCTCGACAACTTTCTGCAGAGAGAAGAGCCGCGGGTTGTCCGACATGCCAGAACTTTGGATTTCCTCCCACGACACGTCACACAGCGCCTGCACAAATTCCACAATGGCCTCTCCATGCAGTTGAGGTGTCGATGAGAAAACGCGATCTGCTGCGACGGTAATCTCACTCGAAGCACCCGCCTGCACTACATCCTCCGTCGGCAAATGCACACCTCGCGACGCACCGCTCTGAGGTCGTCGGCCTAGCTCTGGCAGCATACGCTCATCCACACCTCCACTGATAAGCTGGAAACGCTCAAGTTGGCTTACACACGTAAGAATCTCACGCCAGCTGCTTTGCAGCACATTGCCTTCTGTATGTGCAATGTCCAACAAGGCCTGAATCGCCATCACATTCTTGCTCTTCATCTCGCTGAGATTGTTCAGGAACGTAAACTTAGCCAGGGTGGTAATGAATGCATTGCGCTCCAAGTCAAGGTCGAAGAAGCAGGCAATCTTTACCGCGTCCTTGAAACCGTCCAATGCACGATGAATCGTATCCAGGTCGTTGGTGTCCTGCAGCGGTGCAGAAATGCCGGCAAGGAACGACATCCATGCCACTTCAAACATAGGCTTAACATGCTCCATGTGCGACGCACTAAAGAAGCGCTCCGACATGGCACGTTGGGCCCCTGCACGTTGCTGAGCATGAAGCATCGTACGGAACAAAACTTCCGTGCGATTGGCCATGCCACGCGTCTGCATACGATAGGCCTCGCCTTGCAAATCACGACCCACTGTCGCAATCGCGCCAGCCAGCCCTGTGGACGGCGGCGCTGCCGGTGTCTCTTCGCCATGCAGCTTAATCTCATTCTTTTGGATCTCATCGTAAATGGCTCGCAGGTATGGCTCTGGCAAATCTTTATCGTCATCCAGGCCTGCATTGTTCTTGATAAAGTCTTGCAAGGTCATACGATGCTTTACCTGTGGATTGTGGGCATCCGTATTGAGCATAATAACCGAGTAGGCAAGCTTGTACGCTGTATCGGCATTAGCAAAGGCCGTTTTGTTGCCTTCCGTGTAGCGCTCCGCAAACTTGAGCATGTACCGATCGATCTTCTGTGCCTCACCAGGCAGACGGAACGCTTGCAAGAACCGACGCAACGCCGTCGTCAATGGCATATCGCGGAACTCCATCAGGTCCACAAAAGCATGCATCGCAGCAATATTCTCCGGCTCGCCTTCACCGAGGTACTCACCGATGGACCGCTTGCTCAGGCCATCCGCATAGAAAAGGAAGCGCGCAATCGCCTGCGGGTCTTTGTTGCGAATAAAGCCATTATCCACAAGTTGCTGGATACCGCGCTTAGGCTTGTAGTTAAACTGACGAATGGCTTCCAAGAGGATAGTCTTGCGTTGCTTGGCATTTTCGAAGCGGCCTGGATCATCATCGGCGGCTAAGGCCTCGGCCGCTACAGAGGCAGAAGCACTGGGCATCGCTGACGTTGCTGCAGAGGCACTTGTTGATGACGTGGCGTCCTCATCTTCAGCTGTCACAGCCTCATCGGCCGCCACCGTCTCATCCCACCGCCCCATCCACGCCACCAGCGAGTGGAGCACACTGCACAGCCCTTCCAGGCTTTGGCGTTTGAGACGCACCTCTAGTGTATCAGCCTCCTTCTCGTCAGGCACCGGTGTGACCTCGTGCGCTGATGGCGTCTGTGCCAGTCGCGAAATCACATTCATTAGGCGCTCGTACAGGTTTTCTAACGCGGTGCGGTCACAGTCGTAGTTCAAGTAAATTTCCACCAAAGCTTGCGGATCGCGGCACAGTCGGTTCAGGATACCTAGCAACACAGACTTTTGCTGTGCGGGGCTGCTGCGCATCTCCAGGATCGGCAAGTATATCTCGTTCATAAGAACTTCAATTTCCTTCTTCATTTTGTTACGCATGCCAGCTAGCACAAGCCAGAAAATCTCACAACTTTCTTCAAAGACAGCCAATACACTGCTGACTGCGTTACGGCTCAAGCATAGGCACAAGTACTGCTTTACAGCCTGCACAAATGTTGTCTGCTCGCCTGTCGTCGTGCTGTAAATTTGGACACTGGCATTGGTAAACACATCCATGTGTTGTTGCAAGACACTTCGGACTGTGCGCAACGCCAACAACTTGGACCTCATAGAGTAGGATTTCAGGTCACGTTCGCTTTCCGAGCTTAGGGGCTTCATACTGAGCTTGCACAGCGCACGCAAAACGAGGAAAGCATCCTTTACAAGCAGGTCCGGCGCATCAATCGGTGCTGTTTCTTCGCGGTCGCCTCCATCCAGCGAGTGACGCGACTCAATCATCTGCAGCGTCACAGGCTCGTTGCCCAGCGGTACCGGCTCCGCCGTATCCGACGAAGTGCCCGTACGCGGCACTCGACTAAACACGTAGCTTACCATTTGCCCCAAAGCGCCCTGCGCAATCGCTTGGTGCGCTACGACGCGACTCATTAGGTATACATTGTACACAGTACGCACAGCACGTAGCAAGCTCGATTGATGCACACGGATGCTGGTCGAGAGGACACAGGCGAGCAGCGCCTTGACAATTTGCACAGAGACGCGCTCATCAATCTGGTCGTCAAAGCAGTCGCATACCGTCTCCACAACCAGGTCGGCCAATGCCGCATTCGGCGCGGCTTCGGCCGTCTCGTCGTAGGCAAAGAAGGCGTAACTAACCAGTTTTGCAATGCAGTCCAAAGCCGTTGTTTGTAGACCGACATTCTTCGATTCACATGCCAGGCGTAGCGGCTCAAACACCACACGTGGGTCAAGCACATTGGTCGCACCCACCGGCGTATCTGGCGCGGTAGCTGCCTTGACCATATCGAGCGCTGTTTGCACACTTTCCTTCAAGCCTTTGCTACGCCGAGCCTCTTTGGACGTAGCAAGGGCATCTAGGGCTGACACAACAAACACAGCGCTACCGCGGCTCAAACTCTTTGCTGAAGACGCCGAATGGTGCATCACCCGGTCACTCGTTACAGCTTCCGTTTGCATACTCACTTTGGGCGGCACAGGCGGCGCTAGTGATTCATCGGCATTGACATCCACATCTTGCGTCTCCGTTGTCGGCAGTGGCATCGGTGTAGCACGGGGCACTTCTTCTTCTTCCATATCCGTTGGCACCGTACGTGGAATCTCTGGGACGTCAGCTTGCGTGATCGGCACCGATGCAGGGAGCACCGATTTCGCAGGCACATCAGGCGGAAGGCCGCGCTCTTCTTCTACCTTGCCGGTGTCAGGCGCACCTGTCGGTTCTGTATGCGCTTCCACTTTCTCGGAGGATGCCGTCTCTTCCTCTTGCATCCTGGGTGACAGAGCCGACTCTTGTGTCTCACTTACAGGCTCGTCTTCGGGCAGCGGAGCCGGTTCAGATTCCAAAGCATGTTCCTTCGGTGTATCGTCGACCTGTGTTTCCACTAAATCTTCCACTTCATGTCCTGTGGTTTGCTGTTCTAGCGGCTCATCCAAGACTTGCGCAGGTGGCTCTGCAGACTTTTCTTCACGTTCCTCTATGCCGGCAGAGACCGCAGGTACCTCGGCATCTGCTGCTTTGGCGATAGGCTCAGCCGGTGTAGATTCTGTGAGGTCATTGTTTGTGCCCTCTTTAGGGGCTATATCGTCGTGCCCTGAGACCACATCGACGGTAGCCTCTTCCCCTTCCTCTGTGCGCTCCGAGGCTGTCGGTGTATCTTTAACATCATCCGCAAGGCCCGACAAGGCCTCCTCCTGCGAAATTTGAGGCTCCGCAGTTTCCATATCCAGCAGGGCGTTGAGTTCATTCCCTCGCTGCAGTGGGCGGGATGGCACAGAAGCAGACCAAGTCTCCGCCTGTTCCTCCTCTACATCCACCAACAGAGACGAAGCTGGCTCTGCCTGCTGATCACGAGCTGACACAGATTCCTCCTGTTCTATTGACGTAGGTACCGTCTCCTCGTGCTGCACAGCTTCCTCAGCTGCACTAGGCACGCGCTCGTCGGACTCCATCAGGTAGGTCAGTCAGCTGCCAAAGAAAGGCACGACGCGCCTGGCCTCACAACACCGACCCCCGACGAACGGTGTGCGCTGACTAAACCCAAGCGCCGGTCGAGCCACCTGTGTCTCTCCATTTTTTCGGTCGTCCTGTCCCTGCCACTCCATTTAGGCGTCGACACGATGGAAGAATCGGTCGACCTAGGAGCACTGCAGCAGCAGTTACAGCTGCAACGCTCATCTCTAGCAGGACAAATTTTATCACGTTTGCCTGCATCCTCGCCTTCAACGTCAAAGACCTCAGACGCTACGGCTGTGTCCACCACACGACGATCAGCTACCCTGGGTGTGGGTGCTGAGGCCCCTGTCCAGCCTACCTTTTCTGCGACCGACCAGAAGCTACGTGCTAAACTAGGAGCTACATCTGGTTCAAAGCGTCGCCGTGACACTGAAGTCGGCCAGACGCCAAAACGCACAGACGGCAGCCCTAACGACGACAATGAAACCGAAGAGTCAGATGTGCGTCAGACTAAGAGCCGACGACGTGCGAACCGTGGACCGGATGTCTTTGCTGTAGCTGAGGCCAAAATCAAGGCAGCGCAAGCCAAAGCCGCTCCAGTGCCTGTATCCTCAGGCGATCAGCCTGATTTCTCAACCATGAGCAAATCGCAGCGGAAAAAGTGGAACAAACGTCAACGCGAACAAGCGGCTGCCCCTGCTACTCCAAAGGAAGATGCCACCGCAGACGAACCTGCCCCTTCCTCCACTCCTTTGCATGGACCTGTAGCCAAACCCTCTGTCACGGCACCTGGTCCCAGCCCAGTGGCGCCTAGCGAGAAGAATGAAACGCCTCTTACGTCCTTGCAATCGTCTATGCTCGCCAGTTTGCAAGGTGCCCGCTTCCGTTCCATTAATGAGCGTCTATATACCCATGATTCACATGATGCTCTTGCCTTTATGCAAAAGGAGCCGCAAATGTTTGATGAATACCATGCAGGTTTCCGACAACAAGTGCGTAAATGGCCCAAGAATCCTGTGGACAAAATTTGTGAGCTGGTGCTGCCCACCACGGACAAGAAAAAGAAGTACCACGTTCGTGCTTCGTCTCTTCCTGGTGCCTTGCTCGTGGATATGGGGGCGGGTGAAGCTGGTTTGGCGAAGACATTGGTACCAAAAGGCTTCCATGTTCTTAGCTATGATTTGGTTGACACGCCTGATGGGTGGGTGCGCGGTCTAGATGTGGCAGCCATTGGATCTATTCCTTTGCCGGGCTACTTGGCGCCCTTGGGCTTGGTATGGGATGCCTCACCTCCCACCTCGCCCGCTATGGTTGACATTGTTGTATTCTGTCTTAGTCTAATGGGGACGAACTGGGTGGATATGATTACAGAAGCATGGCGCATTTTGAAGCCACATGGTGAATTGGTCATTGCAGAAGTAACGAGTCGTCTAGGTGCCACCGGTGACACGACGGATTTTACAACTCTTGTTGAGGCGATGGGGTTCCATTTGGATTGGCATGACACCACCAACAATACACATTTTGCTCTGTTTAAATTTAGCAAAGTGGTCCAACAAAAGAGCACATTGTCGACGCAAGATGCACTGGATACCACGCTCGCACCCGCTGCGCTTGTATCGTCTGTTGAAAACGCGGATCAGGCAAAGCTGGCGCGCGAAGAGCTTGTTCGTCGAGGTGCGTCAGTCCTAAAACCTTGTTTGTATAAGCGGCGATAGATTATTTCCAATGCCATGGCTCCCTCGCGTGTCATGGACAAAGTTGTGGAGCTTGGGCGGTTGCCTAATTTAGAATGGCCTCCACGTAGGTATGCTTTACACGACCTGATCGCGCCCGTGTCTTTTCATTCTTCACGTGGCACAGGCAAAACTGAAGGGGTATTTGCTCCGCGCGCGGGGGAGAATGTGTTTAGGGGCAGTGCTCAGGTTTCATCTCATTGCTACGTCCGTCGTGAGGGATGTGCGCTTAGCTGAGAGTATCAAGAAGACTTTCTTTACTCCTCAGCGCACCTGTCCCTTGACCTGAGACTCCTTGATCTAACGGTGGAACATACCTTCTTAATTTTCCCACCTACGTGGATCTATACACTGCTTGCTCTATATTCTCGCTCTGCGTTTTTTGTTTGTTTGTCTTTTGTGTTCTGGCATTTAGCGTGCCTTCTATAAACAGTGTCATCCACACAAACATCGACGAGCTCGTTGGCTAGCTCCAACAGTCCTAGTTCTCTTTCTTCCTCTCGTTCTAGTTCCTCTCGTTCTAGTTCCTCTCGTTCTTCTTCCTCGTCTTCTCCCACCTCTATGGATTCTATTTCAAGTTCTGCGCGGGGGGAGTCCACCTCGTCTTCCAACGACTCGACTGGCGACAGTCAAGGGTCCTCTAGCCGATCACGATCCGATAATGCGAGGAGCTCTAGTGCCGGCCCAACCAGCAATGACAACAACAACAACAACAACAACAACAACAACAACAACGGCGGCGGTGGCAGTAATACTAGCAGCTCCAATAACAACAATAATGATGGAGATAACGGCAGCAGCAGCAGCAGCAGCAGCAGCAACGACAACAACAGTCGCACTCGTGGTAGCGGTGGTGGTGCCGGTGGCGGGAATGGGAACAGTAGCTCCCGCAGTGCAGACAACACTGGGGCTAGTAGTTCAGCTGCTGGTGGTGGCAGCCAAGGTTCTTCTGAGGCGAGCGGCCCTACTAGCTCATCGAATGGCGGTAATGGGCCTAGCAGTAGCGCCGCCAGCCCTAGCAGCAATGCTGGAAGCAGCAGTACAGGCGGCGCTGCGGGCGGCAGCGGTGCTAGCAGCAGCAATGATTCTAATGGCACTCCTTCGTCAGCCAGCTCAAGCGCTTCTCCTTCTGATGGTGCCGCAGGTGGCGTACCTACAAGCGCATCTAGCAGCACAGCTGCGCCCAACTCGGCCAACATTACGTCGGGTGCCCCATCTACGTCGACCAACGTGGTTGTCTTGACGATCAACGGTCATCCCGTTACTTCTACACGGACTCAAGTCTTTTCAGCTACACTCGCTCCAGGGAATCGCAAGACAGAAGATACTGGGTACTGGAACGACGGTGGCGCTGTGGGTGGTACCTTTGCTGCGGTGGGTATCGTTGCAGTGGCGCTACTGGGCCTGGCTACCTGGCTCTTCTGGCGACGTCGCAAAACGAAGCGTATGGATGCTGATGTCGTCGCAGCGGCTTCTGCAGCGGAAGCTACGACACGTCGTCCGTTTGATGACGATGACGACGACCTGATGCCGTACGATGGCACTACGACGCATCCACGTGCCCCCGAAGATGGTGCGCAGCCTTACTACAACATAGGATATCATCAGCCTGACCATATGGCCAGCATGGTCGAGGATCCGTATGTTCATGCTGCTGCTCCTGAGCACGCTAACTCTGCTCCTATGGCAGCGGGCGCTACCGCTGCCACTGCCGCAGCCTCTGGGTCGGCGCACGGTGGAGAGTCGACGTATGCGCACGGCAGCTACCTGCCGTATACCTACGATACAGCTTCGGCCGGCATGCAACCCCACTCGACAGGAGACTATGCCGAGAACCCGTCTGTGTACTCGTCAGGCGATGCCTTTCGAGATGCCTCAAACACGGGGTATGCGCCTGTATCGTACGCCGCCCCAGCTGAGCAACCCCGTGTGTCATTCTCGTCTGGTGCATCTGAATACCAGCCTGCGGCTAGTGAGATAACGCATGAGACGTATTATGCACCTGCCATCTCCTCAATGCCTGCCACGGCTCAACCGGAGGAAGCTGCAAGCGAAGCGCCATTGCCATCGCTGTCGACAGACCAGCCGGAAGCGTCGAGACTGGCCCCACCCACCACGACCGATTTGGCACCTGCGTACTCTGCTGGCTCAACACACGTGAATGTGTCGGATTCCAAGAACCCAATTACATTCACGGAGAACGTCTCTACCAAAACGGATCTTCCGCCACGTCCTATGCCGACCTTTGGCGAGGGAGAGGCCGCTAGTACGCAAGGTCATGGCGATTGGGATCCACCCGCCCTCTCCAGTGCGTGGTTCCCTGCAACGCACACCACCACTGAAGCTGCGCCTTCGACGCAGTCGATGGTGCCTGCGTCGCGACCTGACAGTCTGCAGCCATACACCGAGGTCTTCAACCCTGCGTCTGATTGGTCGCATTCAGGTGTGAGTGAGGCCGTGGATGCGGCTTCGACACCGCAGCGTCTGACGGTGCGCAATCCTTCTCCGTTGTAGACTCTGGTGATACTTTGGTAGTCTCATACCATTTCCACAGATTCTATGTATACAAAAAAGAACGCTACATGTTAATTTAGAAAAGCGTTTCTTCATCACGAAGGTATTCGCCCACATCGGCCTGATGGAAGACGATGATGTTGGTCGGGTCCATATTCCGCGTATCAGCGGTCGAGCGGGCTGTGACACCAAAGCCCAAGCCGACACCGCTCATGTTCAGCACAACGACACCCGCATGCTCAGGTGTGTCGTCTGTAATGCGGCCCACATGTGCCTTTACAACGTGATTGCCATACAAGAACGGCATCTCACCATTGGGCTTGATCCATACTTTGTAGCGAGCATACTGCACCAAGTAGTCCAGAGCCGTAATGTGCAGGCGGAACTTGCCCGTCTTGGAAAATTTCCCGAAACAGGTCCCCAGAGACATGAGATTAGGTCGTGCAATGGACACGGCCATTTTCATATTGGCTTCCGACACATAGTACACACGATCACGATGCAAACGGAAAACATGTGGGTCATCGGGACGGTCAATCAGATGCACAAGATTCTTTCCGATATAGTGCGCCAGCTTCTCGAACAGTGTCGTGGTTTCTTCATCTGTCAGGGGCCGCATCGTGGATACGCTGGGCAGATCAGAAACCGACGAGAGGTCGCCGTACGAAAAAAGTGGATGGAGGCACGTGGCCTTTTTTATTTTTTTTTTTTTTGTGGGCAGGCACTTGCATCGTTGAGCGCTGCGCTGGAAGTGCGACACAAGCTACGTCGATTGCTACGATGCCTCGCCGAGCTGGACAACGTCGCATGGGACGACGTCCATCTCCCCCTGTGGATGAAGGGAGTGAGGATGAAAATGCATACGGTGTTCGAGCGCCTCGTGTTTTCGATAACTCGGATGACGAGCCTGAAGGCATTGTTGGCGACGACGAAGAGATTGACAGTGACGAGGCGTTTGGCGAGGACGACGAGTATGAGCTTGGACAAACAGTCTTTCGCGCCCATGCCTCTACGTCACAAGAGGAAGATGAGGACGATGCGCCGCATGACTTTGAAGAGGATGACGGCGACGACCTCGTTGCGCTCAGCCATCTGCTGGACGAGGCACCGGACGAGGACGAGGACACTGAAGAGGACAATGAGAGCGAGAATGATGATACTTTGCCATGGGATGATGACGATCTCGCGCGTTTTGCGTCCAAGAAGCGCGCGTATACTGATGACGAGCCTACGTCGAACAAGCGTGTATCACGCGAAGAACGAACAGAAGCAGTGCAAGAAGGATCAGATGCTGCCGGCGGTGGTGCCAAGCTAAGCTTGCAGGACTTTTTGTCGACGGGTGCTGGCACATCCTTGCAAAAGGTACGTGCGCTGGCCGAGCGTGCTTCGGCCACGTCCCAGCAGCCTGTCGCCTCGAAACGGGGTGGCGGTATGCTTCATGCGCCGCTACCTAAGACTGCACAGGACCGTTTGGATCGGGCTGCTGCATATACCCTATCAAAAGAGGAGGTGCAAGGCTGGGCACCTACGATCAAGCGTCTACGTGAGGCGGAGCATCTATCCTTTCCCCTTCAAAAACCAGCGCAGCCTCCGCAAGCCTCCAATGCTGGCCTCACAGCGACGTTCCAGCCCAGTACGGAGATGGAGCAATCTGTGGCAGCGTTGCTGGAGGAAGGTGGGCTTACAGAGAAGCAAGTCGCCGAGCAGGAAGGCCTGGCCATGCGTGCGATGGATGCGGCGGAAGCCTCTCGTCGTCAAGCTGAGCTCCGTCGGATGCGTGAACTCATGTTCCGAGCCGAGCAGAAAGCACGTCGGGCCAATAAAATTAAAAGCAAGACGTATCGCCGGATTCACCGCAAAGAGCGTGAGCGTATGCAGCAGCAGCTAGCCGACTTGGCGGCTGCTGATGGGACGATCGACGATAAGGACCAGGACGAAATGATATACCAAGCGGCCAAAGATCGTGCGAAAGAGCGCGCTACGCTTCGGCACAAAAACACGGGCAAATGGGCCAAGTCGCATTTGGGACGGCATGATGAAGCGTCCCAGGAGGCCCGATTGGCTATGGAAGACCAGTTGCGGCGCGGTGAAGAGCTGCGCAAGCGCATCCACAGCATGCACAGCGATGAAGACGACTCGTTTGATGAAGAGTACGACGAAGACAATGCCGAAGATCGCCAGGCACGTGCGTTTGATGAGCTAGAGGAGTATGAGCGTCGTGAGGCGTTGCAAGATGCGAAGGACGAGGCGGACATTGCTGCGTCGGATAAGAAAGGCAAGGGCGTTTTCCAAATGAAGTTCATGAAGGATGCACGGGAACGCCAGGCTCGGGTAGCCAAGGAGACCATTGCTTCTCTTATGGAGGATGTGGGGCGCATGGATGCCTCAGACGAAGAGGAAGCGCTGCCTACGTCGGTCGGGCGAGCCGTATATGGCCCAGGTCTATCAGCTTCGCGCACGTCCGACGTGGCAAGTCGCCCTGCTAACCCGTTTAGCACAGGCGAGACGAATCCATGGCTGCAAGGCGAAGCGTCGTCGTCGCTCTCTAAGAAGAAACCCAGCGTTTTGGTCGGCAAAGACAGTAGTGCGGCGACCAAGGCGGCGCATCGTACGGAACGGCATACGGCCCGTGGCGACGAGGCGCGTGCATCAGCCTTGAGCGATGCCACGCTAGCTATCGACCCTACAGCCCAACTTGCCATGGCCGCGGAGGAGGCGAGTGAAGAGGAGGAGAGCGATGTCGAGCCTGCGGACGTCACTGCGCTGGCCCGCACGAAACGCGGCAAGCGCGGGAAGAAAGGCGGATCGGCCATGGCGCCTATGAAACGCGACTTGGTTGCCGAGGCGTTTGCTGGCGACAATGTCGCTCTGGACTTTGCCAAAGAGAAACGCGCTGCAATGGAAGCGGATGCGCCTCGCGACGAAGATATGACCCTACCAGGCTGGGGCTCATGGGGCGGCAAAGGTGTTCGCCGTAAAGCGAAAAAGACGCCTACGCATGTGCGTCACATAGCAGGCTTGGACCCGCATAAGCGCAAAGACTTTGGCATGGACAATGTGATTCTCAACGAGCGTCTGGATAAGAAGGCTAGCAGGTACAAGGCCAAGGACTTGCCGTTCCCCTACACGAGTGCCGCGCAGTACGAAGCTGCGATGCGCACTCCTCTGGGTGCCGAGTGGAATACGCGTACACAGCATCAGCGCATGACATTGCCCCGTGTGACGACCAAGATGGGCCAGCGCATTGACCCTATTCGTACGTATGCTGGCGACTGACCATGCAGAGCGAAAATTCTAGAGAGTTTCGTTGTTGTAGACGTATAGACATAGCAGGCAGAGGCCCCCTCCATCTCCCAGAGAGGGAGGCACAGACCACCTGGGCCCTGTCTGACTAATTGTAAAAAAAATGGTCTGACATGAACGATCCCTCTCTCTTCGACTGGGTCGCGACGATGAGCCGTGCGACGAGGGCCTCTGAATCGAGCTCCGATACGGACGATGCTGTAGCCTCATCGAGTCCTATGCAGGCCTATGAACAAGAGGACGAGGTGAGCGACGTCGAGGACGAGGGTCCTGGCTATGCGCAATTCATCGACCCAGAGGACGAGGATGAAGACGAGGTAGACGACGAAAGCGAAGCCGAGACAGACGAAGCAGACGATTCCGATGAGTCAGACGAAGAGGTACGTGTAAAGTATAGCTAACGTCAGGATGCCTTGCGTCGAGGTATGTGGATGCGCCTTACTCACATCAGAATTGGAAGCAGTTCCTTTCGATAAGCTATTGAAGGCACGTCGCACACTAAAGCAAGCACAGCGCGGCGGACGCGGAAACGAAGGAGCGACGATGGATCTTCACCAGAAGCGCGAGCTGGCGAAACAACAACTACGTGAGATGCGGGCCACAAAGGCGTCTACGTCCAGCAGCGCAGCGCCTGCATCTCATGATGTGGAAACACGCGAGACGAAAAATGCACCAGCTGTCATGTCATCACGGCGTCCTGTGTCGCGCAGGCGCAATGTGGTCGAACCGATTCAACGTGCCAAGGCTCGAGATCCTCGTTTCGATTCTTTATCGGCTGGGCCTGTCAACCTGGATTTGCATGCCAAGTCGTACAAGTTTTTGCCGGATATGTACCATAACGAAATCAAATCCCTCCGCGATACCTATGGCAAACTCAAGCGCATGGAGGCACATCATGCAGGACCTCGAGCTAAAAGCGCACAAGCTCTGCAAATACGCAGCGAGCGTGAAAAGGTAGAGCTTGCTCTACGACGTGCTGAAAGCCAAAACAACGAGCGCGTTCGTCGCGAGCGTGAGCGTAGCGTCAAGTCTGAGTTCAAGAAAGAAAACCAGCGCCGTGTGGATGCTGGTCTCAAGCCATACTTCCCGAAGCGGTCCGAGATCCAGGAAGCTGTGCTTCGCAAAAAATTCGAAGGTCTTGCTGGATCCGAAGGCAAGTCGGCGGCCTTGCGAAAGGCGATGGACCGGAAACGCAAAAAAGACTCACAAAGGGACAAAAAGTCTCTTGATGCGGCTCTGGGTGGTGGTGCACGCACTGATCAATGGTCGTCGCGGCGAAGCTCATCCGACCGCACGCCTCCGCCACGTAAACGTGGGCGTCGTGGGTAAGCCAAGCTGTAGTAGTAATAGGTCTTTGTAGGCAAACGGCCGTCATGTGGAGGACGTCGCCCCGCCTCGCCAACGTTCCCTGTCGCGACGTCATGGGCGCGCATCCGTCGAAGGGGCCCAAGATTACAGATCAAGACCGTGCAGTACTAGAGTACGTTTCTATTTATATGCTAATCTGTCAGATTAAAGCGCCAGCGTGACCGCGTGCGGCAGTATCAAGTCAAGGTACGATACAGTACAGTATGCTTACAAGGCCAGCTCCAACATGTGCTGGATCGCGAACATGAATTGGCGCGGCAGGCTCTCCGAGAAGGGAATAAAGACAGGGCACGATTGGCACTTCGACGCCGTGCATATCAACAGGGCCTTATTGATAAAACCGACCAACAATTAGCTACCTTGCAGGAACTCGTATGTCTATTCAACCGACTTACATCTAGGTTTCTACCATTGAGTTTGCTCAACTGGAGCAAAGCATTGTTTATGGTCTGGAGCAGGGCAACGAAGTATTGAAACAAATTCACAAAGAAACCAGCTTGGAGCGTGTTGAGCGTCTTATGGACACAACAGCCGAAGCTCAGCAATATCAACGTGTACGTATCATCTACAAAACTAATACGGACAGGACGTGGACGACATGCTATCATCTCATCTCTCCGTCGAGGAGCAAGAGGAAGTGGAAGAGGAGCTGGCAGCCTTGTCTCAAGTGGTGCCAGATACGCAGGCAACACCAGCCGTCCAGTCTCTCCCGAACGCACCGACCAGCGAGCTAGTCGGGCCCCAGCTCAAAACACCCATGCCAGAGAGAAGCATGGTCGCAGACTTGTCCTAAATAGTATACCAATTCGTGCATCGTACAAAGGGAACATTAGGTAGTATAGCAGAAATTTCGTCGCACGTCCAATACTCCTCTGTTACTTTAAACAGTACCAGAGCCAACGTGCGGTACCGCCGTCGTCTTACCTGTGGCGGCTTCCTGGGTCACTTCAATATGACCCTGCTTGAAGTTGCCGGTCTCCTCACGCTTCTTGCGGTAGTCCTGGATGGCGCTCTTGATAGCATCCTCGGCCAACATGGAGCAATGAAGCTTCACAGGAGGAAGGGAGAGTTCACGCGCCACCTCCGTGTTCTTGATGGCAGCAGCCTCATCCAGCGACATACCCTTCACGCGCTCGGTCATGTAGCTCGAGCTGGCAATGGCAGAGCCACACCCAAACGTCTTAAAGCGAACATCCTCGATAATACCTTCATCGTTCACCTTAATGCTAAGCTTCATGACATCGCCACAAGCCGGCGCACCAACAAGACCGACACCCACGTCTTTGTCTGTCTTCAAAAAGGAACCAACCTGGATATGTTAGCTTCGGAGAGGCACACGAGCACATACGTTGCGTGGATTGTTGTAATGGTCCAATACTTTCTCATGGTACATGCGCATAGGGCGCGCGGCAGCCATCGCCATACGTGGCATACGCGATGCGTTCACGCGCATAGCAGATACTGTGAGTCCCAACATCATAGAAGAGTGGTGGTAGAGAAACACTTGCAAATCGGCAATCAGATATGAATTTGTGGCGACTCGGCTAGGCTGACATCAAAGGCCTTTAGTCTCACGTTTGGCCGCTTCCTTGGCCAATCATCGCAGGACCAGTGTCAGCAGGTAGGGTAGCGCCCAGCGAAGCGTAATTTCTGCGAGATGACATCATTGTTTATAAGACCAGGGTGGCGTTCCGTTAACCCCGCTCAAGTCCCTACGGGAAAGTATATAGGGACCGCACTGACCCACTAACACTTTTCATCTTCTTTCTACATCATGGTTTTTGAACTTAAGCTTACTGGCACTATTGTCGTCACCGGTGGTAACCGTGGTATCGGTCTCGGTATCTCGCGTGCTTGTGCCCAGGCTGGCGCCAACATCGCTGTGCTGTACCACAGCAACCCTGAGGCTGAGAAGGCTGCCGAGAACATCGCCAAGGAGTTCGGTGTCAAGTGCAAGGCCTACAAGTGTGATGTCAGCGATGCTGATCTCGTGAAGAAGACCATCAAGCAGGCTGAAGAGGAGCTTGGCCAGGTCACTGGTCTCGCTGCGAACGCTGGTGTGTCGGTTGTCAAGCCGGCTTTGGAGCTTACCCCTGATGACTTCCACAAGGTGTTCAACGTGAACGTCTTGGGTGTGTTCAACGCTTGCCAGGCTATGGCTAAGCACTGGGTGGAGACTGGTTACGAGAAGGGCTCGATTGTCGTGACCTCGTCGATGAGCGCTGAGATTTACAACCAAAAGGGCTTGAACGACCCGCTCACCCAGGTGTTCTACAACTCGTCCAAGGGTGCCGCTACCAACATGGTGAAGGGTCTTGCTGGTGAGTTTGCCAAGTACAAGATCCGTGTCAACGCTCTGGAGCCTGGCTTCTGCAACACTGAGCAGACCAGTGGCATGGACAAGTCAATCCGTGACTACCAGGCCTCGAGCGTGCCGATGGGCCGCTTCAGTGAGCCTTCGGAGCAGGCTGGCCCGGCTGTATTCCTGCTGAGCGAGCATGCTAGCTACATGACTGGTACCCAGATCCGCCCTGATGGTGGTTTCACTCTGTGGTAATTTGCGGATCCCTCTTTTTAGACCCTCTATAAATACTTTTTAGAGCTCAAGTATACTACCCTACAAAAAAGAGTTCGACTGCACCTGTTATTATTACAACCGTTTTATTCTACTAGTTATGTGTCGACAAAACTACTAGAAGGTATCATTTGTCCCACTTTACCGGACGATTTTTATGCCGAGACTGCGAGCACTACCAGCCACCACTTTGCACATCTGTCTAGTTAACAGCTCAACATTAGATTTACATACCTCTTTTTCGCTGATATCCACATCTTTCAGCTTGATTTTCGCAATCTCGTATACATGCTTGATGCTAATAGTGCCTGTGACTTCAGCACCGGGCTTTCGTGCCCCTGTCGTAATATTAGCAGCGCGCTTAAGTAGGAGGGACGTTGGCGGTGTCAATGTCTTGAACGTAAACGTTCGATCGGGCTGGATAGTAACGACTGTCGGTGTAAGAATGCCAGGCTCCAAATCCGCTGTTCGTGCGTTGAACTCTTTAGAAAAGTCCATGGCCTTGACACCCTTGGCACCAAGAGCTGGGCCTACAGGCGGTTGGGCCGACGCTTTACCTGCCGGTACCATCAATTTTACAATAGTGGCAGCGGCTGCTTTACCGCCTGCCTTCGACATGCTGAAGCAATCGGGTTGGAAGGAGGTGACGATGGCGAAGGTCTAGTGCGCTTCTACGGCACGTGACTCTTTTGCTCGACTTCGAAAGCTCCCTCCAAGGAAAAATTTCAAGTGGAGGGACTACGACCATGTCGGCGACGCATGAGCCGGCGCAGGTGTACACCGTCTCTGGTGGCTCAACATCCGCGCCAGATGAAGCATCGTACAATTCGACATCGCTTCCTGATATTTTACGTCGCTCGGGGTCCTCTAATAAGCGCAAGAAGAGGAAGGCAGCTATCGAAAATGACAGGCTGCTCTCGAAAATCGAGCTGATCCAAGACTTTGAGTTTCCTGTGGCGAGCAACAAAATCCGATTCACGCGGGATGGATTGCATATTATGGCTACAGGTACCTACAAACCACAGATACGAGTGTGGGAATGTGAACAGTTAAGCCTCAAGTTTGAGCGTCATACTGACGCGGAAAATGTAGACTTTGTGGTACGTACTGCGCTACTGATGCTCATGTCAAGATTCTTTCCGACGACTGGACCAAGTCTCTTCATCTCCAAGCGGATCGTTCGCTAGAACTTCACAATCAAGGTGGTACGCATACTCGTGTTCGCCTGCCTAAGTTCGGTCGTGCATTGGCCTATCACTATCCTTCCGCGGATGCTTTAGTCGGTGCTTCAGGCAACGAAGTATACCGTTTGAATCTTGCACAAGGACGATACCTCTCACCCTATGTACTCGGCACACAAGGCAACGCTGTCACAGGCGTGAATTCTATCGACGTTAACCCGGCTCATGGACTTTTGAGCTTCGGTACGGAGGGCAGTGGCGTCGTAGAGCTTTGGGATCCTCGCATGCGGCGTGCTGCTGGATCGTTAAGCTTTGCCACGCGCACTGTATTGGACTCTGCTTTGCTAGCTGCTCGTCGCCAATTGCCCGGCGTTCAGCTCTCGAACGATGCTGAGGCCGACGCTGTTACACAGGCTTCTTCCACACTCACTGCTACAGCTTTGTCGAGCGCGGCCGATGGACTGAACCTGGCTGTGGGTACCAATACGGGTCATATACTTCTATACGACTTGCGTATGAACAAGCCATACACCACCAAGGACCAGGGCTTTGGTTTACCTATCAAATCGCTGTCATGGCCTGGCGATGCCAACGCCGAAGCTGGTACTCGCACCCGGTCGGAGGCGGATAACAAAGTTATGAGTGCCGACGCAAAAGTCATCAAGATTTGGGATAAGCATACAGGCGACAACTTAGTGTCTGTGGCGCCTACTGGTGCGCTTACTAACCTCAATGACGTACAACACTACCCTGGCAGTGGCCTGTTGTTCGCTGCCGTGGAAGCCACGCAAATGGCTGCATGGTATGTTCCTGCACTAGGTCCTGCGCCTCGCTGGTGCAGCTTTATTGACAGTATTACCGACGAGATCGAGAATGCTGATGCCACCAATATGGGCGGTGGCGTCAATGCGTATGAGGACTTCAAATTTGTGGACCAAGCCGAACTGGAACGACTCAACCTCACTCATCTTGTCGGTACACCTTTGTTGCGTCCTTACATGCATGGCTACTTCTTGGCGCTCAAACTGTATGAGCGTGCCCGCTTGATGGCACATCCCACGGCCTTTGACGAAGCGAAGCAGCGTGCGGTGCAAGCCAAGCTGGAGCGTGAGGCTGAGAGTCGCGTGCGTCGCATCAAGAATGCGCCCAAGGTCGGCCGTCATATCCAAGTCAACAAAGAGCTCGCCGAAAAACTGGCAAAGCGCTCGGACTCGGGTGTGGATGGCCTGTTGGAGGATACGCGTTTCAAGGAGCTCTTTACCAATCCCGAGTTCCAGGTGGACGAGACGTCACGCGAATATGCTCTGCTCAATCCAAGCTCTGCCTTGCAAGCACGGCCTGCGCTGCGTGAGTCAGAGCGTAAACTTGTGCCTGCCATGGAGGAGGAGCTGGAGTCGGACAATGAATCGCTGGATCCTGATCAGGAAGGATCAGAGTCAGAGTCAGAGTCCGATGACGAGGCGGCTATGGCGGCACGCCCTGCGCCTCCAAGCCGACCTGCTAAAGTGGCACGCATGCCGAAGGTTGTTGAGTCCTTTGAAGAAGACGATATCGACAGCGCTGATAAAGACATGTCTCTTGGTGAACGTGCGCGTGATAGGCGGCCTGCGCACCGTCGTGACCAGGTGGTGCCTACGGCAGGGGGTACGTCGATCTCGTGGACCCCGTCAGCGAGCTCTCATGCTCCCAAAGCCTCCTCAAAGAAGGCCAAGTCGAAAGCAGACGATACATTCGGTATGGGTCTATCGAAAGGTGCCGATGCCGAGCAAGGCTATGGCGTGGATGCACTCTCTGAACAGGCTCGCTTCGGCCGTAAAGAGAGGCGCAAGCCCACACGCAGCGCAAGTAAAAATGTAATGCGCGCTACAAATTCATAGAGGTACTAATGTATGTGATTACAACGCAAGGTAGTCCTTGATTTCCTGCTCGGACAAACGACGGAACACTGGTGTAGGCTCTGGGTTGGCGCCAACCGGGGCCTTCGTTGCTTGCCCAATGATACCAATTTCAATGGTCTTCTCCGTCATCTGGCCCTCAAAGCCTTCTTTCAAAGTGAGAATGGCGGTATGAATAGCGTCCTCTAGCGAGATGTCATCGCTGTAGCGTTTCTCCAAGAACGTCTTGGCGTTGGTCATGTTCTTGCCAATGGCACTTGCTTTCCACATAAAGTAGCTGCCGCTGGGGTCCACTTGGTACAAGGACGGGCCTCGCACAGCATCGAAGCCGGCTACCAACAGAGAAACGCCGAAGGGACGTACACCGCCGCTTTGTGTTGCATCTTGCATAATTGTCGCCACCTCTTGCACAAGTACTTTGGTGGTTGGGTATTCTCCATAGATTTTCCAGTACGACTGAGCAATTTTACGCGTGCGCGCCAGCAGGATACGGAAGTCTGGTCCCATGCCAGAGTATACTATACCGATGTTGGGGCAGACCAAAGCCACCTTTTCAACCGCTGCATCGTCCACAAGTGGCGATGGTGGGCGCTTTTCCGTAGCTATCACGACCGCGTTCGAAGCCTTAATACCTAGGCTGGTTGTACCCTGACCTACAGCAGCCAATGCATGTTCAATCTGCACCAGCTTCCCACTGGGTGAGAAGGTGGTGAGCGAGAAACTGTATGCGCCCTCGCCAGCTCCTGCACTCATGGTGTTGCAAGCGTATGAAGAGTGATGGACTGCGTCGAGAGGCCGCGCGGCCACGACGTGGAGCGACCGATCACGTGGTACGCCCTCGTGGACCCTGCGAAGAGTAGAGAACGCTCAAGTGTATTATCGTTAAAGGGGGATAGGATGTAGACGAGGAGGCTATGGTGCACTATGTATGTATGTATCTATATACACACCTCTTGATCTTTACCAGCTAAAGTGTATACTCAAAATTGATTACTTGGACTTGTTTGTGATGAGGTCTGCCTCAGAGATTTCACCAGCCAAAAGCTGCTCCAGCTTGGCCTTCGGAACGGTCCAGTCCTTGAACAGGTGGAAGCCAATGTCGTGGTTGCGGCAGTACGTGGCCAAGTCGTTGTCCTTCTTGTCCTTGACAAAAAGCACATCGGCATGGCGAGCGGCCGACATATCTGAGATGCCGTCACCAGCAAAGAGAAGAATAGGGCGCTTCGGAAGGTCGCGGAAAGGTTGAATGCTGAGCGATTTGTCATGGCCATAGTAATTGTCTGGGTGGCGGTAGACAATTTCCCATGTATCGCCTTTCTTCTCAGCATCCGTAAATTCAACGTCATTGGAAATGATATCAAGCTTGTCGGCCTCTTCCTGGCCAAGCAAGTTCGAGAAAATAGCACGAATGATAGGTGTCATGCCAGATGACACCACGACGATCGGGATGTTGTTTTCCTTAGCAAATGCATGGAACTCTTTGAATCCTGGATCAAGCTTAATATCGCGACGAACCAACTCTTGCATCTCAGGGAAGGGGCGTTTGACAGATTGAAGCATTTGGCGGAAGCCATCCCGGAAACCAATGCGATCCGCCACCACATCGTCTGCGATCTTACGACGGGCGTCGTATCCCATACCATGGAGGTCCACCATGTAGTCATTAGAGTCCTCTAGCGTAATTGTCCCATCAAAGTCGGTAAGGAACACATATTTTGCTTCTTGGTACTTGCTAAGATCCGACATAATGGTTGACAGCTGCGAACAGCAGATTTGCTGCCGTTATGCGGGTCTTCACGGCTCGTCCGGCTGACAAGACCCACGTGGTCGAAGCTGAGTAAACCAACACTTGGTGCTTACCATCCGTGCGCAAATCCTTGCACCGTTCTCTTCATGGCAGGGCGCGATGCTAAAAATCGACGTGCGCATCTCACATCTGCCTACCATGAACTAGGAAAGCAACTCACATCCAAAAAATTGCATGTCGTCGGCAACTATACGTTAAAACGGACCATAGGGAGAGGAGCTTATGGTAAAGTGCGCTTGGGCATGCACCGCCTCACCAACGCCCAAGTTGCTGTGAAACAGATTCCCAAGCAGCATGTGGCCAGTCTCACACGGGAAATTCACCATCATCGAAGGCTTCATCATCCAAATGTGCTTCAGCTCTATGAAGTCATTCAGACTGAGTCGTACATTTGGATGGTGACTGAGCTGTGCACGACGGGAGAACTCTATGACTACCTTGTCGAACGTGGAACGTTGTCCGAGCCTGAAGCGCTCCGTATATTCGGTCAGATATGCCTAGGCGTAGGCTATATTCATGAACAGGGTATTGTTCATCGCGATCTAAAACTGGAAAATATTTTACTGGATGCCGATCTCAACGTGAAGCTCAGTGACTTTGGGTTTACGCGAGCGTACGAGGAGCGACAATGGCTATCTACCCAGTGTGGCACCATGGCCTATTCAGCTCCAGAAATGCTTGCGGGCATCCGATATCAAGGTCCTCCCGTGGATATTTGGTCCTTGGGCGTGATCCTGTACGCGCTACTTTGCGGGTACTTGCCTTTCGATGATGACAACGAAGCTATCATGCAGTACAAAATCGTAAAGGAAGACGTGGATATACCTGCTACATTGTCGGACGAGGCACGCCATCTGCTCTCCTTGCTCTTGCAAAAAGACCCTGCTGAGCGACCGTCGCTTCCCACTATATTGCTGCATCCCTGGTTCCACACTTCCGCAGCAGCGGCCGGCTCAGTCAACTTTCATGCACTCTTGTCGCAATCGGATACACCAGCGTGGGAGAGTCCCTTGGCACAGCAACTCTGCGCTGCAATGCGTGATCTGGGTATGGCTGTGGGGCAGATCCGACACAGTGTTCTAACCAACGCTTGTGATGCATCTGGTGCTTTGTGGTGGCTGCTGTATAAGCAGGCTCAGCGGCACTCATCGAATTCTACGGACGATATGAATCTGAGTGCTAAAGAAGGGGAGCGTGTGTTGAGTCCATCTCCATCCATGGACGGGTATATTTCTCCCACAGAATCAACTTCACGTCGCATGTCCAACATCTCTCTTACTCATCCACCCACCTCAGAGGAGCATCGGTCTGAATCCCGTATCTCTGTGATCGATTGGGAGCATAAAGTGTCTCAATCCTCCTCCTCGTCGTCGGATGCGTTGGCATCCTTGGCGCCTATAGCCAAGACAGTGCCGTGGGACGCAGGCTTGCCTATGCGCCGGATATCCTCGCACAAGCTTCCGCAGCCTTTTCTGCCTAACGCATTGGCCCCCTGCCCCCGCACCGACGACCTTCCTGCCATTCATCGCGGTCCCACAATCCGCCGCTCGTCGTCGATTCTCAGCCGTATCTCTCTCACCGATTTTGCCAGTCAACCACCTACTCGTCCCAGCAGCGCTTTAGGACGGCGTCTATCTGTAAGCAGTACAGGCTCGACGATCTCTGGGCGGTGTGCCAGCCATGATACCAGCACTGCTCATGTCTTACGCACACCTCGACGCTGTCGCAAGTCGGAGTCCAACGTGCCTGCACAACGCATTCTTTCCACCCCTAAACTGCACAGCAGTTTGTCAGCGCGGCTCCCTCAAGCAGCGATATCATGCGATATCCAAGGACGACCTGTATCACTGAATGACAAGACGATTGCTGAGTGGCAAAGTCAGCTTGCCTTCCATACGAAGACCACTAAAAGTATGCCGGCCTCGCCTGTTTTGCATACGTCTGTGCACCGAGCTCGGCGAAGTAAGTCGCCGTTCGGGTTTTCCATGCCTCCTGGAACGCCTACGGAGCCTCGGCAACGACCTCGGCTTCCCAAGAAGCATGAAGAGCCAATGCCCACCACAGAATCCCGTCGCTCTTCCGATCTGCTCTGGTCGGACGACGATGATTGGATTGACGAGGATGCGCCTTACGTAGGAGGTTTGGGGCAGCGGGCAAGCTTGGAGGAAATTTATCCGTCCAAGTCCTACGCGCGACGCGGCTCACCATGTCCACCTCACTTTCTGGCGCGAAGTCGGGCTGCACCTGGAACAGTGGAAGCAGCTGAGCCAACGCGGCGATTACTCAAAAGTGGCATGTATACCCAAGTGATCGAGGAAGAAGAAGATACATACGATTAGTTAGGATAGAGCTATCTACTTGTACAGCAACCAAGCCAGAACAAGGACAATGATGAATACCAACTTGCGGCAGGTGAGGGGCCGCAAGCAACCAGGCTGTTCTGTTAGAACCAGAGCCATCGACTTACCTTGCGCACTGGGCGATCGATCGACGAGTCCGACTGGGTCGGGTTCTTCGGACGACCGAACCAGGCCACACTTGCCAAGGTCATCTTAAAGAAGCGGAGCTTGGCAGCTGTGTACGGCGGGTAGCGCTGCGACATCACACTCTCTACAAGGCGGCCAAGCAAACCGTTGGCTGGCGCTTCCACAACAGCGCGTTCGTGTGTAAAGCAGTCGAAGCCCGTCTTGCCGTGGTAGGCTCCGTAGCCCGCCGGGCCTGTACCACCAAATGGCAGCGCTTCAATTACGTAGTGCAAAAGCATGTCGCCACGCACAACACCGCCCGAGCGCGTGTATTTCATAATATAGTCGAACGTCGGCTGGTCACGAGCAAACACATACAGAGCCAGCGGCTGGTCCCTCGAATTCACAAAGTCAATCGCCTGACGAACGCTATCCACAGGCATGATAGGCAGAATGGGACCGAAGATCTCATCAGCCATGGTCGAGTCGTCGGCCGTCACATTGTTGAAAATCGTCAAGGGCATGAATCGCGTCGCTTCATCAGCCTCTTTCAGATCACCAGCGACCATTTCCGCCTTTGAGTTGGATACCATGTCACGCAGACGCTTCCAATGATTCGTCGATACAATACGGCCAAAGTCCTTGTTCTCCGTCGACATCGACTTCCAAAACTCCTGTCGGGCCTTGGTCAGAGCCGCCACAAGCTTATCCTGCACCTTGCGGTGAACAAGCACATAATCCGGCGCAATACAAGTTTGACCTGTGTTGAAGGCCTTGGCCCACAAAAGACGATGAGCCGCTACTGAAATATCGGCACTCTCGTCAATAATCACAGGCGACTTGCCACCAAGCTCCAGCGAGACTGGGCACAAGTGCTTAGCTGCCTTCTCGGCCACAATGGAGCCAACGCGGCCATTGCCCGTGTAGAAGATGTGCTCAAAGCGTTGGTCTAGCAAAGCCGTCGCCTGAGGAATACCGCCGTTCACTACAGCCGACGTCTCTGCATCCATGTATTTGGGCCAGAGGTCCGCAATCAGCTGAGCCGTGTGCTCAGACAGCTCCGAAGGCTTCAGCAAGACAGTGTTGCCAGCCGCAATGGCACCCACCATCGGACCCAGCTGGACAGTGATAGGGTAGTTCCATGCACCAAGCACCAACACAGTGCCCTTGGGGTCCTTGCGGACGTAGGTAGAGTGCATGGCAAACGGAACACCAGCCCACACGGTCTTGTCCTTTGCCCACTTATTAAGGTGGTTAATGGCCGTGATGATTTCATTTTTGATAGAAATAATTTCACCGAACGTGGTCTCCATCGAATGGCGGCCTAGATCCTTGTGGATGGAGTCGATGAACAGCTCCTTGTTGTCATCGACCAAAAAGTACAGTTGCTTGAGCTGTTTTTTGCGGTACTCGAGTGAGCGCGTTTTACCAGTCAAGAAAGCTGCACGCAGGCCATCCACAATAGCTGGAATGCGCTCAGTCGGCGTCATTTTCATGAGAGGCTCCATGTTGGTAGTATATGTTGAAGTGGTCAGGTGGCCAAGGCGAGGGCCAACTTTGCCGGTTTTGTGCACGTGAAAAAAATGGGCTGGTAGGTGCGGGGCCCAAACAATTAATTGGAGTCTCCCCCAGTTGAAAAGCACGACAATTTTCCCTTTTCGTGGGAGTATACCAGGCTATATCGCGCTCACAGAGAAACAATTTTACGCATAGCATAAGGAATGGATCTAAAGAAGCTCAGAAAGACTATCCTTATATGCACGTAAATACTCTTCACTATATATGGTGGACTTCCTTATTTACTGCTCGCACCATAGCACTCTTTCCGCGACAAGCTCAGCCATGATACATGGGGCTTTGGACCTATGCTTGTTTGAAGCAAAACCTTATAGGAAGGCGAGTCTTCCCAAAAGCAGACTATCTATGCAATTCCTTTCACATTTAGCGTCGTACATTACCTATTCGGTATACAGAACTTCCAAGTAGAGGAAAGCAAATATTTCTCCTATGGAAACTAAAATTTAGTTACACAGACAACCGAGTATTTGCACCAAGCTTTCTCCCTTATCCATGTTGATTGTGTGGAGCTGATCTAAGTCTTGGTTGGGGATTTCTGATCTTGATAAAAACGTGGAGAAGCGAAATTGTTTTTCTCCACAAAGGGTCTATGATCCAAGGTGCTGCAGTTAGCTATCTTCGGACGAGAACAGGGCCAAGTTAAGCGCTATATGTCCTTTATGCACAAATATTTTTTCAGCATATAGCTCGGTATATACTTGGCGGAATTATTCGTGGGCACCTGCGTTAGAGACATGCGTGTTCTCTTCCTTCGTGGGAGACTGCAAGGCCACTGCACGTGAATTAGCCGATCGTACGACAGAAACATACCTGTGATGCTAATGCTGCGGCCATGGAGTTCAACTCCATTTTTTTCGAGCATTGCTTTTTGCTGGTTTTCATGCGATGAAAAATCAGCGAAGGCAAAACCACGCGAGAGCGAAGGTCTGTGCCTATGCCGTATGACCTTGGCGCTCTTTACTCCATATGGAGCAAAAAACTCCATCAAAGTATCATTGTTGACGGAGTAGGATAAATGCGAGACGTACAAAAGCGTATTGCTTGGAATGCCCTTAATAGAAGTTTTGGCTTTTTCAGAGCGAGGGGATGGCTGGGCAGCACCGCTCACCGAGTGTTCCTGAGCTGTAACCGAGGTCTTAGTTGGTGAAATTGCTTCCTCGGTAGCTGAAGCCTGGGTCGAAGGCGCGCTTGCATTGTCCGACGAACGCATCGCAGACAAATCGTTCGTGTGATTGGACTCTGTGCCTTCTGGAATGCTGTTATCAGCACTCTGCATTGATTTAATGTGTTTAGGCACATACAGCGACACTTCCAAAGGCTGACCATGTAAATCACTTCCATGCAACTGCTGAACAGCCAGATGGGCGCTGATCGGCTTCTTAAAAGTCACTTGAGAATTGATGCTGACAACATCGGCCCGTTTGATGACACGAATATCAAAGGAAATGCTGAAATTAGTCGTGATACAGGTCGATACTTACATATCGCCGTAACGTTCCAAAATCTCAAAAAGATCGGAGATACGAGCATTCACCGGGAGATTATTGACATGTACCTGAAGTGTATCAGCATTAACGATAGAACACACACCTTTCTCCCCACGAGCTTCCTCTTACCCGCTTGGGATGTACTCATACGCCTGTCAACTTCTTCAGAAGCTGTCATTGTCATCGTAGGAACAAGGAATGCATGTATTCTGCCCGGGTACCATTATGACGTTCATTTACAGATTCGCTCGCTCTTAGATGTGCTCGATTCTTTTTGTAACCTATTAGGGCATGTCAATTACACGTGTACCTACTCTTGAATAAGTGGAGGCCACAAAATGACGTCACTAAACTTGATCTTAACGACTTTAGCGTACTGTGGCCTGTTGACGTTGGGACGGCAATACTCTCTGTACACTCACCAGGTAAGATCGCTGCGGGCGGCCCTCAATCTGTGGTACCTAAGTCCCACAGGATAGGTTGGTTTCTTCCTTGGTTCCAAAATACCCTTTACCTCTCGCAAAGGTCATTTTATCCTTTTGGTACCCTTAAAGCGAGAGAAGCGAACTGATTGACATCAGCGAACGCTATTGTCGCAATATTTATTACGACTGTTGGTTCGCTAGGTCATGGAGGCTTCGGTTCCCAATGAATCAATGGATGATGCGTTTCCAGCAATCGCTACAGCGGAGTCTGTTGGTACCCGCGAGTGCACATCATCTCAACCAGTGTGTTCCACGATGGAGTCATCTGTCATTCGTCCCGACACCCAGCCTGCTTCTTCGTCTGACAGTCAAGAAAAGTCGGATGGATCCAATCATGCGGCGTCTAGCAAAGAGCGGATGGGTCAAAAAGCGGATTCGCAAGAAGTGGGGGAGATGGGAGCTGCATCTGGGCTTTACATGTTAAGCCGCAGTCGTGGCGACAGTCCAGATAGCGATGACCGTCGACCCGAACCCTCTTCCGATACCACGCATCGTAAGCGAAGTTATGATGAAGAAGCAGGTCATGGAGAATCTGTTACTCTATCCAGCTCGCAGACCACGCCACCCACATCCAACCGTCCTATACAAAGTGAAGTAAGGCAGCCCACCGATATACCGTCACCATCATCAAGTAATAAACAAGAGAAACCAAGAAAAGTATCTACTGAAGGATCTACGGTGCATGAATCTGAAACCGATTCGAAACGCAAGAGCTTTCTGGAACGAAATCGACAAGCAGCGTACAAATGTAGGCAGCGCAAAAAAGCATGGCTTGCCTCATTGCAGGCCAAGGTCGAATACCTCCAGTCCGACAATGAGTCACTACAGAACACAGTGGAAGCGCTGCGTTCCGAAGTCCTGTTTCTGAAGTCCCAGCTTATGCAACAGCATGCCCTTTCAAATGCACTTGACAATGAATCGAAGAGCTCTTCAGAACATGTAAATCGATCCCTACCCGCCACATTCCCTTCTGTCGATATCAGCATGAGCGGCGGAGCCGTGGTTGGATACTCCGATCAAGGCTCGTCTCACCCACTCATCTCTCCCATTTCCACGGTGGGCCCTGTTGGATCTCAGACGGGCATGACCGGCCAAGGTATGGACAATGAATTGCCCACCGTTCCGCCCACTGAGACTTCTATGCAGAGCTACAACATGACCGGGTTATCCCGGATGCCTCAAATTACGTCCCCTCATGCCCTTATTTCAGATTATCGGCCTACGTCGCAAGCGTATTCCAACTCTCATGCTAATGAATGATGCCTGTATCATGTCATACCCAATTGCCAATCATTGTACGTTGAATAAGTAGGTTCTATTGAAATGTAAATGTGCTTGAGTCTATTTTTGAAATGCTTGTTTTCATTCGTTGTCATTACTTATCCATGATCGTATAGACTACGTAAGAAAGGCCATCAAGAATTAATCCAGGGGCTCTTCAAGGTCATCCTCATCCATGTCGACATCGTCCTCGTCTACCGTAGCCGCAGCTTCGTGGTTCGCTTGCACCACCAAGGCATTACGGTACTTGTCGAACGTCACACGGATCTCCGGATCATCATTGTGAATCTGGCCACGCAGAAGCAGCATGCTAAGAGGGTGCAAAAGCTGTTCTTGCACAGCACGTCCAAGGGGTCGAGCACCCATCGTAGGCGAGTAGCCGACACTGCTGAGCCAATCCTTCGCCACTTCGTCTACTACAAGGCGAGATTGACGGCCATTGTCGATGAGACGCTTCTGCAGCTCCTTGAGGCGGATGTCAACAATGCGACGAACATCGCTGCGTGACAGCTTGCGGAATGTAACAATGCTGTCAATACGATTGATGAACTCTGGAGGGAAGTGCGCTGAGATCGCACTCTGGACTAGCTGACGCACCTCCGGCAAGAGGTCCTCATCATTCGACTCATTAATGTAGCTGGAGCCAAGGTTGCTCGTCATGATAATGATCGTGTTGCGGAACGAGACCTGGCGACCCTGGCTATCCTGCAGACGTCCCTCATCGAGCACTTGCAGGAAGAGCTGCACAAACTCGCGCGCAGCCTTCTCAATCTCATCGATCAAGACAATCGAGAATGGTCGGCGACGCACAGCCTCAGTCAGCACACCACCTTCGTCATGGCCGACGTAGCCCGGAGGCGCACCAATCAGACGAGAGATGCTGTGCTTTTCCGAGTACTCACTGGCATCAATGCGGACCATCGCGTCAGGGTCGTCGAACATGTACGATGCCAATGTCTTGCTCATCAACGTCTTACCCGTACCAGATGGACCGCAGAACAAGAAACTTGCGATCGGGCGGTTCTGGTTTGACAAGCCACTGCGCGAAAGACGAATGGCTTGTGCCACTGCCTTGACAGCGTCATCCTGGCCAACCACCTCACGCTGCAAGATCTTCTCCAGCTTGAGCAGCTTAATACGCTCGCTCTCCATCATCTTAGAGACGGGGATGCCCGTCCAGCGGCTGACAATCGCCGCAATATTCTCAGGTGTGACGGTGTTAGCCGTGTTAGTCTTGCCCTCCGCTTCGTCGCGACGGGCCTGCTCCTGCAGCTCTTCCGCGCGCTTCTCCAAGTCAGGGATAGCATAGTACATCAAGTCACTGGCCGTTTGCAGGTCGTAGCGACGCTCAGCATCGTTAGCCTTCGCACGCAGCTCCTCAATCTTGCGGCGAACATTGTTCAGCTCGTCACCTTTCGCACGCTGCGCCTCGAATTCGGCCTTCAGCGGTGCGAGTTCATCCTCAAGGTGAGCCAACTCACGGCGTGTTTCCTCGAGATGCTCTTTGCTCTGCGGGTCCTTCTCACGCTCCAGGGCAGTCATGGCGATTTGCAGACGCACCTTTCGGCGCTCCAGTGTGTCGATCGCCTCAGGCACGGTTTCACGAGAAACAGTAACATCCGCACAGCTCTCGTCGACAAGGTCAATCGCCGAGTCAGGCAGCTTGCGCGCTGTCAGGTAGCGCTTCGCCAGCTGAGCGGCCGACACAAGCGAGCTGTCCAAAATACGCACACCGTGGTGCAATTCGTACTTCTCGCGAATGCCACGGAGAATGGCAATAGTGTCTTCCACTGTCGGCTCCTCGACCAGCACTTGTTGGAAACGACGCTCCAAGGCAGCATCCTTTTCGATGCTTTGACGGTATTCGTTCAACGTAGTAGCACCAATGCAGCGCAGCTTACCACGAGCCAGCATTGGCTTGAGAAGGTTGGCCGCATCCATGCCAGAGTCGCCACCCTTACCGGCCATCATAAGATGCATTTCATCAATGAAAAGAATACATGGCGTGCCATCGTTTGTCGTCTTTTCAATGTCGCTCAGGACGGCCTTGACACGTTCTTCGTATTCACCCTTGTACTTCGCACCGGCCATGAGAGCACCCATGTCCAGCGAATAGATCTTGCCAATCAGGTTGGGCGGCACATCACGGTCCACAATGCGCTGTGCCAAACCTTCAACCACGGCAGTCTTACCGACACCAGGGCTTCCGATCAGCACGGCATTGTTTTTAGTGCGACGAGAGAGCACACGGACCACTCGACGAATTTCATTGTCACGTCCAATAACGGGATCCAATTTTCCTTCGGCAGCAAAGGCCGTCAGATCTGTACAGTACTTTCCAAGCGCGTCATAGCCAGCTTCCGCTGTCCTGGAGTCAATATGGCGACCACCACGCGCTTGGTTAAGAGCGTTCTTCATTAGGTCGGGGTTGGCCATGCCGCACTCTTTTAGCATGGCGCTAATAGTACTGTCATCCAGCAATGCAAGAAGGATATGATCTTGCGCAATGTACGAATCACGTTGAGTCGTCTTGTATTGCTGAGCATTCTTCAGGATCTTGCTGGCGGCTCCCGTCAAGCTCACATCATCAGGCGCTGGGCTCTGCTGAGGAATCTTGCGGAGAGCTGCTCGAAGTTTGGTATCGAGATCCGAGATATTCACACCGATCTTTTCACAAATACTCTTGAAAAGTGACTGTGAATCTTTGTTGGTACTTTGAACTCCTTGAGAGTTGCTCGTATCGTCATTAAGCAGCGCAAGGGCAATATGAGCAGGTGCAAGCTGCGCGTGCGCATAGTCCTTGGCCAACTGGAAGGCGGCACCAAGCGAATTCTGGGCCCTATCTGTAAATTCTAATCCAGACATCAGGTTAGAGGTTGGGGTAAGTGTGAGAGACCATTAATATACTTTCAGGAGCCACGTACCTGTCCGTGCGCCACCCCGTTCTAGATTTTTCGGGCGAGCACGAGACTGATCCGATAATCACGTGACCTGGAATTCTCTGGGCTGGTAACGCGCCTTGGTGCACATCTATACGGCATGAACGCGCAGCTGCTTAGTACGTTTCGCTTACGCATGGGCGCTTACCACCACAGATCCTTTTGCGCGGGATACACCAGAACGAATTGAAGGAACGTTAGAAAATGCAACTGCACATACGCTAGCATTTAATGCTGGTCGAGGTTTATTCGCTGGGTGCTACCTTGCAGTAGGTCGCACAGATGGACTGGTAGTTATTTGGGACATTGAAACGCGTTCCATTCTTCGCTGGTTTGGCGGCCATGCCAAGTGTGTCACATCAGTAAGGTAGGTACCACGTCTACTTACGTCAGCTGGTCCCCTCTAAGCCGTTATCTGGCCTCGGCCTCCCTGGACTGGTGCGTGCACATTTGGGATTTGGCGAATGGCCCTGCCCAATGCGTTCGGACCTTGCGATTTACAGCCCCCGTATCCCTGGTTCAATTTTCTCCGGTTTCTAGCCGATCTCTTGTCGTGGTGCTTGAAAGTCGCGAGGCGTATCTCATTCATTTTCCTACCACGCTTCAAGGCTCTACGTGCGAGCCACAGCGAATCCCTCTTCAAGGGACGGATCCTATTTCTTCCGCATGCTTTGATCCATCTGGGGACTGGATTTTCATCGGTACAACGAAAGGAGGTGTAGCTTCATTTTCGTCAGATGCCGGCGAGGTACGTACCATTGCTTCTTACGCAGCTTTTTGGAGAAGCCTTCACCGCTGGATCGTCGATGATTCGTCAAATGACAGTAGATCGGAGATCCCAAAATCTTGGACTTGCAATGAATGACAGAACAATTCGAACGTTTACCATGTATCAAGAAAAGCCAAGGACGCCGCCCACATTTGCGTCCAAGCACAAATTTCAAGATATTGTTGGTCGTACACCATGGAATGGCGTTTCGTTCAGCAGCGACTCTGAATATGTTATGGGAGGCGCTTCTCAAGACACAGCGCATAATGTCTATATCTGGGATCGCGATGCGGGTGTCTTGGTGAAAATTCTTGAAGGGCCCCGTGAGCCTCTGTCCCTGGCATTATGGCACCCTTCACGTCCTCAACTGGCATCTGTATCATCGTCTGGTGATATCTATCTGTGGACTACGCAGACTACCGAGAACTGGAGTGCTTATGCTCCTGGCTTTGAGGAATTGGAGCGAAATGTGGAATATGAAGAGAGAGAAACTGAATTCGATCTTGATGACCTGGATCAGATCGATCGCCAGCGTCATGACGACGAGGCTGCTACAGTAAATCTGTTCGCTAACGGCCCACTGCCTCAAGAGTCGTTGCCCCCCGTCTTGCAAACGGTTGATCTCCGACGCACAACTTCAACTTTAGCACCGCAACTTATGACCAGTGAGGCAGCCCATCTTACAACGTTGGAGGATGACGACAATCAAGTAGGATTTTTCATTCCACCTCTACTTGAAGAATACAGGGATGAAGAAATTGAACAGGATACCCCGTCATAGTACGCACATATACCCTAACATATGTTTTGTTTAATCGTAGACTACATTGTTAGTAATTCAGACACCACGTACCATGTACGATACCATGCCAAAATGTCCACCAAAGAATGAAACTAAGCAGATTTTCTTGAAGACCTTGCCAAATAATCCAAACACCTAACCGGAAGATCTTAGTATGAGGCGCTGCAGGTTTCCGGAGCTGGGCTGCCTTGCTGGGGATGAGTTTTTCCAAGGCTGTGGTGAGCACAGGCGACGGATAGAGAGAGAAGTACAGCTCTGGTTTACCTTGTGCACAAACAAAAATGAATACCAAGTTCACAAATACCACTGAGGCTGCAAAGAAGGCAAAGCCTGCCAAGTTCTGCAAGCCTAGCACGCCGGCGACAGATCCGGCAATGGACAATGTCATAGAGCGAAACCTAGTGGTTAGGAGATGGGAGTACATACTCATAGGCCTTAGTTACATTGTGCTTCAGATGCTCAGCATCGAATTCCTGATCCCAAACAGTCGTGGATTGCGCCGTAGCCATCTGTGGGAGGTGGGAGAGCAATCATGCACTGCGATCCAACGTAGGCACGATTGAATGCACGTGACACCACCCCGCCCAGAGCAGGTGGCCAGTGCTACAGACCCTCCTGACTGGCGGATCCGGTGGGACGATGAGTGTGGTGACGCTGGAAGAGTTCTTAGAGGTACGCTGCTACGCGACTGACATGATTCAGATCTTAAATGAAGAACAGTTTGTATCATTGGATCACTGACTTTAGACATCTCGACCTTGCGAAGCTCCGGAATTACGCTCGACATGGCATCCATCCCCAGGTCCGAGGTGTATGTACATGAGGATGGCTAATAAGACAGGAAGTGTGGCTTTATTTGCTAGGTGTTCTCTCCTCCGATAAGAGCCAGGAAATGACAGCCGTGCGGAGTAAATTTTTGGAGTATGAATCTGTCAGTAAGAGAATTCCCGGTGTCGAAAAGCAAATTCGTACCGAAGTCCTGCGCTACTTCCGACAACGCATGGAGACGCATCAAATTTCACAGCACCGGGATGGTGCCTCTAGTATGTATACGAATTTACTCATATAAGTGCTCCGAAATTTTCGCGCTGTCTCTTCTGCACAGAGCCTTGGTGATTCGAGTGAATCTCTCCCCACCTTATCGAAAATCAAAGAGACTGAACACCCTTGTTTCCCACGTATTCTTCCTTCCACACAATATGGGCTATCAACTATGCGTTCCAATTCCAATATTGATGATTCGGAGCTCATTTCTGAGCAGCGAAAATTATCGCAGAGTGTCGAAAATGTACTTTGCGCCTATCTAAATCGACACCTGATCGCGACCAATACTCCCTCATCTTCACAGAAGCGCTCTTTGTATGATTCTACCTATTCTTCCATGCAAATCAAGAACCACCCTGAGTATCCTTGGCTGCAGAATGCCAGCGGTTCTAACAACCTTGAATTGGACGAGTTTCATCCGTCATTGGTCTATCTGTGTGCACCTTTTGCACAGTGTGTTAGGGCGGAAGCAGGCATGTATTTTGCCTTTGAAAAACTTATGGCAATGATCGGTATGTACACAAGAGCTAACACACAGAGGAGTACAACCAAACGCATCCTCTGTCCAAGCGTGTTGCGTCGTTTATGACGTTGTTTCGTACGACGTTGCCTGAGCTACATGAATATTTCGAAGCCGAAGAGGTAGATCTTCTCTCTGTGGCCACAAGCTGGCTACAACATTTACTTGCGCGCGAAATGCAAATGGATGACTTGATGCGTTTATGGGGTGCGTATACCGAGGGTGAGCTAACCGCAGATACCTATTTTGCGGTACCTGATTTGCTGGACTTACATTTGTTTGTCTGCCTCGCCATTCTTACCTACTGCAAAGATGCCTTAGAAGACCTGGATCGATCTGAAACTATGAGCATGCTATGTTGTCTGCCACCATTGGACGTGGATCGGGTATGTCTGTACGCGCTAACACTAGATTATTAGCGATGCCGTCAACATCCGCTTGAGTTTGGAACACGACGAAATGTACGAATAGGCACCCACGGTGCGGCTCTTATGTAATCAAAAATAGACCAACACGACGCGAGCCCAGGCGGTGTGCATACTTCACTTTACCATGCATTCCTCCGGTGTTCGCGGGCCCAGAGCGCCACCGCAGCGCCGTTTGCCACGCATGTCGAGCACAGGGTCAGCACTCCCTAGGGACGTCTCAGGCCACTCTGAATCTGCTACCTCTGCTCACGAAACGTCTCAAGAGGCAGACTCGGATGTTGATATCCCTGATGACCAGTTGGCATTACCTAGCAATATACGTGATCTACGCGCCTTGGCAGCGGAGAGACGACGTCGATTTCTGGATAGCATGCAGGCGTCACATTCAACACAAGAATCTGCACCCGCACCAGCAGAACAGGCCCCTGAAGAGGAGGCTCAAGACACTCTTACCCCTTCTACAGAAGAGACACAAGATCAAACCGCTCAACCTTCTCCACGGCCCCTACCTCCTCTTTCTACGGCTGTCCCACTTCCATCGCTCTCTCAACCTCGCCGATCGCTCCCTCAGCCTGACTTCTCCACCTTTCGCGGGACTGCTACGCCGACAGGTGCCATCCCCCGTTCTGCCTCTCTGACGTGGGATATTCACAGACACCAAACACCCACCGAGGCACCAACATCTACTACACCGGATAGCGCCCCAGCTGAGGTGGAGAATCGCTCACCAACGCCACCAACCGAAGCTACTCCAGTCGAGCCCGTGCCACAGGGCCCTGCTACAGAGAATCCGGCGGTGACCACGCCGGACACAGCGCAGCCGGGAGAGCAAGAGGAGGCACAGGACACTGCTGATCAAGTGCCGGACATGCCGCAACGTGATACACGTCGTCGATCCACTAACCGGGCGCGTCGGCGGAGTGCCAATAGCACACTGCTTGCTGCCTTGAGCACCCAAACAGGCACAGGTCCTGGCGTGCTTCTTCCGAGTTTGTACGGCTATTTTACTGATGAGCCTGCGCCCTCATACTTGCGCTCGACAGGCTCCATGCACCGCCACGGAGCAGGCCCGGAAGGCGAGACACGAGGGCGGGTTCATCCTATGGTGGCCGAGCGTATTATGGCTAGTGGCCCTAGCGTCTCAAACCTGCATCCATCTACGAGTCGCGTTACTATGTCGCCTGGCGTAGAGCGGCGCGTAGAAGTCGCCAAGCTTCGTAATGTGCATGTGCAGCCGGGCTCGGTGATCTTCCCAGCAGGTACCATGTCGGATTTGGTGTCTAGTGAGTCAAATGAAGTGCAGTACTCGCGCAAGTTTGAGGAGAATAGTATTCTTTCCTTTTCATGGATGCTGGATGACGTGGTACATTTGCAGGAAGAGATTGACCATGGCTCCAAAGCAGACTCGGGTGGCGGCAAGAGTGATGTGTGGAACCTGCAGCCGCTCTTTGGACATGAGCAGTGGCGTGTGGAATTCACCCGGAAAAGCGTCCGGGATCCTACTCTCTCGCCCTCCCTCCAGCGACGCGGGGGTCGCGCTCTGAAGAAACACGCGCTAGCATTGCACCTTTCTTACCTGGGCCTGACTGGTCTGCCATTCAAAGGCGAGCTGCCTACGAGCATCATGCTAGGTATCCGACCTGCTGTGCGTGGCGAGCATCCGCTTCGTGAAAAGCATTCTGACTTTTTGTGGCGCGAGTTTTTCTCGTTCACGTTTCAGCAGGACGAGGATACACTGACGTATGACAATTTCCCGAACCTTGCTACGCTCCTATCCACATCGCCCATCTCTGATACCCATGCACTGGACTTTGTTGTACAGATAGCTACGGGGCCATCTGTCTTGCCGGAACGCGATGTGCGTGGTAGTCATACAGATGCAGGGATGCGTCTTCCATTTTATACGTCGGAATCTGTGGCCGTGCCTCGCGGCTTGCTCACAGCCCTAGGATCGCTGGTCGATGATGCGAGCACAGGCGATATTATGATTTCTGTGCGGGAAAAGGGGTTTGAGCAAGCGCCTACCGACGAACTGGCGGTAACGGCTGGCTTAAAAACGTTTGTGCAGCCATGGCCCACAGGCACAGCGTTGCCCCTACAAGTGCAGAGTACACGCCCTCTGATCTATGTCCGCGACCGAGTGCTTTGGGCTCATACGCCGGTCCTGCGGGAGCGTAGCGAGTTTTTCGCGACGATGATTGACTCTCACTTCACTGAAGGCGTGCTGCATGAAACGCCACTCCATGGTGCGTCAGGCCGATCGCGTGATCCATGGCGTCGGCCGTATCGTATGTTGCGTATTCCTGGTGCCGACTTCGTGACCATGTACTGGTTTTTGCACTACCTATATACGGGCCATGTGGAATTCATGCATGACGAAGATATTCAGGCGGTGACGCTGGATGACCATTGGATTTTGGACCCCGCTTCGCCCTCAGCTCGTCCTGACTGGAAGTGGCGCCCTGTGGAAGAGTGGCAGGAATGGGACGATAATTCTTTCCTTCCCGTTACACATGCGGCCGACCCTCTTCTCTCAGAAGGCTACGTCCAACGCGCTGAACCTCCTGCCGAAGCATCTCAGCGTTCGCCGGACAAGGGCCATGCTGTGGGTGATCCACACATGCACCCCCCTATGCTCCCTGTCCCACCGGCTTCTGCCCTATCGATGTACCGCCTAGCACATCGGTACCATGTACCCTCGCTGTGTGACCTCGCTATGACTCATGTTGTAGCGCACCTTACACCTGAGAACGCGACCAATTATCTGCTGTGCACTGCGCTGTTCGAACAACTTCAGCAATCCATCCGAAACTACATCTTCCAACATTGGCAGGCTGTGTCAAGCAGCCCGCAGTTTGAGCACTGTTGTGACCAGGTATCTACCGGCGAGTGGGGTCCCTTGGCGGGACGTGCCCTCGCCTCGCTCATGCGGCAGCTTCGACATACCAGTGCGGCCACGGCATCGACAGACGCGCCATAGTAGTATACACACCTACATTGAATGCATCGCGCGCGGATCGTTTGGGCCTCGCTTTTTTCCGTGTATCCACCTCGTTGCTATGGGCCGGATTCTGAGGAGCATTGTTTCGGTCGGCTCGACATCGTTTCTTCTTCTCACGCTGGCGTCAGCCCGCTCGCAGAAGGCTCGGTATCGTCTTAACTCGATCCTCTACTTTTTGAGTCTGGGTGTATGCAGCTCGCTGGGTGTGGTATATGCGTTGGTGCTGAGTCTGTTCCCTGGCAAGCGTTTCCATACCAACTTTTTGGTGGCTCGCTCATTCTTGACCATTGCAGGTACGCTTCTGGGCTACAAGGTGACGCTGGAGGGCTCGGAGCATCTGAATACACGTCCTGCTTTGCTGCTTATGAACCACCAGAGCTTCCTTGATATTTTATGCGTGAGCCGCATTGCGCCCCCTGCCTCGATTATCATGGCAAAGAAGGAGCTCAAGCTCGTTCCTCTCTTGGGTCAGTTCATGTGGCTCAGCGGCACAGCCTTCATTGACCGCAAGAATCGCGCGTCGGCGATTAAGACCATGGCACAGATTGGCGACCATATGCGTAAGCACCAGCTTTCGATGATCATGTTCCCTGAAGGTACGCGCTCTTACTTGGCTACACCTGGTCTGCTGCCATTCAAGAAGGGTGCTTTCCATCTGGCAGTCCAAGCCCAGCTTCCCATTGTGCCAGTGGTCTGTGAAAACTATTACCGTCTCTTTGACGGCCGCACCCGCTTCGATCCAGGCCATATCCGCATGTCTGCGTTGCCGCCCATCGAGACGAAGGGCATGACAGAGGCAGATATCGGTACCCTTATGAACAAAGTGCATGATACGATGATCAAAGAGCTTGTTCGTTTCGATGAAGAGCTGGACCGCAATGACGTGAACAGTGCCTTGCACCCGACTAACAAGCCGCAGCCGTACCGTTTGTACGGCTTGTCTGGTCTTGCTGCGCGTCTCATTGGTACGGGCCAGCCGAAGAGGCATATCCGCAAGCTCGATAAAATTGCAAAGGACCAAAAGCAGTCGCAGGGCACCAAGCCCGAGGACTTTGGCCTGGTTTCAGCGGATCAGCAGCAGACCGCGGCCCCCGCCCTGTAGAATGTGTCATGTAGTGTGGAAATAAGCGTGGAGGCGCCTGGACCGTGGCCCTCAACGTATAGCGTCTGTTCCTCTTGACCTCTTTGCTAGAACCCACGATGTACGGGGGGTGGCTCCTACCTATCTTTGTGCTAGGTCTTCATGCCGTTGTCACTGTTTCAGCTGCAGACAGCACTGTGGACATCCGTGGCGTCGCACCCAAAGAGGCCTATAAGTACATACCGTTTGACCGTGATGGTGTGCCGATGTGGAAGTGCCTAGGTTCCGACAAGGTTATTCCCTTTGCACAGGTCAACGACGACTACTGCGACTGCCCCGACGGATCTGATGAGCCTGGTACATCAGCATGCCCGAATGGACAGTTTTACTGCCAAAATAAAGGGTTTATCGGCAGCTACATTCGCAGTTCGCGTGTGAACGATGGCGTGTGTGGTACGTGGTTTTGACCCGACTAACTTGCAGAGCCAGAGTGCTGCGATGGCTCCGACGAAACGGATGGCAAAATAACTTGCCCCAATATTTGTGCCAAGGTTAATAAAGAGTTCCAGCATGCTCGTATGCAGGAGCAGAAGGTGCATGATGCAGGTGCCAAAGTGCGCGCAAAGTACATTAACGAATACCGCCACTATCGCGCACAGGCATCTGCTGAACTTGTTCGCTTAGAGTCGCTTTTGATTGAGCTCACGGCTGAAGAAAAGACGCTTCGCGAAGCACTGGCTCTGGCCGAGCAAGAGAAGAACTACATGGAGGAGCAAAAGCGAAAGAGTCGTACGTATACAATGCCATACTTACGCACAGCCCTCTATGAGAAATTGGAGTCCCGTAATGGAGCTATTCGCTCGCTTGCGCGCGCTCTTGAAAATGCGGTGGGAGAGATGCGAGTCTTGGCCAAGGTCGTGGAAAGCCTCGATACAGACGATGCACCTCCTGCTGTTACTGGCGCATTGCAATCCTATTCGGAGTGGCTCGGTGAGAACCACCAAGGTCTTAAAGCCTCCCTAGATGAGAGACTAGCCGAACTAATGGAGTGGGCGCCACCTATCTCCCAACTGGAAAGCATGGCTGACGAGAACGTCTTCGAGATGATGGATGGTGCACCGGAGAAGGGCACTATTGATACGCGCCCAGACCCACTGACACACCTTCCTTCGTACCTGCCGGAGGGGATTATCCCCATGTACCAAAAGATTGTGACGTGGATGGTGCGCATGTTGGTCCACCTGGACATTTTACATCCTGTCCACCTCGGCGTGCACACGGCTTCGGGAAAGAGCGTCTCGGAAGCGCAGGCAGCTCTAGATGCGTGTACTCAAAAGATTCAGGATACAGAGAGAGACGTCAAGACGCATAAGAAGGACGCAACGGACGATGATGCCAAATATGGCCGCGATGGCGAATTCAAGGCGTTGCAGGACCAATGTGTATCGAAGGATATGGGAAGCTATACCTATGAAATGTGCTTTGGTGGTACGGCCTGGCAGGTTTCAAACAATGACGGTTTCAAGTTCAACCTGGGACGTTTTGACCACTTTGATGTGGACAACAAGTTCAGTGCCGACGACGAGCGACACTACCTTAGTATGCTCTATGCACACGGCCAGACGTGTTGGAACGGCCCGCCACGTAGCACGCGGGTATCGCTAGAGTGTGGTGCTGAGAATGCCTTGTTGCATGTGTTTGAGGCGGAGAAGTGCATCTACTCGATGCGCGTGACTACACCTGCAGTGTGTTTCCCACGCAAGTCCATGGAGGAATTGATCGATGAGGCACGTATCGACCATGAGGAGCTGTAGCACTATGTGCTTGTCGACACAGACTGATCAGCCTCCATATATTCACTGTATATCAGCCATAGAAGTACGTACATTGTTGGATGTTGACCATCTTTGGTCGCGGCTAGCAATCGCTGTGCATACGCTGAGGGCATAGCAGCGGCAAAGCCACGAAGAAACTCAGCATCGTAGCGCTGCCGCACAGTACCCCCTTGCGTCGTGACATCATTCACGATATCGTCGACATCGGCCTTTGTCGCATTCGATTTAAAGATACTGTGAGTAAGACGAGACCATCTACCTACACCATATACGAGGACGACATGGTTGGCGTCGGCTGACTGCGAGGGCTAACGAACGGACCACTTGGGCTCTGACTAAACAATACACGAACTATAGATGCTTCCTCGCGCTGGCGCGTATCCGCGTGTCGAAAGAGCTGGACTGAATGGGCTTGTCAATCTCCTGGAATGGATTCATAATGATCTGAGGTAAGCGAGTGTGCCAACGCACCTTGAGCCACAATTCCCATGCCTCTGTGAAGAAGAGGCGGATCCCTTCCTCATGTTTATGCTGGTGCAAGAGGATCAATTTCACGTCTGTGGTTAGTGAGACTGTACCACATACCTCCAGGCACTAGGAAGAGAGACACGATCCAATCATTGACCTGGTCAATAGCTTTAAAATACCTTATAGTTAGTTGGCGTGTATACGTACATGGCATTATCGATATATTGACGATCTTCCAGCATGTCGAGAGAGCCGTGAGCAATCATCTGCAGAAGATGTCTCTCGTTCGCCTGGAAAGCGGATGCAGTCATACGGGAGTCTTCTCTGTTCGCCTCCATATTTGATGAGGACGTATTTGATGCATTGGAGCGTAAGGGGAAGGCCTGCGTCCACTGGCCTAGTGCACTGGAGAACCCAAAGCGACTGCTGGTGCGAGAAGAGCGGTCGCCTTGGGCTATTGGGTGACTGCCCCCCGAGGACGTGAATGCGTCACCAGAGGGCAACGGTGCACTTGATGAGCTAGGCAGGGACGATAAATCTGCCTCGTACAGCAGATTATCACGCGTCCCTACAATGCAGAAATAATACGACATTGTGCGTGGGAGAGAAGGCAGTGCGAAAGGTGGAGGGAGGGTATGTGGATCTGACTTTTGCCTGGCGGCCTCTCTTTCTCCCGGCAGGCATGACGCCTGGGACCACGTCGTGGACGTCCGAAGAAGCGGAGCTTGCCGTCCTAGAGTCGGCTTATTCACATCTAGATGCATTAGACCAAATTGCTCTGGAACAAGAGTCCGCTCAACGTGAGGCTTTAGCTGCATTAGAGGCCGAACGACGTTCGATTGAAGAGGCGCTGCGTCAGCTGGATGTGCATGATCGTCAAGAGGCACAGAACCGCGTTCTTGTAGTAGGACCTATGGAATCCAAGACGTACTATCCCATGCCACTACTACGAGAGGCGGACTTGCAGGCCATGCCGCTTCTCCATACTCATGCGATGCATCGACGACAGGTTTGCCACCTTCTTTCCTCTCCACCGTGGAGTGCTCGCGACACTGAATGTCTTCATATGGCCATGAATAACGAGCGCACACGGCAGGCTATGCTTCACAATGACCATTCCACCCTGGACTGGACGCAGATTGCCATGAGCGTGCCATTCCATACACCGACCGATTGCGAAACACGATGGCGCTTTTTTGAGAATCCTTTGTTGAACCAAGCCAAACCCAGTGCGACTGAGAAAAGGGACATTATCACGCTAGTACAGAGATCTGCATCGCCACTATGGGAAGATATCGCTGCGACATTGCAACCTGGTCGTACAGGCTATTTGGCGTTAGAAGTATACCAACGCAGTGCCAAGCCCAGCATTGAATGGACGAAGGAGCGTGATGATGCGCTGCTAAAAGCTGTGCGTGAACTCGGGCCGGATTGGAAGGCAGTGGCTGCGCGTCTTGGATACCCACTTGCGTGCGCTACATTGTGCCATCGACGCCACAACAAACTGAAGAGCTCAGCGGTGGTAATGGGTCGTTGGAGCCCCGAGGAAGACGCTGCATTGCGAGCAGCTGTCGCCCAGTTTGGATGCGATTGGAAGCGTGTAGAGATTTGCGTGCAAGGCCGTACAGGACAGCAGTGCCGAGAGCGATGGGTCGGCCGACTCGCCAACATGCCAGAGGGCGTCACGCAAGCCGTTCGACGTGCCTGGTCGAAAGAAGAGGACGATCGGCTGCGTGCGTGTGTACATACATGCAAGACGTGGGTCCAGGTCGCAGAGTATGTTGGCGGCCGTTCTGATAAAATGGTGCGCGAACGATGGCTCCTCCTTAAGCGGCGTGAAGAGGAGGAGGAGCGTCGTCAGCGAGGCGAAGTCGATGCTCCTCCACCAAAACGCACAGCCTCTCGAGCGAAACCAAAGATAGCGACTACGTAGCTTCTACAATGATACCCGCCGCGACCGTTTCGCCGTTCATACGGAAAAGGAGACGTGCCATCTCCTTGTTGGTCTTAAAGTCTTCCATAGGGTACGAACGACCGCCATGACCCAGCGACAAGCGCACCATAGCAGTGACATTGTGTTGCAGGACACGTGGGTTGTGACGCAAGACCTCACCTGTACCTTTGTCAAGCACGGAAATCAAATCCACTAGCTGGCCAGGGATATCCGCACTGTGGTGGTACACCTCCAGCGCTGTGCCACGGACCAAGGGGTAGGTCGGCTGAAACACCAGCAGTTGCACAACAACTTCCTGCCGCATCGGGACCAACGCATTGGGTGGGCAGAGAACACTGCCGACATGGACTTGATTCGATTCCATATTGGTCAGGTACAGCGTCACATTCGAGCCTGCCGCGGCCCATGGGTGCGTATCGCCCTCCACTTCGATGGCTTTCACAATGCCATAGTCGTCCCCTGGCAGCGCACGGAGTACGTCGCCGACCTGGGTGAAGCCACTGACAATTCGGCCACTCACACCGAGGCCTGAGCTGATCACAGAGCCGCCTTTAAATACGTTGGCCACGGGCATACGCAGCGGTGCATCGTGCATGCGCGGTGGCTGACGCAGCTGATCAAGGGCCTGTTCGAGGGTAGGGCCGTGGTACCACTGTGCGAGGGCACCATGGGGCGATCGCTTGCGCAAATTCTCACCCAGCATCGCAGCACATGGCACGAATTGCACGGATGTATCGACGTCGAACCCACATTGCGTGAGGAACGGAAGAAGTTGGGCATGCAGCTCGTCGTAGCGTGCCTGGTCAAAGTCCACGGCGTCCAGTTTATTGACCACCACAATTAACTGCTGCACGCCCAGACTTCGCAGAAGCGTAGCATGTTCACGCGTTTGCCCACGTGGCCCAAACCCTGCTTCAAACGCACCAAGGATAGCGTCAATGACAAGTACACCTGCATCGGCCTGCGCCGCGCCACTGATCATATTCGGCACAAAGTCTTGGTGACCCGGTGCATCGAGGAGATGGAAGATGCAGGTATTTGTGCGGAACGTATCTTGCGCAACATCAATCGTGACGCCGCGTGCCCGCTCTTCTTCGGACGAGTCCAGATTCCAGGCGTACAAAAAGCTGCTCTTTCCCTGCTTCGCACTGTTGCGTGTATTTTGCTGCAGCGCACGATCGGTCACTTGGCCAAACTCCACTAGCATATGCCCCATTAAGGTGGATTTGCCTGCGTCCACATGGCCTACAACGACCAGACCAATTTCGCGGTGCTGGGAGGCAGCTCGCTGGTCCAATTCGGCCAGGATTTGTTCGCGTGTATAGGCCACTTTGGGAGTAGGTAGCGACACTGGCTTGGCAGGGGCGGTGTCATGCAACTTGACTTTCTCCATGTCACGCGTCACAGCCGCGGTGGAGGCGGCTTTGGCCACCGCCTTTTCCTGCTGAAGTTGCTTGTTTTTTTCTTTCTCTGCTGGGTTAGCTTGTCACTATGCGCCGGCCAAGCGCGTGCCCTGGCGAGCTTGCAGCACTATATCATCGGGACTCAGTGCACTAAACGCAGCACGCAACTGATCCACCTCGTCGTCCGTCACAGGCCGCCCCGTCGGATCAGGTGTGGCAGCAGCAGTCCATGCAGGCCCAGGCATCGATGTAGAAGCCACACCATCGACCACCTGCCCGAATCGAGACATGGGTTTGGGCGCTGGCGAGCGGGGGAACAGCGTCGCTAAAGTGATGCCAGAGGGCGCTTTGTCCACTGGCACAGGTGGGGGCGCAGGAGCCGGTGACGACGCGCGAGACGTGGCTGCTGGTGAGGCGGCCCGACGTAGGAGACTCGACGCTGGGCCTGCGGCGTTTTTTTCTTTGGATGCGAGCATTTTCTGCTGCAGTTTCGAGAGTTTCTTGCCCGGGGCTGGCAACGTTCGTGTATCCGTACTCGGCGAAGCAGGGCGTGAGGCCGACGACGTGGCTATGGGTGTAGGTCGGGTGCTAGGCCGAGGTCGTAAAGGTGTGCGTGGTGCTTTGCTAGTCCCGCTGACATGCGTGCCTTCTAGCTCGGTCAGTTTGGCTGCCATGCCCACCATGGCCATGCGCTTGGCGTATGCATACGTACCTGCACGCTTTTTCGCCTGCACTTCTTCACGTTCACGTTCTTGCATAAGGAAATCAACGGCGGCTTCCGCGTCAAAGTAGGTCTCCCACAACGCCTCCTTCATTTGACGCTCGGAAAACCCGCATTCGTCCGGCTCGCCAAGGGTATCAAAGACGGTGAGCAGCGCTTGTTCCATGGCATCTTGGTCCTCCGGAGAGAGCTCGTCGAGAAAGTCGTATTCATCGCCATACTCATCGGCAAGCTCTTCCTCCAAATTCAGGTTGCGCACCGCACGATGACGCGACATGGCGGGTGGCTGGCAGACAGGCAGCCAGGTCGCCGTCAGACCTGGTTGGGTGCTAGGGCCTTCCACGGCTGAGTCAGCAACGCGTGAGCGGCGGCCGCGACCCCCCAGGGGCCCCTCACGTCTCGGCGCGAAGGTTTCTGACCGCTTTCACACTTGTGACTCGTAGATCATGCTTCGTCCTACTTCGTCCCTCATGCAACGTGCTCTCCGTATTGGTATGATCCCTGCCGATGGTATCGGCAAGGAGGTGCTTCCAGTCGCCCAGCGTGTCCTGGAAGCTACGCCGGGAGCGCCGAAGATGGAGTTTGTGCCGCTGCAGGCAGGTTTTGAGCTGTTCCAGAAGACAGGCGATGCGTTGCCGCAGGCTACGATCGATACGCTGAAGAACGACTGCGATGCTGCGATGTTCGGCTCGGTGAGCAGTCCATCCCACAAAGTGGAAGGCTACTCGAGCCCCATTGTGCGTCTGCGCAAGGAACTGGGTCTCTATGCGAATATCCGCCCTGTGAGTGGTCCGCCGCACAAGCCGGGCGCGCAGCCGATTGATATGGTGACCATTCGTGAGAACACAGAGTGCCTGTACATCAAGTCTGAGACGCTGGAGGAGACGCCCAACGGCCAAGTCGCTCGGGCTATCCGCCAGATTTCCGAAGTGGCCTCGACGCGGATCGGCAAGAAGGCGTTTGAAGTGGCTTTGGCGCGGAAGGCTATGCGGGAGAAGGCCGGTAACACGACGCCGACCAAGGTCACGATCTGCCACAAGTCGAACGTGTTGTCTGTGACGGATGGCCTTTTCCGCACATCGGTGCGTGGTGTGTATGAGCAGGACAAGAAGGAAAACGGTGGTCCGGGCCGTTACGATGGCATTGCGATGGACGAACAACTGGTCGACAGTATGGTGTACCGCATGTTCCGTGAGCCGCACGTGTTTGATGTCGTGGTCGCCCCGAACCTGTACGGTGACATTATCAGCGATGGTGCGGCGGCGCTGGTTGGCTCGCTCGGCCTCGTGGCAAGTGTCAACGCGGGCGACTCGTTCATTATGGGTGAACCTGTGCACGGCTCGGCGCCGGACATTTGTGGCAAGAACATGGCCAACCCGATTGCCTCGGTACGCTCGGCGGCGCTCATGCTCGAGTACATGGGCTACACGGAGCCAGCGCTGACCATTTACCGCGCGGTGGATGCAGTGCTGGCGGAGGGCAAGGCTCTCACGCCTGACCTGCCAGGCGGCCAGGCGACCACGTCGGATGTAGAGGCGGCGATTCTTGGTGCGTTGGCCTAAGTCCATCGATCGATCCTACGTAGAAAAAAAGGAGTGCCTACGTGTTTTTTACATCTGCCAGAACGGCTCGGAGGCGTGTGCGTACGTCACGGAGCGTGAGACCTTGAGCAGGATCGATCGTAAGACGTAGCCAGTCCTGTAGGCCGACATGCGTCTTGGCAAGCCACCCAGGCACGACGCGGATGAGGGTATCTAGGCATGCCTCCATTTCTGCGCGACTTAGGGCCACGTGCGTAGAGGCATGCAGAGCAGAAAGCACCTCCGACATGGGCAACATACGTGTTTGACGGCCAGTCGGTGTATGGGTTCCGGTGGTGCGGGAAAAAAGTACATAGATGGCCTCGGCCATCGCAGGCAATCGGGAGAGCTCTGCCCGTTGTTGGATCAAATGGGGGCCACTAGTCGCCGACAAAGTGCTCCGAGCTTGCTCTTTAGCGCGAATGCGCTCTTCCAACGTCATAGAAGAGATGGACGAGGTGGACGCTGCTGGGCCCTTGGAGCGCTGCAAAAGTTTGGTCCGCGCGTCAGATAGAGGCGCTGTGGGCGGAGGTACATGCAGCGAAGGCAGGGAGGACGGGGGTATAGGTGGCATGCGGTCCAGAGGGAACGACGTGTGCCAGTGGACTAGTTGTGGCCGTGCACGACATAGCGATACAGGCGTTGACGGCATCGGCGGCTGCGTGCGTGGCGCCAGCGGACTGGTCGGCGGTGAGATGGCAGCTATGTCGTGCGTAATACGCGTAGCATGCCCATCGCCAGACCGAGTCGCAGAAGGCGTAAGGAGACCTGCTTCGCCTTTGGCGTAGCCTTGCGGCGTCTTTGTAGGGGTCACAGGGATCTGCGCTGTAGACTGGTGCGAGGGCCCAGCAGGCGAAGGCGTAGACGGCTCTGTGACCAGGCAGCAGGCAATATCTAGGCCCTGCTGCTCGAGCCAGTGCGCATGCTGAATCGCCACGAGCCGAGTAAGTCGATAGTTCATTTCTGTACGTCGCTCCTCCATGCCTGTATTCCACATGGCCAACTGGCTCATCTCCTCACGACGTGGCGACGGCGGCGGTGAGAAACTACGCAAGGACGTGGGCGTGCTAGCGTGATTCGAGGGCGAGCCATACTGCACCTGCTTGGACGTGCGATGATGGTACGCCTGCATAGACATCTCAATCCCAACCGACCAGTCGTAGATTTTGCGGTGGGTACGCGTGTCCACAGTACGAATGCGGTCCACGAGGAACCCCATACCGCCTAGCGGTGCATGATCGTCGTCAGACGCAGGGGGCGGCATCCCCGGTGCATGAGACCAGAGCCATACAAGTCGCCGGAAATCTGGCACATCAAAGGTTCGCTGGCACGTCCGCTCAACCATAGGCCGCAACTGCTGAAATGTAATAATATGGGGTATACGAATGCGTCGCCTTGGTGTCATGGTAGTGGGCTCCGCGGATGGCGCGCCATGCGTCGCCATATACACCAACAAACTCTGCTCCACAGCAGTATGGTATTCAAGGAGCTTTTCGTACGATGGTGGGAGCGGAAGCGAGGTACGCAGCTTGTAGGGCAACACGGCCATCGTATCTTGCGCCGTCAGAAGCGGCGGCGTTGACGCACTAGACGCAGAAAAGACATCTAGGGCATGTTGTGGCTGAGCATACTTCTTTGTATTCGCTGAGGAGCCGAGCGAAAAGGTAGCAGGCGCCAAATCAGCGCCAAGTGGCTCCATTTTCCTGCGGGGTCTGCCAAGTTAGTAGTAGGCCACGTACGCTTCACGCACAGCGCGTGCTGTGAGGACTGTATCTTCATCCTCATCTAGGATGACTCGCTTTTGCCTGGTACTCCCATACTCTGCGTGCGCAGGACCGAGGGCTCCGCGACGTAGATCCATGAGCGTAGTAGCAAGACGCACGTCGACACGAGCGCCGTGGCTGCAGGGAGACGCAGACTACTTTAACGAGCATGCATCGGCCGATATCACGTGATAGGGTCTAGGCCGCGCGCGACGCGCCAGGGGCCCATGCGTGGCTGGAAGGGGTGAGTAAGTGGAGGCCGTACGTACATCCAGGCGAGGAGCTCTGCCTCGGAGGCACAGCGGAACAGGTAGGAGGCGCCGCTTGTGTACAAGGCAGCGACGTGCTTCTGCTGGTGAGTGCATATGTGTACATACTGTGGAAGCCCATGGAAGAGCTTCGGCATGGGCACGATCGAGGAAAATGCATTGATCCCATACCAAGGCAGAAGAGCTGCGACGAAGGAGCAGAAAGGGGCTGATGTGGTCAGTGCGAGTATGTACGTACGGCTGAACGACACACCATACGCGAGTCCATACGCCACGAAGAGTATCTGTCTGCATTTCGATCCAGCCGCGTTTCGTGCTGCCGACGATGTGGACAGGTACAGCGCTAGCCATGTACGCCACGTCGCTTTGTGAAGTTATGCCAGCCCATTGCCTACGTAGCTGGACGAGGTAAGTAGATGTGCATAGACGTACCTGGTCAAACGATAAAGGCGTATCAAGCCCAGGCGGCGGGAGGGAGACGTGCGCACTATGGCACATGGCATCATAGATGGCTTGCTCCCAGACCACGTCGGCCAAGTAATCACGCACTAGCGATAGGCCTCGTGGATGCCATGGGCCTAGGGATGTGCCGCCTGGGATCTGCATCGTACGAGTGTCTAGCATCCATAAGTCGTCGGCACATGCAGCAGGTTGCGGCGTAAGAGTAATGCGAAATAGGGTATCCACGACATGGTCCTGGGCAGGAAGAAGAGTCCACGACGCCGGCTCGGGCCCACCCTCGCGATGAAACTGGCAGCGGATGACATGATCCAAGTGCAAGGACGTGACACCATCCATGGCAAGAGTGATTCGCAGCACACCTGAGATGGAGCGTACAGCCGTGGTCGATGAGGACACCGATGTGAGGACCTGCGAGGGCCGCCATACGACGCACATAGCCATGTCGTCCGTGGTAGACATACGTTGCATGGGTATAAACGCTGGCTCGTGCGAGACCAAGTTGCCTTGTGCATTCCATGACCGAAGTGATCCGAGGTACACACGCTGAATCCGGGGGGTCAATGTGAGCGTATCCGACGGACCCATATCCACATGTCCACAAAGGAGGTACGCAGGAGCACGACGTAAAAGCCAAGTCGGCTCCGTACGTCGAACAATCGGTGCGATGTGCTGTGTGGTCCCATGCACTTGCTGCATATGCATCCGAGTATGCAGCCCTACATCATGCGCCCACCGTCGTTGGCGTTCATGGACGCGCGTCGAAGTAGCGGCAGGTGCGTGAGAACGTACGCGAGCCACGTCCCAAGCATGCTCGGCAGGTCCAGGAGCAAGCGCTGCATCCTCGTGCGCTTGGTCGAATGCTTCAAGGGTGGCAAGGTACGTTCGCGTAGGCCGGCCAAAGAGGGTGGCATAGGCATGCTGCGGCCGACGAGCAGGGTCGAACGTGCAGGTGTGCGATACTTGCACATGGCTAGAGGGATGCAGCTGTAAGTGCACAGGCTGTGTAGCATACGTCGCGCCATCCCAGGTCAGTTGCCAATGCACCTCGTCCATAGAGCGGGGGTCCAAGCCACGTACATCATCGATACATAGACGGTACGTTGTGTCGCCATAGGCCATCACAGTGACATGGCATGTACCTAGGGGTGATCCGCCCCACCATGCTAGGATGGGTACATCAGTACGTGTACCGGGGATCAGTGGAATGTAGACATGGCCAAGTGCAGCATACATGGGAGACATCGGCCCGAGAATCTGGGCATGAGCATCGCGATGCGATGCCTCGTCGGCGTCCCACGTACTCATGCGCTGCATATCTTGGACATGTCGTGCCAATGTATCCAAAGACCACGAGCGAATCGTGCACGCATCCATATCAACGACGCGCACAATGGCTGTAGGCAGCGCGACATAGGACTTGACCGCTTCGTCCGTCCAGACAATGTCATGCATGGAGCAAACAGACGCGCTAGGCGTCGGCCGCTGAACACCCAGCTGGAAGCGGACGTGCACACCAAGTCGCGCACACAGCACGTTCGCTTCACGTACCAGGGATGCATGCGCAAGTATGCCTTGGGCAAGGGGTAGCAGGGTCCGCTGCCGCCATCGACGCGCTGTCTCGCGCACCACGCACGACACGGTGGGCGTTTCGCCGTGGTGCATGTGGAGGAACCAACATCCAGACAGCGGCAGTGGTGGACTATGTGGAGCTACGAACGCGCGGATTTCCCTGTGCCAGTCTTGCCGGCCTTGCTCTTGTTCGCAGAGGCGGCGGCCTTTTTCTCGGCATGCGCGGCTTTCCGCGCGGCTTTCTCCGCTCGCCGTTCCTCCGGCGTTCGCTCATCGCGTGGCTTGCTCTCGCGTGACTTGCTCTCGTGCCAAGCTGCCACAGCAGCTTCAGCGTCTTCCATCTCCTGCCGCTCTTCTTCCAGCTCCTTCTCACGCAGATCCTTCTCAATCGAGTCTAGGATTCCTTCGTTGTGTGCCTGCTCCATGGGATTGCGTACATCAATGCCCATCTTACGAAGCGCTTCGAGGTTCGCAAGAAGCTCATCAGGCGAGACGTACTCATCGCGCTTCTCCTTCGGTACATCCTGGTCATCAACGACATGGACACGCGCGATGGGCTTACGCTCTTCGTCTTCCTCCGTATTCTTCTTCTGCACCGTCGATTGCTCGTCCAGGACTTGGGCCAGGACACCAGCGCACGCCTCAGGCCCAAAGCGCTGAACAAACAGCTGCGCATCGGAGCCGCTCAACTTGTACATGCAAAAGCTGGTCGCAAGTCCGAGGACAGGCATCGTCGCCGAGCGCATGAGCCCGGCCACTTGAGGGACAATCAGCTTGGTCCCAGGCGCACCAGCAGCGTCTGTCTCGGCCTTCGTAATAAAGTACGGCTCCAAAATCTCGCGGAACGATTCGTAGACTTCCATGAGCTGCATCATTTGTGCAATTAGTGAGAGCTCCAACTCGTCAAAGGAGACCTTGATATTGTCGGCCTTCAGTTTGTCTTCCATAGCATTGCCATCGTCATCCAGATAGCGTTGCATCATACGTGCGGCGAGCATCGCAATTTTTTCCGCCATTTCAAACATCGGCGGCGGACTATCGCTCTCTGCGAGTGTGGCCGGCGGCGAGACAGCCAGGATAGAAGAGGCATAGCCTAGCGTAGGTGACACAGGGCATGGTGACCCAATTTCTGCCATTAGAAACGCATAGATCGATACCAAATGCAAGCGACCCGGCTTGAGAATGTCGGTACGGACTAAATTGAAGGCGATGCCCAGCAGGCTCGTATAGTACACGGGCGGCGACCAAGCGCTCATGCGCGTCGTTTTTGGCGGCAAATATCGCTCCAGGCGCTCCACCACATTGTTCATAAGCTTTTGCAGGTCTGCAGCGTCGTACGCAGGGAATATCTCACTGGCACTGGTATACAGCAAAACAAGGCACATCACAGTGAACGGGCCGACCTGGCGCACATTGTCCGACACGCCCGGCATAAACATCGTGTCCTGCATGCGCTCCAAAATGGCAGTACGATGCTCTTCCATCAGCTGATCTAGGTGCTCTGGGAAGAACTGGAGAATATTGCACCACGCTGCATACGCAAAATAGGCCTTGTTCACCTCAGGCCCCAGCTTCTCGCTCTTTGCCAGCGCAGAGAGCCAGTTCAGCGCCTCTTTAGAGGCCCATGGCTTGGCACCAGCTTCTGTGCGTGCCAAAATCCGCGCGGTTTGGAGAAGCGAGAGCTCGTCGTGCACAGGCGTATCCGACAATGCGTCCTAGACCAACAGGGCACTTATAGCACCACGCTCCTCATCCGAGCCATCTTTGCATTCCGTACGAATCAAGTCTTCGACATACGCAGCACACGCCTCACGAGAAAGATGAGGCCGTTCCGCCGCATAGTTCTGCCAAGAGGGACTGTCCATGATCGTCGTGAAGACCGAAGTTATGACAACCCCTACGCCGCCGCCTCCACCTTTCTCCTACTGCAGCCGGCCACCGCGGGGCACCGCAGGAGCCTGGCCTAAGCGACAAGAAGTAGCGTATGGACAACCAAGTTACATGCGCGCTTGACTATGTGGCGCTACCGGTGACGTGTACAGTGAAATGGTACTGCTTCCAAGCAGACAACGACGAACAGACAGATACGCTGGCCTATGCCGTGCAGCACTGGCAGACATACAAGGAAACTGACCCTGAGCAGACTGTGCCTTCGCTTGCGCAGCTGTGGAAACGCATGGAAACAATGCCATTGTACGCAATAGAGCAGCCAGAAGAAACACCTCGATCCTTGTGGCTGTTTGTATGGGCGCATTCGTCGTGGGACCCCTCGCGGGAGACCTCGCTAGAATCGTTGCCATGTACGTATTCTTGACGACTGACGCAGTGCACAAATCCAGCAGCTATGTACTCTCTGATGTTGGACAAGCATGGCATCAGCTGGAAATGCCTCCAGTATGGCGAGCGCACGCCTTCTTCCTACATGCCCTGGAAAATGGCATGGCCGATCAATGGGCCGCTGCCGGTCTATGTCGTATCAGTGGGGGTGTTCTTCGCTGGGAGGACTCATTGTCTCACACAGGCCTCGCTTTGCTACATTGCAATGTGGACAAAAAGGCATACAAGCACACGTTCCGTGCTCATACGACACAGGAAGCGGTGGTCATGACCACGTCCACTCAACACGTACCTTGGAGGCCGGTCGAGACGCCCTCGATACCTGGCGAGCCGCTCTTGGCACAGCCAGGTGATATGCATGTGCTGTTGCTACCATCCCTTTACCGTGCTACGCTTCTTCATACCATTCCCATGTTGTCTGACAAGGCGTTACAGCCGTTACGTGCTTCCCTTGGCGCCTCGTGGCAGCCAAAAGACGATGACCAACTCGCCGTCCTCCAAATTTCTGTCGTGGCCCCCCCACCTAAAATGCCGATCGAGGCGGATGGCCTGGCTGTGCCGCTCGATACACATGCTGCGTCGAATAGCACAGCCTGCACCATTGTATGGCCCCTATCGCTGTGTGTATGTGGGCAGCTGGAGACGCCTGCGGGTTCTCCTGATTCTTGGCCCTTGCTGACGCATACCGTCGAAGCTTTGCTCACCAGCGATGCTTGGACTGCACGTACCTCGCATCCACCGTCCCCAGAAGTGGCCAATTACGTACCGGTGCAAGGCATCGGCGCACCGCCGCCCATCGAATTGGTGGATACGACGCCCTCCGAAGAAGACGTATTTCAAGGGATCGGCCAGCTGACAGAAGACGATCTCAGCTTCTTCAGCGCGTCAGAGCGAGCTGATCGGACCAAAGACGGACCTATGCCCACAACGTTCGAACCAGTTCCGGCGCCCATGGACCCGGCGCCTCGCTCGTCTGCGGATCTTGTCACCACGCCGCTCACAGCCCCTCACTCGGATGCATCTGAGCCACAGGGGCTGGAGTTGCAGCCGCCCAAACCGGTGCATAAGGAAGATGCCTCTTTGTCTCCGACCACGCTAGCGTCTCATGTGGTGGCTCCGCCATCGCAAATATGTACCTTGCCCACATCGCCTCGCATGCTGAAACGGACATGGGATGCGGAAATCTCTCCTGTGTCCAACTCTCCCGTGCAGGAAAAACGTCGGCTCTCGCAGAAGTACGATATGCATGGCAAATTCTTCGCCGAGAGTACGATCAAACGGGCCCCTGAAGACGAGATGTATCGTCGCGTAGCCCCTTCGCCACGACCTTACTTGGCCACACCCACGAGTGCTGCCCTTAGCACCCCCTCACATGCCTCCGCAGTAGAAGACTCCCTGCAAGGAGAACACGAAGACAATAGCGAGGGAGAGGATGACAACAGCAGCACAGAAATGGTTCACATCTCGGCCCTGACACGCGCCGTACTCCTACGTCGGCTGCACGTGAGCACGGCGCCTCGGCGACCCCAAGAGCAGGGTGTGACACGACAAGATGCACGTACCGAGCGAGTGCATTTGGATTGGACGTGTCGGTATGCAGGGGCAGCGCGTAGGCGAGAGTGTGTTACCCCCTGCCCATCCACTGTCCATACCACATGGCTGACAAGAAGCCTGCCGGGCCACCGATGGGAACGACCTCGCATCTTGGCAGGATGTGGACATGCTTTGGTCGACATGGCTTCTGAGGCTATGAGCTATGCGCGCCCCCTGGGTCTGCAGCCTACCGCAGGTACCCGATCTGTACTGGCCCATATGGTGTTGGTCGACTTGGAGCTGGATGATGAAGCTGTGTACACATGGCAATACGCATTAGCGGACAAATACAGTGCCTGCCACCTAGGCACCTTGGACGTGGGTCAAGTCTGGCACTATCACGCCAACTCCTGGCTGGATGGAATGCCTAGCGCTGCCGTCTTTTTGCAGGCCCCGCGTGTGCACCATGTAATTTACTTGGTGTACAGTGATGCGTCAGCATGCGAGCGCTTGTATCGCACCTGGCCACTGCCTGGACCCCAAGTCACACTGGTGGCTGTGCCCCTAGCGCATATTGTCCACATGTCGCATGTAACAGCGCTGGCCTACGCCGCATATGAAGACACTTGGCATCGTGTTTGCCAGATTGCTCCACACACCTATGAGACGTGTGTGCATCTCAAAGAAAAAGCAACCTTCCAACTTGCATGGCCGTTGAAGCAGGCACACTCGCCCCTTCACCAAGGCACAGTACTTCATGTGGCCTACGATCGCTCCACCACGGCTACACGTGTGGTGCTAACTGACGAACGAGCCCAGCGTGTCGTGTGCCGAACTTGGGACAGTGGTGATGTACATGCTGATATGGTGCAAATCTGGCATTTGATTTGTGCTTGCATGACAGAAACGACGGCGGCCTGGTATGTGGTACTGTGTCGCTATGACAGCATGCCTTTGGAGGAGGCACAAGCTTGGTTGGCCTTGGCGCCCAAGATGAAAGAGAGCGCAGCGTTGCGGCCGGTGGTCCTCACCTGCTTAGAGCCAGATGTGGGTTTTGATATGCAATGGACCTTCAGTACACCAGCCTCCTCTTGCGCGATACATCTCCCCATCGCCATGACGACACGCGCTACTCATCCTGTGCTTACGCAGCGCAGCGCCTGCATATGCTCTACGATACCCTATAAGGAGGACAGCCAGACGGCGTACTTGTTGCATATGGTGCAGGTGCTGGGAGAGGATGTGGACATGGCCACCTGTCTCGACGATGTTATTACGCATATGACAGCCTTGCAAGAAATCACAGCGCTACGGTGGCCGCCTCCTACGCCGCCGTGGCCATGGCATATTGCGCTCCTTGCAAGTGCCTAACGATCGCACAGATTTCTCCTGTACAAATATCAACCATGTATTTAAAGGAAATAATACTAAAAGACTAGATAGAAAGAAGGACACAAGCCAACCCACCTGCCTACCTACCACTAGTTTGCCCGTATAGAGGATCACACTATGGACGCATTCTCTCGCAAAAGAAGCAAGTTCATGCATTGGCTGGGGTTTTCATTCTGTTGTCACCTTAGAACGGAATAAAGTTCGACACGACATCGGCCACGTTCGCACCGTTGAAAGACAGGGTGCGCATGGCGTCCAAGTCCACAGTCGTACCCTCAGAGACGACCGTCGCATGCGAAGCGTAGGGACCATCCGACGAGTCAGACGACGAGTGGTCACGAGCACTACTGCTAGTGCTGCTACGGCTGTGCGTGCTGCTGGTAGGCTCCGCCGACGAGGACGACGACGACGAAGCGGTGGAGGTAGGCTCGTGCGAGCTGCTGCTGCTGCTGCGAGTGCTGCTGCGAGTGCTCGAGGGCTCGGTGGTCGACGACGAGTCCTCACTGCTGCTGCTGCGGGTAGCGTTCTTGACAGCCGCAGCAGAGCTCGCCGAAGCGCTCGAGGTCGGCGACGACGTGTGCGTGCGAGTGCGGTTACGGCAGCGACGAGCCGACGAGGAAGCGCTGCCAGTCTTGCTAGCCGGCGACGACGACGACGACGAGGAAGCGCTGCCAGTCATGGTAGCTGGCGACGACGACGACGACGAGGAAGCGCTGCCAGTCTTGGTAGCCGACGATGACGACGGCGACGACGACGAGGAGGAAGCGCTGCCAGTCTTGCTGGCCGACGACGACGACGGCGACGACGACGATTCAGTGGTCACCGAGCTGTCCGACTCGGTCGTGCTCGGCGAGCTCTCCTCATTGCCCAGCGACTGGACAGCAACGAACGCATTGGAGGTAGGGTGCGAGATTTCGCTGCGCTTGGCGACAGGCGCAGCGCTCGACGGAGCCATTGGGTCAGCCGCAGGGCTGGCCACGGCCATAGCATTCGACGCAGGCGCCGGAGCGCTCGAAGCCGACATAGCCGACGAGGTCGTCGGTGCAGAGCCATCACTCGACCAGGAAATGGACGAGGTTGAAACGCTCGACGACGATGACGACGACGGAGAAGCCGACGACGACGAAGCACTCGAAGGCACGCTAGTGCCAGAAGACGAGTGCTTGCCCGACGACGAATGGTGGTGTTGCTTGCGCGAGCTGGTCGAAGAGGCCGAGTCCGAGCTCGAATGATGGTGCGAGTGGTGACGCGACGACGACGATGAGTGGCCAGTGTGGTGCGAGCTGTGCGAGCGCGACGACGACGAGCCCGAGTTAGTCGCTGACTGCGAGGCAGTAAGCGAGCTAATCTGAGCGCGCACAGCCGACTCCTGCTCAGGGCTCAGGTTGCTACCAGCAGTCTCCGCCCGAAGCTGCGAGACCATCTGGCCACGCTGCTTGTCCTGGAGCTGACCCAGCGAGGGCACATCCGAGTAGATGTTGGTAGCCGCGGCCATGTTCGCCTGGCGGTGAGCAGCCGTCTGGCGGCCACCGCTGCTCGAGCGTGTAGCCGACTGACCGTTGTTGCCGCCCTGCAGCGACGAAAAGACACTCATCAGCGCCTGAGCATTCTGAACCTCGACGCTGTTCGCACCGCCGTTGTCTCCCGAGTCAAGCTGGTTGCCGTTGGCGTAGTCAATGTTTTGACCGCTGTTCAGCGCATCCTCACGGTTGTTGCTGAGGTTGGAGTCACCAGCCACATTCGAGCCCACAGTGCCGTAATGGATAGCATTGCCCGAGTTCGACGAGCGGTGGTGCGAGCTAGGAGCCGCCGACAAGCTCGACGAATGGCTGCTACGCTTGTCAATCGGAGCACTGGACACACCCAACGCGGCCAGAGAGACAGCAAGAACAATCGCAGTAGGGAACTTCATGGTTCAGGCGAGAAGGAGAAAATGAGAGAGAGAATAGGGATGTAGGTGATAGATGCGCAGGTAGAGGTCAAGAAAGACGTTCGGCAGCCAGTACCGATACGTGAGGAGGTGTGGGAAAGGAACGAGGCCAAACCAGTTGGCACACAACAAGGGAGGGGAAGGTGAGAGACATAGTAGCCTGCCCCCTAATCTTATAAGGCTACAAGCCACACCGCCATCCAGGGGCTTATAGAACCTCGGCCAACATCCACCTATGAGATTTTTAGAAACCCCTTTGACACCTCCACATAAAAGGGCCAGTGGCATCATTGATCGCCTTTTGTACATAATACAGGACGTAAGCTACGAGCCAGCCAGCCTATGACGCACATCAGCGCCACATATGAATAAGCCAAGACATGAACAGCCCCGTCAAAAATCGTTGCAGGTTGTAGACTAGCGGGTGGTTAGTTGTAATAGTACGTACATAAGGAAAGGAAAGGCAGTGTACCATCCACCAGCTCCCGTACACTCCATGTGTCTTCATGGCGTACAATTCGTCCAGCTTCATTGAATTCCAGACGGCTAAAGATACGTAATTCCACAGAGAAAAACGCCCGAAGGATTTCAAGTGGATGAAGGATATCATATATGAGAACCCAGAGAGGACGACGGCCCAGGCCTTGCGGTGCGGTCCAGTGCGATTTGACGGCATCCTGTGGCATACCGCTTGATAACGCGGCAAGTGGCGGCACTTCATGCCTTTCCTGCTCTGGCAATGCTTCCATGGGTACACTATCACCCCGCGAAGCTTGCACCGGCGAGGAATCCAAGGCCCCATTTGATGTAGCGAGTCCAGGCGCTGAAAGAGACGACTCCTGTACCCAACCGGGCGTCCGAGGACGTGAAGAATGCATGCTATTCGACCCACTCGCGCTGGTAGGTGCGTTCAAAAACGGTGTTGAAGGGGTGAGTGGACTTTGCACGTAGGACATCCCTGTACGGCGGCGCACAGGACCATGGTGATCACCTGATGACATCGGGTAGTTTAAGAAGGGATGCGGGGTAATACTCCCTTGACTGGCCAGCGGGCCAGGGGTGAAGCGACCACTGAGCGGCGTTTGCCGTGGCCGCCCAAAGATATTGGGAAAGAATGTCACAGTCACTGTATGATCAATGATGCCTGCGCGTGTACCATCGAATTCAAAGTCACTGCAGATCACATCACGCAGCTCGGATCGAACGTCCAAACCTGGTAGTGAGAAAGCCATCATAAATTGGTCAATGATGCGGTTCGAACCATGTGCAGACACAAACGGGCTATCGAACACTAAGTGTCAGAGGTGATAGACGTACCTGCATTGGAATCATAGTATCTCCAGACCATTTCTTTGATTTCTTCCGCACTGCGTTTGGCACCATACAGCGACGCATGCAGTGTGAGAATGATATCAGTGAGAGTGCTGGGACTCGGAGGCGCACCACCACCGCCATCAAATTCACTGTCTTCCGTCATAGGTGACCCGATATCCCGCAACGTCAGACCCATAGGTTGCGGTGTAGGTGGCGTCGGTGCGGAGGGATCGAGAGCCTGTACAGAATTGCTTTGTCGGCGCCGACTTGCGATTCCCGAGGAACGGGATACAGATGGAAAATACGAGTCGCCTGTATGTTGTCGAGGCATGCTCGTCGCTGACAAGGAGCGCGCGTGCCCCGACATGTCCACCAGGATGACTGACAGTGCAACAACCTTTTTTGGAAATCGACCGGGGCCCTATTTCCGGGGGGGTTGCTCCTCCACTCTTCCGTTGGTGCACGGATTCTGAGGTAAGCGTGCAGGCGCCAGAGCTGGGCTCGTCGCCGGGCCCAACAGCGGTGAGCTGCAGAGGAGAAGGGTGGCACAGACATATCATGTTGCAACAAACCATTGACGAGTCGCTGTACAGCCGCCAGCTGTACGTGCTCGGCCATGAGGCTATGAAGCAGATGTCAGTCAGCAATGTTCTGATTGTCGGGCTTCGTGGCCTTGGTGCAGAGATTGCGAAGAATATCGCCCTGGCGGGTGTAAAGAGTGTGACGCTGTACGATCCCAACCCTGTGAGCGTAGAAGATCTCAGCTCGCAGTTTTTCCTGCGTCCTAGCGATGTGGGTAAAGCTGGTGTCACGCGTGCTAGTGCTACTGCAGCACGTCTGGCTGAATTGAATGCATACGTTCCAATCAAGGTGCTTGATGTGGCAACACTCGACAAGGAGACACTCCTGCAATACAAAGTGGTTGTGTTGACCCATGCCAACTTGTCCGAGCAGCTCCGTATTAACGATATCACTCACGATAGTGGTACGCACTTTATTGCTGCAGACGTGCGTGGTCTCTTCGGTACTGTGTTCAACGACTTTGGCTCCCACTTTGTGTGCAAGGACACAACGGGTGAGCAGCCACACCATGGTATGGTCGTATCGGTTACAAAGGACAAGGAAGGTCTTGTTACGACGCTTGACGAGACACGCCATGGTCTGGAGGATGGCGATTATGTTACATTTACGGAGGTGCAAGGCATGGTGGAACTTAATGGCATTGAGCCACGCCGTGTGACCGTCAAGGGCCCGTACACATTCACCATCGGTGATACGACCTCTTTCAGTGACTACACGACCAGTGGTGTATTTAAGCAGGTAAAGCAGCCGAAAGAGCTGGTGTTCAAGTCGCTTCGGGAGAGTCAGAAGAATCCAGAGTGCCTCATCTCTGACTTTGGCAAGATGGATCGTCCGCCGATTCTGCATGTAGCCTTTGAGGCTCTGTCGCAGTTTGAAGAGAAGCACCAGCGCTCGCCTCGTGCACGGAATGACGAGGATGCGGAGGCTGTGTTGGCGCTGGCGCTGCCACTTCTGCAGGCCCGTGGTCAAGCGCTGGAGGGAGAGGAAGCTACAAAGCTGGCCCACTGGCTGATTAAGGAACTGGCCTACCAAGCTACGGGAGATTTGTGCCCTATGTCGGCGCTCGTGGGTGGCTTTACCGCGCAGGAAGTGCTCAAGGCGTGCAGTGGCAAGTTCCACCCGCTGCAGCAACACATGTACTTGGATGCTTTGGAGGCGCTGCCACACAACATTCGCAAGTTGCCAGAGTCTGAGTTCGCACCTACAGGCACGCGCTATGATGGCCAGATTTCTGTGCTAGGCAAGTCGTTCCAGGAGCGAATTGCGAACACACGTGAGTTCCTTGTTGGCAGTGGTGCGATTGGCTGTGAGATGCTCAAGAACTGGAGCATGATGGGCTTGGCTACAGGACCGAATGGCCAGATTTTCGTGACAGATCTGGACACGATTGAGAAGAGCAACTTGAACCGTCAGTTCCTTTTCCGTCCGAAGGATGTGGGCAAATTCAAGGCGGAAACAGCTGCTGCTGCAGTGGCAGAGATGAACCCGGATCTGCAAGGCAAGATCAAGACGTTTGACCAGCGTGTGGGTCCTGAAACGGAGAGTATGTATGGAGATGAGTTCTTTGCAGGGATTGATGGTGTGACGAATGCGCTGGACAATGTACAGGCGCGATTGTACATGGACAGTCGCTGTGTATACTACCGCAAGCCGCTGCTCGAATCTGGCACGCTCGGTACGAAGGCCAACACACAGGTGGTGGTGCCAGACTTGACCGAGTCGTATGCCTCGTCGCAGGACCCACCGGAAAAGTCGATCCCCGTGTGCACGCTGAAGAACTTCCCGAACCAGATTGAGCACACGATTCAGTGGGCTCGTGAGCAGTTTGATGCTCTTTTTGAGAAGCCTGCGGCGAATGTGAACCAATACCTGTCGCAGGCCGACTATTTGGCCTCGCTCCAGTCGGCCGGTGACTCGGGCTTCAAGCACCAGGTGGAGGAAATTAAGACCTACTTGGTCGACGAACGCCCGCAGTCGTTCGATGCCTGTATAGTATGGGCGCGGAAGAAGTTTGAAGAGAACTATGTGAATATGATCAAGCAGCTTGTCTTCAACCTGCCGCCGGATGCCAAGACTACGACGGGCCAACCGTTTTGGAGTGGTCCCAAGCGTGCGCCGACCCCGCTGGTGTTCAACCCACAGGATGAGTTGCACGTGGCCTATATCGTCGCGGCGGCCAACCTCCACGCCTTCAACTATGGCCTGCATGGTTCGAACGATGCAGCGTACATTGCGAAGGTGGCCGCACAAGCGGATGTGCCTGTGTTTACGCCACGCGAGGCGCATGTCCAAGTGAACGACAACGACCCTGTACCGTCGGACGAGGGGAACGCCGCGGAGGAGCAGGCCAATGTCGAGGAATTGGTCGCGAGTCTGCCTACGCCTTCGTCCCTTGCTGGGTACCGCCTGCACCCGGCCGAGTTTGAGAAGGACGATGACTCGAACCATCACATGGACTTTATCACGGCTGCTTCCAACTTGCGTGCTACCAACTACCAAATCACGCCTGTGGACCGCTACACGACCAAGGGTATTGCCGGCAAGATCATTCCCGCGATCGCCACGACGACAGCGCTGGCTACGGGTTTGGTCAATATCGAGATGTACAAGCTGCTGGATGACAAGAAGGACATTGAAGCATACTCCAATGCGTTTGTCAACTTGGCCTTGCCGTTCATTGCGTTTAGTGATCCGATTGCCGCGCCGAAGAACAAGTACAACGACACGGAGTGGACATTGTGGTCGCGCTTCGAAGTGGACGATATGACGCTCCAGGAGTTCATTCAGTACTTCCATGACCAGCATGGTTTGGACATTACGCTGGTGTCCGGTGCACTAGCCATGCTGTATGCCGACTTCATGCCGCCGAAAAAGAAAGAAGAGCGTTTGGCGATGAAGATGAGCACGCTCGTTGAGACGGTATCGAAGAAGCCCATCGAGTCGCATGTGTCACATCTCACGGTGGAAATCATGTGCGATGACCGCAACGGCGAAGATGTGGAAGTGCCGTCGGTGACTATTCGCCTGCACAAGTAGACCTCTTAAGACGATAACCGCTTCAATAGATCGACACCCAGAGCCAAGGCCTCCTCGCGAAGAGGCTGTGTAGCGTCGTGCAAAGGAGCCTGCGTTTGCAGGTAGTGGCCCACCGCAGCGACCAACCCAGCCTGCGCCAACAGAGCGCGGATGTGCTGGCGCTGTGTTGTAGACTCTCCGAGCCACTCGGCATACGCACATAGATTCGATAGCACGGACAGGACACGTAAGGCCAAATCCTGGGTATCCTGCATCGAAGAAAGAGACGACGTAAGAAGATCCGCAAGAGGCGCTAGCGACGCTGGAGGCATCTGGCTGAGCTTGTCGCACGCGGAGACGGAGCTAGAGAGTGTGGCTAGCAGGCCTGCAGAGGCTTTGGCCAAAGCCACTTGATGTGGATCGTCAGAGAGATGGCACAGCGATACAAGAAGACGAAGTCGGCCTGACGCTGTATGCAGCCGCAATGTCGAAGAGGCATTGTCGTCTTCATCTGGGTCCTGCTCGCCACTCCAGAACGCAAACACCTCCGAATCTTGGGCCAAATTACAGAGCAGTTCCACGAGAGCGCGACGAATCATGACAGAGTCATGCTGAAGAAAAAGGGGGATCATCGCCTGCGATACGTCTTTCCACTCAGATAGAGGACAGGTCGTCCGCGCTACCGCTGTAGCCATGGCAGGCGAGACACTCGCCAGATTGGTCAAAGCCAAGGCACCCTCAAACAATTGCAAGAGCGACGCGATGGGAGTGAGAAGGAGTGTACTTAGGTAAGTAGCCGCTCGCATCATAGTGCCGTCCATGCCGAAGATCAAGGTTGGATCGGTGGAGATACACAGCTTGGCGAGCGCCTGCATCGGAGCCAGAGCCTTGGCTGGTAGCGTTGTGTCATTGGTCAGCAAAGGCCATGTGCTTTGAGAGAGAAGGAGCAACGCTTTGCTGGCGCCCTGCTGCAGGAGAAGACCACGCAGCTGCGCATCCTGTTCCGTAGTCAAAGCAAGAAATAGGTCACACAAGAGGGGGCGTAGAGAAGAAGAGAGCGTAGGCGTGCACAGAGAGACCAAGGGCGGTACGAGTCCTACCTCAATAAGACGGCGGCATCGTTGCTCCACAGCTGGCGGCTGCAATCGTACATCGTCCGACTGCGATTGCTTCAACGCAGAGCGACGTAGCGCTTCAACTTGGCGCTCCTGCGTGCTTCGCGGAGGAAGGTAGGCCACCATCACCGAGAGAATCGAGACCAAAACAAACGTCGCCGAAGATGAAAGGGGCCCGCGCATATATGTATGCTCGTCGTACGTGGATGCGACAGCTTCGCCATCGCGCGCTGGAAACACAGCCTTCTTAATGGACGAAGAGAGAAGGGCACGAAGAGCCTGGAGAAGCTTGGTATCAGAACTGAGTTTCTCACGGAACGCTGGGAGGGAGACGAGGTAGTACAAGCTTTCCAAGGCATCCATCTGCACAATTGTACGCCGTTGAAATTGCAAGGGCGCACGATTGGCGTCGATCGAGGTATGGTCCAACAGGTAGTCACGCAATGCATCGTAGATCTGATCACAGGTGGCAGCTGGGAGCGAGAGTGGCTCGGAGGAGGAGGGATCGCTAGTGATAGCGAGCTTGATTAGCACTAGGTCGGTGCATAGCGCGGTCTCGATGTGCGATAATGTTGTGTGTGCCTCGATCCAGGTCTGTACATCCGCGTGGCCAGCGATGGCAGGGCGTAAAGATGGCTGCGATGCCACATCACTGAGCATGTGGGCAAACGCACATGCTGCTTCTTCGTCCGATGCAGCTTCTGTACATGCTTGTAAAAATGTCGGCGTCAGCAGGGCCTCAGCGAAGGCAGGGTGAGCGAGGCACACAAACCCCACGATCATATAGACGCGAAGGGCTTCGCCATGCTGAACAGCCTCCTGCAGGAAAGTCCACCACGCAGGCGCTTCATGCACTTCAATGTCCTTTACGGCAGCAAGGCATTGCACAATGTCAGGGGTGGGCGGAGCCGGATCAACTCCTGCGTAGTCCCACACGCGTTCGAGCCAAGCAACCATGGCGCGCAGAAGACAGTGTCCATGCGCACATCGTTGGTTTCCTTCACCTCCACAAAAGTGGCAAAATCGCAAAATCGGTCGTTTTTTTTCCATCGAGGTCGTGCACACGCATCGTTGACCGACGACGTGCTGTGACGGGCTGCCGTGCAAGCCGGGAGTCGACACAGGCCTCGTCCACAATGAAGGAGCTTGTGTACGTATTGGCATTGACTAACGCGATAGCATTCAGGATGCGCCCAAAAAGATGTGCGTAGCACGATGATTCATTTGTACTAACCTCACAGCAAAAACATCCAGTTTGGTGTGATGTCCAAGCAGGAGATTGTGAATCTCGCCGAGCTGGAAGTCGTTACACGCGATATCTACGATCTGCCCAACCGTCAGCCGCGCGTAGGCGGTGTGCTGGATCGTCGCATGGGTGTGAGCGATAAGATGAGCTTGTGTGAGACATGTGGGCATCGCATGGCCGACTGTGTCGGTCATTACGGCTACATCAAGCTGGTTCTGCCCGTCTTCCACGTCGGCTTTTTCAAGCATGTGGTCAGTATTCTGCAAATGGTGTGCAAGTCGTGTTCACGTATCCTACTTGAGGAGCCCGATCGCCGCAAGTTTTTGCGTCGCTTTCGACGCCCCGGCCTGGAAAACTTGCAGCGTACACAGACCTTTAAAGCGGTCAATACGGCGGCACGCAAGACATTATACTGTCCTCACTGTGGTGCGACCAACGGCACAGTGAAGAAGGTGGGCGCGCTCAAAGTGATCCACGAAAAGTTCCGGCAGAAAAAGACGGAGGACGAGCAGCTCGAGTTCCGGAAAACCTTTGTGACGGCCGTGAGCATGGGCAGCGGTGAACTCGCGCCGCATTTAGGCAAGGCGCAGGAAGATCTGAACCCTCTGCGTGTGTTGGACCTCTTCCGCCGGATCCCGGATGAGGATTGCGAGCTTCTGGGCCTCAAGCCCGAGTTCGGTCGGCCCGAAGAATACATTTGGCAGTACATTTGTGTGCCACCTGTGTGCATCCGCCCGAGCGTGGCGCAAGACGGCGCGACAAACGAAGACGATCTTACCGTGAAATTGACAGAAATTGTGTTTACAAACAACATCATCAAATCAGGTCTGACCAAGGGCAGCAAAGGCACCACCACGGCGCAATTGGTCGAGCAATGGGACTTTTTGCAGCTGAGTGTGGCCTTGTATATCAACTCTGAGATGCCTGGCGTCCCGCCTATGAGCGGCCACAAGCCTATACGCGGTTTTTGCCAGCGCTTGAAAGGCAAGCAGGGTCGATTCCGTGGCAATTTGAGCGGAAAGCGTGTCGATTTCTCTGGCCGTACAGTCATTTCGCCTGATCCCAACTTGGCTATTGACGAGATTGCAGTGCCTGAGCGTGTGGCCAAGATTCTTACGTACCCTGAGCGCGTCTTTGCCCACAACATTGAGTCGATGCGGGCGGCGGTGCGCAATGGCACAGATACACATCCCGGCGCGAACTACCATATCAATGGCCGCGATGGATTCAAGCGATTCCTAAAGTTTCCTGGTATGCGGGAGGACATTGCTGCGAACCTACGTGTGGGCGATATTGTGGAACGTCATATCCGTGATGGCGATATTGTGCTGTTCAACCGTCAGCCAAGCTTGCACAAGCTGTCGATTATGTGTCACCGTGTGAAAGTGCGTCCCTGGCGTACGTTCCGACTGAATGAGTGTGTCTGCAATCCATACAATGCCGACTTTGATGGTGATGAAATGAACATGCACGTACCTCAGACAGAAGAGGCACGTACAGAAGCGCTTACTCTCATGGGTGTAAAGCACAACCTTGTGACGCCACGCAATGGTGAGCCTATTATTGCTGCGATCCAGGACTTTATTACAGCGTCGTTCCTTCTTTCACGGCGTGATCGTTTCTTCACGCGCGCCCAGTTTGTGCAGGTGTGCTCGTACTTTGGTGATGCCTCGGTTCACATTGATCTTCCGCCCCCTGCCATCCAAAAACCAGTGCGACTGTGGACAGGTAAACAGCTCTTTAGCTGCCTGATCAGGCCCAACAAGGACTCGCCTGTCCTTGTCAACTTGGAGGCACGCTGCCGAACGTTTGAGAAACCTCGTGAAGGTCACATCAAGGAAATGTCGCCCAACGATGGCTACCTGGTGATCCAGAACAGTGAAGTGTTGTGTGGTGTGATGGACAAAGCTACGGTGGGTGACGGAAACAAGCACTCTTTGTTCGGTGTGATCCTACGTGACTACGGTCCTGATGCTACGATTGCCGCTATGAATCGGCTGGCCAAGACCTGTGCTCGTTGGCTCTCCAACCAGGGCTTCTCTTTGGGTATCAGTGACGTGACACCTGGCCAGCGTCTGCAAGACTCGAAGGATCGTCATGTGGAGGAGGCGTACGCCCAGTGCCGCGACTTGATTGACCTGGCCAAGCGAGGCAAGCTCGACAATTTGCCTGGTTGTGACCAGGAGCAGACGTTGGAAAGTAAAATTTCCGGTGTGTTGTCAGGTGTGCGTAGCGACGTGGGTGAGTTCTGTATGACCGAGCTGAGTCGACACAATGCGGCTCTTCTTATGGCCGTTTGTGGTTCGAAGGGATCCAAAATCAATGTGGCGCAGATGGTGGCCTTGGTTGGCCAGCAGATCATTTCTGGTTCGCGTGTACCGAACGGCTTCCAGGACCGCTCTCTCCCGCACTTCCCGAAGAAGTCCAAGGACCCGCCCTCCAAAGGTTTCGTCCGAAACAGTTTCTTCTCAGGTTTGGAGCCTACCGAGTTTCTCTTCCATGCTATCAGTGGGCGTGAAGGTTTGGTTGATACCGCTGTGAAGACGGCTGAGACAGGCTACATGCAGCGCCGTCTCATGAAAGCCCTGGAAGATTTGTCGACGCACTACGACTTTTCCGTCCGCAATTCCAGCGGTGGTGTCGTTCAATTCTTGTACGGTGATGACGGCCTGGATCCCGCAGAACTAGAAGGCAACGCGTTGCCTGTCGACTATGTTCGTACGTTCCACCACGCTATGGCGATGACAGCACACATGGACAGCCGCAAGCTGCTTCCTTTCGAGATCATTGAATTGGTGGACCATGTCCTAGCGGAAACTCGGTTCGGGCAGCTGTGCACGTCCAAGTACATTGAACAGGTCCGTGAGTTCTGTCACGTCCAGGTGGCCGAGCATGTGGCAAATGTCCGCGAAGCGTACGGCATGTACCCTGCGTTGGTTCGTGATGGCGATTGGGATACGGATACAGATCTCACTTTGGGGGCCGACGAAGCGCAGCAGGCCATTGTGCACAACAAGGCTAGTGTGACTGAAGCTGCTCTACGGACCTTTTTGGATTTGTGCTGGACCAAGTACATGCGGGCCAAGATTGAGCCGGGCTCAGCGGTCGGCGCTGTCGGTGCACAGTCCATCGGTGAGCCCGGTACGCAGATGACCCTGAAAACCTTCCACTTTGCTGGCGTTGCTTCCATGAATGTCACACTTGGTGTGCCGCGTATCAAAGAGATTATCAATGCGGCCAAGATTATCAATACCCCTATCATTGCTGCCAAGCTTGTGAGTGAAAAGAGCGAGCAAGCGGCACGTATCGTCAAAGGCCGCATTGAAAAGACGTATCTGGGCGATGTTGCTTCGGTCATTGAAGAGGTTTGGTCTGCGTTGCACACGTACCTCAGTGTCCATATCGATATGGAGGCTATCCAGAAACTGCAACTTGAAGTCACGTTGGATGATATCAAACGGGCGATTGTGGCCATGCCCCGCATGAAGATGAAAGAAGAACGTATCACTGTTCTTCCGCAGAAATGCTGCCTGCATATCTACGTGCATCCGGACGAGAAAGAGCCAGATGTGTATTACACCCTCAAGAACCTGAAACGGCAGCTTCCTAAAGTTGTGATCAAGGGCATTCCGAACGCCAACCGCGCCGTCATCAGTGATGAAAAGGGTGAGCGAAAGCTGTTGGTGGAAGGGTATGGCTTAAAAGAAGTCATGACAACTGAGGGTGTTGTGGGTACACAAACCCATACCAACCACATTATGGAGATGCAGCAGGTGCTTGGTATCGAAGCTGCGCGTAACTCCATTTACCGGGAGATTGACTACACTATGGCCAGCCACGGTATGTCGATTGACCCGCGTCATGTGATGCTTTTGGCGGATGTTATGACATACAAGGGCGAGGTGCTGGGTATCACTCGATTTGGTGTAGCGAAGATGAAGGACTCGGTATTGATGCTGGCTTCTTTCGAAAAGACAACAGATCATCTCTTCGACGCTGCGCTCTATGGAAAGTCGGACTCTATCGCTGGTGTAAGCGAAAGCATCATTATGGGTAACCCCGCGCAAACCGTAGGTACTGGTATGCCGACTCTCATTAGCGCGCCGCCTACGTTGCCGCCCCGCCGAGAACTTCTCTTCGAGCAGGCATGTCAGTAGAGTTGTCACCGATAGATCTCCACACACAGTTTTTTTAGTCAACTTGCATATCAGCAGATTTTTTTTTTTCTTTTTTTTTTTTTTTGAGAAATCTTGCGCAGTGGCTGAAGTACACGTTAGCTACGCATATCACGATGGGCAAAAAGAGCAAGACCGAAGTCGCTCCTGCGAAGCCATCGAAGACCAGCAGCGTCAAATCCAAGTCATCGGATGCCAAGTCTATGAAGGCATCTCCTAAGAAGGAATCAAAGAAAGCCACCAAGGTGGAATCTTCTGATGAGGACTCTGACTCATCGGACGAGGAGACTTCTGATGAGTCTTCGTCAGAGGAGAAGTCTTCATCAGAGGAGGAGTCTTCTTCGGAGTCTTCTTCGGAGTCGTCGTCGGAAGAGTCGTCGGATGAGGAAGAGTCTTCTGAGGACGAGTCTGAATCTGAGTCGGACTCGGACTCGGAGTCAAGCTCGAGCAGCTCGTCTTCGGACGACTCTGACTCGGACAGCGAGGAAGAGGAAAGCTCGGAAGACGAGGACGATGCCAAGAAGGAAGAAAAGGAATCTTCATCAGAATCGGACTCACCCTCAGAGTCTGAGTCTGGCTCTGACTCTGACTCTGACTCTGACTCTGACTCTGACTCAGACTCTGACTCTGACTCTGACTCTGACTCTGACTCTGACTCTGACTCTGACTCTGACTCTGACTCTGACTCTGACTCTGACTCTGACTCAGACTCTGACTCATCTTCATCGTCAGAGTCCGACTCCGACTCCGACTCTGACTCGTCGTCAGAGTCCGACTCCGACTCCGACTCTGACTCGTCGTCTTCGTCTTCGTCTGATTCCGACTCCAGCTCGGACGAAGAGATGGAGGAAGCTCAGCCAACAAAGAAGCGTAAAGCGGACTCGGAGGAGGATGCGCCTACCAAGAAGTCCAAGACCGAGACTGAGTCAGGTGAGGATGATGGAATCAAGACTCTGTGGGTTGGCCAGCTTAGCTGGAACATCGACAATGACTGGCTGAAGAGCGAGTTTGAGCAGTATGGTACTGTTGTTGATGCGCGTGTCCAGTGTGACCGCGACACGGGTCGCAGCCGCGGTTTTGGCTATGTTGACTTTGCTACGTCTGCCGAGGCTTTGAAGGCCTCGAAGGAGGCTCAGGGCAAAGAGCTGGATGGTCGCAACTTGCGTGTGGATCTCCAGGCTCCACGTGCTCCCAAGGAGCGTGCTGAGAACCGTGCTAAGCACTTTAAGGATGAGCTTAGTCCTCCTTCGAACACGCTTTTCATTGGCGGTCTAGCCTGGTCACTGACGGAGGACGATATTTGGAACACCTTTGCTGAATACGGTGAGGTGTCGGCTGTGCGTCTTCCAAAGGAAATCGAGTCTGGCCGCCCGAAAGGCTTTGGCTATGTTGAATTTGATACCGAAGCCAATGCTGCCAAGGCATTGGAGGCGCTGAATGGCCAAGATGTTGGTGGTCGGCCCATCCGCATCGACTTTGCCGGCAAGCGTGACAACAACAATGGCCCGCGAGGCGGCAATGGCGGCGGTTGTGGCGGCTTCCGTGGCGGTCGTGGCGGCGGTCGTGGTGGCGGACCCAGCCGTGACAGTGGCTGGGGTGCACGCGGCAACCGCTCCGCTAGTGGCAGTGTCCGCACTGGTGCCATTGCTGAGTCTACGGGCAAGAAAATGACGTTTGATGATTAAGCGCATCCTGTACACCAAAAATGTTACTGTAGTTTTTCGGCTAGCATAGCATAAAAAGTGAATGACATCTGGACATCTTTACGAGGTAGAAATCTTGGCTGAGTGGTAAGGTAAACATACAAGGCCTCAACTATACGGTCGTTGTTGCCTATCATTAGAACGAATGACCGACAAGCGTTGTCTCATGCGTCCAGACAGACTTATTCGTCAAGAAGCCAGTCGTTGGGGGCAAACAGTTCGAAGTGCACTGACTCTGCGTCGATGTTCATCGACTTGAGGCTCTCACGCGCAGCCTGTAGGAAGTCTGTCGACCCACACAGGTAGAACTGGGCATCGTGAGGTAGTTCCACGTGCTTCAGGTCCAAGTGGCTCACTGTAATGTGAGGTCCCGCTTCACCGTGTGAGTAAAAGAGGTTGAGCTTCGCATTAGACAGCTGGGACACGAGATGGTGACGTTCCGCGGCCAACGCATCCGTCTTTTCACTGTGGTCTGCATGGAGCACAAGAACTTGGCGGGTCGACTTGTCGTTGGCAAGGCGCGAAAGCATACCAATCATAGGAGTGGCGCCAATACCACCCGAGATAAGAACAACAGGCGATGATGAGCTGGTATCCAACACAAGGTCACCAAACGGAAGCGATACTTCCAGCTCCTTACCCTGCTGCGCATTCTGAATCAGCCAGTTCGAGACCTCACCAGCTGGCTGTTCGTGCGTAGCCTCCAGCGCCTTCACTGCAAAGCTAAGGCGACCGGCTTGAACACCGGCATCCAGCAAACTATACTGGCGCAACTGACCAGCACCATCTGGCAACTGAGCACGAACCGAAATGTACTGACCAGGCTGATGGGTTGGCAAGGGCTTCGAAGCATCCGTGCTCTCAATGGTGAAGCGCACAATGCCGTTCACAAGCCCACGGCGCTCGGCCACCTTCACACTGCGCCAAACCTTGCCCGGCTCCACACCAGCTTCCTTGTACAGGTCTTTTTCGAACTGAATCAAGACGCGAGCCATGATCCAGTACACAGCATCCCAAGCCTCAGCAACATCCTTGGTCACGACATCAGCACCAAGAACCTCAACAATGGCAGCGAACAGGTTGTCATGTACAATCTGGTACTGGTCTTCTGTCACACCCAGCGCAGCGTGTTTGTGGCCAATGCGCGACAAGAGATGGTCAGGAAGAGGGGCGTTCTCGTTCACAAGCATAGCGGCAAAGGTAGCCACAGAAGCAGCCAAAGCCTTCTGCTGAGCACCCTGTTTCTGGTTACCACGGTTGAACAGATCCTTGATAAGTTCGGGGTGGTTGGAGAACATTGTTTTGTAGAATGTCTTGGCGATGTCCTGAATGTTGGCACCCACCAAAGGTAGAGTAGCACGAATCACTTCGGCGTGAGCTGGTGAGAGCTCATTGCGGCATTTCTCGATACCCTGGACAAGCATTTTGATACAAAAAAGAACTCGTAGAGTTGTACCAAGACTTGGCGGGCGAAGTCGGTGCGTTTTACGATAACTAGGGCCAACTTTCATTAAGGCTTTCAACGCCACGCTGACCAAGCACTATAATTCGGTTGGTTGGCTAACGGGTATTACGCTGAGTTCATTAATCCTTTCTCATTCGCTTGACAGGTAGATCATGTAAGCATGTCTTCATATATTGGTCAGACCTCGAAGTCCAACATCATTGTTACGGGTCCGAGGAAAAGAAGGACGTGCCATACCTTGCGTGGTAGTTTTGTAAAATCAGACCATCCTTCACGTCAAGGCCGTTTATTTTCGGCTCTACGTGAGGGCTAGTGTCAAGCCTGTTAGTTTTGCTATATCAGAATCGCCAAGTTTGCCAGGCGCATAATCGTGTATTGCAGATCAAAAGAGCCTCTGAAGGGACCAAGCGCTACCTGCCACACATTCAGGGCTTTCCTCCAACAGTTTCCAAATACCAACATGACGCATGTGTCATGTCCTCTTCTGCGTTGTGTCTTAGATCAATGTGATATGTTTCATTCACATCTTGGACTTGCTTTCTATCTCCTCTATGTAGAGAATATGAGCATAGGATAGGGCACGTTTTCTTTGGCGCGCATAGCCTCCACGTGCCATTCATTGTTTTGCTCCAATTGAATAATGTGAATTGTTTTATGAGCATATTCTGGCGGTAATTTTGAGAAAAATACGCGCAAAACCCTGATATTGCCTGTGACACTGGTAGTTGCGATAGCTCAGCTTTGTTCGAAAATGATATTGCAGAATTGAGAGGGTGTCCCACGTGTAGGCTGTGTGGCTGTAATGCACAAAGTGATTGATGGCGAGTCGCGTTTGTAGTTAGTATTGACAATACAAATCTCTCTTCTTTACCTCCTTCACCCCCTACTCAGGCGCTGGACGTCGTTCTTGTATCTAATATGAAGCTTACTGTTTCCACGGCCGCTTGTGCGTTGGGAGCTCTTCTTGCTGCGCTCCCGGTTTCCGCTAATTTCGAATATGGTCTTCCTTGGGCTGCCCCGAATGACTGGGCTCCTTCGATGACGAGCAAGACTATTTCATGGTACCACCACTGGGAGATGGGTCGTGTTCCGACCATCCGCTCTGAGGTTGAGTATGTTCCAACTTACTGGGGTCCGGAGAAGAAGACTGACTGGATTGCTCGCAAGATTGAAATTGCTGCGAACAAGCCGCGGCATATTCTTGCGTTCAACGAGCCTGATATCAAGGGTCAAGCTAACATGAGCCCTGACGATGCCGTGCATGAGTTCATGAAGGAGCTTCAGCCTTACGCTGAGGACGGTATCCGCGTCAGCTCTCCCCAGATGGTATACAACATGGCCTGGCTCAACGAGTTTATGGAGAAGTGCCAGGACGCTGGCTGTGACGTTTCGTTCATTGCTCTTCACTGGTACGGTGGCCCCAATGACCTTGGTGCTTTCAAAAAGTGGGTCTCGGGTGTCCATGACAAGTTCCAAAAGCCCATCTGGATCACTGAGTTCGGTTTGACCAACGACTCTAACCCTTCGGATGACCAGGTGAACCAATTTATGGAGGAGGTGATTACTTGGATGTCGCAGCAGGACTATATTGAGCGTGCTGCTTGGAACGGCTGCTATGATATCAACAACCCACCGGATGAATACGCCACTCCTCGCAACGCTTTCTTCGTTAACAGTGGTAGCCACCGAACCACTGCTATTACTTGGCTGGCTGGTGTTGGTAACAGCAACCTTCTCTTTGCTGAAAAGAAGCACAAGAACAACCATAAGCGCATGCAGAGGCTTCGCAGCAAGAACATGTAAGACTCTTGCATTTTGTATTTTCTCTACATCCACCCTCTCTATCCGATTGTATTGTAAGATCGTTGGTTGAATCCTAACAGACTGTTGCGACTCTGATCTACTATTTCACTTTGACTATATATCGTTTTTTGTTGTTTGGTATTTTTGCGTGTTATGAGGGTGTTTTCGTAAGGTAGAATAAGAAAAAGAAATCGTAATGGAATAACCTCCTCCAGGAGCTTAGACATTGTAACAAGCACAAGCAAAGTGTGAAGATCTCAAGGATCCAATACAAATTTGTAAAACGTTGTGCATAGTGCGACGCAAAAAAAGCTCCCAACGTGGGGTTCGAACCCACGACATTCAGATAACTCTTCGTAATCGAAGAGACTCTAGTAAGAGTCTGACGCTCTACCGACTGAGCTAGCCGGGATGTTGCTTGCCCTGGTATCTAGCAAAACGTATGTAAGCTTCACATCATGTTCTATGAACGCGTCACGCGCGTCGCGGTTCGCGTGGTGTACACCAGTGCGATCATGTCCTTGCTGGGGGATGATTTGCCTGTGCAAGTCACACACATCCCTGGTATTACTCGTGTGCGCTATGTACAAGGATCTCAGCAGGAATGGTATGTACCTCTACGTGGCTGAACGTTAACTTTGTAGTCGCCTCGTCACGGCTGGTGAAGATCAGCTAGTCCGTATCTTGCCTGCAGAAGTGACGGCCACCGATGTGGCTCCCTTAGTGATCGAAGATGCAAGTGAACCTGTAAGCTGGGTTGATGCCGATGCATCCCACCTCATTACCGCCTCCGTGGATGGTGCTGTGCGCTTGTATTGTCACACGTCCGAGCCCAACACTACGCATCCATCATCTCCTGAGTTGGTTCATGTCGTTCGGCGTGAAGTGCTCCCTGTTCGCTGTGCTGCGCTGGAAAAAGCAAATGACTCGCCTCGTGTGGCTGTATGTTCGGACGAGCTATTGATCCGCGTTGTGAATGCAAGTGATCCACGAAGCATTACTCTGCTTACGGGGCATACGCGTGGCGTCCGTGCCGCGACGTGGAGTCCCGGCCTTCCTCTGCTTGTCTCGTGTGGTTGTGATGGCGATATTCGCGTCTGGGATATGTCGGGCCTTGAAGGTGCATGTGTCAAAGTATTGCCCAACTTGCTCCCTGCGCTGCGCCCTGAAAGTGAGCTTTCGTCGCATGTGTGCTGGCGCCCTGATGGCCAACTCATGGCCGTGCCGCTCAAGACGCAGGAGATTGGACTTCTTCATACCCCGACTTCTATGTCTCATATCTCTCAACCTGATGCCTGGAAGACCATCGGCACTCTTGGTCCTAGCAGTGGCACCATTTCGGCAGAGCAGCAAGCGCCCTCTGGCTTGATTTCTGCCATGGCCTTTTGTCCTAACGGTCGGTATCTAGCCGCCGCGACGGAAGACATGCAAGTCACTATTTGGGCGATGGACTCTATGAAGGTCGTTCGTACACGCAAGGCGGAGGCCCTTGTGACTGGCCTTTCCTGGCACCCGTCTAAGGATGTATTGGCATGGACCGACATGCAAGGGCAGCTTGTGCGTTGGGAAGGCGTACTGGGGGCGTCTCTTCCTAACCCTTTTGAGGGTGTGCCTCTGTCTGTGGTCACGGATGATGTGGTGCCGCTGGAGGATGATCTAGACGACTTGTTTGATGACACCCTGCTGGACGAAGAGGAGCCAGAGGACGAAGCTCCTTCTCGCACAGTCCGATCTCGGCGTCTTCCAACGGCGCATGCATCATCTCTTTTACGCCAGTCAGCGTTCCAACCTTCGTCGACACCGATGGTGTCACAGCGTCAGTACCTTGCTGTGTCATCGATTGGCACACTCGTGTCTATCGACCAGGACACGCATCAGACTGTGGTATTTGAATCGTATGATACCTCGACGCGCCGTAACTTTCGATTTACTGATCACTACGGCTACAAAGTCGCGAGCATGGCTCCGCAAGGTATTTTGTTTGCCTGCCCAGCCGAGTCTGGCAGTCCCAGCACCCTCTTTTTCCGTCCCTTTGATGACGACCCTGGTATTCAGGCAGAATGGTCGGTGAATTTGCCGACCGGTGAGAATGCTGAGATCGTGGCGCTGGGTGGTGTGCCAAATGTAGGCTCTCGCGCTGATGTACTAGATGGGCCTACCGGTTTGGTGGACGAGAGTCAGACATCGGCAGCTACGGCTATTGTCGCGACGTCCCGGGGCTTTCTGCGGTTCTTTGGCCAGAGCGGTATGCAGCGCTATGTATGGGCACTGGGCCAGCCCATTGTGACCATGGCCGCTTGCGCTCAGAGTGTATTGGTCGTGTGCCAAGGCTCGTCGCTGTCTCCAGCCCATGTCCAGTTAACGTACATGGTTATTGAGCTGCAACAGTTTACTATCATGCAGCAGGGCCATGTGCCTCTGTCAGGGGGTGCCACACTGGCCTGGGCCGGGTTCAATGAGCTTGGTATCCCTGCACTGTACGACACCTCGGGCATGCTCTATACCTTGGATCGTGCATGGCGTCCCAACCAAGGCCGCTGGGTGCCTGCGCTAGATACCGTGGTCGCTCTTACGCCCAAGCATGCGGAGGCGCAGGCGGAAGACGAGGAAGGTGTCGCCCCTCGTCTCCATTGCTGGCCTATCGGACTCACAGCCACACATTTGCTTGGCCTGCTCTTGCCAGCCTCGCAAAAGCATCCACAGCCAACGGGCCCACGTCCACTGGTCCAAGAGCTGGAGCTGCATATATCCATGGCGCAGCGTGATAGTGCCTCTGCGCCCTTGGAAGAGGCCGCTCTACGTGGAGCCCTTCTTGCTGGCGCGATTCGTGATGCGCGTGCTGCTACAGGGCTGGAGCTCGTAGCACAGCGCTTGCCGTCCTCGAGCGATCCGGACGTATTGGATATGGAGGCAGACAAGTCATTGTTGCAGCTGATTCAGCTGGCCTGCAAGGCTGACAAGTATGGCCGCGCTTTGGATGCGACGCGAGCGCTGCATACCGAAGCGACCTTGAATGCCGCGCTGAAAATCGCCGACTTTTTCCACCTGCCTAGCTTGGCCGATCGTATGGAACAGATTCGCGCGCCGATGGCCGTCCGGCAACAGTTTGCCCAAGACATGGTCGATCGAGCGTGTGGCACTGATGCCCTTCTTCGTAATGTTGCCCGAATCTCTGTGCCTACGCCTATGGCGGAGGCACCGCCCCCTGTCCAAGGACAGGCGCGTGCTGCGTTGCAGCAGGAGGGTTTTGCGTCCCAGCCGCGACGCAGTACGTCGGCCTCGACACTTGCGCGCGAAGGCTTGGCGCATCAGCAAGCCCCTGATCCCTCTTCCCCACCCCCTTCGTCGCTCCCTACGAGTGAATGGTCCCAGCCACCGACTGTGTCAGAGAGCGCGCCATCAACCGTGCCGGATACGGTGACGCCCTCGCCTGCTACTGCGCCCACTCGACCGAATCCGTTTGCGCGGACCCACTCTGTGGCGAAAGAGCGCCAGCTGCAAAAGAGCCAGTCGTTCTTTGATCGAGTCGATGCGCCGTCGAAGCGCAAGAATGAGGAGGAGACGTCGCAGCGCTCCGAAAAGCGCTCCGCATCACGTCAGTCCACGCTGGCAAGCTTTGCCTACCAAGGCACATCCTCTCACTCCACTGACGATACGTCGTAAATTAGAACAGCTATGTAGTACCAACGTTACGCACTAGCAAATTTGTGCAGTACATCCACCAGACATTGAGCCTGCTCGATGGTCACAGCATTGTACAAGCTGGTGCGGATACCTCCCACCGAGCGATGGCCCTTCACTTGCAGAATGTGGTGCTCGGCGCAGAGTGCGACAAACTGGGCCTCCGCTTCCTCCGAAGGCGACCCTGTGTTCTTGTCCAGGATGCGGAAGGTCAGGTTCATGTGGCTGCGTGTGTGTGCATGCGCCACGGTGGGCTTGTACACCGTAGGGTACGCCTCCAAGGCATCGTACACCATCTTGCTCTTGGTCTCGGCCCGCTCCTGCGCGGCCTTTATGCCACCATCATCCAAAAGCTTTTTGAATACCAGCGAGCTGATATAGATGGGGAACATCGGTGGCGTATTGTACAGGGAGTCGTTATCCATATAGTGCTTGTATACCAAGGTTGTAGGCAGTGGCATCAAGTACGATGCTTCCACAGCATCTGGATCCACGACCAAATCGCGTCGCACAATCACAATCGTCGTACCACTAGGGCCAATGTTTTTCTGCGCACCGAAGAAAATAAGCGAGTGAGCGCGAACATCGATGGGTCGGCTCAGAATGTTCGACGAACAGTCCGCTACAATCGGTACTCGCTCGCGATATTCTTTCGGAAGACGCTGGATAAAGTCCATGGGCATTTCAAACCCATCAATGGTCTCATTGTCGCAATAGTACAGCATGGCCGGTGCATCGTCCAGCGAGCTGAGTTTCCACGTCTCTGGCGCGGGGATCGACGCCGAGGGATCTTGAATGGTCGGACGGATATCACATACCACATTCACACGCGAAGTAAGACGGTGTGCCTCTTTCACAGCCTTGTTGGACCATGTACCTGTCAAGACGTAGTCTACCGGTGGAGGCGTCGCACGTCCACGGTTCTTCGACGCATACAAGGCCAGCAAATTCAGAAGCGTAGCACTGAATTGCTCTGTACCACCGCCTTGGAGGAACAGCACCGCGTACTCCTGTGGGATATCCAGCAACGTACGAAGATCAGCCTCCGCCTGGCTCAAAAGCTTCTTAAAGGTCGACGAGCGGTGGCTGAGCTCTGTAACGCCCATGCCTGTGCCTTCATAATCAACAATACCCTTCGAAGCCTCTAGCAGCACCGATGTAGGCAACATCGATGGACCAGCGCCCAGATTGATGGTACGTTCACGAGCTTCTGTTGTGCTCATCGTGTGTGAATCGTGCGCAGTCCTCCGACACACGCCACGATCCTCGGTCTGTGTGTGACTCGCGCAAATTTAGTCAGCCTCCATGGACAATGGGAAGGCGGGGGACGACGAGGCACCGCAACCATCGCCCGTGATGTCCCAGTTCGAGGACCTGGAGGCGATCACGGAACCCACCCCAGAGCCAAGTACATCAGCCCTTCGTCATGACAACCCAAATAGGGAACTATCGCCCGAACCTGATCAGGACCTAAATACATCGCGTGGTACACATCAGGTATGGCTGGTCAAGGTCCCCAAGTTCCTCATCGATGGTTGGAGTCGCATACAGCAGGATGATCTACGGCTAGGCACTGTACGCGTGTATGAGTACGTACACCAAATACTTACCGACAGTCCCGATGAAAGCGGCCAGCAGAAGATGGAGCTGCTTCTTCCCGAGGCACCTTTGCCCGCCATTCCTGTGGAAGACCTTTCTGCGCGTGCGGAATTTGCGAATATTCCGCGTCATTATGATATGCGTCTGACATCTACGACGCAAGAAACGTACGAGAAAAATCTGTATGCCTTCCAAGAAGAAGTATTGGACGACGACGATGTGGCCAGCGAGCTTGGCGTAGATGAGGATATCGTGATGAACGATCTGTCCGACTCCAAGCGCCCACGATCGTCCGGACCTGCACGCTTATCGACCAAGCGGAAAAGACTTACCTATCTGACAGGTACTGTCACAAACGAAACAGCCCTCCAGCCTCAGCGTACGACAACACAGACGACTGCTGATTCCAAAAATCTGGTAAAGGGTGGCGTTTCGCGGTCGCTTCTTACGCCCGAATATCGTGAAATTCTTCGTCAGCGTCGCATGGACGCCTCGAAGCCCAAGCGCACTGTTATAATGATGGACGATATGGACGCTGGTAGCAACAACATGCTGGCCGCTGGTGTCGGCAAAGGCCATATTAAAAACCGCGCAGCCAACATTGTCATGGCTGCGTCGCAAGCTCGGTCCAAAGAAGCACCCGAAAAGTTTGCTCGTATGCCACGCAACGAACTCTTGGATCTATTGTTCAGCCTGTTTGATCGCTACAAGCACTGGTCGCTTAAGCGTCTTCGTGAAGAAACGCAGCAACCGTACGTGTACCTTCGCGAAGTGCTTGCCTCCATCGCGGACCAGCATCACAATGGTCCCTATGCCGGCTCCTGGAGCTTGAAGCGTGAATACAGTGAAGGTCAGCGTACCTCTACAAGCACCACTGCTACGGGTGGAACATCAAGCATCAACAAAGATGCACCGAAAGAGGACTTTGACGATGTTGTATAAACTCATTTACATAGGGGCATTGTACTATTCTACATGATCATATTGCAACCAGGGACTGGTGTCGTACTGGTACAATCCTATCGTCGCACGGCCGCTTCGGACGAAAAGCTCCATCTCATGAGCAAGGTGCCTTGCTTCGTCTTCACTACCGATCCAGTCTGTCAGCATCTCAATCATTTCATCCGATCGAATGTCTGTGTGTGAGAGCATGGCGGGTATATAGTACATCAGAAATTCTCTGTCCAAATGAGGCCACACTTGCAATTCGCGCTGCAAAAACGTGGACAAGAGGCGAGCCAATGCTGGGTTCTTCCGGAAGCCCATGGGCCCTGGATAAGGACGATACTTCGTGTACCGATTGGAAGGCACATGCTTTGCATACAAATGATGTCGGTATACATGCCGGCGAAACAACAACGCATTGCGTTGGCAGATACGGTTGCGACGTTCTTCACGACGACGTATTCTTTGCCTTCGCTCCTCGGGAGTCTCCGAAGGCGGCTCAGCCTGTTCTTCCTCACTGTCTTCTGGAATGTCCTGCTGCGTAGCAGGTACATGCGCTGGAGTCTTGTCATCCACTGTATGCACCAGATACTGATGCAGCTTAGGATCCAATGCATGGAGAATATAAGGTCCTACTGGGGTCTTGCATAGCGGGCATCTCTGCTCCTCCTTTTGTGTGTGAAACCATGTGAGAACGCATTCAAAGCAGCTACTGGTAAGTCTTCCACAATACATACAAGCACGAGTGAAAGCATCGAGGAAGCACGCATCTGTCGTGGATGGGCTCTAAACAAATTGCGCAAGATTCTTCCGCATCGTGATCAGCCGGCGGCATATCTTACGCTGTCATCACTCCACGGTCAGTGTCAAAGCGCCGCCGCGCCGCCACCTTCGAACTCAGAGAAAGAAATCGCTCGCTTACTAAAACATACACACTCAAAATATATCGACATAACCATTTATATTACCATAGTTGGGATATCTCTACGAATCATTTTCATATCAACGGAGCATTTAGTCGATCTCCTCAACCTGAGGGCCATCATCGCCACCAGCGCCCGGAGCAGCACCGTCAGCACCCGGGAAGCCACCGGCACCCGGAGCACCGCCAGCAGCGCCGTACGCCTTCTGCATAATCGGGTTGGCAATACCCTCAAGCTCCTTCTGCTTGTCGTTGTACTCGTCAATCGAGCCCTCCTGGGTGTTGTCGAGCCACTCAATGGTCTCGCTAATTGCCTTCTGGAGGGTCTCCTTGTCCGAAGCGTCAAGCTTGCTAGCAAAGGCCTCCTCGTTGAGCGAGTTGCGGAGGTTGTAAGCGTACGACTCCAGACCGTTCTTAGCCTTGATACGCTCAGCCGCAGCCTCGTCCTCGGCCTTGTACTTCTCAGCGTCCGACACCATGCGCTCAATCTCTTCCTTCGAGAGACGGCCCTTGTCGTTGGTGATGGTGATCTTCTCCGAGCGACCAGTGGTCTTGTCGGCAGCCGACACGTTCAGGATACCGTTGGCGTCCACATCGAAGGTAACCTCGATCTGAGGCACACCACGGGGAGCCGGCGGGATACCCGAGAGCTCGAACTTACCGAGGAGGTTGTTGTCCTTGGTGCGGGCACGCTCACCCTCGAACACCTGAATCAACACACCAGGCTGGTTGTCGGCGTAAGTCGAGAAGATCTCCGACTTCTTGGTCGGCACAGTCGTGTTGCGCTTGATGAGCGGGGTGAAGACACCACCAGCAGTCTCGATACCCATCGAAAGAGGGGCAACGTCGAGAAGCAGGAGGTCCTGAGTCTTCTCCGACGTGTCACCCGACAGAATGGCAGCCTGGACGGCGGCACCGTAGGCAACGGCCTCGTCAGGGTTGATCGACTTGTTCGGCTCACGGCCGTTGAAGAAGTCGCGGAGCAGCTTCTGCACACGCGGGATACGGGTCGAACCACCGACCAGAACGATTTCGTGGACCGAGCCCTTGTCAATCTTGGCGTCACGCAGCACCTTCTCAACCGGGTCAATAGTGTGCGAGAAGAGGTCACCACAGAGCTCCTCGAAGCGGGCACGGGTGATCGAAGTGTAGAAGTCAATACCCTCAAAGAGCGAGTCAATCTCAATGGTGGTCTGAGCAGCCGACGAGAGAGTGCGCTTAGCACGCTCCGAGGCAGTGCGGAGACGACGCAGCGCACGAGCGTTGGTCGTCAGATCCTTCTTGTTCTTGCGCTTGAACTCCTGGACGAAGTGGTTCACGAGGCGGTTGTCAAAGTCCTCACCACCCAAGTGCGTGTCACCGGCAGTGGCCTTAACTTCGAAGATACCCTCCTCAATGGTGAGGAGCGACACATCGAAAGTACCACCACCCAAGTCGAAGATGAGTACGTTCTTCTCCTTGTCGTCCTTCTTGTCGAGACCGTACGCAATAGCGGCAGCGGTCGGCTCGTTGATGATACGCATGACGTTCAGACCAGCAATAACACCAGCGTCCTTGGTAGCCTGACGCTGCGAGTCGTTGAAGTAGGCAGGGACAGTGACGACGGCGTCCTTGACGTCCGAGCCAAGGTAAGCCTCAGCGGTCTCACGCATCTTCAGCAGGACCATCGAGGAGATCTCCTCAGGCGTGAAGATCTTCTCCTCACCCTTGTATTCCACCTTGATGACAGGCTTGCCACTGCGGTCAATGACCGAGAATGGCCAGTGCTTCATGTCCGACTGGACCTCAGCGTCGGCGAACTTGCGGCCAATAAGACGCTTGGCGTCGAAGACAGTGTTGTGGGGGTTCATGGCCACCTGGTTCTTGGCGGCGTCTCCGATCAGACGCTCGGTGTCGGTGAAGGCAACGTACGACGGGGTCGTGCGGTTACCCTGGTCATTGGCAATGACCTCGACACGGTCGTTCTGCCAGACGGCCACACACGAGTAGGTGGTACCCAAATCAATACCAACAGCTTTTCCCATTATTATTAGATGTTGTGAAGGAAGAGAAACTTAGACGGGATCCCACTTTTATAGTATTGCCGTCTTCTTTTGCCTCATTCACTGGACTCTAGCTGGCCATACGAGCACCCAGTAGAATGCCCAAGAAACTTTCGCTTTTGTTCGGTATCCTTCTGCGCCACTCCACATTATCCATGTGGAAGAGAGTCGAAATGATTCCAAAGATTTCTCCATGAGTAAGCATGAATAAGCATGACAAGCTTGAAGGCCAAGTCTCGTGGACCCTGGCGGGCGGGGCCTGTGCGGGGCAATTTTGAGAAGGGACCTGAGCTTATTTGGCATGGCGATGGAGAAACTCGGGTGACATTTTGCCCTACCTGTATCTATTTTCGAGAAAGGCGCAAAGCACCTGCCAAAGCATCACGTTGCTGAGCCAACCATGAGGTGTTCGAAGGTCGAAGAGTCTCAGGAAGACTAGGCGGCGGCGGAGCTCCTTCGGTATTGGGCCGGATGTGAGCAATATCAGACCAGCTTGTTTGAGAGTATAATTGTGAGCTCATTTTTTGGAAGGCAGAGGCCATGAGGCGTTGTTCTTGTCGAAGTGCATCGAGTTCACGCTGTATATAAGCCATATGCAAGGGATTTACATACCAGAAGATCCGCATTTGTCATGGCTGATTCCTTGTGCTGTTGCTTTAGGTAAGTAGGTATATACATACCTCGACAGTCTGGTCCGAGCAGGCTTGCAAGCGCTGAATCACCACATCATCCATTTGGAATGACTCACTGAGCAAGTCACGTACAGCCTTCATGTCTTTCCCGACGGACTTGTTCCCATCCTTGGACCACTTCTTTTCCAGCTTGTTTAGCAGATTCAGAGCTTCCGTCTCTTTAGACTTGGAATTGTTGCGCATTGCAACAATTTCGGCCTGCACATCAGCAAAGCTAGCCTCAGATTTATCATGAGAGCCAGACACAGAGGATGTAGTAGAATCTAAGCGGTCCATCAATGACTTGTTCTCCAACTCCAACTGCGTAACCTTTGCTTGCAGCTCCGTCATGGCATCTGTCGAAGAGAGCGCATCCAGATCCGGTCGGGGTAGCCCATCTTGTTCTAACGTATGAACACGTTCTAACAAGCTCGTAAGCTGATCTTTATCGGCCTGTTTCTCCTCTTGCAAAACCTTGAAGTCTGTTTGCAGAGTGGAATGCTTCTTTTCCAACTGAGAGTACTTCTTCTCCCACTCGTCGATTTTCTGTTCCAGCTTCTGACGCTCTGCTTTGAGCTTATCTGTAAGCTCGGAAACATAACGGTCTTTTTTCTCTGTACTCTTGGAGTTGGAATGAGCTTGACTCTTCTCAAGCTCCTTTACTTGTCTTTTCAGTTCTGCTGCCTCGGCAGCACGTTCACGGAGCTTCTCTAGTGTCTTCTCTTGCTTTTTAGACTGGTCCACAATCTGGCGCCATTCATCAAGCTGATCACGCATAGTATCCCGTTCCTTTTCGACTTCACGAAGGGATGCATTAGACGCTGCCAACTCATCACGCTCTTTCGTCAAACGCTCGATATCAGTTTCGAATTGAGCAAGTTGGTCTTGACGCTCCGCGGAACGTCTCTTCTCCTCAGCAAGTTCTTTCTCAAGATACTCAGTGTTTCCTGATGTGTGATTCACCACGCCGGATACTTCCGTCTCGTCTGTCGTGGGGGCCTCTGTGGATGTGGTATCAGACATAATGTTTTCCACCACGGCTTTCATAACAACTTGCTGATCCACAGGAAGATTCTGCATGGCTGAGACATGTTGATCATTGTCGTCTGTTTTAAGCACAATATCAACAACAAGACGCAGTACTTTTAGGAGCTCATCGTAGTTCAATGGTTTCTTTTTCGATGCAGATTTGACGTCGATCACTGGAAACTGATCTTCGTCCATACCCAAGACAGAGGAATAGCTAAAAATAAGTAGCCAAAGTAACGTACTATAGTTGCATCTGCTTGCATAGTGCATCCATAGAGCATCTCCATGGAATGGAAAAGTGGGAATCATCACTAGAAGAGGTAAGAGAGAATTGCGATAACGTACACATTGCTGAGGACTTCAAGAAGGGCAGCTCCATCACATAGATCACTTGCGTCATGCACCTTTCTCTTCTTTACAAGTGCTTCAACCCAGGAAGTGATAGCGGACACTTGCTCGCGACTCGCAGGACCTTTCTCTGCTGCCATAGTGTCCAAGCCGACGCCAGGCACCAACCGCAAGGCGAGGGAGTCAGGTGGAGGCTGGACGGGTTTGTGGAGAGTTGTTCGACTTGGTAGGCGCCCGGGCGACGGTCGTTAACGTTTGACATTACCAGCGAAGCTATGTCTGCCGCCGAGGGCGATGTGGCCTCACGCCTGTGGTCCGTAGTGCAGGAACTCTCTGCACAAATATCCTCGAATAAGGAGGAGATGGAGAGCCTACGCGAACAGCTTCATTCGCTGCAAGGACAAGCGGTCCATGAGCGGACAGGCTTTGCCTTGCGGCGCTTCAATGTCGACCTATCGCAGGAGGAGTTTTTGTCGCAAATTGAACGGCTCAATACTCAATTGGCTACAGAAAATACAAAACTTGCTCACGAAACCAAGCAGCTGGGTATGTTATTGCGCGAATATGAGACTACGCTGGAGACTGTCATGGGCAAATTCCGAGCGTTTTCCTATGCAGCACAACAGCATAGCCTCGACTTAACCGCGTACTATGAGAACCGTCTTAATCAGATGAAATCAGAACGAGATACGCATGCTGCCAAAGACGACAAAGTTCTTCACGATATTTGTGCGAATCTTGGCTCGCTAGTTCGAAGCGCTATGATGTCATTGGATGGCGACGAATCACCTCAGGATGTGCTGGAGACCAAGACGGAGCTTGAGAGGCTACGTCAAGAAAACGATATTTTGCGTTCTATGCTAGGTATAGAGCATGACCACCCCACATCTGAACATGACGATGACCGCCTGAGTTTAACGAACCTGTCTGTGGCTCGGACGCACGTGGCGAACGCAGTCGACGCCAACGTAACGGCGGCCGCGCCAGTGGATGCGATTGATGCTGGTGTACCAGCCAATGATACAGCAGTGGCATAACTTGTATGTGTATGTATGTATTCTATAAAATGTAGGCAAGCAGAGATTGCTTATTTGCGGATGTACAAGTAGTCCAGCGCGCGCAGGCAGCGTAGAAACTCGGCCTGCGCACTAGTAGGACTAGCTAGTTTGGCCAGTGGCTCCGAAGACGTGTGCAGCGTAGGTGGGGGAGGAGGAGGAGGGCGAATGGACAGTTCCTGACCTTGGTCATCGTCCGTTTCCTGTTCGGGAGGTGGCGGCGGCAAGGACTGGATTAAAGCATCCAAACTGTTCACAAGTGAGTGAGATGCCTTGGTAGCTGCATTTTGCAGCGCTTCGCTGATGGCCTCCCTACCACCCGGCATGTGCGACAAATGGGAAGCGACGCCCAGTGTGTGTTGGAAAGCTTTGGAGGACATGGGGGTATGCAGTGGCTTAACAATGGCAGCCATTCGTTCTGCGGGGATAGCTGCAATTTCTACGCCCTCATACGGCTCGCCCAACACCACGGTAGAGGACGAGGCACCATCAGCATCCTTACGAATGTACGTCAGCGGCTTGGTCACCGAGTGCAAAAGGGCCACTAGTGCTTGCACAAGCGGAGCATGAGAAAGGATAGCATCTTTCTCCAATAGGCTTAGCAGCACATAGACAGGCACACGTTTCGCCCCTTTTTTCTGCTTATCTTCGCGCAGGCAGTATAGGGCCGTTTGCGAATGAGCATGCGCAAGATGAGAGAGGGTTTCCAGACTGCGCGATGCCAGCAAATGAGGTGCCTCTTCGCCCATGGGCGTCAAGGGCGTGGGTAGCGTAGGCAGCAGTCCAGAGGCAGAGGGTGTGGGCGTGGTAGGTGGACGACGAGGCGTGCCTCGCTGAGGAGTATGCCTGGATGCCTTGCTGCTCACGGCAGCAAATGAGCGATCCACGGCGCTCGTACTGTGGGTACTTTCCACCAATACCATGAGAAGCAGCTGCATAAGGTCAGCTCGCGTACGTGCGTTCTCGCACAGATGCGCTAGCACCTTGTGCAAAAGAGATGAGCGCGAACTGAGCGAAGGGAAGTAGAGCAAGCGGACCAAGGAGGCCAAGCCAGCGCGATCCAACAATTGGATGGCTTCGCGTGGCTGCGCGTGCGTCTCCTGTGCATTTTCGCGGTCTTGCGATGGGTTGGCCGACGACGACTGCGATTCAGGCTGTGTCGTTGCAGATCCGGCCGTTGGCTCGTCCACCCGTTGCAGCTCGGCACGCAGGCTCCGTGGTAGCACTTCCAAGAAGTCACGTGCAAGGCCTTGCGAGCCCCGTGCGAGCCGAGCGCCGAGCTGCTGGCTAAGAATAGCTTCTTCGCGCAGTTCCTCAGGGAGGGCTTCCAGGAACGTGGGGTCAATATCAGACTCTGGCAGCTCTACACTTGGTCCAAACAGCCTGCTTGTGACGCTCTCACGCAACGTACGTGGCGGCGTATTGCTTTCATAGTCTTCCATCGCTTCGAGCTTGCGCTTTGAGTCTGAGGCGGATCGCTGCGCAACACTGGTCGAAGTGTCGCGCATGCGCTTTTCGTAAGCGGGCAGCAGACGGTGCACCAATTGTGTGCGAAGTGCTGAGCCCAATTCCGCAGCTGCATTGCCCAGCAGGACATGCGCTTCTTCGCCACGTCGCGCTTCGGTGGACAATGGCGTAAAGCGTTGCGACTCGGCCACGACATCAACCGATGCAGGGGCTTCTGCCTCTGGTGCATTGGGCGCAGGCGGGTCTGCCGCCGAAGGATCGGAGGAGGCAGGTACCATGTTGATATCACCTCCAATGTTCGCGATCTGCATACGTGGCGTGCCATGCCCGTGATCCAGCTCAATGCGGATGCTAGCGTCTGCGCCGTTGGGCATATTTCGCTGCAAGAACATCTCAAGGAACTGCATTGTGCCACCGCCCATGAGCGCCTCTACAGAGCGAGCCCATGTGGGTCCATCGCCGTCGGAGGACGAAGGCTGGTCGTCCACTAGGAGGGGATGGAAGCCAGCATCTTGGTCGTGTGTCGTAGGCCGCGATGATGTGTGTGATGCACGTGCAGGCGCTGGCGTCTCTGACGACGGCAGGGCGAAGAACGTAGGTGGCCCATTCGCGGGGCCAGTACGACGAGACGAGCGTGGGAGTTGCGTCCACGACCAGTTCGCACCGAATCGGTCGTCGTGGCTACGCGATGGCCACCGCAGGTCTTCCGACATATCGAGGGGCCGAATCGGGCCCGGGCCCAACTCATCGCCCGAATCACCTTCATCGTCTATGCCATCATGATCGTCCATCTCGTCGTCTTGACCGCCCTCCATATCATCTAGAGCCTCCAAAATCTCGTCGACGCCACCACCATTGTTAGCATCCACCTCAATATCACCCTCATCATCGACAACATAGTCATAGTCATGCTCATCGAGCGACAAGGCATCCCCCGACTCTTCGTCCCAGGGCAGTTCTGAGTCGTACAAGTCGTCTTCATGCAAGTCATCCATGTCGTGATCATCTTCATCGATATCGTCCACATCAACACTGTCCGACTCTGCGCCCGAATCGTCTTCTTCCATCACTTCCACAACATGTGTCGAGTCACCATCTAGACCTTCCGCGTCGGTACTTAACTCACTTTCTTCTTCACTCACATACTCCTCCATCTCCATCTCATCTTCATCGTCCATATCGTCGCTGAGGTCGTCTTCATCATACGCGCCCTGCTCCATTTCACCGGTATGCATGCCTAGAGACGAGTTGCGGTAAAAGTCGGGCGCCGGCATGTCGTCTTCGTCACCCTCCTCGTAGGAGTCGTCAACCAGGCCATCGCTAGACATGACGGATGGCGAGGACGGCGTATCCGCATTGACCGATGGCTCGCGGGCACGCGCACTACGTCGATCAGCCTTGGCGACTTTGGCCGACATCTTTGTCAGCTGCTCCAGCGGACGAAGCACAACATCCACGAGTGAACGCACAGACGGAGTATGCACGTCCAAATCTGCCAGTACTTGCGTGAGTAGCGGCACAAAGTTTTTTTCCAGCATAGTCTTGGCAATGTGCAGAACCACAGGCGCCCGCTTCATCGCATTCGACCCCGCTTGCGGCTGCGCGGTAAGCAATCGATGGCACAGATCACTCAGCGCATACATGCGTCCATACCGAATTTCAACGGCCTCCGATGAGAGCAACGCATCGCGGAGCGCCTTGTGCAGTGCATCCAGGAGCGCCTTGCGTACACCAATCAAGGCCTCAGGCACACGCATCGCATCCGTGGAGGGCTCAGGGTCGGCGGCCAAGGCCACTAGCAACGACATGGCCCAGTTGGATTCGGCCATGCGCTTTCGTAGCTCCTCGGCGTCGTACGCTTGAAGAAAGCCAACAGGCACAATCTCTTGCAACAGATAGGTCAACACAGGCACGCCCGTAGGCAGAGTGCATTGCAGCAGGCCGACCTTGCTTCCCATGTACGAAGATACGAGCTCCATTGAGCATTGTAGCAAGAAGTAGGCATACGCATCGCGTGCATCCGCCTCCGACATCACCACGTCGTTGGTCCCGCTAGGCGCCTCAGAAGGCTGTGCCTCCCCCGACAAGGCACCATACAACTCATGCCATAGTGCCTGAATCACATCCACTCGCATTCTCTCCGCCTCCTGTGGCTCCGTTGGGAGGGTAGCGTTTTGCAGTAATCGCACAGGTACCTGCGTCCGTTCTTTATCGTATTCGACCAGCTCCAATTGGCACGAAGCAGCCTCGATAAATACGGTGGGCTGGCGAAGTACTGTGTAGCTCAGCGATTTAAGCAAGTTGGCTACATCCGCTGAGCGTGTACGGCCAGACGAGGGCTGCATCCATGCGTGTACACGCTTGGCCATAGCCGGGAGGAGAGCGCCGCCCGCTTCCGAGATGTGGCGCAGGATCATCACGACGAGGCGTTGGTATGCCGTCAAGGCAGCAAAGCGACGCGTGCACAAGACTTGCAGGAGCGTACGCACGCCATTATCGCGCGCCCATGCTTGCGCCGTCGCATCGTCGCGTGTGAGCAAGACCAGGGCCCGGCACACTGCCAAAACAATGCTTGGCGAATGTTGTGAGGCGGATTGGAGGATGACACGCGCCGGCGAAAGAAGACGTGTGCGTGCCATGTGGAGGAACGCCAGGCGATCGTCCGGCAGAATGGACGGTGTCGGGGTCTCGTCCGGGACCTCGGCCAACCCCAGCATCCCACTCAGGGCAATCCACGCCGAGGCAAGCCAGGTCGGCGATGCAGAGAGGGGCGATGTCGCAGTGTACGCTTCGATCCATGCGCAAAGACGCTCGCCCAGCGCTGGCATGGTCGACCATGGCAAGGATAGAGAAATGCGGTCAAACGTGAGAAGAAGCGCTAGCAAATGCAAACGCATAGGGGTATGCGCATCGTTGGCCTGCATCGGCACGCGATCCACCACGGAGGCCCAGAGTACAGGCAAACGCTCCTTGTCTTGCACAACGTAGCCGAACACATGCTTAGCGTCAAACACCAAGGGCTCGTGTGTATCTGCCAGCTCTAATAGTCGTGGGAAGAACTGAGGTCGGAACGCAGTCCGCTCCGCATCGAGATCGGCCTTGTGAGGCGACTCGGCAAGCGCGCGAGGCGTTGTTCGTTCGGGCGCAGGCGGTTGTGCCTCTGCCTCGACCGGTGCCTCTGCAGCAGGCGTTTCCTGCGTCTCACCTTGAGGTTCACTAGGGGCCGTCGGCTCATCCGGCTCATCTTCGAGCTCAGGATGTGTGAAAATGTACTCGGTGGCCGCGCTGATGTTGTTGTGACACCGCTGCAAGGCGCGCCGCGCTGCGCCACGTGGGAATCCCATCTCCACCAACTGGCTGAGACGCGTTTCGTCGACAGGGGGCGTCGACGAAGGCAAAGCGCGAGGCCCACTACCTTGGTTGGGCAGCGAGACCCCGGCGAGTGTCGCGGCCAAGGCTGAAGGAAGATCACTCACGGCAGGTTCGCTTCGTGGCAGTGGTGGCGTTTCACGGTCGGCTTGAAGTATAAGGCCAAGCACTTGGACCAACAGGCGAATGGTGGTCAATGGCAGCGTAGGCAGCCACGCTTCCATCCACATCCACGAGCACATTCGCAGGGCGGTACGACGCACGTCCACAAGCAGCACATAGGGCTGCACGCCGTCGGCGGGCGAGTGCGATGGCTGCGGTGCATCCAACAAAGGCCGCGCTTGGACCAAGCGTACCAGCAAGTCAAAGTAAGCTCGAATGGCATTGATTGCATGGGCCTTGGCGCTCATGCCTACCTCAGTTGCGTCGTCGGAGGGAGGCTGCGTGAACAAGGGCACCATGGCACGCACATGCGACGACATGGTATCCAAGGCGCCTTGCTCCATACATGCCTGCAGCAAGAGGGTATGCACTTGCGACGATGACAAGGAACGTTTGTCGTACAGCAAATGCGCAGAGACCAGACTAAGGTAGGTATGCTCGGCCCATGCATCGGAATCCGCCACAGCAGGCCGCAGGGTCGACCATGCCTGCATCATCTGCGCGAGTGTATGGGCCGTGTTTGTGGCCACATGCCAGTACTCGGTATCCATTGTGCGACGAGGCACACAGAGTCGCGCAACGACACCCAGCAAGCCGACCAGCGCAGCAGCTAAACGGTCTGCCATGTATACCACAGGATAGACACTTGGATGTGTCGCCTGCGAACCTAGGGCGGCATGCAATTGCATCGATTCCCAGGCAACACAGCGCAGCAATTCGCCCAGCTGCGTAAGTGTAGTGAGGTCCCCCCCTTCCTGTAACGCACTGAGTAGCGCCATAGGAATTTTGGAGCCGGCCTGCGCAAGCGTAAAGGTCTGGTGGAATGCCTGGCACAAATCCGAAAGAAGATGGACACGTGTGTGCAGACGCACCAACATACGGAACGAGGCAGGTGTGCCATGATCCAACAAAGCCAGCCAATCCGCCTCCCATTCGAGCATCGAATGTTGCAATTGCTGTAGGAGAGCATGCATCACAGAGCTGGGACTTTCTTCGACCATCGTGCGCAGTAAGACGACCGTAGAGTCGGCTGTCTGCGTCGCTGGAAACGTGTACGCAATGCACGGCGTACTTTGGAATGCCAACAAACGCATCAAGCCCCCGCGACGCATAAAGTCGCGGCACAGCGCGGCATTGCGAAATAGGCCTTCCAGAAAGCGGCACAATACATCAAACGACTGCAACGGCTCGTTCACGTCGCCTGGCACAGCAGGTGGTACGCTGTGGTCCTGTTCCCGCAATGTGACCAGCGAGGTAGCAATACGCTTCGGCGCTAGCGTCAACGAAGGCTCGCGTGGTGGCAGTACATACAAGCTCCGGGCGTCCGCGGGCTCGGCGGGCGGCTGAAACGTTCGGCCTGCCTCCACAATACGATCCACGACACGCACGAGCGCGTCCAGCACACTATCCTGGAACGTGGGATGGTGGCGTAGGAGCTCGTCCATGGACGCGCCTAGGACATTAGCATTATCGCGGTCCAGCAAGATACGATGGAACCGGGCATCGTCCAACACACGCAGCAGAGATGGGACAATCGGCTTGGCTTGGACCAGACGCAAGCCAGTTTCGTTGAGGCACAAGGCGCCAAGGGCTGTCGTGATGGCCGTAAGCAACTCGACGTTGGGCTCCATGTCCGCCTCCAGCGCACTAAGGAACGCTTCCGGCAGGCCTTGCTCTTGCACGGTCGTCAGCTGTGTCGGCTCATTGTGGACCAATGTGGCCATAATGGTCACGGCCTGTGCCAGCACTGGCGAGCCAAACACATGAGGATGCTCGAAAATCGTGCGTAGGGCGGGCAACATCGGCGAGTCAATCACAGTACGCAGCCCTTCGGCCGTTCCCGCAGTGGTCATCAGATGGTAAAACAACCGGAAGAGCTGGCGCAGTACATGCAAACGTCCGTAGCGAACAGGCCCCGTCGCTTCGCAGTCTTGCTTCACTTGCACAGAGATACGCAAAATCAGGGCATCCACACCGTGCACGGCCGTGAATTGCTGGAAGGCCGGTGGATAGGCATACATGGCATTGTCCAGCAGGCCAATGGCACGCGCACACGTACGATGGACGAGGGCATTCTGCTCGGACGAGAGGCATGCTATCTCGACGAGCTGCGGAATGAGGCCAGCGCCGACGACCATACTGCTTCCTGACACCGTCGTAGTCAAATTGGCTACAAGGGTAATCAGCGCATCGATAAAGGCGTCGGCATGCGTCGACAAGGGCGGCGTCGGCGCGTCGGCCATCGCCGCAAGACTCTCTGTCATCGACCGCAAGCGCTGGAGAAGCAGGCCATGACTGACCGATGCATTGACCGCCGTCAACACTTCGCTTAGACGCACACGGAAGTGCCCAAACGAGTCAAGAGCATACAACGCGGCACTTGCCACCCAATCGTTGGCCGGCTCTGTGGGGACGACCAAAGCCGCTGTACGTGGCACTAAGCTAGGCTCGACCAAGAACAGACGCGCATTGGCCATGGATTCGGGCGCCGTATGCGCGAAGCATGCAATGGCAAGCAAACGGCACACCAGCGTTTGGCATCGCGAGGTTGTGTCGCGACAGGCCATGGCCACACGAATTTTGTGGAAGAGCTCGAATCGCTCCTCCTCTGATAAGGTCATCGCATCCGGGGTAGCATGCACAATCTCACCGGGAGTTCGTGGATCGGTATCAAGGTGCGAGACTTGCACACGCAAAAGTCCTGGCGCCTCACCCGAGGTGGGCGCCTTGGCCGGTGTTGAAGGCGTGGTGGTCGGCGAGCCCGGTGGCGCTGCAGAAGGCGCGCGGTAGCTGAGAATATGTACGCTGTGCAAGGACGAAGGCATGACGGCTTGTTCAGCCGCAAGATCGGACATATCAAGACCGATTTCGCGCGGTGGCCACGCAGTGGCTAATACAGCCAAGCGCGACGTAGAAATGGCCCAGTCATGCCGTCCGGAGCCGCTATGTTGCTGGGCAGGCCGCAAAAGGAGGTACAGCAGCGCTTCAAGAACCTCTTGATCAAAAGTGCCCAGCAATCGATTGAGATGCTCATAGGACGCATACAGCTTACGGTTCATGCAGTTTTCCAGCAAAATCCGGGTGAAGCGCAAGATCGAGAGCAGCAGCGCCCGGTCTTCGCTCACAAACGGTGTCTTTTGTACAGGCTCGAGTCTATCTGGCGTGCAGATGCGCTCCAGCTCAGTATCGAGACGATTGAGGGCAGGCACCCACGTGTACAAGTCGCCACGCGGCCATTCCCACGACTCGATCTCGGCGAGGAGCGGCGCAAGGGAGGTCCCTGGCGCATCCGCAATCCGAGCCACGAGGGCAAGCACGTCGGCACTGGCCTCCGGCTTGCGCTTCGGGGTTTTGGTGATCTTCATGCGCTCACCACACTCTTCGTCGTAGACGCCAGGTCCGTTCCACTTGTCTTGCGGCCGTCCACGTCCTCGGCGTGCATGTCACGTGAAGATCACTCCTCCACGAAGATACGTACGTGGCAGATCCGTGCACCGTGGCGGCCAAGAGCGTATGGCATGCACCCAGTGGGCCCAGCCTACGGCCTGGGCCACCTATGCGCCACCTTCCCTAGCCACGGATGGATCCAGCACAGCATGGCTCGAGTTTTGCGAAGATATACTACGCCGCCGATCTACGTCTCTCTCCCTGTCTTTCACCACAGTGTATCAATGGCTAAGTGACCAAGTGCGGCAAGGGGTACCGCCATCGACATTATGGACGGCACTGGATACAAGGATGCGGCGTGTATGGACAGACATTCTTACTTCGCTGTCTGTGGATGTTCATACGTCGCACGGCCTACAAAGGCTTTGCGAAGAGTGGACAGAGCTGGAGCAGACATGTGTTCGCCTATATGATCTGCTCACACCGCTCCTTCATGCTGACCATGATCGTCTATCGTGGCACGACACATGCCTGGCCTGGTGGGCGCATGGCTGTGATCGGATTCATGCACGACGTGCGAGTGCACAAGCACTGTACCAACTGGCGGACGAGGCACGTCAGGGTCGCCTGCCTTCCGACGTATGGCGTCGTACGCTCCTGTGCGTACGTGCATGGAACTGGCCGCTCGATGCAGTGGAAACGCAGGCCCAGTCATTTTATACGTCCCACGGACCAGGTGACATGGTCGATGCACCCTTCCTATGCCGCGCTGCTCAGTGGCTGGCGAACGAGGAAGCCTGGCAGGCGTGGATGCCGTCCTCGCAAGCGCCGGCGCTACTTCTGCATACGCTTGTGGACGCACACTTGAAAGCGTATGAGCAAGGGTTTACGACGCTCCTTGCGCATCCGGCCGCCATGCAGGCATGGTATACGCTTCTTACGGCGGCCCAACAACATGCATGGATGCGCCATGTCGTACGTACGCAGATGGAGAAGCACGTATGGCATCTTCTCACGGCATCGACCGATCTTATGTGTACATCCCTGTTGACCTGCTGGCAGATTTGGCAAGCTCGCTGGGCCGATAGTTTGGATCAGGATGCAACATTGCAAGCGGCGATGCGTGATGCTATGGAGGCGGCGCTACCCGCTTATGCGCCTACGGTAGCTACGCAGCTCACGCACAACCTCGATACATACCTACGGCGTGTGACCACTTCCTACGAGGCGCACATCGATACGGCTATGCATCTCTTCCGATGTTTGCCGGACAAGGATGCATGGGAAGAAACGTATCGCAGAACATTGGCGGATCGCTTACTTCATGACCAAGCCCGCTCCTTGGACGCGGAGCGGTACGTTGTCACGCAGCTCAAGCATATATGTGGTCCCTTTTACACCCGCAAGCTCGATACAATGCTCACAGACATGGAGCTAAGTGCGCAATGGCAGCAGGCCTTTGCAGAGCGGCGCACAGCGCCCTCCTCGCTGCACGTTCAGGTGCTTACCCAAGCACACTGGCCGTCGATACCCTGCACGCCTATGGCATTGCCACCATACATGCAAGAAGCCTTGACAGAGTATGAAGCCATGTACCAAGCCGCACATACGGGGCGCACACTGCAGTGGTGTCATGATTTAGGCACGCTTACGCTCCAAACCAAGTGGGACGATACTGTGGTTTATGTGCATGGATCGACATGGCAAGCGGCCATTCTTCTCTGCTTCAATGCGAGAACAGAATGCACAGGCACACACTTGCAAACGACGACACAGCTTCCGTGGCCTGTGTTGGAATCAACACTGCAGACCTTTCTCCGTATGTCTACACCTCTGCTATCCAAGACACCTGCCGACACAACGATGCGGCCGGCAGATACGTTTCGACTTACGACGCATCTGCCTACCAAGCGGCGGCATATCCGTCTTCCGTCCCCCCACACGCATCCATCTGCGATGCCGATCTCGACGACAACTGCGACGCCTACATTGGTCGATGTGGATATGGTGCTGCAAGCGGCGATCATGCGTATCCTGAAAGCATCAAAGCGCGCATCGCATGCTACGCTAGTGTCTCGTGTTATCGAGGCCGTGCAAGAGAAGGTCACAGCCACGCCTTCTGATGTGAAAAAGGCCATCGAAAAGCTTATGGACAAGGTATGTGTCTACGACGACTGACCGCAGGACTTTCTGGAGCGAGTGGAAGACCATCCTGATTTGTATCAATATGTAGCCTAACTAGGGATGAGATTTGGGCTGGACGAGCCCAGCCAGCATGTCGAACGAGTTGCCATCCGGCTGCACATCCACAGCGCCAGCGACATGTGCGCCATGCCAGGCCGCCTCGTCGCGTGAACGGATCCAGGACGAAGTAGGCACAGTGCGCAGCAAGCCGGTATGACTCGTAATGCCCACGATACGCATCGGCTCTGTGCCATGACTCGCCAAACGAATCACCTGATCCGAATGCAGCCAGGCAGCGCGGTAGGCATCGGCAAACGGCGCAAAGGAGTACGAGGCATCGATAAATGTACGCAAGGCCGATTCCAGCGCCCCAACAATGGCACCGGCACATGCTTCTTGGGTCACCGTATCCGTACCGGCCAAGGCATGAACACTCGTGGTGGGCTGGTCGTTCAGGCAGTTGACACCGCATCCGACAATGGCATGGAACGTGTCGCCTAGACAGACAGCTGTCACAAGGATACCGCCCATCTTGACAAAGTGTTTCACCTGCCCGTCTTCCTGTACATCCATCGAGCCACGCTGCGGCGTGTCGACTTGCGCGTACACATCGTTCGGCCACTTGATGCGAACCCGGCCACGAACGGCTGGGTACGCCTCGCTAAGACCGTACACAATGGCCAGGGCGGCTAAGTACTGCAAAAACACAGCTTTGGAGCCAATGTGCATGGGCAGACGCACCACCGTCGAGAATTGCAGGCAGCCTTGCGGCGAAATCCATACGTTGCCCCCACGTCCACGACCTTGCACTTGCTGCGTCGCGATAAAAGTAGTACCCTCGCGACACGCCTGCAGAAGGGCATGATTGGATTCCAGCAGTGTCTGTGTACTGTCCACCACACGGCCGTACGCTACCACGTCGCCAATGCGCGTTGTAAACGAACGCGGCGAAGGCCATGGCAACGCGCTGGAGAGACCACGAGCGCGTTGCAACGCATCGTAGTAGGTCGGAAATACAAACGCAGGTGCATACTGCGAAGCATCCTCCAAAAGCCTTACAGGTACCACCAAGAAATCGGTATGGTTGTCCTTGGGCGGCAGCGATGACAGCCATGTTTGGACGTGATCCAGAGACGATGGGGTATACACGGCAAGGGTGTACTTTGTATCATGTACCACCAGCGGCGTATCTGTTGTGGACGGATGTGCAGAGGCCTGAAGCGACGTTCGCCAAGCCTCAAGAAGCGGTGCGCTCGTCGACGCAACAAGCATCGGCGTGACAGTCGGCACGCCTTCGGGCATGGAAGGGAGCTGCATCGGTAGCGCAGCCAGCCAGGTACGTACACGCTGTACTTCGATGGCACTTGGCGCCACCATCACATGCCCGTTCTTCACCTGCCATGCGAGTATATCCACACCGTCGGCGGTCTGTCCTAACGTACGGCGCGATGAGGAGGATCCCGCGCATACCTCTTCCCTCAACGCTGTGTCCGCGCCACATATCCAGAGGATACCACCTTCCTGCACATAGTGCTGGATACGAGCCAGGGGCGACGAACCCTGCGGTGACGGTGTGCGCCAAGCCGATGCCCACACCTCGCTGTCCACGGCCGGCACTACAAGTAGGCGCGTCGAGGCAATCCAAGGCGCAGAAGCAAGAGTTGCTTCGTCCACATATTGAACATCCCAAGCCTCACGACCTATCTTACCTAGCACATCGTACAGGTGGCTCGCGTCCCGCGCAGCTATACCTGCGCCACGGCAAACCAACACATTGGCCATGGTGTGGAGGAGGGAAGAGACTATGACATAGACAAGGGCTAGGCGACCGAATCCAAATCTCCGAGCCCTTGAAGTACGTACGTAGGAACTGCGGGCGCATCCTCAGCACGAACATCATCCAGGGTGCATACGCCGGTCAGCACCAGCATCGTATCGATGCCACCCTTAGTCCCAAACGCAATGTCGGTATTAAGACGATCACCGACCATGATCGTACGTTGCCGATCGAAATCGCGGCTAGCAAAAATCGTATCAATCATCGGCTCATTCGGTTTGCCCACAATTAAGGGAGTACGACCCGATGAGGATTGGATACCAGCCCACACAGAACCGGCACCGGGCCATAGACCCTGGCTGGTAGGGAATGTGACATCTTCGTTCGTGCACACAAAGTAGCAGCCACCACCACGCTCTCCTGACTGTACAGGGCCCTCGGCCCCAGGACGCGTAAGGTACCGGAATGCCTGCGCCATCTTCACATACGTCAAGTCTGAATCGATGCCGCACAACACAGCCGCTACACTATCATCCAGCAGGCCATCTGCTAAAAGAGCAGAGAAATCAAGGCCATTCATAACGACCTTTTGCGCAGGATTGGTGCCACCGATATGAGAAATGCCCACAGCATCCAACTCTTCTTCCAAACCCGACATGCCCACGACAAACACTTTCCGGTCGCTCGGGAACTGGAGCACATTTTTCAGAAAGGCTGCCGAGGCATAGGCGGATGAAAACACCTCTTCTGTAGCGCCTTCAATACCAGCTTGCTGGATCCGTTCCAGAAGCATACGACGGCTCTTCGATGCATTGTTCGTGACAAACAAGATGTTCTTGCCACGCGCACGCAGCTTGCGCAGAACAGAGGCTACACCCGGCAACGCTTCCGTTCCAGACCAAAGCACACCATCGCAATCGAAGAGAAAGTTGTCGTAACGGTCCAACAGCTTGGCATAGTCTTCCTCGCTCCTCAGATACTGGTAAGTACCTCGGGACACGGATGTCGACGTCATGAGGTAACCTCCACACGATCATAGCTACAGATCAGAGTCGGCGTATGCGCCATCGATCGCAATAATGCTCTCGTCTGGCTTGTGCGCCGACCCACTATGAACCATAGATTGTGGTGTCCAGCCCTGATTGTGCGATTGGCTGTCACCTCCATCGCGCATACGCTGCTGCGCTAGAGAACTTTCTTCTTCCAGATCCAAATCCAGGTTGTAGCCATGTGCATCATTCAGGTCAATGGCAGAGATCCGACTCGTTACATTGTACCCACTGCGACGGATCACGCTCAATAGCCGCATGCATTGGACAATATTGCGGATGATCAGCAGGAAACTGTCAAACAGCTCTTCTCCAGCACCTGACCGCCTCGAAATGGGTGAGCAGCCATGACCAAAGAACAAAATCAGCAGAGTAAAGATGCAGACCACAACCAAGCAGAGGTCCACGATATTGAATGTGGATTTCCAAAAGTTCTTGCCAAAAGCCACCAAGCGGATGCCTACTTCAGCGACCAGCGCCACGTTAACAAGCAATTCAAGGACGTAAAAGGGAACGCCGGGACACCGCCACAACAGGGAGATGACAACTGTCACAAAGGAAAGGGCGGCCATCGTGATATAAAGGTATAAATACGTCGTAGAATGCACGAAACGATTCGCAAGTCCTTTCAGCATCTCTTGTCGTGACAAATTATACGGAGATGAACGAGGGCCATTGTGCGTTTGATAGGCAGGGGCCAGCACATCTACGCTGTATGGATCATCAAAGCCATAGGAAGAGTGAGAGGGCGACGTGGAGTCAGAGGTCAGCAATGCACCTTGCTGCGCCAGACCATGATGCCGGCTAGAGCTCGAGGACATGGCAGAGTAGGGCGACTGAAATCGATAGGCACTTGTGCTAGCACTCGATTGATCTACGCCTGCATAGGCTGGTGAAAACCCGGACGATGCTCGTGCGTGAGAGGCACGCGCGTCGCGGTGCCGAGGGGTTCGTATGGTGGGCAGACGCACACTTGCTCGATCTTTGCCACGTGGATATTAACCGACCCTAGGACCAAAGGGAGTTTGTGCTAGTCACGGCCGTTACCGCCCCATAGGAAGAGCTATCTTTGCTACGTTTGGTGCATTCAGCGTACCAGACTCTGTAGGACACACATGTCATGCCTCTCCGACAACACTCCGCATCGATCTGACTCTCCTCGCCCTTCCTTTCCACTGACCTTGCCACCGTGGCAGCACTGTCAAGAAGTCAGGATCTTGTATCACGTGGCCAACGTGCCGCATAGATTTATTGGCTGGGGCGTGGCCAGCTTGTTGTTTTCAAAAGCCTACTAGGGGTTGTAACGAACGAGAGCGGGCACACTCCTGCGCGCAGCCGCAGACATAGCCCGTCCCTCTTTCGACAACCGGCTCCAAACGTAGTTTGTCAACTCAACTCTTGTCCTTACGAGCCTGAATACGTCCCATCCATTGACAATATGGATCTGAGGGTAGGAGGAAAGTATGTATTATGAATGATGAGCCGAAAGCTCATGACTGGCGTGAAGGAACAGTGTACTAACAGCTTGGCAGGGTATGTTGATGCGCCATGAATGCGTCTAGAAAGAACAACCACTAACATTATGCAGTACCGTATCGGTAAAAAGATCGGCTCTGGCTCGTTTGGTGATATTTACCTGGGTGTGAATATCATCAGTGGTGAAGAAGTAGCTATCAAGCTTGAATCGGTGAAGGCAAAGCACCCTCAGTTGGAGTACGAGGCCAAGGTATACAAAACGTTGGCTGGCGGTGTTGGTGTGCCATTCGTCCGGTGGTACGGCCAGGAATGCGATTATAATGCCATGGTAATTGATCTTTTGGGTCCTTCGCTGGAGGACCTGTTCAACTTTTGCAACCGACGATTCTCTCTGAAAACAGTGTTGCTGTTGGCTGACCAGATGATTTCGCGCGTGGAGTACATCCACTCCCGCAACTTTATTCACCGTGATATCAAGCCTGACAATTTTCTCATGGGCATTGGAAAGCGGGGTAACCAGGTCAATGTCATTGACTTTGGTCTGGCCAAGAAATATCGTGACCCGAAAACTCACTTGCACATTCCTTACCGTGAGAACAAAAACTTGACAGGCACAGCACGATACACCTCTATTAACACGCACTTGGGTGTAGAGCAATCTCGCCGTGATGACTTGGAATCTCTTGGTTACGTCTTGATGTACTTCTTGCGTGGCTCGCTACCATGGCAAGGTCTCAAGGCTGCGACGAAGAAACAAAAGTACGAGCGCATTATGGAGAAGAAGATGATGACGCCAACGGAATCGCTCTGCCGTGGCTTCCCTACCGAGATGGCTATATACCTCAACTGTTGTCGTTCCCTCCGGTTCGATGACCGGCCGGATTACAGTTACCTTCGCAAGCTTTTCCGTGACTTGTTTGTGCGTGAGGGATACCAGTATGACTATGTATACGACTGGAGCATCCAACCGCGGGACCGGGGGGAGCATCCCTCTCGTGGTCTCCCTGCCCCAGGCCCGCAGGGACAAGATGAGCAGGCAAAAGCGGCCGCGGCTGCTGGACAGACCCCTCGCCGCAAGGTGTTGCCCAATGATCAGGTGTTGGGCAACGAGTCGCCAGCCCGTGGCTCAGCGCCAATGGGTGGCGACTATGGCCGCCCTGTGCCAGCGGGCATGCCCATGGACCGTGCTGGCGCCCATGACCCGTCGATGGTGGCCAATGTATCTGGCCAAGTGTCTAGCAGCAATGTCCCTCAAGGCTACATGGGGGGACAACACGTTAATGAGGCTGATTGGCACTAAATCTAAGCCAAAGGGGCTATTGTGTATGCGCTCTCTCTTTCCCCTGGATTCTCCTGTTCTGTCTTTATTAACAACTCGCTCTCCATTTACAAAAAATTTTGGTCGATCGCGACAGCAAGTAACTTGGCCAAGTAGATGTGAGAGATAGCATACTACCTATTTTAGATTCAAGTGTCTTGGATGTGATTAGCTGGCTACTATGGAAAAAAAATACGACGTAGTCCTATCGGTTTAGGGACGTACTAGAAGCCATATGGACATGATTACTGCTCCGTACGACCATTGACTTGCTGCGGCGGCGGCAAGTCTTCGACCAAGCCATGCTCTTCATCAAGGTGCTTGTCTTCAATAAACAAGGTATACAGCAACGCCATTACACACGTTGCAAAAATAAAGATATACACAGAATGAAAAGCACTGGCGTAGGAATATATTGCATCTTGGCGAACTCCTTCAGGCAGTTTGGAGAGCACAGTGGTATCTTGACGGATCTGCTGGATCAGCTCTTCGGCGCCAGGGCCAACAATGCGTTGGCGTAAATTAGCCAAAAGGTTCTTCTGCAAGATCACACCAGATACAGCCACACCAAGCACCTGGCCTGTAGTGCGGAAAAGATAATTCATACCTGTGGCAACGGCCAGATTTTTCTTGTTCACACAGTGTATGAGTGCAATGAGAGACGATGTCAGGTACCCTGCAATGCAAAACTGCATAAATGTATAGCAAATAAATGGAGAAATCGTGGGTGGATCCAAGAAATAAGTCAGGGCAGGCGAGAACATAACGCATACGCCTGTCGCGCAAAATATGCAATACTTGTAATAGCGCCCGAAATGCTTCATGTAAAAGCCAGAAAGAAGACTGCCCATGCCCACACTAAGACTGGCAGGAATCATGCGCATACCGATTGATGAGGCTCGCATGTTGCCTACTGTCTGGAAGTACAGCGGGACATTGTAGTTGAAGCTGAAGTACATGACGGAGAGAAAGAAGTTGGCCATCACGCTAGACCAGCATGAGCGTAGGGATAGCACTTCTAGCGATATCAGGGGCATCCGTGCTCGCCGTTCCACCACATACAATAAGAATATGGCGATGGCTGCACAAAGCAGGCTGCCGGACACGAAAGGGTCGGCTAGGGATCGGTCTTGGGAACTGATTAAATTGAGCGCATAAAGGATCGAAAGAGGGATGACCGCAAAGATAGAGAGGCCCAAAATATCCACCTCCATGATACGCTTCCAAGTCGAATCCCCTGGCGCAAAATGAATGGATTCATCGTGAGGCAGCAAGAACAACAGAGACGCGAGACACAGGCCCAGTACAGGAAGCTGTACAAAGAAAGCGCCTCGCCATCCAATGCTATCATTCAGTAGACCACCCACAGGCGCACCTAGACCAACACCCACCCCAAAGACCACATTCGACATGCCTTGGAAGAGGCCTCGTGATTTAAGGGGGACGAGCGTCGACATGATTACCGAAGTGATAATGGACAGGCCACCACTGCCTATACCAGCGAGGGTACGTGCACACAGAAACTCAAACATGCTTGACGCCATAGCACACCACATAGTGCCAAGGGTGAAGATAATGACCGCCAACATCAAACTTCGTTTACGACCAAAGAGATCACTGAGTCGGCCATAGAGTGGTACAGTGCAACACACACTGAGAAGAAAAGTCGTACCGATCCAGGAAGCTTTATCCGCGGCCTTGAATGACGATGAAATATTACCGATGAGCATGGCAACAATAGTAGCATCTAAGCTACCCATGAAGGTAATGGACCACATGGCTAGACATGGTAAGAGAATGTGCCTGAAATTCTTTGGTTCTTCACCAAATTGTTGCGAAGAGACTCCTACGGCTCCGTAGTGGTTACCACCACTACCTCTTCGCCCTCGCAATTGTCTATTCTCATCTGCAGTATGGCCCATGCTGCAAAGGAGCGTGCCACGATGGGGCCGCAAGTTGACTGGGGCAGGGATCACGTGCTATGGTCAATAGGCGCGTTGAGCATAACCTTTTTTTGGGTTGTGGAGGAGCGCCAAATGGCCCAGCGTTCAACAGGTGATGATACGCCATGAGGACGCCACGGACAAAGTAGATGAATGCGGAAAATTGTCTATCGTATATTATCGTCCATGTGACACATATGCATATAAAATCTTTCTCGGCTGTAGTTTGGGGAAGCAGATTGGAGAGGATGCGTATCAGTCTATGACTAGATCTGCACTGGCCCCTAAAGGGGACACGAGGTTTCGCTAAAAAGGCTTGGCATCGTATATCTTTTTGCCCCATAGACTTGCCTTGGATTTCCACTATAGGCCGAGATATCATATTAACGGGGCAATAGCATCGTACAAGGAGTTTGTCCTTCCACCCTACATGGGACTTTAAGCGCAAGAGATGTGCGCAAGTGGAGAGAGATAAACGTTGCTTACATAGACGCATCTTATTTTGGCCATGTCATGCGGGGCGAGATAGGCAAGTTATCACTTGCGTTGTTATCTACACCATGAACCTGATAAGATGTGAATATTTAGCTCGCTAAGAGTGAGATATGCATGCTCGCAAGACTTTCAGCACACCACTCTTAGCTCTGTACCAGGCATGGAGGAGAAACGGGATAGTGTCGATCCCTGCACGGATCCCACCGCGGATGATCAACTTGCACGACTCGGCTATCAAGCCGAGCTGCCCAGACAACTTAGCATGTTCTCCGTGATGGGACTTTCATTTGCTATCATGGTACGTACTTGGAATGACTTATATACAAGGCTGTACCATTTGGCCTCAGCACGACCTTTGCAGCCTCGCTTACAAATGGAGGCCCTGCTACTGTCCTGTGGGGATGGGTCATTGTGAGCCTCATCTCCATCGCCATCGCATTGTCACTAGCAGAAATTTGTTCTATTTACCCTACTGCGGGAGGAGTGTACTACTGGGCTGCGCTATTGTCCAAACGCAAATGGGCGCCGGCTGCTAGCTGGGTCACTGGCTGGCTGACACTCGCCGGAAACTGGACATTAGCGCTATCAATCAATTTCGGTGGAGCCCAGCTTATATTGAGCTGCATTTCCTTATGGAATGAAGACTTTGTGGCTACAGATTGGCAGACAGTGCTCTGTTTTTGGTGCGTCTGTTTGGTATGTTACCTTGTAAATATGGTGGGAGCCAAGCACCTGGATCTGATCAACACTATTTGCGTCTACTGGACCGGAGCCTCTATTGTGGTTATTCTTGTCGTAATCCTTGTCATGGCACCTGCACGGAATAGCGGCGCTTACGTGTTTGGCCATTACGATTCGTCACAATCTGGCTATCCTACTGGCTGGAGCTTCTTCATCGGCTTGCAGCAGGCTGCGTTCACACTTACGGGGTATGGCATGATTGCTGTGATGTGTGAAGAGGTACAGCACCCTGAACGAGAAGTACCCAAAGCTATGGTATGGTCTGTCGTTGGAGCTGGTATTACAGGCCTAGTATACTTGATCCCCATCCTATTTGTTCTCCCGGATGTGAAGGAGCTGTTGAGTGTAGCGAGTGGGCAACCCCTAGGTTTGCTTTTCAAGCATGCGACGGGCAGTGCTGGCGGCGGGTTTGGACTTTTATTCCTCGTGCTGGGCATTTGGCTCTTTGCTGGAATTGGTGCCTTGACAGCGTCCAGTCGCTGTTTGTATTCATTCGCGCGAGATGGAGCTGTACCATGGTCCAGAATATGGAGCAAGATTGACACGCACTTCAATGTGCCATTGATGGCTCTAACACTCTCCACGGTGGTGGCCTGCCTGTTAGGCCTTATTTACTTTGGTTCATCGGCAGCCCTGTTCAGCTTTACAGGTGTTGCTACGATTTGCTTATCTGCCTCGTATGCTCTCCCTGTGCTGGTCTCTTTACTGACGGGGCGTGAGAAAGTACGAGAAGCACCATTCTCACTTGGTTATTGGGGTTGGGTAGTGAATGGGGTTACGGTGGCATGGATTGTATTGGCCGTGTTCATACTCTCCATGCCGATCACCCTGATCGACTTGGCTCCTACGACAATGAATTACGCCAGTGTAGTATTTGCTGGTTTTGCCCTGATAAGTGTGGCTTGGTACTTTGCCTATGGACTAAAGCACTTCCACGGTCCACCCATCTTACTGACAGATGTCCCGAACTTTGCTATCGGCATCCACAAGAACGGTCAGTACGATTTGGAGAAGGTGGAAAGCCAAGACAAGCCGGATATTGAGGTGTCAAACTTCCGGTTGGATACATGGAATGAGTAATGTACATAACGATGAGATCCCACTAGCTATAAAGTATATTTGTATTGTAATACATAGAAGTTGGTACACAACAGAAATGCGCGTAAAAGAACAATGATTTTACTCTTCGGTGATCCCATGATCTTCGTCCAAATGCTTGTCCTCAATGAAGTAGCAGTTGATCAGCGAAAGAAGATACACGAGCGTCACAAACACGAAAACACAGTGCAGTGCTGTAGCATACGACTCCATGGCTTGCTCACGGATGCCATCCGGAAGTGTAGGCAATACGCGGATATCTTGACGAATCTCATGGATCAATTCTTCAGAACCAGGGCCAATAATTCGGTTCTGAAGTTCTTTGGTCAGGAAATATTGGACAATGCAGCCTGACGCAGCCACACCTAAGACTTGTCCAGTGGTTCTGAAAAGATAGTTCATGCCAGTAGCCACGCCAAAGTATTTCTTGTTGACAGCATGGATAAGCGCAATCAGGGTCGTAGTAAAAAAGACACCATGTGTAAATGTCAGGATAGTGTAATAGACAAAGGGAGAAAAAGGCGGGGGATCTAATAGATACGTGGCCGTGGGAATAGAGGCAAGTACCATGGCAAAGTGGCAAACCAAAGTTAATTTGTAATACCGCCCAGTCCGACGCATATAGAACCCTGCAAACAAGCTGCCCAAGCCAATTGCAATACTTGAAGGCACCATTCGAAGACCGATGACGGAAGGAGTCAGTTTACCAACCGTTTGGAAGTAGAGAGGAAAATTGAAACTGTACGCGACCATACCGACATTGAGCCATATCATAGCGAACATTGTGGACCATCCAGATCGAAGACGCATCACATCCAGTGATAACAAGGGCATTTTGATCTTGCGATGTTCTACAATGTAAAACAGGAGAGCAACAAACAACACACTCCCCATACCGAGCAAGACACGTAGATCCGTAAGAGCATACCCTTGTCCGCTGACGAGATCGAGTGTATACAACGACAAAATGGGAGTCAAAGTATAAATAAACCAACCAAGCAAGTCTAAATCTCGAAGTCGTTGCGATAAAGACTGGTCATCCGTGAAATGAAGGGACTCGTCGTGCTCAAGAAAGATGTAAAGAGCCATGAGAGCAAGAAGAAGTACAGGGATTTGAATCAAAAAGGCACCACGCCATCCAATGGTATCATTAAGTAGGCCACCAAGAGGTGCACCAGTCGCCATACCAAGACAAGAGAAAATATTGCCGATACCTTGGTACAGGCCACGCGACTTGATGGGAATAATATGGCTGAAAATGACACTGGGGACTGTGCCAAGGCCGCCCCCACCCAGACCAGCTACAGCACGGGCAAGTAGAATTTCGTTCATAGACCGGGCTACACCGCATCCGATAGTACCAATAGAAAAAATCGAGAGAGCGAGTAACACACTGCGTTTGCATCCAAACATATCGCAGAACCGGCCATACAGGGGCGCGGTGCAACACATTGTCAAGAGGTATGTCGTCCCAATCCATGATGCTTTCTCTGCCTCCTTAAAGAACGATGATATGTTTCCGAGGAGCATAGAGACAATGGTCGAATCTAAGTTCGCAATAAAGGAAATCGACCATAAGGCAATACACGGAAGAATCGTGCGCGAAAAGGAATTTGACCCATTTGGTGAAGGAGAGGACGCATCGGTATATATAGTTCCATATTCGTGCCGTGTATCGCGATGTGGTAAGACGGCAGCGTTTTCTTCGTCAGATGCGGACATGTATGGGCGAAGAGAAACTATGCCTGCGCTCTCGATAAAATTTTGACGCATGTGGAGGTTATGGCGAGGACGTTCCGACAGACGCTCTCAGGCTGGCTAGCAGCACAGGTCAGCCTCACGAAGACAAAAACGCAGCCATAGAAGATCGTACTCTCCGACCTGATGAATACATTCCCACTTTCTCTCAGACTGACGAGGAACACACCCTAGGCAGGCAAGGTGTGAATAGGCCAGGCCCGAGGTCCGAGCACCGCAAATCACGTGCATGAAAAAAAGTGAAATGCGTATGCCACAGCCATTCACATTCATAACGCTCCCCTATCATCATGGCGTTGCGAAACTACGTCCAGCGTCGTAATCATAAAGAACGCAGTCAGCCTGAGCACAGGAAACATTTGGGTCTCCTGGAGAAACACAAAGACTATGTGGAACGTGCGCGTGCTCATCATATCAAGCGTGATAAGCTGCAACGCTTGCGCCAAAAAGCGGCTGATCGCAACCAAGATGAATTTTATCTCGGTATGATCGGAAAGAAGACAGAAAAAGGTGTCCACATCGAATCAAGAGGAAACAAGGCGCTGGACAATGATGTCGTGTCTCTGTTGAAGACGCAAGATGCAGGATACTTGCGCAAGCAACTCAATTCAGAGCGGAAAAAGTACCAGGCTCTCATAGAGGAACTGGCGCCGCGTGTGCCAGGTATGCGTCTAGCATACTTGGAGAAAAAGCCAGACTTGGTTACAGCGTTGAGGAAAGCGAATTTGCTGGGCGATGTACAGACCAGCTCTGCCTCCGCACAACAGCAGGGCCGTGTGCAAGGCTTTGGCAAAAAGACCAAGTGGGTTGACGATGTGGAAGAATGTACGTGAATGCACCGCTAACAACAGTGAAACAAGTGGCTAAGGAGAACCGGCGCAAGTCCAAGAAGAAGGAGACCCTGGAGGAAGAACAGGATGAGCGTTTGGTGCAGGCTGAGAAAATCGGAGAGGTTTGTGTCTAGAAAAACTAATGACAGCGACAATTATCCATCAAAATCAGAGAGTTGGCTACAAGGCAGCGTCGTATCGATGCCCTCACCGAGGCCTCGCAAAAGCTTGATGTGGTTCGTTCGCTTATGCGCACACGTGGCTCGCATGCTGTGCCAAAGAAACAAGTGCAAGAGCTGAAAGACGCGGTCGGGAAACGCGGCGCAAAGGTGACGTCGCGCGGGTTGGTCGTGGAAGAAGAAGACGATGATACACGCGTGATGAAAACAACCAAGCAATATAAATGGTCGAATGAACGCAAGAAATAATATCGACGTGTTTACTGAACTAGCGGTGCCTGCTCTTCATCCGTCCCGGCATTCTCGTGTAGGGCAGAACGCTGATCTTGGATGGCGGTGGCCAAGGCACGAAGAACGGCAATGAACGAGATACCAAAGAAAATGCTGTAGAATAGTTAGAACAAGTGCATTGTATACGTACAGCGCAGACCAGTGGATAAAGCGCGAACTCTGTTGTTCCTGGGCGATGGCCAGCAGCCCAAGGGAAATGACGACGGCTCCAGCGATATCGCCATTGCCATAGAATACGTAGCCAGCTGCCGTGCTTTCCAAGAAGAACAGGGTGAGGAATACAAGAATCTTGGTCACCGTACCTGCCTTGTGAGTGTGTGTGTCGACGCCGGCCACAGCAAAGGCGGCCACAAAGAACATGATGACAATAAAGCCATGGTACAGCGAAATAGGGAGGTGAATAAACAGCAAGTCGCACCAGTTGCGTGGCTCAGGGCCCATGCGGAGTTTACCGTACAGATGGCTCACAGTGCCTGCCACCAAGCACAGGATACCGAACGCCACCAGGTTGGCGACGCGAGAGCCATGGACTGAGTAGAACATGCTGCACAGGGAATTAAGCACGAACAGCGCAGGGAATCGCCATTGAAGCGACTCGACCACTGTCTTATGACCAGAGGGCCAGAATTGGTATACCAAAAGACCCAGAAAGAGGGTATTGATCACCGACCAAACGCCAAACAGCCAAGGTGCGGGAGTAAGATACGTCGTGACAGGACCACCGATGTGGTGGCCAGAGAGGCCTGAGTAGACATTGGAAGAGGCAAAGAGGAAGTAGCTAAGAATGTTGGCGAGCTTCAAGCCCCAGTTGTCCCATCGTGACTGCGTCATGAGGGATACGTTGAAGGGAAACTTTGCCTATCGGGCTGCACAAGATGAAGTGCTCCACTGCCACACCTCCACACCCGTAAAAAAAGCCCAATTCTTATGTGGGAACTATGTGACAGCCCAAGAGTCCACGCCCACCCCATCCCGAAGCAGGGACGAGGTGGAGAGATACATGGACCGTCCGACCATCCGGCATGATTCTACGTACTTCGATTGCGATCGATTCTCCTTCTTTCACGAGCGCTGAGATTTCGTGGAAATGCTCCGAGCTCACTGGGTATATAGAGCCCCATCGCACAAGTTCATCGCCTGCTTGCAGACCACACTGTGCTGCTGGGCTGTTTGCCGCTACGCTGCGTACAGCGATAGGCCGCGCCATGATGCCATCGTGCTTGGCCGTCTTGATGGCATGGGCGGTGGCGCTGGGTGGTGTTGATGCAGCTGGCGTGCTCGGCCAGGCGTGGGCTAGCAGCGTTCTGAGCTTCTCGTCCAGCGCATGGCGGTCGTTGGTCAGCCTATGAATGGCTTGGCGGGCTGCTCGGATAGCTGGCAAGTCCAAATCAGCTCGGGGGAAGCCTTGCTCATCCAACAAGGGCGATGTCATGGTCGCCTGGTTCTGCAAGATCAGCGTGCCATGGTACGTACCTGCGCCAAGATGGCACGCTGCCGCTGCTACGTATGTAAGCATAGAAGGACCACGTACCAATTCCGCATCTAGGCGACGGCGCTGTTCTTCCACCTGCAGCGCGTCGTTTCTTGCTTGAATGTCCATCGAGGCAGGGGACAGGCCGTGCGATAGAGATAGGGCGCCAAGCCAATCAGGCCCACCTATTCCAAAAAAAAGAAGGCAATGAGGTAAGCCAAGGACGCCGGCCACGAGCGACCCCGGAAAATGGGAGGGCCCCCTTTCTTGACAACGCCTCCTCGGGTCGCTACGCTGCTGGTCGTAGTCTTGTGGCACCATGCTGTCCACAATCTTCCAGCCATGCGAGATCCAGGTGACGATGATCCAGAACGTGGTGTTCCTACGTCCGCCGCAGCGGGCCACGATGGATCATGAGAACCGGACACATGAGCTTCCTCCCCTGTCCAACGACGAGTTGGTACGAGGCATCATTCATCTGAACTGCCCCACAGAGCGCCATATTGATGGAATTCGTGTGCATCTCAAGGCCACCATGTCTTTGGCTCATTTTGACTCGGGCTACAACAATATTGCGACGTCTTGGGAGACGAACGTGTTTATGGAGCGTGTGCTCGAGATAGGCGTGCCTATGCGTTTATCGAAACTGAACTCCCAACGTGCCGCCTCACAGAGTGTATCGCGTGCGATGAGTCCCTCTGTGACGCCAGGTGGTGGTGGGCGGCATTCTGACCACCATAGTCACGACTTTTTCCGTGGGTTCCGCGGCGTCTCGCGAGGCCGTTCATCACAGACACCCAGTCTCTTCCGTAGCCGGGGCAGCTCGATTCTGCCGGAAGAGTACTCCTACTCATCACGGTCGCGTACGCCATCGCATGTGCGTACACCTGTGGACGATTCAGGGTCCTCTACCCCGCATTATGCGCATGCCAGCCAGCTCACGGAAGAAGACTTGGCCCATGTGACGCAGCGATTGGAGCAGCATGGCCTGGAAGACGACGAAGAGCACCGCGGTCGTGGGCGGCATCGGTATGGCAGTGGTACACAGAGTCCCTACGACGTGGACGAACGCCGCGGTCGCTCCAAGGCCTCGTACGTGGAGGTCATTCGTGACGGGGGCGAGGATGGCTTGGAGCTCTCGAAAGGTGTGCATATGTTTGAGTTTGCGTTCATTATTCCCGCAGATGCGCCGCCCTATGATCGCAGCTCGTACGGCAAGGTGCGGTACACGGTCAAAGTCACGGTGTTGGGAGGTGGTCGTGCGCGTAGCAATGTCGAAGAATGGCGTGATTTCTTCCCTATGGTCAACCCTGCTGCTGATGGCGGTGTCACGCCGCTTACTGTGCTCTTCAACGATGTGCATGATACGGTCGGTATGCTTTCTGTGGCGTGTACGTCGAACAACATTTCCGTGGGTGGCATGTTCAATATTGATATCCACAGCCCGTCGCCGCCGCCCGACCTGATTGTGTATATGGTCCGCGTATCCCTCTATACCACCATTGAAGTGCATAGCTCGCGGCGTGGGAAGCAAGTGTCGCCTGTCCAGAAACGCCGCCTGTTTGAGAAGGGCGTGGTGCCCTCCCCCGACAAGGTGCAGCACCACGATGCGGACCGTTTGCCTGGCTATATCCACTATGCAGGCAGCAATTCTGCGTGGACCGTGCAAGGTGTCGCACGCATCCCGGATGACAATGCGATCCGGCCCAGTACGATGCCTGGCACGCGCTCGCCGTTGCGTTTCCACCATGTGCTTGTCGTGGAGGTCGTGCACAGCCGCCATGATCCTACGGTGCCCGACTGCCTCGGCCCAGATGGCCGCCGCAAGCTCAAAGTATTTACGTTGCGGCAGAGCGTCGTGATTCCTTCGTGCTGTTGTGCGCTGGATGCGGTTACATTGCCGGCGTACAGTGCCCGGCAGGAAGATGCGCCCTCGGTCCCGCAGCTCAAGCATCTCACAGGCACGACGTGGGAGCAGATTGTAAAAGCCAACCAGAGCCGCGGCGAGTCGCACAATATGTGTGTGTGTGGTATGAGCCTTGCCGACTTATCGGCTGCCGAGCAAGCGATGCTCCCACCGCCGGATCCGACCAACCTGATGGTCCAGCAGGGCCAAGGGCGCAAAATCGGCGAGTACGCCGGCGGCGAAGATCCGCTGGCCGGCCCGGGTCCGTCGTCGTCGTCGTCGTCGTCGGCCGGGGCAGCGAACCACCACCATCGCCTAGCCTCGCCATCGCCTATGCCCTCGCCCTCCATGCGCCCCACCTCCTCGCGTGGCTCTACGCCTCTGCAGCCCCCGACCCTCACAGACGAGCCCCCTGCCTACTCTTTATAGCATTTTCTCTTCTTCTACTTTCCGCGTCACTATAGCAAGTCATCTAGGCCAAATCCACCACGCAGCGAATACAATCGCCGTCGTGCATGTACTTCAGACCATCGTTGATGTTCCCCAGGGTCGCGCGGTGCGTCACGTAGTCGTCGACCACAAAGTCGCCCTCCAAGTACCGCTGCACGATGCCAGGAAGCTGCGTACGACCCTTCACACCACCGAACGCTGAGCCTTGCCAGCGGCGGCCCGTGACCAGCTGGAAGGGGCGCGTGTTGATTTCCTCACCTGCCTTGGCCACACCGATGATCGTCGAGACACCCCAACCCTTGTGGCACGCCTCTAGCGCCGTACGCATCACCTTGACATTGCCCGTGCAGTCAAATGTGTAGTCCAGACCACCATCGGTCATGTCGACGAGGTACTGCACCATGGGATCGCCACTCTCCACGGAGGGAATCTCTGTCGGGTTGACAAAGTCCGTCGCACCGAACTTCTCGGCCCAAGCCTTCTTGCGTGGGTTGGTATCGATCGCAATGATCCGCTTCGCACCGCGCTCCTTCGCACCGTTGATCACTGCCAAACCGACACAGCCAACACCCCACACAGCCACGGTCGATTGCGGCTCAATCTTCGCAGTGTACACAGCTGCACCGTAGCCGGTCGTCACACCACAGCCAAGCAGACACGTACGGTCCATGGGCGCCTTGGGGTCGACGGCCACGAGCGAGTACTGCGAGACGACCGTGTACTGACTGAATGTCGAGGTGCCCATAAAGTGGAACAGCTCGTCGCCCGTGCGCGCCGAGGTGAAGCGCTTCGTACCGTCGGGCATCACACCGCGTCCCTGCGTCGCACGCACAGCCTGACACAGGTTGGTCTTGCCTGACGTGCAGAACTTGCACTTGCGGCACTCGGCCGTGTACAAAAGAATGACATTGTCGCCCGCCTTGACGTCCACGACACCCTCGCCCACCGACTCAACGATACCCGCTCCCTCGTGCCCGAGAACCGCAGGGAAGGCGCCTTCCGGGTCGCTGCCAGAGAGCGTGTACACATCCGTGTGGCAAAGACCAGTGAATGTCACACGCACACGGACTTCACCGGCACGCGGCGGCGCCACATGCACATCTTCCACACTCAGAGGCTTGTTGGCCTCCCACGCAATCGCTGCCTTGCACGTAATAGTCTTGCCCTCGGTCGACATACTAAAGTAGAGATTCAACTATCAGTCGTGCGACCCACCGACGCCCGCGTAGGCCTCCTCGCCCTCCACTCTCCCACGTGATAAAAAGCGAGCGGCGCACCCAAGCAGGCACAGGCACGGCCGGCCGCCAGCAGGCACGCACGTACCCCATGTACTATATTGGTGTCGACGTGGGCACAGGCTCGGTGCGCGCCGCGTTGGTAGGCACCTCAGCGCAGGTGCTAGCACAGGCTACGGTGCCGATCAAGACGTGGCGCTTTGCTAGTGATAGCCGTCTGTACGAGCAGTCGGGCCAGCAGATATGGGACGCGATTGCGCATTGTGTTCGCACCGTGGTGCAAGAGGCGAACGTGGCTGCGAGCGATGTACATGGCATCGGCTTTGATGCTACATGTAGTTTGGTTGTGGTTCGGAAGGATGGTAGTCCCGTGTGCGTGACGCCCTCGCATCTTCCTCAGGACGACCAATGCAACATTATCTTGTGGGCGGACCATCGGGCGGAAGCCGAAGCCCAGCTGATCAACCAAACAGGCCACAAAGTGCTCAACTATGTGGGAGGGACCATGTCGCTGGAAATGGAGACGCCCAAGATCCTGTGGCTCAAAAAGCATTGGCCTGCGGCCCTCTTTGACCAGTGTGAATTCTTCGACTTGCCCGACTACCTGACATTCCGCGCGACGCAGTCGCGTGCTCGTTCCTTCTGCAGCTTGGTATGCAAATGCGGCTTCATCCCGCCAGGTACCGACGGCAGCACCATCGGATGGCAGTCGGACTTTCTCGACCAAATTGGCCTGGGCTCCTTGGGGCCTTCCTACGACGCCCTGGGAGGCATTCCTGGGCAGACTGGCATGGTGCTCACGGCTGGCATGCCGGTCGGCGCTGGCCTCGCCGAAGCGGCAGCGCACGACCTGGGCCTCATGCCACATACTCCCGTCGGCTCGGGTGTCATTGACGCGTATGCAGGCTGGGTCGGAACTGTCGCTGCGTCCTCGCGCAGCGAGGCCGCTACGTCGCCGACCCCGCGCTTGGCCGATGCAGCGACGCGGCTGATCGCCATTGCAGGAACAAGCACCTGCTACTGTATTCAAAGTGACAAGGGCATCGCTGTCCCTGGTGTATGGGGTCCCTACAAAAATGCCATCTTCCCCGGGATGTGGATGAACGAAGGGGGGCAAAGCAGCACCGGCCAGCTGATCGATATGATCCTCGAAACGCACCCTGCGTATGCGGCCCTGCAAGCCGAGGCGCAAGAACGGCACGTGTCGCCCTTCTCGTTGCTGGAGGAGACGCTTGCGACGTTGATGACAGAGCAAGGTCTGCCCTGCGCATCGCCCTCCTCGTACGCTTTCCTCGTTCGGCATATGCACATGTACCCAGACTTTTACGGGAACCGCTCGCCGCTTGCCGATGCATCGCTACGCGGCATGATGAGCGGCCTTACCCTGGATCGATCGCGTGCCGACTTGGCACGCAAATACGTCCTGACATTGGAAGCCATTGCGCTGCAAACGCGGCAAATTATCGAGGCCATGAACCAACGTGGCCATCGCATTGAAGCGATCTACTTATCGGGCGGAGGCCAGGCACGCAACCTCATCTATGCACAACTCATTGCTGACGTATGTGGCGTGCGTGTCCAGATGCCGAGGCACGCCTCGGCCAGTGTCGTGGTAGGCGCGGCGATTCTCGGGCGTTTGGCAGCCGCCGTGACGCGTGATCGAGCGGGAGAGACACGTGCCAACGATGCCGTGCTGCCATCGCAGGCAGAGGCGGAGGCGTGTGCGCCGTTGTATGCACACACCCTCTGGGACCTTATGGCCCAAACGACGAACTCTGGTGATATGATATTCCCTACCGAGGACCGCCAAACGCTGGCCCTGTTCCAGGCTAAGTACCGTATTTTCCTAGAGTCCATTGATCTGCAGCGTCGCTGGGCCAAGGACATGGATCACATCCATGCCAACTAATCGGACAGCATGGCATGTTGACTCTCGTCGTCCGCTGGCGCAGCGCGTGCATCGTTCAAAATACGATAGCGGCGTCCACGCCAATTCACCGTAGAGCCTGCCATAGCCCATACCCAGATGGGCAGGGCTAAGAGTTCACGTAGGCACCACGCGCCCCATACATAGTGCTTCTCGGCATCTGGCAGCGGCTCGCTACGACGCAGCGAAGCAAATACACTCATGTCCACTTGGTACCAAGCGAACAAATGCAGGGCATAGAAGCCTACAAATGCGATCCACGGATGCGATAGAGGGCCGAACCACGGCGCAAGGAGCCACACATACACGCCCCACCAACCACACAGTCCCGCCACAAGACTCTCGGTGAACGGCTCGACGTACGTAGCCTCTGGCACCATATGACGGCGTACACGGATCCAGCGCATACGCCGCTTGGCATACTCGGCCAGGGTCTGAATATCGCCCACAGCCACTTGCGCCACATCGCCAGGCGAGATTCGATGGGCCAGCTGCACAGGCGGACGCCATAAACTAAGCGCTAGCATATTGTCTTCCGCCAAATAAATGCCAAACCGGGCCAGAGGCCTGGCACTGGTGCGCACCACATCGTCGGCATCGCCTTGCCTGGCGTGCTCAAAGGCACGACTGCCGATCCCGGCATCGTGCGGATCGTAGTGGAAGAACGAGTCAGGTACACGCTCCAAGTCACTCTTGCGGTACATGTTGCTTTTGCCCATCACACAGCTATCCACAGCCACGGCATTGATGGCCAAATACATTTTCGCATGCGTCGTACTGAGGAACACACGTTCCACATGCGAGGCCCAGGTATCAGCAGGTAGCACGCCGAGCGGAACATGATGCACCATACCCACACGATCACCATGCGGCTTACGATGTAGCAGGGTGGGTGAGGGTGTAGGAGGTGGAAGCAACAAGGCATCTACAGCCCGTCCCATGGCCCAAGGGCTCAGCCATACTTGGCTGTCTACCACCCAGACAATGTCAAACTTGGCAGAAGCATAGCCACGGACCAAATTGTTGATCTTGGGATTGACGCCAGCTTCCATATCGCCCACAATGATGGTATGCGCAATGTGCGGGTATCGTGAAGCCACTTGTTGTGCTACGCTCAGGGCTTGGTCGTTGTGGGAACGTACACTCATAATGACCTCAAATTTGTCGGTGGGGTATTGCTGCTCAAACGTAGAGCACAGATTGGTGTACAAATTGCAGTCTAGGCCGGCTAACGGACGAAGGATGGAGACACCTTGCACGGCTTCGTTGCGTGGTGGATCCGTAGACGACAGGGGTGAGCGCGGCCAAGACGCACTGAACAACTTCTTCGCAACAGACCAGCCAAGTAGGCACAAAGCCCATAGAATGACATACCATCCGAGGCCAGCCGCTGCCAGAGCTGCACTCAACACCCCGAGAAAGGTCATGCGTGTAGGTCCGTGAGCCGTAAACACCCACAACGTGTTGAGAAGACCTCCACATTGACCGTTCCTATCTCGTCCAACGTGGACCCCTTTCTACCCCGTCGGACGGCCCGCTTCTCGCTCCCAGGACCTCCATCGTGCCTACATAGCCACCTACATTCTCGTATCCATGCCATAGCGTAACACTAGGGCCGACCTCCTCCTATGCGATCGTAAGCACGTGACACGTGGAGGATGATGGCCTCGCCGACCACCTTATCGTGATCCACGAGCCTCGCTACCATGTCGGGCATTTGCCGTACAAGGTATGTGAGACCAACGTCCGATTGCTCACAGTCAGGCTGCAAGAAGAGAGAAAGCAGTGGCGTCGTGACCATCCTTTTGTACGTACTTCCTTGCACTCATCCTGAAGGGGTTTTATGCACGTCCGGAAAAGGAGGCTGATGGCTCCTTGAATCTCTTGGTATGGGAAGTCGGTATCCCAGGCAAGGCCAACGTACGTATACATTCTCACTCATTTTGGCTAGACGCCCTGGGAAGGTGGTGTGTACAAACTAAAGATGTATTTCCCTGAAGAGTACCCATCAAAACCCCCGAAATGTACGTGTCCTGGTATCATCTTACCTTCAGGCAAGTTCACTCCGCCTCTATTCCATCCCAACGTGTTTCCGTCTGGCACTGTATGCCTCTCCATTCTAGGTATGTACATCTTTCCTAACAACCCTAGACGAAGAAAAGAGCTGGAAGCCGGCTATCACCATCAAACAAATCCTCTTGGGTGTCCAAGACTTGCTCAATGATCCTAACCCTGGCGACCCAGCGCAGGCTGATGCGTTCCATTTGTTCAAGTACGTATACCACCACCACCTCTAACAAAATAGACAAGATCGCGCGGCCTACGAGTAAGTACCATCCTCACCTTGCAGCTACTAACATGCAGGCGGAAAGTCCGACAAATTGCCAGGGAAATGCAGGCGCAAGGCCATGTTGCATAGGGTTTATAGCAGGCATACGAAAATAAGTGGCTCAGCCATTATTGGAAAGCCTACTAACATTGCTATGTTTCAACTAAAATTGGTGCTGTGAAACGGAAACAGCAGCCACTACTAGATCGTGACAGGGAATCACAGGCTTTCCATCTGTTGGACCACCTCGTCGAGCTCCCTCTTCGACTCTTGGTACTTCTCTTGCGCCTCTTCGTACTTTTGTTCCCACTGGTCACGCTCCTGCTCTGCACTCTGGACCTGGCGCTCCAGCTGCTCAGCACGGACATCAGTCTGGCGGAGGCTGTTTGTTAGTACTATAGGCTGTAGCTGACGTACCGTTCCGTCACATCTTTCAGGTTCTTGTCCGTCTCATCCAGCTGCTCCTCGAGCATGTCAATGCGGCGCTGAAGGATATCCACGTTGCTCTTCGCACTTTCACCCTCTTCCTTTCCAACCTTGGCCTCGCTAAGCTTCGACTCAGCACTGTCAAGGTCCGACTCAAGGACAGACAACTTGTGTTGAAGGCTCGAGATCTCTTGCTCCTTGGCCATGTTGTCTTGTTCGAGCTCCTTATTCTTGGCCTCCGCAACTTCGGCGCGCTCAAGAGCAGCATCAGCCTCTGCGCGAAGCGAGTTCAGTTTCTCCTTAATGCGGTCCTACGTAATAAGCCTCCATTCTTTTGACAGCCAATACATACCATGGGCAGTCAGCTTGCTAGTGTTGCTTGTGTTGCAACACCACGCCCCTACGCGACACTGACCGGAGTGTAACTCACGTGATTAGACCGGGATGCGCTGGGCTTGCCAGCCATGTGCACTGGGGCCTGCTTCCCTTAATTGGCTGTACCTACATACCTGCCAGCTTGTCGAAGGCATGTTGGCATCTTGTGATGCTAGTATGACAAGTGCATGGCCCATTCGTGTTCAACTCTTTTCTATATACATAAAGGCATAGGCAGCAAATAGGCACGAAGACCATTTTCCATACTCATAGATGACTGTGTAATGCAGACGCAATTTCACCCTGCGGGGCTGGCCTTCGTTCGTGGTCATCCTATGTGACGCATAACCTTCGAACGTAAATGCTGCGGTCATACTCCTTTGCAGGGTGTCAAGCATGTGTAAGGCAGTGCTACTTTAGAGGAGGATTGCCGGATCGGACCTTTTCGCATTAACATACGCTAAAAGCACTCATTCGATTGCTTGCAATAAGCGAAGGTGTCGTCCGGAGATTAGTCATGTCTTTGAAAGCTTTTCACATCTGGATATAGGCACTTAGCGATAGGCTACAGTTAAACCCCGGTGTCTAAAAATAAAATTTCTTATTCCTCGCTTGCTGGCTGGCTCTTTAGATGCCCTGACTGAGCGATCGCCTTGAGTCGGCTTTTGAGCGAGTGCCTCTTCATTTCGAGACATCACCGAAACCTATTTCCCTAGAAAGTTTGTTCACTTGCTTTTCAGGTGCCATACTACGACTTCCTTAGGTCACCTATTGCTATGTTATCTACTGTGGCCAGCTTATCAAACTGGTTAGGGGGACAACCGAGCGCTTCGCAACCCGAGTCACACCATGAAAAAGTCAAGGCGCACGCCACAAGTCAGCCAAACAACAACACTTTGGCACCCCTAGGGGGCGGAGTTGCGAGGCACGCAACGAGATCTCGTACTCGGACCCGTTCCAAAAGGCATTCACGTTCTCGCGAAGCGTCTCTGGAAGGAGCGACACCGCCGGGGTGGTCTCGATATACCTCGAAAGACTATCCCCTATCTCTGCAAAATTTAGAACAGAGAGGATACCACACCTTCTTCTGCCTTCGGGTTCCCTTCCATGTAAAGAAGCGCTATTCATTTGTGCGAGAGCTAGGTATAGGATCGTATGGCTGTGTGGCACTCGCGTACGACAATGATACGGGTCAATATGTGGCAATCAAACGCATCTCCAACTTTTTCGATCGTGAAATCTTAACCAGGCGCACATTGAGAGAAGTGGTAATGCTTCATCATTTAAAGGACTGTTCCAATGTCATTGACGTTTTAGAGTTTGACGTGTCGTTCATCGAGTTTAACGAAGTATATCTGATCCTCGGTGCCTGTGATGCAGACCTATCTCAGATTATCAACTCAAGGCAGGCACTTTCCGAAGCTCATATCAAATATTTTATGGTACAGCTCATTCGCGCTGTATACTATATGCACTCAGCTCACATTATTCATCGTGACATCAAGCCGGGTAACTTACTTGTCAATGCCAATTGTTATCTGCAAGTCTGTGATTTTGGTATGTCTCGAGCCTTTGAGACAGACGATAATGACTATTTATCCAAGCACAGTCTGCGGGCATTGTTGGACGATATCGGTCCTCTCACACCGACGACACCCAACATTGACCTTGCCAGTACTGAAGTGTCTTTGGTGGACTCCCTTGATATCAAATCATCGTCTCGCGATATTACTTACGAATCAGATCTATCTGAACGTGTTCTTTCATCCAAGCTAGAGAGCTCAAGCGGGAAGGAGCAGGATTTGAGTGTGTCTGTATGCCAGGATTCAGCGCATCGCGTTCGATTTCCAGGCGGCCCTCTTACAGACTATGTCTCCACCCGATGGTACAGGGCACCTGAAGTGATGTTAGGCTATCAAGGTGGCTATGGCCCTGCTCTCGATATATGGAGCGTGGGGTGCATTCTGGCGGAGCTCTTGGGCGGTGAGCCTTTGTTTCCAGGCACAGACTATGTTGATCAACTTAGTCAAATTTACCATGTTCTTGGGACGCCATCGGAAAATGTGATAAATAAAATTCGATCCAAACGTGCCAAAGACCACTTGCAGTCCCTACCTACGGAAAAGTCTTCTTCGTTCTCCGAGCTATTTCCGTCTGCGCCTAAACAAGCGATTGACCTCCTATCCAAACTTCTTCATTGGGATCCACAGGAGCGTATCACTGCTGGTGAAGCTCTGGCGCATCCATGGTTTGAACGGTATCGGAACGTCTCCTTTTCTGCTCAGCAAGCGCCGGTATTTCATCGCTTCCGCGAGGTGGAATTGATCCATGCTCCGTCTGATTTTAAGCGGGCTTTGGAATGGGAAAGCAAATCTATTGGATATAGTTCCTTGTCGCATCAAGGTACGACTGCGCAACAACTGGATCACAAGAAATCGTCCTCTGTTCATTCAACAGGGAGGTCTGACACACCTGATCTTGACCGACATTCGACTTATACGGAGGGTGACTCCTCTCCCCCCTCTTCGAATAGTCCCGGCCCAATGGTAAGCCCACATTCTTCCGGAACAATGGCATCTGTGAGAGAGACGGTAGACACCAATCCGCCTACATTTGGAAGTCATCGCTTAAGGGAGCAACCTTCACCAAGTGAAGATCGGGAGCAAAAGGTGCCTCGTCGGACAGACAATCACGAGTTTTCATTGCTGAAGACAGCCAAAAGTTTGCTTCATTGGTAATTTTCGATATGCTATACTCATTGTATATTAGGTCGTTCATTATGTAAATTTTAAGTGGTATAGTAAGAACTTTTTTTCGTGCGAAAGGCACAGGTGGTATATGTTTTCATGACCAGAGAATATTCCTTAGCATTGTTATCCTTGCTGGAACCTGTACGAATAAGTATGAGAAGGGCATACACACATTCCTTGCATTTTTTTGTTGAAAATAGCATCCATACGTGCATGTCCTAAATTTACCGTCTTCGGACAACCATCCCGATCTTTTTCAAGTCGGGTGCATTCTGCGCAATAATATGCATCCTTCCGATGTAAGATGTCACTGTAACGTACCGATACACCTTGGCCACCACACACTATGCATTTCCCGCCATAATTGCCAAAGTTGCATTCGTCACAAATACGTACAATGGCAGCAGGGCGCACGTACGAGTCACAAATAGGGCTATACGTATGTCAACGATGTAATAGCACGTACCATTTCCCGTCACACCGTTCACAAAGACGCCCTATAGCGATACCAGGGAGTTTCCGGCACAAGATCAAGTCCGGGTGATGCCTAAAGCCGTTAGCTTCTGTACATTTGCGCCACATACTTCGACATGGTAGTGGGTACTTGAGCACTCTTCCGATATGTTCGCGTGGTCCTATGAAATTAGCGACTCTTATTGGATATAATATCTGGGGCAGCTTTTAGACGTTTCTTAATCGAGGCAAACTTTGCTGCACGGGAATTGCTACCTAAAGCCTACATTTCCTGGCTCTCGACTCTTCACGCAGAATGGGGAGTGGTCCCTCAACAGGGAATGGTTCAATGAATGGCAAAGATGCTGCTTCTCGATTTTCTGGCGAAAGTGGCAAAAATACGGATGTCAAATTACCCGTTCGTCGCAACCGTGTTCATTTTGCTTGTATGTATAATGTGTCAGTGAGGTTTATTTACTTTCAGGCACGGAATGTTACAGGCGTAAACAGCGTTGCAATCGACAAATTCCTTGTCAAAACGTATGTATTGATGATATCTCTTACCATAGTGCATTGCACGACGCATTCCCGAACAATGCAAAACATTTCAGCAGCAAGATAATGCCAACGATGCATCCGCACAAATTTCTCAGCTTGAGCACATGTTTGAACAAGGTATTTCTAGGATCAATGACAAGATTGACGATGTTTTGGAGTTAGTGCTGAAAGAGCGTTCACGCTCTGACGGGTCCGAAAATGGACCTGCCCGCAAGTTTACTCGTACTAGTGACTATGTGGTCCATCGTCAATCCGTTGATTTTGCACAAGCGCCCGGTGATATCAATTCGGATGATGAAGACTTTGTGGCAAGAAACTCCAGGTTCCCTTCTCCAAGAGGTCCTTTGGCGTCAGCTGCAGACTTCCTTCCGGGGAAGACTCAAACATCTCTACTTGAATATTTGCCATATCAAACACAAGACGTGCTCAATATTGAAACCATTTCCAAGGTCGTGGAAGATTCTTTAGCAAGTGTATTGTACCCTAAAGACCATGTAAAAAAGATGCTGAATGTATTTTTCAAGTATCTGAATATCCAGCGATACCCATTGCCAAGAAGTGATGTTTTACAGGCCTTTGATAAAGTGTTCAATGGCGAGGGGCGCGTTACTCCGTCCAATATTTCGTCGTATTCTCTTATTATTGTTATCTTGGCCCTATGTACCTTGTATGTGTTTGTTTCACAAAGGGAGACCGTGGAGGAATTCAAACTCGATAATCATTATTACGATTTGGAAGTTTCTCGCCAACTTGCTCGGGCGGCAGAACTTGCTAATCACATTTCACAAAGTATCAATCGTGAAGATCAAAATTCTGTGCTGTCAAACTTGATGATGACGCGTTACTTTTTTGTCACTGGCTTGTCAGGACGGTCATGGACTAGTCTTGTACAAGCTGTACGTATTTCACAAGCTCTCAACCTTCATCGCGATGGCACCGTATTCCACCTCGATGAGACGGAATGTGAGCGTCGTCGATTGATCTGGGCTTTGGTGTATTCAGCTGCCCAAACTTATTCACTAGGTTTTGGCCGTCCACCTCTTATTATTGATACTTTCTGTGACACCATGCTACCACAGCTCACGACGAGTCTGGAGGAAGTCCCTAAACCTTTGCACCCATTATTTTCCAGCTGCCCACCTCCAATTGAATATGGTATCCTCAAGGTTCGAGCTCAATTTGCCAAATTTATTGGTCAGCTGTCATGGTCTATTCACAATGTACAGCGAGTACTCCGTTTTTCACGCATAATGGAGCTCAGTACTGCGTTTGAGAAGTTTGTGAGCGAACTTCCATTTTATTTCCAAGTCCAGTTTGTGAATGGAAAAGTTATAATGAATGAACAATGTGACGAACACTTTAAGTTTTTGAAATTGCAACGTTTCCATTTATGGGTCGACATTCTGTTTTACACACTTTCACTTCACTGCCCTCTTCTGCTTTGCATGGTAGAAAAAGGTACCAAGGTGTCAAAATATGTATCATCTTATGATATTTGCTTGCGGACGGTCAAATTTAGTTTGGCTATGCGACAAAAGCTGCTTCATGATGACTCGAATCTCGTGGGTCCAGCCACGACACGTGATATGATTGCCTCCTTCCGATGGTTTAACACGGTGGTTGTAGCAGGGCTACTCTTGGTGATCAGTCCTAAAGGACCTGATGCAGCTCTGCTTCGCTCATACCTCCATGAATTTATTGAACGTCGTGAAAAGCAGCGTGGCCAAGGCCGTGATGCCATGCTGGAAAAAGACATATCTATAATTCGATCTTTCCTGCTCCAGGCGGACGAAAAAGCGGCCACTGAGTCAGAGAAGTCCGATATTGCTTCTTCGGTCTCCAGTGAGAGCAACAGTCGCAATGTTTCCGAAATTCTCCACACGGCCCTGCCGTTGGAGTCGGCTGTGCCCCCTGTCTCTGGGTCTTCTACTACTACCGGCATGGAGAGCGTCTCAGGTGGTAGTCCTTGGTGTACTGGAGAAACTGGTGCTGCTATGAACTCCAATGTTTTGGCGTCCAATCCCTATCCATGGTCCTTTTTGAGTCAAGGTGTTCTGGACCCATCTATGACTGGCATCTCGTCGGAAATGGATACGACCGTGTCTCCCCTTTCCGTGTCGAACAATCCAGTATCGCCTACGTCTATGCCGCCCTATGTCACGTCGCTTAATTTAGGATCTATGTATCGCATTCCTACTACGCACAGCACGGATGGCCTATCTCAACAGACTTTGATGCCTATTTGGCCTATGAATGCAGGCTATATGCCTAACGCATCACAAGCATTCGAAGTGGATTTTGCGCATCAAAACCAAGACACGCAAGAACTGTTGAACCTATGGTAATATTAACTATCTATTACGAGATCATGTTTTTATTCTTTCGTAAATAAAGTAACGTTTTTTCCTTCGCTTGACGCAATCGGTTGGCACGCTCCAATGTTAGTTGCTCGTAAGGATTCACTTTGGCTGGTGTCTCGCGGCATGCTGCTATTTGTTGGTCCAATTTCTGTAAAGTCCTCCTAGCTTCTGCCACTGCTTCCATATCGAGATGAGTAGCCAATGCGGCACGCGCACAGTTTGTGATATGCTCGAACCGAACAGGACCTAACAGCTCGCCGCCGTACCAACGGCTCACAATGACGAGCACATCACTAGCGCCTTGCTCGCGAAGGACACGTGCCACTTTGTCCGAACCCCAGGCTTCCCCATCATCTTCCTTTCCCTGCTCGATGCCAAAATCAGAGGGACCACCTAGTCCTGTCCGACCAGGCTTGAGTTGCAGGACACGATAGGCGTATATGTCATGTGTACTGCCGCGCTTTGATGGCCCTGAATGCTGAAATTGCGGAGGTAGTTGTGAAATAGGGATGGTTGGATGTACAACATGCTTCAAATGGTCAATAAGGGCGGAAATATAGGTAGGTGACGCTGTCGTTAGGGGGTATACGTATCCAATAAAAACGGAGTGCCTGTCTTGAATATAAGCGGCATCTGTTGTTGTCGGCATAGGAAGGGCGGCGAGATCTGCGTCGGCAGATGATGATGTGAGCCACGTAGCAAGAGATACGCGTGGTCGTTTCGTATTCTCACTTTCCTCATCAGATGCTACACGCTTGTACGAGAGTGACTTTTGCGATGTCACATCCTTATCGCTCATCGACAGCCACAGAAACGCTAAGATGTAAGGACTGTGCGCTTAACTTGCCATGTCCACGTGGTTATATACAGCCTTCAACCATGGGGGTGGTTCCAATACCCCAAGCGCAGTAGATTTGATGATGCTATCTCATCAGCTTCGCACACTTCTAAACCGTCTGTAATGTCGAAAGGTCTTTGTGTAGGATACAAAGCTGTACGTAGATCATGCTGCGCTGCCTTTTGAAAAGAAAAGAATAATAAAAGGGCTATTGACTGCTAGCAAGTTACGTTGTTCAATACGTGTTTTTAACGTACGATACGGATGGCTATATACAAGCTAGATTGTGTCCATACAATAGAGCATAGAGACAGCTTTGATTCCCTGCTGAACGAACGTATGCTGCCATCGGAAAGCGTGCGTCGCTGTCCGTGCAGCTACGTTCAGGCACCACGTGGCCTCTGCCTAGACCCTGCGTGTGGCGGTTTGGCCCGTGCTTCCCATCAACCATGTCTGTGAGTCCGTTCTTCCGTCGTCTTGTTGCTCCCTCGCCTATGATGAGCCGCACTTTGCGTGTGCAGCCTGTCTCGCGTATGTGTGCTATGCCTGTCCGGTCGTACATTGCGCCGAGTGTGGCCCGCACACTCCCTCGCACTGCGCCTCGTGCCGGATTTATTGCGTCACTCGGCCTCGTGGCTGGTGGCTCTCTTCTTGCAGGACAATCGTTGTTCTCGGAAAAGAACCACATTGAATGCCAATCCGCTTTTGCGAAGGAGCATGAGATCCCCATGCCAGGTTCGAAGCCTGAACCAGAAAGTATTGTGAACCTGTACAAGTTGTCGTTTGGCACTGTATGTGGTCTTTGCGCTGGCATCTTTATCAAGAAGGGTTTGAAGCTTATTGCCGTGCTCCTCGGTGCTTCGTACGTGCTTCTTCAATACCTGGCATCCAAGCGTCTGATCACAATCGACTGGAAGAGTCTGCAGACCAGCTACAACTCGTCGGTGGATCGTCTGGCTGGCCCTGCTGACAAGGCGAAGAGTGGTATGACGCAGTACCCTCTTGTGCGCATTTGGAACCGCATGGTCGAGTTCCTTACGAGCAACTTCCAGGAGCGTGCCACCTTTATTGCTGGTCTTGTGCTGGGTCTCCGTCTCGGATAATCATATCTACAAGCAAGAAATAGTATTACAAACGTGTGATAGCCTTGGCATCTAATGGCATGCCCGTTTGTGGATCGATGTTATACTTCTGTAGCATAGCTCGATGCCTGCGAAGCCTCGCTTCGTCAAAGGACTTGTAGTCAGTTGTGCAGTTTCACGTACGATGCCAAACTGTTGCATCATTTGATGCACTTCTTGCATCCCCGCTTCGTCTAGTCCTACGCGTGAATCACCTTCGAGAATATTTGCTTCGATATCAAACATATCGCTAGAAAGGCCTGCATTTCGTGCTGCGTGCCAGTCAAATACGGTCAGCCGGCTGTATACGCCGCCTCCACGCAGATGCAGATACTCCAGCCAGGTAAGAATGCGCGTCTGCGTCGATTGCGATAAAAGGGACCATAAACGTTCACGTTGCCAGTAGGATACTAGGACGTTAGGGAAGATATACGCACAAAGTACAGCCACAAACAACAAAACCGAACTCACAAACGATACAAAATAGATCGACATGCCGCTGTTTGTGTCGGGGTGGGATGGTGGCCACCTGCCAAACTACGTGGATACACGCTTCCATACTATGACCGGACGCACGGGTCAACACAGGTAGGATCCTCGGCCGCCCATTGCACCAGCTGCCTAACAACATTCTGCTTCTCTTCTTGAACACTAGCGGTTAGTCAGGCATCAAACGTACTCTTTTGTCCCAATAGCTTGAAGGGCAAGGAGGTTGGCACCCAATGCGCGTGACGTAGAGAAAGTGATCGGATGACGATGGAGCAGTGTTTCTAATGGCTGTATGCTGTGCATCACATCGCCCGTGTACAAGTGTTCTAGAGCCAACGTGTTGACAAACGACTGACTTGCTAGTTCTGTGTCTGTGAGTGATTCATCACTTAAGAACATCTGAAGGGCGTGCGGCTCCGTAAAGCGTGATAGGAGAGCCTGGTGTATTCGAATGGTCATGGCCAACGTAGTATCGGACAGATTTGCAGATATTTCAGCCTTTTTAACGGAATTGCGCGCCGATTTCATGTCGCTCATTTGCATATACAATCTGGATGCACATAAATAAAGATAGGGGTCTTGATAATGCACTTCGTCGACAAAAGCCTGTATCGCTCGCAACACGGAATGAACCGCAGGAATCTCATCAGCTTCCACCAAGAGGGAAGCGAGTACCATTCCGGTACGAATATAACGACTCACCCAGATCTGGTACGAGGAATCATCGGCATGAGAAGCAGCATACCTTGCCTGATGCAATGCATACCACATGGCATCTACGCCTTCCCGGCGGTACCCACTGTGGAAAAGAGCTTGTCCATGAAGAATGTGAAATGAGTAGGGGATATGGCTGGTATGCGCCAGTGAGACAAGGGTCGCATCGTCTTCTCCGTAAACTTGAAGGGATTCAATCACTGTCCATAAAGCGTTGAACTCAGCACGCATCTGCTGGAAAAATTGAAGCTTAATAAGAGCTAAAAGCCGAACCTGCCACCATGCTACCGTGTGCCCCAGGTCTGCGGTAGATACGGACGCAGTATCCGGCAACGGCGAACAAATGCATACGGCGGCCACATGCGCTACTTTTCTCCACGAGCGAGAAGCAATAGCATCGCAGCACAATAGTGATGCATTTTCTGGCTGAATTTCATCCGTAACTGCATCGTTTCGCGCTCGTTGGTAGCCTGGCGCATATTGCTCTAGCAAAGTTGACAGCCCATCTTGCTACGTTGTTAATAAAAGAATACACGTACTGAAGGAAGCTCACTCAGTAATTCTGAACGACGGATAGAGTACAGGGCATGTGCAAGAAATTCAGAGCTACTAGGCACGCCTGCCTCTACATAGGACGATGCCATACGCTGAACAAAAGCACAAGTCGGACGGACGTGTGGTACGAGCGCGGTGGTGTGCGCACTGTTCGTGTTAGATTATGTAAGAATATATCAAGTCGTTCCTCTTCCAACGGCTACGTCATGGCCAGGTATCTAAGCAATGACTGCGTACAGTCTCGATAATACGTTGCTTATCGTATGGTAGGAGGGACAGGGTCCACCTTGATTCGCTTCGATGGTGCCTCGCCCTCACTGTTGGTATATGATATAGCAGATTCGGCACGAGCAGCTCGCGGCGTCGTGGGCTGGTTTGCATGCACCTTGGCTCCTTCAGAGTCTGAGGCAGCACTCGGAGCCGCAGGCATGTGCGTATGTGCTGGCATCCCAGTACTAGGCGTAGACTTTCCGTCAGAGGGAGGTGCATGCGTGCGGTCTCCGCTAGATGAATCCGATACGTCTTGCGAGCGGGCATTCTCCAAACGGGAGACGTTGTTATGCTGCGGAGGGCTCGTGCGCGCTCCATCAAGCCTACTCCAGAAGGATGCATAGGTGGAGCCATCTGCAGCCTGGCTAAGTGTGCGCGTAGAGGCGTGTGAGCGATGCGTCGGGGATGGCGGAGTCATTCTCGACTTAGGTTTCAACGATGCCTCTTTTTCTGGCGTCTGGAAAGCACTTCCAGAGCTGCTAGACGATTGCGATAAGTTCATCCTTCGACGATAATACAAGTTTTCCACTTCTGATAGCGACTGCCTGGTCCATCCATTCTCCACTTTGAAGATAGCGTATCGAAGCCGTGTAGAAAGCATATTTGAGAGCTAGCGTTAGAAATTTCAGAGCGAACATACAGATATAGCCCTAGCCCGTTCCGCTTGAGCTTGCCGCTTCGACTTGGGAGTGGATACTGTCATGGCAGCATGCGACATTGCGCACGCCTTTCGTGGCCTGCCGAGACAACAAACCGCCCGCGGGGTCTGTCTCTATCCTCTCTCCTTCGCCTCCACCATCGCGTCACGTCTCGTATCACGTGCAATTACACGTGACAATAAGCCCCTGACAGCAGAGAGGGCGTCTCCGCCGCCGATGTAAGTGTTGCGCACGCTCCGACTTTGTCCCTATTGTGACATACGAGCACGACTGGACGCTTGGTTCGTGTCAGTAGCGCGTGACTTGGTGACGTCTGTTTTTGTATACTTTTGTATATTTCTGCGCGCCTAGCGTAGCGGAAAGATGGCGCCACATTCACAGCCTCTTGATGCATACGAGGCAGGCACGAAAGCGTGGTTTCCTCACGATGAGCAAGGTTGGGTGAGTGCCACGCTAAGCAAGGTGCCGGACGTGAAAGATGATGGCCATGTGACTATGGTATTTGTCCTGGACGATACGGGCACAGAGCATGTCGTGGAGACAACATTGGACAAGATTCAAGCTCCCGGTGGTGTGGACAAAGAGCTCCCGCCGCTTCGCAACCCGCCCTTGTTGGAAGCATCGGATGATTTAACAGCGCTGAGCCACCTAAACGAGGGTTCTATTTTGCATACCATTTTGAATCGCTATCAGCAACGGATCATCTATACATACTCCGGTATTGTACTTATTGCTGTGAACCCGTTCTTTGATTTGAATCTGTACAGCCCGGAAATTATTCAGGCCTACGCTGGACGGCGACGTGGAGAGTTGGAGCCACACCTGTTTGCCGTGGCTGAGGATGCGTACCGCTGCATGATCCGTGACCGCAAGAACCAGACGATCGTCGTAAGTGGTGAGAGTGGTGCTGGTAAGACCATGTCCGCCAAATACATTATGCGCTATTTCGCAACTGTGGAAGATCCTGACACAGTGTCTCTTCGTCGTACAAACCCATCAGGAATGAGTGAAACTGAGACGGCGATTCTTGCGACGAACCCTATCATGGAAGCGTTTGGTAATGCCAAGACGACCCGGAACGACAACTCGTCACGTTTCGGCAAGTATCTGGAGATCATTTTCGACGATCGCCATGAAATCGCTGGTGCCAAGATGCGCACGTATTTGCTTGAGCGTTCTCGATTGGTATACCAGCCTGAGGTGGAGCGAAACTACCATATCTTTTATCAGTTGTGTGCTGGTGCACCTGAGGAACTCAAAGCAAAGCTCTTCCTGGAGCATGCCTCGCAGTTCCACTACCTGAGCCAGGGTGGACCTGATCATCACGAGATTGCTGGTGTGGATGATGCTGCGGAGTTCAGGGCAACGGTGAATGCCTTCTTGACCATTGGCGTATCAGAGGAGCGTCAAGAACAGATCTTTACGCTTCTTGCTGCGTTGCTTCATCTCGGTAACGTTGCAGTGACAGCCACGCGTAACGATGCACAGATCTCGCCAGATGACACGTCGCTTCAACGTGCGGCTGGGTTCCTGGGTGTTGACGCTGGGGAGTTGCGTAAGTGGACATTGAAGCGTCAGATCCAGCTGCGTGGTGAGAAGATTGTCTCGAACTTGAACCAGGTACAAGCGACTGCGGTTCGTGACGCCGTGGCCAAGTACGTGTATACCTGCCTGTTCGATTGGCTTGTGGCTGAAATGAACAAGACACTGGAGCCTTCGGATGCCAAGGCAGCGGCTACTATGATCGGTGTGCTGGATATCTACGGCTTTGAGTGCTTCAAGGTGAACTCTTACGAGCAGTTCTGCATCAACTATGCCAACGAGCGACTGCAGCACGAGTTTAACACTCATGTGTTCAAGCTTGAGCAGGAAGAATATGTGGCGGAGGAGATTCCTTGGCAATTTATCAGCTTCTCAGACAACCAGCCGTGTATTGATATGATTGAGTCCAAGTTTGGATTGCTATCATTGCTGGATGAAGAGTCGCGTTTGCCTTCGGGTCATGATTCGTCGTTCTTGCAGAAAGTGTATGGCCAGCTGCAGCCTAAGCCTGAGTTTAAAGACTTCTTGGCCAAGCCGCGCTTCGGAGCGCAGAGTGCATTTACGGTGCGCCACTATGCCCTGGACGTCACGTACGATGTGGATGGGTTCATGGAGAAGAACAAGGATACACTTCCCGAGGAACACTTGTCGCTGCTTAGCACAACCACCTCGCCGTTCCTGCAGGCCGTCCTCTCGGCACGCGCTGTGACTGACGCTGCCCAGCCAGCGACTTCGTCACGCAAGGTGTCGGGGCCGAGCAATTTGGCGAAGAAGCCAACGTTGGGCACGCAGTTCAAGGCCTCGTTGGGCGCGCTCATGGAGACGATTAATTCCACGGAAGTGCATTACATCCGATGTATCAAGCCGAACGATATGAAGATGGCCTGGGAAGTCCAACCGCAGAATGTGTTGAGTCAGCTTCGTGCCTGTGGTGTCTTGGAAACGATTCGTATTAGCTGTGCCGGCTACCCAAGCCGCTGGACGTTTGCCGACTTTGTGGAGCGGTACTACCTGCTCGTTCCTTCCAAGCTATGGGATATGACCTCACTGGAGAAGGTGCGTGATCTAGCCCACAAGATTCTGGCAGCGACCGTGGAGAAGGACAAGTACCACTTTGGTAAGACCAAAGTATTTTTCCGTGCGGGTGTCTTGGCCTCGTTTGAGCAAATGCGTCGCCATGTCCTTAACAATCGTACTTGCACGATCCAGACGGCGTGGCGTAGGTACGCTATGCAGTCGCGATACCGTGCATTGCAGAAGGGTGTACTGGCTATACAGTCTATGGTTCGTCGCCGTCAGGCGGAGGCAGCGTACGAAGTCGCGCGGCAGATGCGGGCCATTCTGCTGCTGCAGACGGCGGCGCGTGGTGCGCTGCAGCGCCAGCGTTTGCGGCAGGCGTCGCAGGCGGCGGTGCGCATCCAAGCGGCCGTGCGTGGACACCAAGCGCGTGCAGCGTTCTTGCACGCACGTACAAATGGCCACGCAACACGACTGCAGACGGCTGTACGTGGCTGGCTGGCCCGCCGTGCAGCGCTGCAGCGCACGCGCCATGTGACGCTCTTGCAGTCGCTTTACCGCCGTAAGCTGGCTCGAAAGGCGCTTGTCGAGCGTCGTACAGAGGCGAAGAGTGCGTCGCATTTCCAGGAAGTGTCCTACAAACTCGAGAACAAAGTTGTGGACCTCACGCAAAGTCTCCAAGACCGTACGCGTGAGAACAAGGACCTGCGGGCCGCATTAGCAGAGCTGGAAGCGCAGCTTTCCTCGTGGCAGAACCGCCACGAGGCCCTCGATGCACGAGCACGTGGTCTCCAAGAGGAAGTGCAAAAGCCCAGTGTGCCTGCGGAAGAGCACGAAGCACTGTTGGCCGAGCACGAGGCGCTTTCGCAAGAGCTGGTCCAGGCGCGTGGCCAAATTCGCGATTTGGAGGTGGAGATTGGAACGCTGAAATCGCAGCTGCGGTCGGTCGAGGCGCCGGACTCGGTGGTCCAGTCCCTGCGTAACGAGATTGCGATGCTGCGCGAGCAGCTGGGCCGTGCGAATGCCCAGAACGAGCGCAATGGAACTACAGTGCCACTGGGCCCTCGCCAGCGGAGCGCTAGTGGCGACTATGTCGAGGAGCCATTGGAAGAGGTGGTTGATGAGGATCTTGTGCGGGCTGCGCCGTCGGAGGAGATTATTGAGTTGCTCGAAGACGAAGTACAGTTGGACGAGGATGTTCTCCATGGACTCATCGAGTACCTCAAGATCCCTGCGCCGAGCCTGCAGAACCCGCCGGGTCCGAAGGAAGTCTTGTTCCCAGCGCACCTCATTAGCCTGGTCACCAACGAAATGTGGAAGTATGGCTTGGTCCGTGCGAGTGAGCGGTTCTTGGCCAACGTCATGCAGACCATCCAGCAGCATGTCATGTCGTTCCATGGGGACGATGCGATTGTGCCCGGCATTTTCTGGCTCTCGAATGTGCATGAGATTCTGTCGTTTGTGTGCATTGCAGAGAGCGATATGCTGCAAGGCATCGGCCCAGGTGTTGATGGGTCGGCGCGGGAGTTTGAGTGGGGCGACTACGAGCGCCTCGTGACGATTGTCAAGCACGACTTGGATTCGCTGGAGTACAATATTTACCATACGTGGATGCAGGAGGCGAAGAAGCGGCTGAACAAGATGGTTGTCCCTGCGCTTGTCGAGTCGCAGTCGCTGCCTGGCTTTGTGACCAACGACTCGAGTAGTCGTTTGTTGAACCGTCTGTTGGCCGGCACAAATGCGCCCTCGTACACGATGGACGACATCTTGGCATTGCTGAACAAGATTTGGAAGTGCCTGAAGAGCTACTATGTCGAGCCGAGCGTCACGCAGCAGGTGATTACAGACCTGCTCAAGATGATTGGTGTGACGTCCTTTAACGACTTGTTAATGCGACGCAACTTCTGCTCGTGGAAGCGTGCAATGCAGATCCAGTACAACATCACGCGTCTGGAAGAGTGGTGCAAGTCGCATGATATGCCAGAAGGCTCCCTGCAGTTGGAACACCTGTTGCAGGCCACCAAGCTGCTGCAGCTGAAGAAGGCGACGATGAGCGATATTGATATCATTTACGACGTGTGCTGGATGCTGACGCCGACGCAAATCCAAAAGCTCATAAGTCACTACCATGTGGCAGACTACGAGAACCCCATCTCCCCCGATATCCTCAAGGCCGTGGCCAGCCGCGTTGTACCCAACGACCGTAACGATTACCTGCTCTTGCCGCCCGAGGTCGACGAAGCAGGCCCGTACGAGCTCCCTGTCCCACGTGAAGTGACAGGCATCGAGACGTACTGCCCCGCCTACCTGAACGTGCCGCTCCTACGGAACCTGGCAAGCAAGGTGGCATAGTGTATACAGATGATAGGTTACGTTTATGTACGTACAGTGAGCGTGGTGTTCATGAGGATGCGCGAAACTACAGCATCATGGTCATCGTCAGCGTCGTGGCATGCACACCGAGAATCGGGGGGCCACCGCCATACAGCGTTCGAAGCTGCAGCAAGTACGCTTGACTGTCTCCTTCGTTGGAGGAGGTACCTGGCACCGGCGCCGGCAGCGCTGTGAGGACCACAGAAGTACTGCGAGACGAGTGATTTCGAATGAGCTCATTAAGAATCAAGTACTGTGCCAAATTCGGCAGGTCGTTGAAGGATAACGCGAAATGATCCAAAGCGATAGGATCGATCGCTGGCGGTGGCAGCGTACGTACACGACGAGGGGTTGGTGGCTCTGTAGGGGATCGCAATGGGGATGTCGACGCACTGGAAATGAGAGGCGAAGTTGTAGACTTGCGGCCACGACGTCGACTGTCCGTTTGCACAGTCGCAGGCGTGACAGTCCGTTGCGATGACGACAACGTACCATACGAGGTAGAAACAGAGCTATCGCCTTGAAGACGCTCACGCTCGCGACGCTGTGCGCGCTTCGGATTGATCAAGTACTTGGGGTCCCAGTCGACCGCCAGCGATGCCAACTCAGCCTCCAGATCATCACGGAGACTCACATCGTCGTCCATGTCGTCCATTTCGCTGTCACTATCGCTCAGATCATGCGAGCGTGGGTGGGCGAGACCCAGACGAATATTGTTGTAGTGGAACGCCAAATGCTCTTCTGGCAAGCTTACACCAAACTGACGCGTGTTCTTGCGTCGCGCGGACTGACTAGATAGAGAGTCCGTGCTAGCTCGTCGTGATGCAGACGAAGAAGATGCGTTGATAGGCTCGGAGCGACCCAGTTTGGACTGCTCTTGTGCTTGCCGCATATCGCATACGTGCTGCCACCATGAGTCGTTCTTCAGCGTGCGACTACTTTCATCGTCCAGCGCACGCTTGCCTTGCACGATGGCATCGTACCGTGGCACATGGCCTGCCGACAAACAAAACACACGCAACGAGGCTGGGATGCGCAAATTGTCCAATAGTGTTCGCACACGCGTCCGCTCTGCATCAATTTCGTTCGGGTGTTCCACAAATACACTCACACGAAGCTTGTGACGCTTCCATGTCCCTGTGAGACTCAAAATGGTACCGAGCTGCAGTACCATGGTATAGGTATCCCACGTGGGCGTGTCCGTCTGCGTATTATGAGCAATTTGGATGGGCCATAGATCAATGTACTGGTCACTGTCGGTGCGTTCGTACTGCGCAACTTTCGAAGGACCTGGAAGATCCATAGCATCAAAGCCATAAGCCACAGCCAAGGCCTTGTTTAGCGCCAAAGCATCTTCCAGAATGCCCACATACGTCGCACATCGGATCGGTGAAGCCACAGGCGCCGCTTCGGTGGAGAGTTTCGAGGTCCCAGCCTGTGTGGCACGCGAAATGGGTCCACGTCGAAGTTCACTCGGGCGTTGCAGTACAGAGGGGAAACCTAGCACCACAATATTCGGCTTCATACCGCCGAGACCGCATGAGAGAAACAGGTTGCGGGCACCTTCACGCTCATCCCGCGCAATGACCACATCCACAAAGCCTTTGATGCGACTCACATCGACCAACTTGAGCCAGGCCAGGTGGCATTGCCGCAGCTCCGGCAAGCACTCCTGAAACTCACCTTTGAGGACGTGCCCAAGGATGTACAGGGCTCCCTTCTTCAGTGAGTTGCAGAAGATGATCAAGTTCCACTCGGTGCGGGGATTGTTGGCCAAGAGCAAGATTTGCGGTCGCCAGTACTTGACATGACCTTTGCGCTCATCCAATCGTAGCAGGTATTTGCGGACAAAGTGGTAGGTTACATTGTGCGATACATCGCCCCATGGTTTCGGCGGTGAGAACACTTGGATCATAATAAAGAGGATCACTGTAATCGCGATACAGAATGCTGCCGTATATGCATCGGTCAGGATCATGGCTCCCAACGACATGACAGTCCCAGCGCCAGCTGTCCAGATATTCCAGTACCGGAACGAAGGACGGAACGACGGTGCGCCACCCGCTTTGAGTGCCATAGTCGCTGCCGAAAGTACGCCGAAGGTGAGCAGCGTGGTCATCGTCACGAACTGAGCAATCAAGTTAATCGAGTCCATAAGCAATACCGCTTGGCACAGCACCGCTGTAAAGAGCACGGCATACGTCGGGATGTCGCCATGCAAGGTGCCTTGGGCAAAGGGAGCTAGGAAAGGCAGCAGGTCATCGCGCGCAATGGCTTGCAACACCTTGGCACAGGCCATCACACCCATCAAGGCAGAAAAGCCACAGGAGGCCAACTCGCCCAGAACGATGACAATCGGCCAGTAGGAGACGTCGCCGAGAATGCTTACATTCAGGTAGAAGGACTCGCGTGAAACGGTGCAAGCCATGATCACAAATGTCACGACATACAAGCCAAAAGTAAAGATCAGCGACCAGTTGGTGCCTTTGGGAATACTCTTGCTAGGCTTGCGCAGATCGCCAGACATGGACGCACCGGCAAGAATACCACAAACCGCTGGGAAGAGCACGCCAAAGACGGTCCACCAGTTTTCACGCTTGGGCGCCGTAGAGGAGCCCGCTGCACCTGATGTGAAATGCGGCCAGAGATTCTCGGAAAGTGTCATCCAGCTCCAGCCGGTATAGTACACGTCGCGCGCTGCATCTTCCATCGGCTCAACCAAGAACGAGGAGAGCGGAATGCTAATCACTGCAAAGCTCAGAATAACAGCGAGCAGCAATGTTGCCCGCGTAAATAGCGAGGACCCAAACAAGCACACCAAGGTGCAAAGCCATAGGACCACGGTGCCATACAAGTAGAGGAACCAGGACCCTTCTGGAAAGAGACCCGACGCAGCCGACTCACCAAACACGCCCACAAAACTCTCGACAAAACCCAAGATGTTCATGGCCGCATTGAACGCCTGGCCAAAGAAGAAAATCAAACCAATCGATCCGCCAAACTCGGGGCCCAGCGAGCGGGAAATTAAATAGTACGCACCGCCGCCTCGCACTTGGCCATTGGTAGAGATGGCATTGAGACTCAGTACAGTGAGTGTATCAATCGCATAACTGATGACCAAGAGGAGCAAAGCGCCTAGCAAGCCAGCCTGGCCGAGAATAAAGCCAAAACGCAAAAACAAGATGATACCGAGCACATTGAGTGTGACAGGCATGAATACACCGTCCCAAGTGCCCAGCTTACGAACGGCCGGTTCGCCCAGCGGCGCGCCACTCAGACCACCAGGGGCGCGCGACTGGCTGCGGCCATGCAGCACAGCAGCGGCCGTCGCCTCATCGGGGAGACCGCTCTTCTTGGTCGGTGTAGCGTTGGAGGTCGGAGGCGCAACCTGACTGTTGTCCGAGTTACGTCTATGCAGCGAAGGTGCTTTCGACGGTGTAGCAGACTCGGCAGCGACAGCCGAGGTATCCTGCACTGCCGCAGGATCCGCATGCGCATCGTCGGACTCTTGGTCCGTGGAGCGTCGCAACAGCTGCTCCTGAAGTGAGGCATAATCAGCTTCGTCAGCAGAGATGAAGCGCGACATGGCTGCTAACTAGCCAAGTCGTCTCTCGGACTAGCCGCCAAGCTGTCTCCTGTCGTGATCCACGAGCGAGTGGAGGAAAACCAGCGCGGACGTGGGAGACACGCACGTCTTGTCTTTGCGCGCTCAGACAGCCTGCCTCCTGCGGATTGATCTATCACGTGCGGTCCTGACGAGCGAACGACCCCTACCATCCATCCACACGCACAGCGCACGTTGCCTGCATGGCGAACACCACGGCGCATGGGGCCTTGTCGATCCACGGGACCAACCCTCAGTTCTTGGTCGAGCGTGTGATTCGTACGCGAATTTATGACTCGACGTACTGGAAGCAGGACTGCTTTGCCTTGACAGCAGCGACGCTGGTGGACAAGGCCGCCGAGCTCACGTACGTGGGTGGCACATATGGTATGCTACGGCCTAGCCCCTTTCTATGTTTGGTGTGCAAGCTGCTTCAAATCCAGCCGGAAAAGAGCGTGATTGAAGAATATCTAGCTGCGGACGACTTGAAGTATGTATGCATGTGAAAGATCTAACTGCTGCCGCAGATACCTGCGTGCTGTCGCTGCAATGTACGTACGCCTCACATACCCCTCGATGGACGTATACGAGACACTAGAGCCGATGCTCAATGATTATCGGAAGCTCCGGTGGCGTGATATGACAGGACAATACTCTCTCTCGCACATGGACGAATTTATTGATCAGCTCTTGACAGAAGAACGCGTCTGTGACCTGATCTTACCGCGGCTCACCAAGCGTACTGTTCTTGAAGCCAACGAAGGTCTACGGCCGCGCCGGTCACGATTGGAAGAGGCCATGGTGTTAGGGGATTCACAAGGGCTGGAGAGCGGTAGTGAGAGCGACGACTCGTTGGCAGCGCTGCGGCAGGAACGTCGAGAACGTGACGAGCACGCGGATCGTGTACGCGCGGAGCGTCAAGCGCGGCTCACTCGCGCACGGGCAGAAGATGCGTCAGGTAGCGACGAAGGGTATGCATCGCAGCAGTCGGCCTCCGACGAAGAAAAACTCCATGCACGACTGCAGCAAAGTCGCTCGCCGTCTCCTGCATTCCGCTCTCGCTCGCCTAGCCGATCGCCATCGCCTGCGTTCCGTTCTCGCTCGCCTAGCCGATCTGTGTCACCTGCGTAAACCAGATTACATCTATTGTACAACTAACTACATAGCTGATTCCAGCAACTCGTCCACGTCGCTGGACGATAAGTCCTCGGTGCCTGACGTAGACGAACCTGTATCAATACTAAGATCCGTGGCTCTCAAAGGTTTCTGCACGCCAAGCACGGTGGCTGGGCGTAGGTGCGGCGCAAAGAGCGACATCACAGGCGGCTTGTCCACGGCGGCGATCTGCTCGACCATCGCAGCAGTTTGGTCGTGAGCTAAGCGCGTAAGTGCCTCGTTTGCACGACGTAAACGGCGGCATTCCTGGCTAAGTTCCTGGATAAACGCATCACGTTCTTGGATCAGTTCATCGGCCATCGCCACGCGATCCGCCCATTCCGCTTCGACGTCCTCGCGCACTTGGCGAGGCGCCTCTTGGGCTTGTGCGTCACACACGGTTTCCAGCTCGCGGATTTGATGCATCAAGTCGCGAATTAAATCGTTCTTGGCCGCCTCGTCGGAGCCAGCAGCAGCAGGAAGCGACAGCCGTCGCGCGAGCTGCTTTTCCAATCGATGGATCTTATTGAGTGCCGCGTGCAGTTTTTCCTGGACGCGCGTTAGTGGATCGTCAAAGGTAAATCCGCGCTGCTTTGCTGGGGAGACCGGATGGGGAGGCCCGGCATCGTGAATCGAAGCCGAGGCCATACCACTCTGCAAAATCAAAGCACCCAACTCGTCGAGCCTCGCTTGCACGCTTTGCAGCGAGGGTGGGCCGATGCCCGACGTGTCCTGCGATGCGGTGCGTAGTTCAGCCACTTGCGCACGCAAAGTACCCATCTCCTCCTTATAACGTGCCAGGAGAGCATGCGATTCGTCCAGCGAGGAAAGATCGCCATCGTACTCGTTGCGCTCTGCCTTCACAGCCACATGCTTAATGCGACGAGCAAAGTTCAGCGTAGACAAACTCTCTTCCACCATTGTGGGACTAGGATTGAGCGTGCATACCACAGCAATACGTGCATGGCCGTTGAGGTTGTTTTGCAGAATGCGTGTGAGTTTGGAATCACGGTAGGGAATATGCGCATTGGCCATCGCGGCGCCTCGATGGCTTTTTTCCGAGAGCGCGTAGATGACCTTGCCCAGGCTCAAGAGACTCTTGTTGATATTGCCACCTTCAGCACGACGGTTCGTGCTGTGCATGGAATGCCTTTCTGACCCTGCCAGGTCAATCAACGACAGTTCACCAATACGGTATGGTTTCGGGGCACTGGGATCCCGATCCCACGACTCGACAGTAATTTTGAAGCAGGTGTGACTGCGTGACGATCGTTCGTTCCAATCCGTAGCACCTACATGCCGATTCGCTTCGCCTCGCGCTAGTAAGCGGAAGACTTGCGCAGGCGAAGTCACCACAGCTTCATGCAGGGGCGCGACACGCACAGCGTTGGCACCGAGTCGTCGATCGTCACGAACAAACGGATGGTTCGTAGGCTCCAAAAGATCCTTCACAATCTCGTTCCATATTTCCAAATAGCTGACACGTAGTAAATATTCACGCTCGCCAGCGCCTTGGCAAATACCTTGGAACAGGTCATGGATCGCACGAGGGATCACACCAGGTTCCAGCCCATCTTCATCCCCAGACAAGGTAAAGGTCTTGCCACTTGCCGTTTGGCCATATGCAAAGATCACTGCATGGTAGCCATGCAAGACAGAATGAACCAGAGGCCGTGCCATTGTAGTATAGACATCCGCATTGGAGCTGCCCGTATGCACACCATCAAGATGGTAGGGCAGGCCTACATTGGGCTGCGCCTTGGTTTGCGCAATAGCAGGATCCAACATGATCGTCGCGGAGTCGGGATCCACAACCCACGCACACTCTTCTTCTTCATGCGGGGGGCGTACTCGTACATGCACTTGCACAGAGTCTGCAATAGGGGTATCATCTTGATGCAGGACAAAAGAGCCTTCACCAATTTCACTAGCGAGGGAAAGTACATCAATGCGTTCACTGGGGGAAGGAGGACGAGGAAGTCGCGCTGGCATAGGCCGATCGCCCACGCGAACAGCCCGCGTCGAGGCAGGCGGTTTTCGTAGGTCCGGCGCGGAGTGCACAGGCAAAATACCTTCGGTCACTTTGGCACGGACAGGTCGTGATGTCGACGCAACAGCGCTCGACGAGGAGCCTGGCGTGCGCGATGTAAAAGGAAGGCGGCTCACGGCCAAGGACGTCGCAGGGCGTGTGGGAGGTACTGTGCGGGCAGGTGGGTCCGTCGGTACCACTTTGCGCGTAGGCGACGCGGTGCACGTACGCCGGATAGGTGAAGTAGTGCGTTCCGGCGGTGGCCGTGCACTCGGCGTAGGGCCCAACGCCGACGCAGGGCGCAGCTCACGGGGTCCAGTGGGCGGCCGCGTAGGAGAGCGGAGCGACACCGCAGGCGTTACCATATGTACATCGTTAGCTGTAAGACTTTCTTGTAATGGTTGTGCCTTGGGCGGAAATGGACTGCCAGTCTTGGTAGGTGAAGTGGACGTCGATGCAGACAAAGACACAGGCACCACAGGCCGTATATGCCTTTTCCGCGGCGTAGGCATAAACGGCGTACGGGGCGTTGTTGGACGCGTCATAATAGAGGACGAGTCCATGAGCGATACAAACCCAGCAGGACGTTCTGCTGGCTTGTGGCTCGCCACGCCGCCGTCGTCCACATCCATGCTGGCGACGACGTCAAGGTGTTGTGTTGCGCGCTCGCTTCCCCTTCACGCGCAACGTCACGTGATGGTGATCGAACGTGGAGTGCGTGGCGCCTGGGACTCCAGGAGCGCGCGCGGCCAGGTGCGACGACGACCATGAGTGGCGAGGCAGACACGAAGGTCATGGATGATCTCCCACAGGAGATCCGCGATGCGGATGTCCAGGAGATTCAGATGCGTACGCGTATGCTGGAGAACGAGATTCGTGTGATGAAGTCTGAGCATATGCGCTTGCGGCATGAACAGAGCGTGATGAAAGAACGCATCAAGGATAACAGCGAGAAGATTGCTCAAAACAAGGTGTTGCCCTACCTTGTGGGCAATGTAGTGGAAATATTGGACATTGATCCTGATGTGGACGAGGATGCGGAAGAAGGTGCGCATGCGGAGCCGTCCACCCACAAGGGCCAATGCGCTGTGATCAAGACGTCTACGCGCCAGACCATCTTCTTGCCCCTCATCGGTCTTGTGCCTGCCAACGAGCTGCAGCCTGGCGACTTGATAGGTGTGAACAAGGATAGCTACCTGATCCTTGATAAACTACCAGCTGAATACGACTCACGCGTCAAGGCGATGGAAGTCGACGAGCGACCCACCGAGACATATACTGACATTGGTGGTCTTGACAAGCAGATTGAAGAGCTTGTTGAGGCTATTGTTCTTCCTATGCAGCAAGAGCAAAAGTTCAAGAACCTCGGCATTAAGCCGCCGAAAGGTGCTTTGATGTACGGCCCTCCGGGAACCGGCAAGACCCTTTTGGCGCGTGCCTGTGCTGCTCAAACCAATGCATGCTATCTCAAACTAGCAGGCCCGTCTCTCGTGCAAATGTTTATCGGTGATGGTGCCAAGTTGGTCCGAGATGCCTTTGAGCTCGCGAAAGAAAAGGCGCCGGCCATTATCTTCATCGACGAAATTGATGCCATCGGTACGAAGCGTTTCGACTCCGACAAGTCGGGTGACCGTGAAGTGCAACGTACTATGCTAGAACTGTTGAACCAGCTGGATGGCTTCTCTAGTGATGAGCGCATCAAGGTCATCGCTGCTACCAACCGTATTGATATCCTCGACCCAGCTCTGCTTCGTTCCGGCCGGCTTGACCGCAAGATCGAGTTCCCCTTGCCCAACGAAGAAGCACGTGCACAGATCATGGAAATCCACAGTCGGAAGATGGCTGTGGGACCCAATGTCAACTTCAAGGAACTGGCTCGCTCGACCGACGAAATGAACGGTGCCCAGCTGAAAGCGGTTTGTGTCGAAGCAGGTATGATTGCGCTGCGAGAAGGCGCCACGGAGTTGGATCACGAGCACTTCTTGGGCGGCATTCTTGAAGTGCAGGCCCTGAAAAAATCGGATCACTTTTACTATGCATAATAGACTATGTTGTGAATATATAGGATTATGTATGGATTTCATGTTCCACCAGCAGAAGAATGACCGTGGCAAGAACCATGAAACAAATGAAAATAGAAAGAACTGTCACAAGTGGATGAGAATGGCCTTCGCATTCATCCAGATAAGTATGTTCAGACTCCAACTCACGCAATAATTTAAAGTAATCAAAGGTGGACAAGATCCACGAAAGGAAAGCAACGAGAAAGTAAAGTGAGCCAAGAATCAGATCTTCAATGTGAGTTCGTCTCGACGTAGACTTGGAAGGCATCATAGAAGTTTTGTTGCTTTCTAGATGATTCTGCAGTACTGTGACTGTATTCTCAAGCATGAATGCATGCTGAGAAGAGGGAGTATTTGACGGACCCGCCCTTTCCCAGGAAGACAAGGACATCTCAGTGGATATGGCAAGGTTCACAAGCCCGGGTGTAAGAAAAGAAGTATCAGGATCAGACGATATCAATCCCGTATATTTCTGTGATTGATTATCTGTTTCTTGGATCTGGATATCCAAGAACATTGTAGCCGAAAGAACGGTAATCAAGGCAAAGAACTTGGACCAAGACAAATAATTACGCTCCCGCACTGAAGGAAAGTTAGTATGCATCAAAACGCACTGCAGAAGTCCCTTGTCGATTCCAGGGGCATATATTGTGACTTGAGTCCCATCCAAGAATGCAATAATCCATTCGCTTTATCATGCTGACGATCATTCTCATCCTCTGTATCAGAATCGGGAGTGGATAAAGGCTGAGATGATGTAGACGCCATCTGGCGAAAACTGGTTTGTCTCTGAGCCCGAATTCGATCTTCGATATGCTCCCAGCGCTTGGGATTCCTGCGCCTATCGGCCTCTACGTCGTGCGCATCCATGTTGATGGATGGGAACCTGGGAAGTGAACCTCGGAAGAGGTACGTGCGAGCGAGGTTCAAAACAATTCATAGCTCTTATATTGCTTCATTCCCCACCCAATGGAAACTCCTACCAGCCATAGCTCAGTTGGAAGAGCGAAGGTTTGTAATTGTGTACCGGTCTCTGACCACCTTAGGTCCCGTGTTCGAATCACGGTGGCTGGATTTTTTTTGCCAAAGTTCTTGTATGAATACCACTTTGACGTTAGGCAACTTAAACTGAGTTCTTCATGAGCCAATACTATGATCATGGGTGATCATATACGTTTATTTCCGAGCGACTTGGCAGTGACCCAGCCATAGCTCAGTTGGAAGAGCGAAGGTTTGTAATTGTCTACCGGTCTTTGACCACCTTAGGTCCCGTGTTCGAATCACGGTGGCTGGACTCTTTTTTGTCTACGTAGATCCAGATTGCAAGGCCACAAAGTGGCCGGCATGGAAAGAACTCGCAGGATAATAGCGGCAACGTATGTATTCGTTTCCGTACGACCAGCTGTATCGTTAATTTTTTTGTTTCCAGAGAGGTACATACCCATCCATAGCTCGGACTGCTCGGTAGGCACCTGCCATACCTGTGAATAGAACAAAAGCTTGCACGCGTTGCTCGTTCTCCATCGGGTATAATTGAATCCTTTGCACAAATCCATAGTGCTTGCATTCTGTGGCTGATAATAAGCATGACAGACATACGTACAAATGGCCTGTCGCAGCTCTTCTTCCGTAGCTTGGGCTGTAGAGAAGCTAGTGAGTACAATCACTTCGCTTGGGTTGCCGTATCGCGATTTGGTATACTCTTGCTCAGCATCAACATTCTCATTAATGATGGCGCCACGTCGTCGCTTCCCTTTCGCAGGAATATGAGACGCTTGCAAGGGTGTAACAATGCCTTTATTCCCTTCGGCGCCCAGTCCCTCCCCTTCTTTGTACCCATACTTAGCCATGAGTCGTTCCGCAAATGTAGATGGATCAGAGTCCACCTGAGCTTGGGAGATAGGCAGTGGAGAAGGAGGGGTATCAAGATGATCAGAAGCTCGGACAAAGGCAGGTGCACTAGGCTTTGGTTCCACCTTGGCAGTTCTGGCTTGCAGAGAAGGAGGTGGTACGGGCGGTGGGCCAGGAGGCAATGCGGCAGACGGAGGCGGTGGTGCTGTAGGAGTAGGTGTCGAAGGTGCTACGACCTCCATCAAGCTGTATGGACCTGCCACAGGAGCATAGGACGTTGGAGGCGCAAAGCGAGGGTTATGTGGCCGATCATCATGGTCCGACTCAGATTCGTCATACAGTCCACGTTGCATCCGCCATTCCTGGACCTGTGCCTTGAACTGAGTATAATCGTTTGGGCGGCTAGGGTCATAATCTGCGGCGTAATTCATGCGGGGAAGGTACGCAGTTTTGGATCTGTGCCAGCGATTGGGCTTGGGTATATCCTGATCATCTTGGTACTCTCTTTGTGGGATATCACCTCGCTCTTCCGCCAAGATCCGTGCGCGGCGCTTGTCGCGTTCCAATTCTGAGGCGGGAATCAGCAATGGCGGAGGAGCTCGTATGCTAGATGAGGTAGGAGTGGCTTCGCTTTTTGGATTTGAGGGGGCAGTATGCACAGTGGCAAGAGCAATGGATTTAGTTGATGGTCGATGTGTTGAGGGCGCGGCTCGTTTCCGAGGTACGAATCGCAAGGCAGGAGACCAACTGGACGCTACACGTTAGACAAAGACGGAGGCAAGGACATACGTTTTGAATCTGTGTCTTTGGATGCATTAGGATCATTGCGAGGCTCTTTCTCAGAAAAGATCCCCGCATACAAAGACGATGTGGGCGGCATGCTGCTGCGTATGCACAAGCCGCCAAGTTGTGACGGCCTTGTGGAGGGAGAAGGGCACAAGCAGGTCAAGCGGTTCAAGGTTGGCGGTAGGCGACCATGCCGTCGCTGCAAGAGGAAGTGCATGCCACGCTGCGAGATGTTGAGAAGCAAACTATAGACTTGTTTACAGCGATATCAGCTTCCTCGTCCTTCACACAAACAGCGCCTACGTCGCAAGTCAAACCGGTGCGTGCGCAGGTCCGACAACTTCAAGATACCCACCGGCAGTTATCGCGTTTGGTCGATCGGGCGGCCGAACACCAAGTGAATCAGGCGCGTTTGATACCCCTTCTAGCACAAATTAAAGAGCGTGATACGAAGCAAAGAGATGCGATTCTTCGTATTTCGACGTTACGTACGGAGCTCAAGGAAATGGTCGAAGCCGGCAATAAGCTATGGACGCAGACAACAAAAGCAGAAAAAGGTACGTGGTCTACTTCTAACGTAAAGATCCACTATCAGCTACTATGGTACTCGAGTATGCGCAGCGGCTCGCGCGCTATACATCTGCGCCGCCAGGGTACCATCTTGCGGAGTTGCAAGCAGGGGCTACGCACAATGCGCAGAGTGCCCAACAAGCAGACTACAACCCTGAAGCGACAAGAGCTGCTGCCTACTATGATCCGGCTATCCCATCCATGCCGCAAGAGATGCCATTCCCTAGTGACAGACTTATGCGGCAAGGTATACTTTATGCTGATGCAGCCAGTGGAGGAAGTATGCCGGCCGACGCAGCGCCAGGAGCTGCTGCGGACGGCCCTGCACAGGACGAGAACAACATGGCGCAGGAGCCCGTGGCGTCCCTCACAGCGCTGGATTCCTTTGCTATGGACGACGACGATGCGTTCGATCTAGATCTCAATCCGTAGATGATCACGACGTGCACGACGCGGTCGCCGCCCCACGGCTACGTGGACATGTTAGGAGGTGGAGGTCCCGAGCCTACCAGGCTGGTCAAACATGCGTCGATGTTTGGTCCATGCATGCGCACGCCAGGACCCCCCCCCCCCCCCCCCCCCCCCCCCCCCCCGCCCCCCCCC